ACACCCTAACACCCTAACACCCTAACACCCTAACACCCTAACACCCTAACACCCTAACACCCTAACACCCTAACACCCTAACACCCTAACACCCTAACACCCTAACACCCTAACACCCTAACACCCTAACACCCTAACACCCTAACACCCTAACACCCTAACACCCTAACACCCTAACACCCTAACACCCTAACACCCTAACACCCTAACACCCTAACACCCTAACACCCTAACACCCTAACACCCTAACACCCTAACACCCTAACACCCTAACACCCTAACACCCTAACACCCTAACACCCTAACACCCTAACACCCTAACACCCTAACACCCTAACACCCTAACACCCTAACACCCTAACACCCTAACACCTAACACCCTAACACCCTAACACCCTAACACCCTAACACCCTAACACCCTAACACCCTAACACCCTAACACCCTAACACCCTAACACCCTAACACCCTAACACCCTAACACCCTAACACCCTAACACCCTAACACCCTAACACCCTAACACCCTAACACCCTAACACCCTAACACCCTAACACCCTAACACCCTAACACCCTAACACCCTAACACCCTAACACCCGTAACACCCTAACACCCTAACACCCTAACACCCTAACACCCTAACACCCTAACACCCTAACACCCTAACACCCTAACACCCTAACACCCTAACACCCTAACACCCTAACACCCTAACACCCTAACACCCTAACACCCTAACACCCTAACACCCTAACACCCTAACACCCTAACACCCTAACACCCTAACACCCTAACACCCTAACACCCTAACACCCTAACACCCTAACACCCTAACACCCTAACACCCTAACACCCTAACACCCTAACACCCTAACACCCTAACACCCTAACACCCTAACACCCTAACACCCTAACACCCTAACACCCTAACACCCTAACACCCTAACACCCTAACACCCTAACACCCTAACACCCTAACACCCTAACACCCTAACACCCTAACACCCTAACACCCTAACACCCTAACACCCTAACACCCTAACACCCTAACACCCTAACACCCTAACACCCTAACACCCTAACACCCTAACACCCTAACACCCTAACACCCTAACACCCTAACACCCTAACACCCTAACACCCTAACACCCTAACACCCTAACACCCTAACACCCTAACACCCTAACACCCTAACACCCTAACACCCTAACACCCTAACACCCTAACACCCTAACACCCTAACACCCTAACACCCTAACACCCTAACACCCTAACACCCTAACACCCTAACACCCTAACACCCTAACACCCTAACACCCTAACACCCTAACACCCTAACACCCTAACACCCTAACACCCTAACACCCTAACACCCTAACACCCTAACACCCTAACACCCTAACACCCTAACACCCTAACACCCTAACACCCTAACACCCTAACACCCTAACACCCTAACACCCTAACACCCTAACACCCTAACACCCTAACACCCTAACACCCTAACACCCTAACACCCTAACACCCTAACACCCTAACACCCTAACACCCTAACACCCTAACACCCTAACACCCTAACACCCTAACACCCTAACACCCTAACACCCTAACACCCTAACACCCTAACACCCTAACACCCTAACACCCTAACACCCTAACACCCTAACACCCTAACACCCTAACACCCTAACACCCTAACACCCTAACACCCTAACACCCTAACACCCTAACACCCTAACACCCTAACACCCTAACACCCTAACACCCTAACACCCTAACACCCTAACACCCTAACACCCTAACACCCTAACACCCTAACACCCTAACACCCTAACACCCTAACACCCTAACACCCTAACACCCTAACACCCTAACACCCTAACACCCTAACACCCTAACACCCTAACACCCTAACACCCTAACACCCTAACACCCTAACACCCTAACACCCTAACACCCTAACACCCTAACACCCTAACACCCTAACACCCTAACACCCTAACACCCTAACACCCTAACACCCTAACACCCTAACACCCTAACACCCTAACACCCTAACACCCTAACACCCTAACACCCTAACACCCTAACACCCTAACACCCTAACACCCTAACACCCTAACACCCTAACACCCTAACACCCTAACACCCTAACACCCTAACACCCTAACACCCTAACACCCTAACACCCTAACACCCTAACACCCTAACACCCTAACACCCTAACACCCTAACACCCTAACACCCTAACACCCTAACACCCTAACACCCTAACACCCTAACACCCTAACACCCTAACACCCTAACACCCTAACACCCTAACACCCTAACACCCTAACACCCTAACACCCTAACACCCTAACACCCTAACACCCTAACACCCTAACACCCTAACACCCTAACACCCTAACACCCTAACACCCTAACACCCTAACACCCTAACACCCTAACACCCTAACACCCTAACACCCTAACACCCTAACACCCTAACACCCTAACACCCTAACACCCTAACACCCTAACACCCTAACACCCTAACACCCTAACACCCTAACACCCTAACACCCTAACACCCTAACACCCTAACACCCTAACACCCTAACACCCTAACACCCTAACACCCTAACACCCTAACACCCTAACACCCTAACACCCTAACACCCTAACACCCTAACACCCTAACACCCTAACACCCTAACACCCTAACACCCTAACACCCTAACACCCTAACACCCTAACACCCTAACACCCTAACACCCTAACACCCTAACACCCTAACACCCTAACACCCTAACACCCTAACACCCTAACACCCTAACACCCTAACACCCTAACACCCTAACACCCTAACACCCTAACACCCTAACACCCTAACACCCTAACACCCTAACACCCTAACACCCTAACACCCTAACACCCTAACACCCTAACACCCTAACACCCTAACACCCTAACACCCTAACACCCTAACACCCTAACACCCTAACACCCTAACACCCTAACACCCTAACACCCTAACACCCTAACACCCTAACACCCTAACACCCTAACACCCTAACACCCTAACACCCTAACACCCTAACACCCTAACACCCTAACACCCTAACACCCTAACACCCTAACACCCTAACACCCTAACACCCTAACACCCTAACACCCTAACACCCTAACACCCTAACACCCTAACACCCTAACACCCTAACACCCTAACACCCTAACACCCTAACACCCTAACACCCTAACACCCTAACACCCTAACACCCTAACACCCTAACACCCTAACACCCTAACACCCTAACACCCTAACACCCTAACACCCTAACACCCTAACACCCTAACACCCTAACACCCTAACACCCTAACACCCTAACACCCTAACACCCTAACACCCTAACACCCTAACACCCTAACACCCTAACACCCTAACACCCTAACACCCTAACACCCTAACACCCTAACACCCTAACACCCTAACACCCTAACACCCTAACACCCTAACACCCTAACACCCTAACACCCTAACACCCTAACACCCTAACACCCTAACACCCTAACACCCTAACACCCTAACACCCTAACACCCTAACACCCTAACACCCTAACACCCTAACACCCTAACACCCTAACACCCTAACACCCTAACACCCTAACACCCTAACACCCTAACACCCTAACACCCTAACACCCTAACACCCTAACACCCTAACACCCTAACACCCTAACACCCTAACACCCTAACACCCTAACACCCTAACACCCTAACACCCTAACACCCTAACACCCTAACACCCTAACACCCTAACACCCTAACACCCTAACACCCTAACACCCTAACACCCTAACACCCTAACACCCTAACACCCTAACACCCTAACACCCTAACACCCTAACACCCTAACACCCTAACACCCTAACACCCTAACACCCTAACACCCTAACACCCTAACACCCTAACACCCTAACACCCTAACACCCTAACACCCTAACACCCTAACACCCTAACACCCTAACACCCTAACAAACCTTAATGATTACTAATGATATTTCTATTCTTGGAATTGCTGAAACATGACTGAAAACTTCCTTATATATTCAAGGATTTATCTGAATTGGAAATAATGGGCCAATTGCTGGCAACAGAGGATCAGGCGGAACTGGGTTACTAATACATGAAACATTTGCAAATCTAATAACATCAATTGAAACTAACAATCATAGAATAACAGCAACATTAATTGAAGATTACTTGATAATAGTAGCTTATGCCCCAGTAGTAGCAAATCACCAAAGTAAGAAATCAATTGATGACTATATTAACTTTATCATAGAAGTTCAAGAAATTATTCAAAAAAATCAAAAGGATAGACGTCAAATAGTACTATTGGGTGATTTTAATGCACATCTAAAAGGATATTTATCTGAAATCGATGATCTAACAGGAGAGATATTTTCTAAATTTATAAAAGATTCTCATCTATACATTCTCAATGATATGCAAATATCAACTTTTAGAGGTCATAATACACACACAATTATTGATTACATTCTCTCAAACTCAACATCAGAAATTATTTATATAGAAGTCCCTCAATTAAATACTAACCATATTTTACTCCTATCACGCATTTCGATAATTATATCATTAGGAACTCAAAAAAACAATTATTCCATGATATAAACTAGAAGGAGATGAACATGAAGCCTTTAAAAGCAGACTCTTCCTTAAATTCAAAGAAAAAGGTATTTTCATAACAAATAACCCTTCTCAAATCTATACCGAAATAAAGACTATCTTAGATGAAGAATCAATTATTCTAAAAACTAAATTACAGCCTGATCATTTTAAAACTCCAGAAATGAAAATTTTAAGGAAAAGAATTAACAAACTCAAAGAATGAATCAAATTTTGCTATTCTCAGAAAAATAATGAATTTATTGAAAGAATACGGAAAGTAAAGAAAATATGCATTGATCAGTTAAAAAGACTAGATAGATATGAAATAATAAGTGAAAATAGATTAAAACAATGCATAAATGATCCCTATGGAGCTTGAAACAAAATAAAAAGATTATTGAATAAAACAAACTGGTCTTACCAATGAATGCATTTGAGATTCAATCTTGAACAAAAGAATTTGAAGATCAATTTAAGAGTACGATATCTTTTATTCCACAAGCAGGTTGTCTAGAAGATGAACTTTGAAACTCAAAAAAGATTGAGAATATTATTAAATCTTTGCCTAACAGAAAAGCTCCTGGACCAGATAATATAACGAATGAAATAATAAAAAAAGGAGGAGATATAATGGTAGAAGCAATAACACATTTTTTAAATACTTGCAGAATTTATGGTATACCGGATGTTGCAAATGAAGCTAAGACTATTCTTATATATAAAGGTAAAGGAAATCATAAAGAATTGAAGAATCACAGACCTATAACATTAATGAACAGTTTTATAAAGATTCTTGACAAGGCTGAACTAAGAAAAATTGAAAACAACGTTAAGATCTCAGATAGACAACATGGGTTTAGAAAAGGAAAATCATGCATAACACAAAGTTTCTTACTGAAAAATACCTTAGAATATCGAAAATATTATAATAAAGGGAAAAAGAGTGATTCATATATACTTTTTATAGATTTTTCGAAAGCATATGATTCTGTGGATAGAACTAAACTCATAGAAAAGATAAAAAGTAAGAGAGTCACAGATGATAGTTGAAAATCAATCTCCCAGATGATTAAAGGAGAAAAGACTACCTTAATAATCAACGGAAATGAAACATTTAAAATCGATATTACTCAGCATCAATTTATACTAAAAGTTTTTGATTCTTTTTAGGCTGACGAGATCACCTCCCATGCAAATAATTAAGGTATTATTATGGATTAATTGATATATGCTTCAGATTTTTAGTTTGCCACCATTTCGTTTGGTTTCATCTTTAATTGAAATTAAAGATGGAAACTTACGAGCTAGTGTTGAGTGGAATCCTGAAGAATGGGCAGCAATTTATTTATAATCAATAGTTGATTTTGAATATGAGTTGATCCCTTCAATACCAACTTAAATTAAATATTTTTAATGAAAATTGATGTTTAATATAAAAGTAGATGCCAGATGTAAATTTTATGAGTTCGTCTGTTTCTATTTTTAGTTTCAATCAAAGATGGAACCTGAAGAACTAAAGTTGAACACAGATTATTAATAAAAATTGATGAATAGCATAAAAAGTATATTTTATAGATTTATTACTAAAATTACTTATACCTTCTAGCAAGTTATCCGAATAATTGTATAAAAGTAGGTCTCGGAGAAGGAATTTTATGAACTCATCAATTTCCATCTTTATTTTATATAAGATGAAACCTAGCCAACCAGTGCTAAATAAAAAGCAGAAGCATAGTTGATATCATCAATGAAAACTTGAATCATATTTTTACTGAAAATTGATGTTCATTAAAAAAAGAGGTGCCAAACAGATCAGTTTTATCAGTCCAAAGATAGAGCCAGGCAATTGATGCTAAGCCAAAGCCTGGAGTATTTTTAATGATCTATGCATAATTTTTCCTTAATTTTTGCATGCTAGCTGATCTCTTCACTGCAGGCTTAAAATTTGATTATAGGATAAATCTAGTTGACAAGACGAAAGTGTTGAATGAAAACCTGTTGTATAGCTTGTAAAATTTGCATAATAATGTTTTAATTCCATGTACTTAGATGCTATCTCATTAATTGGATAAATGCTTAAATTTATCAGAAATTGATGCATTTGTCAGAAGCAGGTGATAGATAAGTTAGACTTTGGAGTTCGTTAGGCTCCATCTTTAATTTCAATTAAAAGATAGATTAGCTATTTTTCCATTTTTATCAGAGTTTTGCAACTTATCATAGATTTGCTAGCTTATTAGTTTCTTCACATTTTAGCACGTAAAACTAATTTTTGAGGACCTCAATAATATAGAAGAAATACGTTATTATAGATCTTTAATTGTGCTTGACATTTCGCCTCATTTGTTTTTCCATAAAGAGACAAAATGAGATTTTCATATATTAAAATTGATTTGGTCTTTTCAAAGTTTGTTCTTACAGGTCTATTCAAGATAAATAAGTATTTAATTCCCCCTTGACGAGCTAAAATTTTTATGGAAAAATTTTTTGATATATAAGTGATTATTAGTATAATGAAATCTCTGGCTAATTTGTTTAATTTTAAGCAAATTGCGTTTTTAAACATAAATTTTACAAATTAAAATGTTTTTTTCTAATTTTTAAGAAGTGGGATTGTTTTAAATTTTTAATAAAAAAAAAAATCTATAAAATTATAAATAATTTTTTTTAAAAAAAAAAAATTAACCCCCTCCTGAGCAAACAATTTTTATTGTTCGCTCACGGGTGGAGTAAAAACTTTCTCAAGATCTGGATTATTAGCGCAGTCTTTGCTATAAATTGACAAAGCTTGCCTAAAGTTTCGCTCTAATCCTGGGTCATTTGGCCTATTTAAAATTTTCTCTTTCTGCTTTTTTAGTTTTAAAATGTTTTTGGTGCTTGCTGCTAAATAAAAACGAAGAATAAGGTCCACCTGAGCTTTTGGAAAAGATACCTTCTAATATTATGCATTTTGGCACTTAATAAGACTTGGCATTTCTATTTATTATCATTATTTGAAATAATAACCTACCCATAAATCTGATTATCTCTTAAGGTACCCTATTTAATATTAATACGGAAGCTAAGGTAGATAAACATTTACTAGAATTAATTATCATGCTTGCTGCAGATTTTGAATAATTAGTCCTTTTATGCCCTTCATAGATAGATTCAATATTATTCTCTTTAAGAGTTTTCTCTATATTAGAGACTCTTTTTTCTAAATTAGCTTCTTTATCGCTGATAATACACTTAGACATTTTCTCGACTTTTTTACTAAATCCTCGAGCTATATTCGTAGTATTGATCCATTCTTGATTAACTGGGATTATTGCCTTTAGTCCCTCAATAGCTAAGTCAGAATGCAAATTTAATTAATTAATTAATATCTTCACTTTTACTCGAACTACCATAATGATACTGCATAAAGCTGAGTGCTCTATGAATTGTCATAGGCTACTTATTCTTCTATTGTTATGAAGCCAATACTAGAATATCTAGAATAATAAAGACGCGGATTATAATAAAATGATTCGGAAAGTCAGACTTGCAATGACAAAATGCAAGCTCATATTTGGCTTGACAAGCAGAACCTATATATAAAATTTTCCTGCATTGCATAAAGATGATGGTCGTCATTGCCACTTTAACCACCAGATTTTACCTTTTCCTCCTTAAGCTATTGTTTTCAGCCCTCAGCATGAGCCACTTATGGCTGCACTTATTAATCAACGCAATTAAAATATCAGGGTGTAAAAATAGATAGCTAAGCAATTTCTTATTTCATCTGAATATGAATTTAAATTGTTTAAAAGTTTGCGAATATCGTGCACTAATTCATTTAAAAGCTTTCTAAAGGATTTTACAATATTTTTCTTTAGAGCAATGTGCTCCGACATTTCTTTTGTAAGGTATTTAAGAATTGCTTCTTTTGTTATTGCAAAATCATAGTCGTAGACTTCAGATTCGCAAGATAACTCTTGGTGCATCTCAGTATTTATTTCACAGGACAGAGTTCCGGGAAGAGAATTGGCGCGAACTCATTTATTTTAATGGAAATCAATCAAAAAGAGCAAAAAATCTGAATGCAATCCAAAGCGAAAAATCCAATTAATGGAGGCCAACAAAAAAGGAGTGTTGTGGTTATAGGGTTCCAAAAGAAAATTAATCAGAATTTGAAGAGATTCTGCATGTCATGTGAAAGATGCACATCACACAAAATGGAGTACATAGGGGAAAAGAAAGGAGAGTATCATTATTCATAGCCGCCATAGTACAAGAACATAGCTGGGAGTTACTACGAAAAGCCGATAGATACCATTTAAAGATTACTTGCATCATTTGCAAACAGAATTTCAAGAAAAGAACCCAAAAAGGCAGTATGAAATTATTTAGGTCTAACTGCAAGAAATTAAAGAATTAATTATATGAAATCTATAATAGGACTAATAAGCATGGGATTATGCAGGGCTTGAAGATTCGATAACAAATATGATGCATACAGTGAGAAGAAGCTAATATCGATTTCCAACCAAATGAAGGTATGCCCTATATGTTGAAGTTGCATTTGAAGAGCAAGCTTTAACCTACCTGATGAAAAGAGTATAGTAGAAAGAAAAGTCTGGCCGATTATTTAACAGCATAGCATTATGAGATTTAAGGCAAATAAAGAAAAAAAGGGATCAAAAATCATTAAGGGAGGAAGAAAAGAGAAAGATAAGAGAAAAAAAATGAAAAGCAGGGAGAAACATAGAATTTGCTCATTGCTGAGGTTTAAAAAATTGATAATATTTTTTTGAAATTTATAACAATAGAGACCAAAAATTGCTTTAATTTTGTAAAATTTATATTTTAAAATACAAGCTGTTTAAAATTCAACAGAATTAGCTAGAGATTTTATTATACTAATTATCAATTTTTTATCAAATATTTTTTCATCAAAAAATTTTTTAAATCAATAATTTATTTTTACTCATGGAGGGTGATTTTTGGCCAATTAATATGCTCTCACATGAGGGTGGAGTTAACAGTCGATAAAAATAAATATAATTTATAGTGATAATAAATTTTGTTTATATTTCATTAGATTGGCATTTAGATTTGATAAAAGGATATCGACTATCGTTTTAGATGATTGTCCATCTAGTGATGATTTAATACTAAGCCTACTGATTGCAGAATCACTTCTTGACAAATAAGCACGAATATCAATGGATTTTCTTCGAGCAACCATAAGTTCGTTATTTAAATCTGATATTTGATCTTTTAGTCTTTGCGTATTTTCTTCGCTGTACTCTTTTAAGACATCCAGCTCAGAGCATGCTATTGCCAAATCTTCTAACGTTTTGTTATAAAACTCATTAAGTTGCTCAGCTTCAAAATCTATATAAATAAATGGCGCCTGGGCAGGACTTTGCCTCCCAACAATGCAGCACCGAGCACATTTTATTTATATTCTTCAAGGTTTTGTTAACCAAAAAACAGTCAGCAATGCTCTGTTCAATTCTGGCAATGACAAGGCCTCGCCCGAGTCCGCTTTCAAGATTTAAATTTGCCTTGAGGGTAAAGTTGGGTTCAAAGTTGGAAAGGGAAAGCCCAGCTAGGTCCGCACGCATTCCTAGACCATTTGGGCAACTTCCTAGCGTGAAATAGGAGTTATTTGAATTTTATCTGTTTAATGAGAGTCGACCCATAAATTTTATTTAGCCTTCGTTCAATCCAAGCAGCAATATCCTTCCCACTCAACACTATAACTGACAATGCAAGAAGGAGATGAAGACGCAGAATCTAGCTCGCAGGTGTAATCAGTGGAGAAGAGAAAGGTGGGAGTATGACCTTATTCTCACCAGATTAGTATCCCAACTCAAAAAAGTTCTCCCTATCGACGCTACAAAGAGAATGAATTCCCTAGGGAATCCTTGGTGACTGCGCTACCAATAAGCGAGGCAAGCCAAGAACGGTAATTAAAGTTTGAGTTTTAGCTAAGCTTCAAAATCCTTTTCTCTTAACTTTGATTTCATCATATCCATCTCCAATTCCATTTCCATTAGTTTCTTTTTGGAAGACTCACTGTCTTGGCAGGATTTTTTTAATTTTTCATTGAGCTCGCTATTCAATTTCTCGATCACTTGGATTTTAGTATAAAATTGAGACTAATTGGATAATACTTTAAGGTTTGTATTTTGTTCTTTTAAAATTAAGATTTCTTCTTGAAGAGATTTTATTAGAATTTTGTTCTCTTCGATTTCTAGTTCTAATTCAGCTTCAATAAGTTTGCTTGTTTCTTTGAATTCTTCAAATTCATCCATAAGCTCGCTTTCATTCATTTTTGAAATTTACTATAGCGCCTTCCTATAGATGGCGCGCAATGCGCCATCACTGGGCCATGTCGGGAGAGGGTTCTCCACGAGAAATGGTTCCACGTGTGGAACGCTCTTTTTCCACGAGCCAAAAAGAGGGTTCCACACGTGGAACCATTTCTCGTGGAGAACCCTCTCCCGACATGGCCCAGTGATGGCGCATTGCGCGCCATCTAATAGAATTCACTATATATAGCATTTCTCTGAAAATTAGTGAAAATCGTAGATTAACGAAAATAAATCCCGTATTATATAAATTAATTAGAAGAAATACAAGTATTATAAGCTAGTCTTCAAAAGATAAAAAAATTTAAAATTAAAAGCAATTCAGGGCTAACGCAAACATTTCTTTTAAAAAGTGTCTTGAATTCGAATCGGCAAGGAAGGGAATCTTAAAGCCCTCTAGAGTAAAACAAATAAAAACTAAAAAAATAAGGCAGATAAAATCGAATTACAAAAAGGAAGAAATTACGCTAATTATTGTGGATTTGATGCCCAAAAAATTCATAAAATGATTAAGACAAGAAAATGAGATCTAGCATTATTATTTAATACTTTTATAAAAAAAATCAAAGATATTAGGATAGGATATATTTGGTGCAGAATCATCAAATGAATCTAGAAATGAGCTTTAATATTCTAGTAACGCTACTTTTATTGAAAGAAATAAAAAATATTAAAGAAATGATCAGATGAAAGCTTAATTATTTATTAGCCTAGCATTTAACTCTCCCACTGAGTGGATACCCACCCTTTTAACTTCAGCTCGTGACTACACAGGCATTTATCCGCAATCCTTTATATAGACAATCCAACTGATTGGCTATAAGATCTCACAGATGTGAGGAATAGTTAAATGATATAAATTTATTGTGCCTGATAAGTTGCTAATTTTTAGTTCCAAAATTTCTAATTATTTGCATATTAATAAGTGAGAATTAGAAAGACTTATAAAATAGCGCACTGACTTAAAGTATTGATTTATCATATATATAATTTAATTTTGGAATATAACTAATAATGAATTATACAATTATAAAATAAGTCATATAATATGCTTAATGCAAAATTCCACTTTAAATGGATAATATTTTGATATTCCTTATATTTCTAGATTAGAGCCTAAATTTATTAAATTTTATTAATTTTATTAAGTTTTGATCAAGGGCATATTTGCTGGATTAAATAACGGTTTGGCGAAAAAATAATGATTAAATCGGTTTTAATCTTTTTAGCTCTAATTTTAGCTGCCAAAGCAGCCACCCCTCAGCAGTGGAAATCCCGAATTATTTACCAGCTATTAACTGATCGTTTTTCAAGAGGTAATGGTGACAACTCAGGGTGTGCAGATTTAGGTAATTATTGTGGAGGAACTTTTAAAGGGATTACACAAAATCTCGACTACATCCAAAATATGGGCTTTGATGCCATATGGATTTCTCCAGTCCCAGTTAACTACCAAGGTGCTTATCACGGCTATGCAGCGATAGACCTATATGGAGTTAATCCTCATTTTGGGACAGAGCAAGATCTTCAAGATCTCGTAAATGCTTGCCACTCAAGAGGAATGTATGTTATGCTTGATGTTGTAGCTAATCATGTTGGCCCTGTTTCTCCTGACTTTTCAGTGATCAACCCCTTCAATAAGTCTGAATATTATCATCCATACTGCCAAATCAACAATTGGAATGATCAGCACGAAGTTGAATGGTGCTGGCTTGGAACACTACCTGATTTATCCCAAGAAAATCAATATGTAAGAAGTACATTGAAGAGTTGAATCAATTGAATTGTTAATAAATATGGATTTGATGGGCTAAGAGTTGATACAGCTGTTGAAGTTCCAAAAGACTTTTGGTATGAATTTCAAGCCAGTGCCGGCGTTTATGCAGTTGGCGAAGCTTTTAATGGAGATATTAATTATGTTTCGGGCTATCAAGGACCTCTAGATGCGGTTTTAAATTATCCTCTTTATTTTTTATTGAGAAACATCTTTGCTTATGGCGGAGATATGTATCAGGCAAGAGACTTCATGAATAGTATGAAGGCCTTTAAAGACCAAACAATTCTTGGGAATTTCTTACTCCTTCATAATAAAGCAAGCTTCTTTATTATAAATATTTAAGCTAAAAGGTTAAATAAAATTTTGAAATATTAAAATATTGTAATTCTGGTTGAAATACAATTAAATTTAATCATGAGAGTCAGATAATCACGATAACCCAAGATTCTTATACCAAAACGGAAACATCAATAGATTCAAAAATGCTTTGGCTTGGAGTGTGGTGACTTTAGGCATACCAATTGTTTATTATGGAGACGAGCAAGGGTTCAATGGAGGTTATGATCCTAACGATAGAGAAATCCTTTGGCCATATTTAAAGAACACCAACTCTGATATGTACCAATTTGTGACCAAAATTGTCAAATACAGGAAGCAAATGCAGTTGTGGAATTATCCTTGGGTCGAAAGATATGCTGATCATAACTTTTATTGCTTTTCCATGGGCAATGCGGTGATGGCATTTACCAATACGGATAATACCATTCAGAGATCAGTAACTTATAACCCGTATAAAGAAGGAGATGTGATTTGCAACATTTTCTGGAGTGGAGACTGCGTAACCATTACCAATGGAGCTCTCAATGTTGTTCTTTTGAATGGAGAAGTTAAACTTTATATGCCAAAGTCTATGATGATGGAGGAAAAATAAGGTTTAATTAAATTCTTATTAATTAAATATAAATTCATCAAAAGGCAAACAATTTATAGTTTTTAATAACTAAAACTAAATATAAATAAAACTATTCCCCAATATGACCTTTATTTCATTTTGAGGGCTGGATAACACGTTTAATAAAGGCATAAAAGTATTCATTTGAATTCGAATTATTTATTAGCTGCTGATATTCAGAAATTAATTGCACAGCATCCTCTCTAGCCTCTTCAAACTCGAGCTCATCCATTCCTTCAGCTAAATATCTATGCCTATTAATAATGAGTATTAGTATTGCTAAAGATCAGCCGTTGCTTATTTACGACACAATTTCTATTGATTGTAGTTGGCATACATATAAAGGCTTTTCTTTTGTAAAAGTCGTCAAATCGATCAACAGCTTTTTTAAAGGTATTCCCAATTAAAGCAGAATTATAAGTAAAATATCCTGATCGAGTCATAAATGAATGCGCATTGCATATCCAATACTTCAAATTATCAGGAATCTGCTCTGAGTAGCAACTTTTATTTTCTGCTTTGGCCTTTAAAAATTCATAATTAAATATGCCGTCTCAGCGCTTTGCGGTCGGCTCCTCCGACTTCCTTCAAGCTCATATTTAATTATATCCGACAAGTTTTATTAACCGCGAAATTGACGGCAATTCTAGGTAAGTAACTCTGGTGCTGTTCAGAGCCTAGCCCTCAGTTTCATTTTAGGCTTGGATTTTACCTTGAAGAGAAGGAGGGTTTGAATTTGGAAAAGGCATGCTCAGCACGGTCTATAGAGAATACCTAGACTTATCGGGCAAGTGCCTAGCGTGAAACTGTGAGTTATGCCCCAGGATTCAAAATTTTCCTTCTTGCCCAGAAGACACCAGAAATTCCATTTTTGGGATTTTTGGATGGCCAACTTCTTATTCCAACAGCCTCAAGCAAGGTCTCACAAGTCCGAAGACTGCCCACTCTTAACTGAAGCCGCAAGCCAAGGAGGAGACACTACTGGTCTGGGTGATGGGCACGGTCGAAAAGCGGTTGAGTCCTTATGGACCCGGTGATTGCGTGAAAGTTAAGGGGTCAGTCAATCTGTTAATTAAATTAAGGTTAAGGCCTTTAAAAATTCAATTTCTGCCTCAGCTGGATCAACTTTCCCCAAATAAGTAAGCACAGCGCTCAAAATTAGGCCAAATCTAGAATTTGGATCAGGGTCATGCAGATGATATGCTCTGTTGAATAAATTTTGGGTCAGCCTTTCAGTGGATTGTATATTAAAATAGCAAAAGCATGCACCTCGAGGAAAAAGCGGCACATAGCATGACTTAAAAAATGCAAATTTTGATAAGGGACCAAATTCAATGCAAATTTTCTTAAATCTGAGCATAAGTCAGTAGGAAATCTGAAAGATAAAGATTCCCCGCTAAGTACTTGTACTATTATATTGTTTATATCTCCCCATGTGGGCTTATATATCTTCATTTTCTTGTGACACAAGTTATAAATATCTTCATTGTCTAAAACACTTGTAACATCAGCATTGCTTATTAGATCTTGAAGCAAAAAAATTGTATCGTATGGCTCTGTAAGTAAATTCATTGCTTCATTATAAGGAATAATACTAGAAGTTTTTATAATTCTATCAGAGTATTCATCCTTGATATTTTCTAGAAGAAGAGAAGTTAGTCCTGATCCAGCAGCCCCACTTGCGGCGTGAAAAATCTGAAATCCTTGTAATGATTCACTGTTTTCAGCTTCTTTTCTGACGATGTCCATGACATGGTCTTTAAATTCATAGTGCTCATATTTCTGCGCATAGTTATCATTTGACGCTTTATTTTCTGATAGAAAATTATCGGGCTCCAAGTGAGCAAAATATTCGTTTGTTCTATACTTATCAATTACCTCTTGCTGGAGATCGGCAAAAATAGCTCTCGGAGTATATCTCCCTCCCAATATTTCGTTAAAATAAGTATCAATTCTCTTAAGCTGATAATCAAAACAACCGTTATACTGGCAAGTGGTGCTATCTATCCCATGATCATAGAAGAGACTTTTTCAAAATTTAGATCCAATGGTATTTCCACAGCAACCTATTTGCAGGTGAACAATTTCTCTCATTTTTTATTTAATTTCTATTCTTTTCTGCTGGAAGTAATATGAAATTAATTGATTTCAATAATGGAGGTTAAATAATCAAATATATTAACTCACAATAATTATATTAAGATTTAAGTAGCGTCACTTGAAAAACTAGTAAAAAAAATATTTAGTATAATTCTTATTAATTAAATTATAAAAGTCATCAAAAGGCAGACAATTTATAGTTTTTAATAACTAAAACAAATATAAATAAAGCTATCATCCCAATATGACCTCTATTTCATTAAGGGCTAGACAACACATTTAATAAAGGCACAAAAATATTCATTTGAATTTGAATTATTTATTAGCTGCTGATATTCAGAAATTAATTGGACAGCATCCTCTTTAGCCTCTTCAAACTCTGACTCATCCATTCCTTCAGCCTGATATTTATATATAAAGGCTTTTCTTGTGTATAAATCGTCAAATCGATCAACAGCTTTTTTAAAGGTAAGTTATATTTCAATTTATAAGTAATTAAAAGTTTTCAGGTCTTTTATTATGTGGATTAATAAATTTCATCAGTAAATTATATTTCTGCGCTCAAAAAATATTCGCTATTAAAGCAGAATTATAAGTAAAATATCCTGAGCGAGTCATATATGTATATGCATTGCATATCCAATACTTCAAATTATCAGGAATCTGCTCTGAGTAGCAACTCTTATTTTCTGCTTTGGCCTTTAAAAATTCAATTTCTGCCTCAGCTGGATCGACTTTCCCCAAATAAGTAAATACAGCGCTCAAAATTGGGCCAAATCTAGAATTTGGATAAGGGTCATGCGGATGGTATTCTCTATTGAACAAATTTTGGGTCAGCATTTCAGTGGATTGTATACTACAATAGCAAAAACATGCACCTTGAGCAACAAGTGGCCACATAGTATTACTTAAAAAATGCAAATTTTGATAAGGGACCAAATTCGATGCAAATTTTCTTAAATCTGAGCATAAGTCAGTAGGAAATCTGAAAGATAAAGATTCCCCGCTAAGCACTTGGACTACTATATTATTTATATCTCCCCATGTGGGCTTATATATCTTCATTTTCTTTAGGCACAAGTTATAAATATCTTCAATGTCAAAAACGCTTGTAACATCAGCATTGCTTATTAGATCTTTAAGTAAAAATATTGTATCGTATGGCTCTGTAAGTAAATTCATTGCTTCATTATAAGGAATTATACTAGATGTTTTTATAATTCTATCAGAGTATTCATCCTTGATATTTTCTAGAAGAAGAGAAGTTAGTCCTGATCCAGCAGTCCCGCTCGCGGCGTGAAAAATCTGAAATCCTTGTAATGATTCACTGTTTTCAGCTTCTTTTCTGACGATGTCCATGACATGGTCCTTAAATTCATCGTGCTCTCATTTCTGCGCATAATTGCCACGCGACACTATATTTTCTGATAGAAAATTATCGGATTCCAAGTGAGCAAAATATTCGTTTGTTCTATACTTATCAATTACCTCTTGCTGGAGATCGGCAAAAATAGCTCTCGGAGTATATCTCCCTCCCAATATTTCGTTAAAATAAGTATCAATTCTCTCAAGCTGATTATCAAAACTATCGATATACTGGCCTGTGGTTCTATCTATCCCATGATCATTGAAGAGGCTTTTTCAAAATTCAGATCCAATGGCATTTCCAGAGTTACCTATTTGCAGGTGGACAATTTCTCTCATTTTTATATGAAATTTCTATTCTCTTCTGATGGAAGTAATATGAAATTGATCTTAATGACGCAGGCTAAATAATCAAATATATTTATACGCAAGCATAATATTAAGATTTAAGCGGCGCCACTTGAAAAACTAAGTAGAGTTCTACAAAAGCATTTTCACACTGTATCGATTAATATTTAAATTAATTATTCATAAAAATAAAATTAAAATATTACATTAATTTTTTAATTTTTTGAAAATATTTTATAAGACAAATTTTTTTTGTTAGAAAAATTAACCCTCCTTTTTTTGAAATATCTAATTTAAACTTGGAATTAAAACAGTCATATCTAAAACTGATTTCAATTTTTTAAAAGTGATTTAATGTTTATTTTTACTTTATGCAAAAATAATAAGAGGGAAAATTCCCCCTTTCCATATATAATATATATCTTTCTCATAATCACATAATTAATAAAAGAAAGCAGAGATTCCTTTTTCTTTTCTGCCATAAATTTAAATTTTTCAAGTAATTTTTTTTCCTAAATTCTTAACCCTGTTATATAATTAGGGTTTCAAAAAACAAATTAGGATATAAATTCAAAAAATATCCATTTTTTTGAGTTAGAGACTTATATTTTATCTATTTAAATATTCATTTGCTGAGAAATAATATTTTTCTGCTGTATATATTAATCTGATTAGATATAAAGTGTCTCGACGCTTATGGGCTTCTTCATTCCTTGGCTCCCTAAACGATCGGAGTATAGGTTTTATCAGCATATGCTCGTGGAATCAATCTTTTTGTAAAATTCGAAATTAAAATTTAATTTAATCTATAAATTTCATGTTTTAGATAGAAGGAACTTAAGTACTCTTTAATATCTTCAAATTTTATTGTTATAATTTTTAATTTATCTTAAGGTATAATAATACAAAACTTTTATAGGCTAATGAAGAGAGCAGTTTTCCAAAATAGGTTTTTTTCTAACCAATTATGAATTAAGTAACATAGCTTGGGCTTTTAAATCAAAGCATTTCAAAATGGTCAGTCTAATAGCATCATAAAAAAATTTTGTATGATTTCCCATATTTATATCCTTTCAAAATCATTAAAATATAAAGAGAAATAAAATAATGAAATTAATTAAAAAATTATCATTAAATATAATTCTTCTTTTCCGTCAATGCTTATAATTAAATGTCACTTTTGACCACGCCTTTATTAGAAAAAAGACAAAATTTTCTTACTCCTCAGCGTGCATCTACAATGCCATTTCTTTTTCGACAAAAGGCTTTCCTTATCAAAGACCCTAAACCTGAAATCCACCCTATTTTTACTCTAAAAGGCGTTCTTCTTTCTCTTCCAGACTATAATACACCAATAATTCTCAATGATAGCATTAGATGCGCTACCTCAAATTCTAGACTTTTATTCTTAGGGAGAGAAGATGGAAAAATAAAAGCTTATAACATAGATAATAAATGAGAATTTTTGCTTGAAGGACACCAAAATCGAGTCAATTGCATGCAGCTTACAAGCGACAATCAATGTCTCGTAACAGGCTCAGATGACTATACTGTTAAGATATGAAATTTGGCTAACCAAAGTCTGATAGTAACTTTAAATGGGCATTCAGGAGAAGTTTTATGTGTTAAGATAACAGATGATAGAAAATTTATTATTTCAAGCTCCTTTGACAGAACTATCAGGATATGAAAATTTGGTGACTGGAAAAATGAAATTATTTTAAGAGGGCATTTGGTCAAATCTGGCTTGGTCTACCTAGCTCTACCTAACAGTCCTCTCTAAATTATCATTCTTTGGGCATGATGCTGTCAAAATCATATCATTTTTATTAAATCATAGCACAATTTATTAAATTACTATTTCAAAAATCTAATTTATTTCGGTAGAGCCAGACTGTCAGCTAGAACAAGTAGAGCCAGGCTGCCAAATTGCCAAGGTAAAGCCAGATAGCAAGACTGCCAGATAGAGCCAGTAGAGCTGGACTCCAGACTAAAAAAAACTGCCAAATAGAGTCAGACTGCTAGACTGCCAAGTAAAACGGACTATAAAATGGCCCAACTTCCAGATAGAGTCAGAATGCCAGCAGAGTTAGGCAGACTCAGTCAGGTTTGGCCAGGCATTTGAATGCGGTTAACTGTTTAGAACTAATGAAAGACACCTCAAATATTGTTTCAGGGTCTTGAGATGGGACTTTAAAGGTTTGGAGTATCAAAAGTAAATCTCTCATTGCAACTCTTTCAGGACATACAGATTATATAAATTGCGTAAAAATCACGGAAGATTCTAAAACAATTGTTTCAGGCTCATATGATTGCACGATCCGTCTATGAAGTACTGAAAACTGAAAAGAATTTTCTATCCTAGAAGGCCACACTCATGGAGTTTTGCGCATTTGTCTAACCCAGGACAATAAATTTATTATTTCCAGCTCTGATGATTGCACAGTAAGAATTTGAGACATAAAGACCGAGAAAGAAATCTCTATTTTGCAGGGTCATTCTAATAGCGTTCATTGTTTGAGTCTTAGCATTGATGAAAAATATATTATAACTGGGTCATGAGACAATTCTATTGCGATTTGAAGTTTGACAGAGCATAAACTTTTGTCAATTTTCAGAGGACATTCCGACAGTATCACCTGCCTGCTTGTTGATGACCACTACATTGTATCTGGCTCAAGAGATGGAACTACACAAATCTTGTTAGTTGAGGAGAGGCATCACATTTCAGTTTTAGAAGGTCACCGCGAGCCAGTTATCTGCTTCAGCATTTTTGAAGGGAATAGATATATAGTTTCAGGGTCGTGAGATAATACCTTGAAAATATGGGACATTATTGATGGGGAGGAGATTCACACACTGGAAGGCCATTTAAGAGAAGTCACCTGTGTTGAGCTTACCAAAGATGGAAAATATATCGTCTCTGGTTCCTTAGACAAAACGATAAGGGTATGGAATACCTCAGACTATAAACTTGTAGCTCTATTAGAAGGACATACCCATTGGATTGAGTGCTTAAAAATTACTAATGACAGCAGCCTTATTGTCTCTGGGTCTGACGACTATTCAGTGAGGGTATGGAGCATCGACACCAAATCTCAAGTTTCTATATTAAAAGGTCACAGCGACATCGTAAACTGCCTAGAAATAATTGATGAAAAACGAATCATAGTTTCAGCTTCTGCTGACAAGACGATCATTTTATGGAGTTTGAAAGATTTTTGTGAAATTTATACTCTAACTGGCCATACCCAATCTATTGGAGCAATTCAAATCAGTCACAAAGGGGAATTTATTGTTTCTGGCTCAAGAGACAACTCAGTCAGAATTTGAAGCGTCGAGGATTTCTTAGAAATTGCAGAATTGGACGGTCATAGTGATAGTGTTAATTGTGTGAGAATTAGTAGTAATGATGAATTTTTAGCTTCAGGATCTTATGATTGCACACTCAGACTGTGAAGTTTAAAAGAAAAGAAAGAAATTGCAGTCCTTGAAGGACATACAAAAAGCGTTACTTGCTTGGAGATTGCTCATGACAGCAAGTACATCTTATCTGGTTCTCATGACAAAACTATCCGGCTCTGAAGTGTAGCGGAAAGAAATCTTGTTGCGATCCTGGAAGGGCACTCAAACAAGATTAATTGCCTGCAGTTGACGACAAATAGCAAATATTGTAATTGCCCGAGGATGGCGCTATCTCTTGAGCCATCCTCGGCAATTGAAAAAATGGCCCCACACCGGGAATTGAACCCACATGTGGGGCCATTTTTGGTTCGTGGAAGTCGATGCTCTCCACATACCAAAAATAGCCCCACACGTGGGTTCAATTCCCGGTGTGGGGCCATTTTTGAATTGCCCGAGGATGGCGCAAATAATGCCATTCTCGGGCAATTACTATACGCGATTTCAGGCTCTCGAGATAGAAATTTGCGCGTATACGATATTTCTCAATTTACACCTTCAATTTATGAGTATCAAGAACTGCTACTTTCTGGATCTCACGATCCCTTTTCACACTTTTACTTTGTGCAATCTCTTTTAGATAGCAATCCTAAGAATATCAGCCAGCTGTCTTTAGTCACTATTTTCCCTCTCCGCATCAATATTCTTCATTATTATTGCTTCTTTGACCAAATTGATAACTTGAAGCTTGCCTTAAAAATCAACACTCCAATATTTAGAGACAATAACAACAAGAGCCCCTTGTCTTACGCTATAATAAAAAAATCTCGAAGGTGCATTGATGAAATCCTCAAATATATCTCAGAGATTTCAGATCAAAAATTATTAAGCGAGTGCATCCACTCTATAAGAGACGATATACCTAGTATGCTGAAATTAGAATCCCCTTATATTCTGCCGTTTTTCAAAGCAATTTTTAAGCCAGGAGGAAAAGATTTAGTTGAGTTTGCAGTCCCTAACGCTGTGCTGCCTATCATTTATTTATCACCTGTTCTTCGGCTTTATAAAAATGAGTTCATCAATGAAGACTGAGAATCTGGAAGAGAGCTCAGCTTGGTGCAGTTTTGAGTGAGTCCGCTCAGTTGGAATCTCACAATGGGGTCGAACGAAAGCTTAAAGCTTTTAAAGGCAATCAATGAGTGTCCTAGTTTGGAAATTTTCCAAGCTCCTTGGATTCAATCGATCATAAAAATGAAATGAGACAAGTTATGATTTGCCATTTTGGGCAACTCTTGCTTGTATTGGATGAATCTGCTATTAATTATTCTTTACTTATTTTATCCTTACTATATCATACCATTTCTATTTATTGTGGTCAATGAGCTGCTCTTGCTTTATGAGGTCTTTCAGATGTACTCAAATTGAAGTGACTATATTTATGATGTGTGAAATTATATTGACATTTTTAGGCTAGCATTATGCTTTGCTTGGGGAGCTGTGGACTTTTGAGATGTGAATTTCGTGCCTTTAACGTTCTTGGCAGTTTTGGTGAATTTTTTCAGAGGGCTTGTATATTTCAGAGTCTTCAATATGACACGATATTATGTGAGACTTATTTTTATTGCTGGAAAGGAGTCAATTGCATTTTTAATCATTTTCTTATACTCCACACTAGCCTTTGGGGTGGTTTATGCTGCGACAGACCCTGAAATGAGCTTATCTGACGTCTGGAGCCAATCATATGAGCTTAACATGGGGAACTTCGATAACTCTGGCTTTTCCTTTTTCCAGTACTCCTGCTTTACTTTTGCATCTCTCATAAACGTCGTTTTAATGCTGAATTTGCTTATATCCACTTTGGGAGAGTCCTTCCAAAAATTCAAAGCAATTGCTATGGAGCTAGATGCTAAAGAGATGCTCCAAGACGTCATAGAATTCGAATCAATGATGTTCTGGAAACGAAATGAAGGAGAAAGGATGTACATGCAAAAATGTGACCATTTTCAAAACATCAGTGCAGAAAGTAAGCTAGGGTCGCTTTCCAACAAAATTGACAAGCTAAAGCACATAGTAAAGCAGAATGAGAAACTGCTCAGAGAGAGGTTCGGATTAGAAGAAAGCAAGATTTTGAAGACAAAGCTTGAAAGCAAAGTAAATGAGATGAAGCAGTCAATTGCTGAACTCGATAAAAAGAACGAAAAAACATTGAGAGAGATTGGACTTGATATCAAAGACATTCAATTTGGCTTGGAAGAGAAAGCAAGCCAGTATAAAGAAAGGGAAGGAGATGAAAGAATAAGCAGCCTAGAGAGAAGGATTGAGAAAATTGAAGAAAAAATTGACAAATTTGATGGGACAAAGGTTGACAAAATTTTGAAAATTTTGGAAGAAATGACTAAAAGAAGCAGGTAAATCGCTGTTTAATATAATTTCTTTATTTTTTATCAAGTTTTATTAAATTTATCATGTTGATGAATATAAAGCAATGGCAAAAAGGTTGGGCCTCATTGCAAACCATCTCGGGATAAAGAACGATCCTGAGCAGTCAAAGAAATGAGGAATTAAAATCCCTACGATAAAGGAATCGTTTGACTTCTTTTACTTTGATAAGCTTCTTCCAAAAGAAACTAACGCTAGGCGAAAAGAACTTCGCGCTATTTTTGAAGCAAAGTTTTCGCCTATAGTTTCTTCATGAACTGAGAAATCAGAGTTTCCTAAGTCGTTGATCGCTGCTATTAGTGAGCTCAAGCTAATTGGATGAAGTGAAGAAAACTCAACCTCAAAGATTGAAAAATCTCTGATTATTTATGAACTTGCAAGAGTAGATGTCTCTATCGCGATCTTTTATGTAGCCTCTTTCAGCTTAGTAGTACACACCATAGAGAAATTAGGGTCTGAAGAGCAAAGACTGAAGTATTTGCCAGCGCTTTGCAGCGGAAATTCAGTTGGGTGCTGAGGATTGACTGAACCAGAAATTTCCAAAGAGGTGACAGCAACCCTTACTGCTGATGGCTATATTCTTAACGGTACCAAAAGGTGACTGGGAAATGCATTATTAGCAGACATTATCATAATATTTGCAAAAAATATCACGAATAATCAAGTAGAAGGATTTATCGTGGACAGTAAATCATCTGGCCTCTCCATTATGTCTGGCCATAAAAAATTGCCTTTAAAGATGCTTAAAAGTGGGAATATAATTTTGAAAAATGTCTTTGTTCATGAAAAAGAAAAATTAGTGAAAACTCATAAATTCGCAACAAATACGAAACTCGGACTTGAGTATTCATTATTACCATCATCATTAATTATCTATAACGTTTAACATCCACGGCTTTGTTCGACTCAGCTCCTGCGCGTGCTCCGCCTAAATGCTAGAGCCTCTTGATCGCACAGAGGATCAGTTCCTATGGCTATCCCAGAGTTAAACCGCTGTTGCTGTGCAGAAGTTCTCGAGGTAAAATAACCCTATAAATAAAATTGCTTGAGGAGAGAAAATCAGCAGAGCTAATTTTACTCGAACCAAATGCCATTTTATTTATGGACTCAAGCATTCAGTCAGGATTTTGACCTCACAAATTTCATATTTAACAACTGGATTCTATCAGAGGTCAGCGAAGTACATCAAGGAAAGAGTCCCACTTCCAGCTTACTTAGCCTCCGTGCAGCTGAGTAAGGAAAAATTTGTCGGCTTTACAGGAATGGCATGGAAGCTCATTCAGCTCTTGATGAAAGGGCAAATGACAGTCACTCAAGGGCTTTTAGTTAAACTAATAGCGAAAGAAGCGAGTCGGCTGGGCAAGGGATTTATGGAAGGCAACAACGCATATACAATTTTGATGTGCTTCTGGCTTGAGGATTTATCTTTAGATTTTAATTAAAAAATAAACATGCTAAAAGGATAATGTTGAGTTTTTAAAGTGAAGAGACCACTATTCAGCAAAATGCTCATCTCGACACTCTGTTATGGCTTTTCTGGGATTAAAAGAAACCCTGAGCTAAATTAGCGAATATCTCAGTTTAAGGGGATTTAGGATTCGATTATGACATCTCCTTATTGATATGTGGATTATAAGAGAAATAAGGTAATTTTTCTTGATGCTGGACATGGATTCTAACACAAATAGATCTTACACATCATTTTATGAGGCAGCACAAATTTTGCATAAAGAATTTGAGTGGTATTAAAATTGATTTTTGGGAGGTTTTGACAAGAGCAAAAGCAACTCTTTATGTTTGCCTAGTTCTATTGGAAGTTCTGTTGCTTGGGATAACAGGGCAGTCTATGAAAGGAGCTATGATAAAGGTAAAAAATTACAGAAAAAGCATACTAAAATTTTTATATCAAGAAAATAATGATGAAATGCTTTATATGGAATGAGCAAATTAGCCCCAAAATTTAAGGTCTAATCTTTTAATTAATAGGAATAAACGAAATCAGAAACTTTCAGCTCATAAGCCTTATAGTAATATGGCTAATTAAAATATTAGTTATTTGATGACGCAAGATGTCGACATTAAACTTAGTTTTGATCTTTATCTCCTATAAATAATGTCGAGGAGATTGAACTTGGTTTCAAAACATCTTGGGCAGAACTTAACCGAGAACTTCAAAAAATCTAGCTTGGTAACTCCTTATGTTCAGGATCCAATTACTTTTCTTCATTTAGATCAGCTGTTGCCTGCAGAGATCAATTCAAGAAGAGCCCAACTTAGAGCAAATTTAGAAACAAATTTGGCCCCTTTTGTAGCTGAATGGTACGAAAAAGCTGAATCCCCAGGAATTTTAGCGGAAAAGTTCAGATCTCTTGGAATCACAGGTCTCAGCGATGAAAAATACGGCTGCAAAAAGATATCGCTGATGGAAAAATCCTTAATTCTTTATGAACTTGCGAGGATTGACTGTTCTTTAGCTAAACACTTATAATGGCTTGGAGAGAAAACCTGGTCTTCTTAGCGCCTGTAGCCAGATGACAGTCTAGGACCGTGTGGAAGGAGACCAGCATTATTTGGTCTGGTTGAGTGCGAAAGCTCACATCCATGGCATTATTTTACCCTGTGGGATAATTGGACTTGGAAGTTTGAAAGGGATTGCCAAACAAGCCCAGAGACCTTTCACTTACTCCCCCCCTTTAAATTGGAACAAAATATAGGTAAAATTTCCACTTTTTTGGTAAATTAACCCCCCTTTAAATTGGAACAAAATTTAATTTTATAATAAAAAATTTTATATATATAAATCATAATTTTTATGTAAAAAGTTTTGATCTAATTTAAATGTTTCTTCTTAACTAAAATTAAAAATTTAGTTATATCCTGCTCTTGTTTAAAGAATAGAGTATAAAGAACATCTTATTTAAATAAATTTATTATCCTTAATTGTAAAAAAATTAATTTTTTTTAAAAAATTTTCATTATTTTTTTTAATAAAAATGATATTTTTTTATATATAAATAGCTTTGATATAAATTCAATACGAATTCTTTACAAAAATTCAAAATTTACTTATCTCTTGCTTTATTTTAAAGAATAGAGTATAAATAAATCTTATTTAAACAAAATTAGCACTTTGATTAATAAATTTTCTAAAATTTTTTTTTTATCAATAAAAATAATAATTTTTGTGTAAATAGTTTTGATACCAATTAATAGTGGCATATTAATTAATAAAAAAATTTTAGTTATATCTTGCTTTGTTTTAAAGGATAAAGAGTAAATAGCAATTTATTAATCTAATTCGATAAATTTTTGAAATTTTTTTTTTTTTTAAATTTTATATAAATTTTTTTTTTATAAAAAATTTTCTTAACCCCCGTTTAAATTGGAACAAAATTTTTAGTTCCAATTTAAAGGGGGGGGGTTAGTAATAATCCAGATTGTCTAGGATATATATCACTGGCTCTACTGGGAGACCGCTTTCCAACTTTCGGACTGATTCCCACTGAGGCAAAAAACTTGTCAGTGCAGTAAAGCATGCGGTCGGCTAGCTAATTGCGCTTCACCAAACTAGAAAAATCCGGCCAGATGCACATTCTGAACTAATTCTTACTTCCGAGCTACAGGAGTTAAGAGTCTGGGTATGCGTATCACGTCATTTTAATGCATATTGGATGGAGCAAAGCAAGGAAGTAAAAAGTCGTTATGGCTGTCCTTGAGCTTCTGACATTAATCTAAGTTAGTTAATACTGTTCTTTAGCTACTTTCTACGTGGTTATGTTCTCACTCACTGCTCACACAATCGAAGAACTAGGCACTGAAGAGCAAAAAGTTAAATATCTGCCAAAACTATGCAACCTCGACATGATTGGCTGCTGGGGATTAACAGAGCCTGATTTCGGGTCTGACGCCTCGGCACTTGAGACAACAGCAACCCCAGTAAAAGGAGGATACGTCCTTAACGGTGTCAAAAGGTGGATCGGGAACGCCATTCTCTCTGATATTATGATCATTTTTGCAAGGAACATAACAACTAATCATGTAGAAGGCTTCATAGTGAACAGCAAATCAAATGGAGTATCAGTCGAAAACATCCAAAGAAAGCTTGCCCTGAGAATTGTCCAGAATGGAAATATTTTCTTAAAAGACGTTTTTGTCCCAGCTAATGAGAGACTAGGAAAAGGGCACACTTTCGCAACAGGCGCAAATGAGATCCTTGAGCATAGTAGAATGAACATAGCTTGGCTTGCTGCAGGGCTAATAGCAGGGATTTATGAGAATTCAATAAAATATATTAGGGAAAGAGTGCAGTTTAGAGCCCCATTGGCGTCGTTTCAGCTCAACCAGGAAAAGTTGGTTAGGATTTTGGCTATTTATCAAGCTGTTTTCTTGATGGGCTGGAGAGTTACCAATCTACTAGACCAACTTAACTTAGCTTAAAGATTCTTCTAGATTTGATGCATCCCAAACTTTCAATAGTCGGAATCTGCTTGCTGAAGGAACTCAGTAGCCTGAGCGGGATCCCAACAGCGATCTCCTGGGACATAGGCCTTTCACTGACATCCCTGGGCCCAGAAGGTTAGAAAGACACCTCTTACTCAACGTCATATGGGTGCTATGAAAGCACCAGCTCACTCGATGTCTTCTGTCGGCCACCTTGAGGGTAGCTGAATTCCAGGAAAAAGAGCAGCAACTCTCTGGAACCAGCAGGAAAAGAGCCCGTAACCCACAAATCATTCTAATAATTAATACTGGACTGGAGTTACCACTAGCTGTCTTCCAAGGTCAATCTATTCCATAAACCCAGTCTAGGCAAGCTAAGCTTTAGGATTAAAGCGCCTGAACCTTGGTTCAGGCTATAAACTACTAAAGCAGGGAAAAGCAAATGTAGCGCAAGCTTCATTAGTTAAAGGCTGGTGCACACTTGTGGGGCGAGAAGCTGCTAAACTAGGCAGAGAGTTGATGGGAGGAAACGGAATTTTAATTGATAATTATGTGATGAAAGCACTCGTAGACATGGAAGTCATTTACACTTATGAAGGTACCTATGATATTTGTGCTCTCATTGCTGGAAGAGCTGCGACTGGAGTTACAGCATTTAAGCCTGGATATAAAGCTTAATAAAAATTCTTTATCCTCATATCTTGAAATAAAAATAATAAAATTATTAAAAATAAGAAAACTATAAAGCCTTGGCGTAATCTTTATTATTTATAAATTCCTTGTGAGATAAAATATAATAAGTAAAAATTATCCTAATAGAAGGTAATTGTAACCGCTTCATACCGAAATCCTCTTACTCCCCCCTCTCCAAAGCGAAAAATAAATTTCTTCGCTTACAATTTTTTGTTTTTAAAAATCTTCATATAAATTTCATATTTTTTTTTCAAAATTTAAAAAATTAATTTTAATGAGATATTTATGTTTTAAAATGCAAGCTGTTTAAAATTAAACAAAATTAGCTAGAGATTTCGTCATAATAATTATCATTTATGTGTCAATTGGTTTTTTTTCATAAAAAAATTTTTGTTCGTTAGGTAGATTTTTAAGCAAAAAATAGGGATTTTTCCAATTTTTTTGTCCGTTCACTGACGGGAAATTATCAAAAAGGAAATAAACTTTCAAAAATAGTTCCTCTAACTCTCCCCTCCGTGAGCGAACAAAAATCATTGGAAAATTCCTATTTTTGCCCAAAAATCCAACTTCGTGAGCAAACAAATATTTTTTTTTAATTGAAAAGATTTTTATAAAAAAAATTTGGAATAGAAATGATAATTATTATAATGAAATCTCTAGCCAATTCTGTTTATTTTAAACAGCTTGCATTTTAAATATAAATTTCGCAAATTAAATTAATTTTTACTTCTCAATTTTTCCAAATTTTGATAAAAAAATTAACCCCCGAACAAAAGTTTTTTGTTCGCTCACGGAGAAGCGAGTAAGTGAAACCTATTCGCTAAAGTTTAGAGAGATTATTTATCTTTATCCATAAATTTTGGAAATTAATTAATAAATCATGCTATACTTGCTACTTATTTTGAACCAAGTATCAGCTTTAGTCTGTAACCCATATCTATGCGAGCCATCTCAAAGCTGCGATGGTCAGTGCGCCTATTCATGCTTATCTTCGCAGTGCTCATCTTCAGCCCCAACTTCAGTTTACGTTGACTACAACAATTTAAATTCCGGGAGAGACGGATCTTCATCTAACCCTTATAAAACGCTTTTAGAGGTTTTCAACAGCAATACAAATGGAAATATTAAAATTTTATTTTCCCCAGGAACCCATGTTATAGATTATGTACTTCCAACAAATACCATATCAGACCTGTCAGTAGGATTTATTAGCAACTGCAATCCTTGTACAACACTGGCAACTCTTAAATTGCAAACAGTTAACTTTATGTTTCCGGACTCGGATGTCTCAAATATGTATTTTGAAAATATCATAATTGATGGCGAGCAAGCAATGGATAGCTCTTGCAATTCAATGAACTGTGGATACTGCGCTTATCATTATGATACTTCTACTTCTAATAATTATGTAAGCAGCTGCAGCTCTCAAGAAGAGAACTCACTTGTAAACTTAATAAGCATAGGACCATCTACAAATCTGTTTATTGTTAGAACCAAATTCCAAAATATGAGGCAGGACCTGAAATCAATTATTTACTCTTCAGGGGGACATATATTAATGAGTGATGTGGATTTTTACAATATTAAAGTTTATGACAGCAATTCAAATAAGCATGGAGCTATCACTATTCAATGCACCTCATCTCCTCTCTGCTCTGATAGCTTTGTCTATTCAGGAGGCTCTGTATCTTTACTAGGAAATGGGTATACCTATTATGATATACACTTATAGAGAGTCGAAAAAACGGTGAATTTATCATCCTAAAGATTCTATTAGTTTTTTTGAGGATCCTTAATCTCTTCGTTAAAGATTCTTTCTCTATCACCTGCTGAATGGCTGACATCTTCAATTTGGACAGATTCAATTGAGTCATTCACTAGAAAAGTCAATTGAATCTGTCCAAATTGTAGGTAGTCCTTCATTCAGACTTCCTGCAGAGTCAGGCAATGCAGAAAGAATCTTTAATTAAGAAATTAGGGATCCTTAAAACACTCATAGAATGTTTTAGGATGATAAATTCTGCTATATCCTAATACACCAATCAACTAAAGCACTGCTTTTCGACTCTCTATCCGTGTATAATATTGTTCAATCGAGCTTTTTGCTAGCAAAATTCCCTGGAACTATAAAGATTTCCAGCGTAAATTTTTCATACAATCTCGCTCTATGCGGAGCACAGATAGTTGCAGCAGATTCATTATCAGGAAACTGTCCATCAATGTTTTACATATCAAACTGTGAAGAACAAATTATATTTGAAAATAACAACTTCTGGTGGAACTATTCATTTCAGCGGTTCATTTATATTTTATATGATTCGAGCTACATCCTTAATCCGAAATACATGAGCAATGGCCGATACATGAGCTTTGCAAACTCAAAATTTAAAAGCAATAATTTCACTGAAAACGCGTCTAATTATGGGCTAATTGAAATTTATTTTTCTACTACTTCTACCAATGTGGAACTTGACACAAATTATTTTATTAGAAATGTTATTGATACTGCCCATTGCAGCTTAATTCGTGTTTGGAGCGATTACTGGTACAACTATAACTTGTATGGGGCTGCAGGTGGCAGTGTTACAGTTAGCGGGGTTACTGTTCAAGCAGATCCTGACTTCATCAACCTAAACAATCTTGTTATTGAAAGCTGCTTTGCCTCAAACTTATTCTACGGCAAAAGTTTGCTAAATTTGCATGCTTTCAATATTGCTGTCACTTGAAATTACCCGAGTTTTCACCTTGTAAATGATGTTGTAATCAACCAGTTTATTTCAAAGGGATACTTGACTGGTAAATTTATTATGTATTGGCACAATTTCGGGAGAGTCTCACTCGTCAGGACATTTTCCTACTTGGGGAACCCAAATCCCACAAGTGGGAGCAGTTCAACTGTGGGATTTGGGTTCCACATATGAGAAAATCTCTCCTAACATATGGAGGCCCTCCAGAAATTATGCTAGTGCATAATAGTATTTTTGAGCCAAAGCACAATATTTTTTACTTTTTCTACATCCAAGGTCTTTACTCTGCCTCCATAGACACTTTATCCACTCGAAATAATCCAACAGATACATTATTATACCAGCTCTTTTCAATAACTTCTATATGAACTTGAGCAAACTTTACAAATATTTCTGCTGATTCACTATCCTATACATCTACTGACGACTATTTAATATATCTAAGTAGTGATAATTCTGGCAGTGTAAAGATGTCACAAATGCGGTTTTCAAATATTGTAAATGATAAATCGCAAGGACTCATTTCAATACAAAGTGTTAATAATCTCGAAATTTGAAGCACAACTATTACAAATAGTGAATATAGCTATTCAAGCATATCCCTTCAGAAAGCCAAGTGAATAGTCATTTCAGACTTGCAAATTGACCATTCTCAATCCTATTATTATGGGGGATGCATATATGCAAAGCCAGCGCAGGATAAATACAGTAAGACGCAAATGAAGATCGAAAACTCTGTTTTTAATTTTTGTAAGTCCAATAAGGGGGCAGGCTTGTATTTGAATTATGACGAAGATGCTACTGTAATTCTGATGATAACAAATACCATTTTTTCCAATGGAAATTCAGCAGATGGAGGAAGTGCAATTTTTTTCAAAAATAATTTTCCTTTAGATTCATCCTCATTTATTACCAAATCAACGTTCTCTAATAACTATTCATATAAAACAGGGGCTTTAACACTTTATTATGCAGGCTATTTAACGGTTTCTGACAGCTTCTTTACTGGAAACACAGCAGGAATAGGATCCTCGGCATTTTATGGATTTTTTCAAGACAATGGCAAGCCTCTTAAGCTAATCAACAATGAATTCAGCGGAAATTCAGGCGGAAAGGTTCTGCACTTTCAGTCAATAATTCAAAGTTGCCAAATTCTATCTGACTCCAATATCTTTCAAAACCACAGCACTAATACTGTGATTCTTCTTGATAAAATTGAATGGGTTGATACAAATAGTCAGTTTGTTGATAACGACCAAAGTATTCTTGCACAGAGCATAAGTAAAGTGGAGTTGACTGGGACAAGCTTTACGAAGCATACAAGCACACAGCTGCATATCATAGAAATCTCTCAAAGTGAAATATATTGTGAGAGTTGCTCTTTTAAGAATAACCAAAAAAAATGTGTCTCTGTTTCTGGCCCTTCAAGTTCAACCTTCAAAAGTTGTGAGTTTTCAGGCAACTCCTGCTCTTATAAAGGAGGGGCGATTCTTTATACAGAAGCCACAGGCACTAACAGTATTTCTGACTGCAAATTCAAAAAAAATTACATAGAAGAAGGAGGGGTCATCAATATAGTTGAGTCTACAGTGACGGTAGAAAACAGTGAAATAAAAGAAAATGCGTCAGCTTATAGTTCTCCAGGTATAATACTGAATACAGCAGTATTAAACGTATCAAACACGGTTTTTGCCGGTCAGTCGTCTTCTGGACAAGGGGCTTTCATAATAGGAAGTTTCAGCAGCAGTATCTATATAGAAAAATCTAGCTTCAGTGGTGGCTATTCTGAAAGCGGAGGATCAATAGCGCTTTCTGGTGGACTCTTGGTGATGAAAGACTCCTCATTAAGCTATTCAATAGGGAGCCTTTATTCTTCTGGTATTTATGGGACTGACTATTGCAATATCACAATAAAAAATTCAGATTTTTCAGACTTAAGGGAAACTGAGAGCACTGAAAACAGTTCATATATGATTCACGTGCAGGGAGTTCTGCAAGTCTATGATTCAAAATTTAGCAACTTTAAATCTGGGGCTATTTTTGCTACTGAAACAAGCTATCTAAATATTCAAGATGACGAGTTTTATAATGGTGCTAGCTTAGAGAATGGAGGAGCAGTACTACTGCAGAACGTAAAATACGGGCAAATCCTAAGGTCTTCCTTTATCAATAACACATCAAGAAACAAGGGTGGAGCAGTCTATATTGACTCGCAGTATTATGAAAGCCCAGAATTTACTATTTCTAACTGCTTACTTAAAAATAACTCACTCCCCTACCTTGAAATTGGAACAAAGATCTGTTCCAATTTGAAGAGGGGTTATTTTTTTTTTTTAAAACAATCATATTAATTTTTTCTATAATTTTAAAATTTTAAAAAAGATTAGTCTAGAAAATTAATATTCTACTTAAAAATTTCCCTATTGAAAAAATGTTTGCTAAAATTTAAAGGGGCTAAATTACCAAAAAAATAGAAATTTTACCATGTTTTGCTCCAATTTAAAAGGGAGAGCCAGCAATTTCAGAAGATAATGAAGGAAGCGGAGGAGGAATATATTTGCTGCTCTCAAATACTAAGGTAAGTATAACTGATAATGATTTTGACTCGAATTCTGCTATAACTGGAGGAGGGATCTTTATTTCATGCTCTTATAACGATAAAAACTGCTTGGCTAGTATAAAGAAAAATATGTTCACCAACAATTCTGCAATTCACTCAGGTGGTGCTATTAGGTGAGCTGGATCTATGCCAGAAATCAGTAATAATACTTATCAAAGTAGCAATGCAACTTATGGATCAGATGTCGCTTCTTTTCCATATAAGTTTGAGTTAGTCATTTCAGATAGCCAAAGGCAACTCACTAGTTTTTCTGGGGTCGGAAGCAGCCAGAAGTTTCCGTCTCCAATAAAGCTGAGATTGCTTGATCACTATTCTCAAGTTGTTGCATACGGCTCTGACGATTTAGAAGTCATCATAATGGGAGATTCCAATACAAATTTGATAGGCACTACATCTACCACGCCTGATGGTGGAATCATCATTTTTGATGATTTTTCGATTATTGCAGTCCCTGGTAGTGAAATAAATATAACAATTTCAGCGCCATATATTTCCTTTTCAGGCCAAAATATTGAGTGCAATGTTTCCGTTGCACTAAGGACATGCATAAAAGGAGAGTTCCAGCAGAGCAATTCATGCATCGCATGCAATAACGGTACATATAGTTTAAGCACTGATGATCAATGCTCTGATTGCCCTGCACATGCACATTGCTATGGAGGCAGCCTCATTGCCCCAAACTCAGGCTATTGGCGTGGAAGTAATGATTCTGCTCGTATTTATGAATGCTTGAACAAAGGAGCTTGCTTAGGTGGACTATTGTCTGATATCGGCTATATATCTACGACTGGAATCTGCTCTGCAGGGTGCAAAGGAAACTTATGCCAAGCATGCGAAATAGGATATTCTTATTCAAGTTCCAACGTTTGTGCAGTTTGTGACAACTCATGGACTATTATCAAGATTTGTTTTATCATTTTAGGAGTAGCCTTGGCCTTGGCTATTTTAGTCCGTACTACTATAATAAGTGCGTATGAGCCGACTTCAGTTATGTCCATCTATTTAAAAATTTTCGTGAATTACCTTCAGCTTGTTTCTCTTGCTGCTCAATTGCGATTGTCATGGCCAGGAATGGTGTCCAGCTTTGTAGAGCACCAGAGCAAAACTGGAGAAGTTTCAACTCAATTTTTTTCCTTTGACTGTCTCCTTATCAGCAAAGATGATCCAGATTCATACAAGACGGTTTACTTTACAAAGCTTTGAATTTGCTCTTTAATCCCAATAATACTTGGACTGATTGTGTTCATGTTTTGGCTCTCAATTGGAGTTGTAAAGAAAAGCTTGAGGGTGATGAAAAGAGAGTTTATAGCCACTTTGTGCATCCTTTTCTTCTTAATTCATCCATCTCTCACCAATTATATGTTTTCAGCATTCAGTTGTATGGACATTTATGAAGAAAAGTATTTGATGAAAAATCTAGACATAAAATGCTGGGATGGAACCCACACAGTTTATGCGTTCTGTATAGCGCTTCCATCTATTATTATATGGTCGATAGGAGTCCCACTGTTTGTGTTCCAACATTTAACTCGTAATAAAAGAAAGCTGTATCAAATTGAATATAAAATTAAGTATGGCTTTCTTTATGATGGATATCAAGAGTCACGATTTTATTGGGAATTCGTGGTTATGATGAGAAAAATGTGAATTATTTTTCTCTCAGCTATTTTTAATGCGATTTCTCCCAACATACAAGCTTTAACATGTCTAAGCATCTTGCTGGTTTTTATATATTTTCAGCATATCAAAAGACCATTTGAACTAGCAGACCTAAATGAGATGGAGCTGAGAGGTGTCTTTGTTTCAGCAGTGACCATATATTGCGGCCTTTATTTTTTGACAAATGATCTTAATGACGGCTCTAAATGGTTTTTTTTCTTCCTTATGATTTTTTCAAATGCTGTTTTTCTGGTATTTTGAGTTTATAAAGTACTTCGTGAACTGGCAACTAGCTTATTTTCTTACAATCTTAACGCGAAAGAAATATTTGGAATAGAATCAAAGGGAGTAGATGACCAAATTGAAGCAAAGAAAAAGGCTACTTTAATCAGTGATGGAAAAAAGGCTAGAAGAGAAGGCTTTTACAGAAGTGACGTTGATAGCCCAGAAAGTCTTTATTTAAAATTTTTTGGAAAAATTGGAAGCAAGCTTGCTCTTGAGTCAAGGACCTGCAGCCAAAGAGCCCATGCAAGGAGCAATGCGAGAATCAACACTTTTTTCAGCGATTAAAACTAGAAATGCTAGACTATTTTCATTAGACTTTGTGTTAATTTAATAAAAGTCAGAACCAAAAGGTTAAGCTGGCTATAAGCTGGATAATCATTAACCTTTGCCTCATCTTGGCTCCAAGTGTTCATATATATATATATGCCTCAGAACTCATATGAGGAAAATGGAAGGCTGCTCACTTGGATTCCGATCTAAACCAACTCTCCCAGTGCCAGACATTCCCAAAAAGGATAGACTGAGATAGAAAACCACTCGCCTAAGCAAAGACAGGAAAACCTTATATAGTTCCCTCTTCTGTAGGATTCCAAAGCCGAAGGCCTAGTTCTAAAGCTGCATAGGCGCTATTTTCAGCTTGTTCAGCTTCAGTCCTCCTGCCCCGCCGGAACGCGCCTCAAGTCACTCGCTACCAGTTTATTTCTATCAATTTAATAAGGGATCTCAAAATATAATATGAGAACTGAATTATAAATCCTTACTCATTGAAAGTCAACATATAAATATTTAAAAGCTGTTATTTAAGGACTTTTAAGCATTAAAATTTCAAAACTAATCCATTTTAAATGATATAAACAACTTACTATTTGTCAGCAACAATTGCGGCTGCTTTCTTTATCTTATAGAGGAGCCTAATTTCCTTTGCCAAGAATGGCAGATAGAAGAAGCAGTATAGAAGTGCAAGAATCACACAATAGGCAATTGTGACATAAATGAAATTTCAGAGCTGGGCATTGATCACATCTATTGTTGATTGATCAGTCAAGTTATAATTCTTCCCGATGGCTTCTTGGACTATAGAGCAATTTCCGAGAAAATCAGCCATCATCTGGTCAGCCGGTGTGAAATTTGGGGCAGCCAGGTTGTATGCGTCAAAAATGATTGAATATTGCCCTGCTCTGGTACCAAACGCCAGAATAGGCGCTGAATTTGCGACTCTTTCAAAATATCTATCTCATAGGTAGTTATTTAGCATAGATGTGTATTTGTGCTTTCTGATTTGTGTTGCGCTCTTAGCAAACCTGTCAATTAGATAATTTAGCTGAATGTTGGGATTGGCAAGTCCGTATGAGTTTGGGAAAGTCCTAACCATCTGTGGTCGTTGCATGCCATTTTATATGAACTTTTTCCTCATATCCCATTACAATTCTATCAAAATCATCGAGATCAAAATACCTAGGAATTGCCACACTACCAAAAAGTTCTGATCTAATAAAACGACGAAGCCTCTGTGGTCGGTTTACATCTCTTGCAAAAAGTCCGATTTGAGACAACAGAGTCCTTCTTTCAATAAAATTGTACAACAATTGAGGTCTGTTTTGCATTGCTTCTTCACAGTTTACATACAGATAAAACAAAGTCAATAGATAAAAGGAAAGCGACAAAGCAGCAAGAGAGAATACCCTGACGCTGTATCTAAATAAAATCTTTGTGTTGATAGGCTTCTCTTTGAGCTTGCTGGAGTTCGGTCTGCTTTCGTCTTCCAGTATAATTTCATGGATTGCTGAGAGTCTGTCAATAGCTGATGCTTTGAGAGTCGCATATGAGTTAAAAGCGTTTATCCTAATATAAGCCCACAACATCTCATATTTTCTTCTAATAAGAACGATGCAAGATATAAGAAATGCAGCTATTCCTCCAAGAATAAGAATGACGCAGATAATAATGATTCTTAAGTTATCTCCAGAGTCCTTAATTCGATTCTTTTCACAATCAACAAGCTCTTGAAGCGAGTGATCAATTTTATGGTACCCAAAACTCAAGCTGTTAAGGACCAAAAAATATAGTTCTTGGTTATAGTTTGCATTTTTTTCCTCAATCAGCAGCAGGAGGTCTCGCCCCTAAATGTAAATTACATAGTTTATGAATTCCTGCATAGCATCATATAAATTGTAGTAAATCAAAATTGGCGTCCCAGATGCAAAATTTCATATAGGGATTTCGTTATCAGTCATGATTTTTGACGCTGAGCAGTAGCTTCAGTCATCGTAGTCATCCAGCAGATTCTTTTGCAATAAAGATAAACTGACCATATTCTCTTCCAAATATCCCGTGTCCCTTGTTAAGTTATATTTTCCAGTCCTGTATTCTAGATCGATTGACCTCACTAGATTAGCAATTGAAGCTATACAATAAAGAGCCTGCCCCATATCATTAAAAGACTGTATTGACGTCGAATGGGAGACATTACTATAAATAACGCCAAGAATCGCGAAGTTTATTCCAAGCATGACCAAGACAGCAATCAGCAAAACAACTCGAAAAACATTAACAGCCCTTCTTATCTGTGAAACGAAATTATTTGTGATGAGGATCGAGCTTTTTGACTGCGTTGAAGACTGGCTTGGAGACAAGTTGGATTTTGTGTCACTTTTGTTAGCTTTTAGCCATTTTTCAGTAGTAGCGATCTGGGTTTCATCGAGCTTTTCTGTGCTTATTGAGTAGTCCATGTCAGTTTCATGCTTACTTGACAAAATCTTCACTCTTTCCATTATGTTTTCTCTTGAAACTTCTTTTTCTGAGCCTTGATTGCTTATGGCCCAAAACATTTGCTCCAAAGTGTAGCCTTGCTCCAGCATTTCAATATGACTTGGCTCGCTGATGACCATAACAATGTGAATTGTGACAGACTTTATGTGTAAATTTTGTCTCACAACTGCGAGTTTTTTGTTTTTGTAAAAAATATAATAAGTATGGTTCAGACTCATCTCTGAGTAATCAGCGACAAAATCAAAAATAGTTGATCTGTTGAGCGTCCAGCGGTCAGATAAGCCAAAAATAGCTGGGATTTTCATGGAATAGCCCAAAATAAAGCCTTCATCTGAAACCAAAATTATTTGACGAGAATAATGGTGAGGCTTCAAGGATACTAAGAAATAAGAATTGTAGTGGAGAGCTGTGTATTTTATCTCAATATTGCAGTCAAATAAATATTCTTGGTGGTCTTGCACGAAAAACATTGGAGTGATTTCTTTGTTTGAGTCGTTGCATCGTGATGTGAAGTGTAAAAGATGCTGCCTGTGATTAATTTTATAAGGGTAAGGAACAAAATCTGATAAATCGCTGCCTATTGCTTCTTGTTTGGAAATCTTAAGGTACCTAGATGCGTTATCGTTTATGTGTGTAATAAGGCCCATAGTTTCTGGGTTTGCGGAGATCAGGATAATCCCGACTTTTTTATTAAAAATCTTAATGGCGCTGTCATTCTTTATTATTGAGCCGATTTCAGTGAGCCAGTTCTTTTTTCTTCTAATCGCATTAGCATCATCAAACTTTCTGAGGACATTTTCCAAAAAAGATATAAAAAGGTCGAAAGCTTCGATATTTTTATACTTATCAATTATTTTTCTCATATGAATATACATAAAATGGCGTATGGCGACCCACCCACCCTCTCAGTGGTGGTTACCCATGTATATCCGGTCATGGTTTTTGGAGCCAGGAATTAGCCCAACAACGTCTGGGACCTCGAAGCGAGAGGCCTAAGCGCGAGAGCCGCTGTTTTTGCGACCAGACCCATGGGCAGTTATTCGTGACTTCTTTTTGCCAGCAGCGCTCAGCCCAGTGAGTGCCCGAAATGAGGCAGGGCGACTTACCTGCCTAAGCTGCTTTAGTGGCTCGCCCCGAATGGCGAAAGCTGTTGAGTTCTTTCTCGGGATGACCGGAAAGAGGGGAGGCGAGTTAGACACCAAAACGGGGGTCTCTCCAGTTGAAAAGGTGCCCTTCAATGGGCAGATCTGGCGGGACGACGAAGCGGAGTTGGCGTAAACTTAGGCGACGATCCAAGTTGGAAATGGAGGTGGTCAGCAAAGCCGGTATGAGACGGCCCTTGACAATACCTCTACCGAGAAACCGGGGTTTCGGCCCGGGCTTGGTGAACGCTCTGCCACCACACGGGAAACCGTGGCATGCGACCTCGGACGTAGTAGGGACCTTAAATACCCAGCGTAATCTTAATCTTAATCTTAATTTTCTCATATGAGCTTTTTGATTTGGCAGCAAGATCAGAGACAGATGATATAAAAGTGATTAGCTTTTTAACATCTGGGGATTCCCTAGAAAACTCTGTCAATAAATTTACAAGTCCGACACACAAATCAATATCATAGTTTTTTGTCTTTTCTATGTCTAGCACATATTGGATATACTGTATATCCTGAGGACTTTCTTGGATATTTTTCTTCAGCTGTTCACTAATTTTTCACTCTTGAATTGCGCCTTCTAAGGATTGCGCTACACTATTGAGCCTAGATAATTTAATCCTTGCCAGCCTCTCGTCATCTAATCCATGAAGGCAATAATTAATCTCCCATATATAGGCCAGCTTATTTCTTTGTGAAGATTTGCATTTAAAGTACCGGTTAAACAAGTCTATGATCCTTTCTTTATTTTCGAGTTTTGGGTCTATCATTAAGCTCCTTATGCTTAATTCGAAGTCATTGATTGTTTTGAGTTCAGTCTTTTTCAAAGGACCTTGATTCTTGACTTTTCGAAAAGTGTTTATCAAAATAAAAGGCTGAATAACTAGATACCCAAGGACGGTTATTAAGCTGTCATCAATTGCAGCTGCTAGTAAAAAAGAAAGCAAGCTTACCACGAGTGATACCAGCTTGCATAGTTGTATTGCACTAGCAGTAGAATTAAAATAAGCGAAATCTGCCAAGAGCATCCAGCACAAAAGAACAGCTAAGGATAAAATTCCAATTTGGCTCCCAACTGCATAGTCTCTGCTCCCAATATAATAAATAACGCACTCAGCGGCATAAAACAACCAAATCAGCAAATCTAATGAAGAATGTGATCTAGCTTTTAAATTAATTTCTACATGCATATGGGATAAATCTGCAGTAAAAAACTCGGAAATTACATTTAAAAACACAAAAATCACTATAAAAAAAATACTCAATGCGACCCCGAGACTATCAAAGTCTGCACTTGTTCCACTATTTTCGCTGGTAGATCCTGCTGATTCCTTTAAATGTGAATAATTAATATGGCGGTTGCGACTAATATGCTCTTGAAGAGATAACTCTGCCCTAATCGCAAAAGTCACTTTGAAGGGTGGCCTTGGGAATCAGCTGGTCATGGCTCCATGGAAAAGTATTAGTTATCCAAGTGGTTTTTGGGCCACAGCTTTTTTCTTTCCGGTCCGGAAGGTGTGGTTCCTTTTTCCTAGGTGTCACCTCTCCCAAAGGTGGCCGTCACCCGATGACCTTCTGACAGAGCGTCTCACTTACCCATTGATACTCTTGAGAATTATATTGAGAGCCCTTGCTCCTAGAGAAGACTACTATTCGAAATAGCGACTAAAAATCCGCGTAGAATTAGATTGGCATTAGTCGAATTATGCAGAGCCATCAAATCTGGAAGAAGGTAAGACTTTTAATTTAATTTAAATGCGATGATTCTGTAAAAGTATCAAGCAGGACTAGCAAAAACGGAATATAAAGCACTGTAGTAAGCATAAAAAATACTTTCCTTGATATAGCCATGACACTTTCTGGCAGACTTCTTCCATAAAAATTTAAAATTCCAGCAGAAAAGACTGACAGCGCACAAAATGAAATATTTATTATCACTGCATAGAAGCACTTATCCAAAATATTAAACGCGTCACAAATACTCTCCAAATTGGTATAGCCCATGACCTCTCAAAAAACCGAATAGCTCTCCCAATTGCTGATAGGCATTAATGCATATCAAATAATCGAGACCGACTGAACTGCTATAATTATGCTAACTGTTGCCTCTATGATAATTTGCTTTTTAAGTGATATTTTTTGATCATATTTAGCCCTAAAAAAGCTCCCGAAGAATGCCAAGATTTTAGAATTGAGTTCAGGGTAAACAGTGATTAATTCACGGTTTTCAAGGAATTGAACGTCTTCTTGGGGAGAAATATTGAATTTTGGCATTTATTTTTATTAAGATATCGGAGAAAATTGCGGTCAAGTAAAAATCCATTCAATTTAAATTATATAGCATGAGAAAAGATTGATTGCAGGAAATCGAATTTTATAAGCTATTAAACAATTTAATAAGAAAAGTTGCAATGGTCAGTAAATGCGATTTTAGATATGGAAAGGGACGCAAGGCAATAGGTTTGAAAAGGAAAATAACTTAATAGCTTAATATCATCTTGCACAGAAATAAATGAGTGAGAGTCGAATTAACTTAATAACCGCATGAAAATAATTCAAATTCTGATGATAAATAAGCAGAGTTTTATATTCGGATAATTAATGAAAATTCTGAGTCATTATTATCATGATTTCTCTTGATATTTAAACTTAAATTTATTCATCTATCTCTTGTATCATTTATAGGATCGCAATCATGCAATTTAGCCATAATAAATATAAGGAACAAAGCTGGAGAGTTTTTTGAGTTTTATAAATGACTTTTTCAAAGTAAATGAAAATTTGCTGTAGCTTTAAAATTGCTACAGCAAATTTTAGCTGATAAATTTGCTCATTCTGCTATTTTATATTCTGATTAATTTTTATCAAGAAGATTTCTTCATGAATTTTCATTAATTTGATTGATATTGATAAAATATACCATAAGAAAATTTCTTTGAAAGCTAACTTCCCCATTTAAATTGGAACAAAAAATCCTTTCCCAATTAATTGGGGTTAATATTTTTTATAAAAGGATTTATAATTAAATTTCTCTTTTTTAAAAATTTTTAAAAATATATAAATTGAGCACAATGTTTGAATTTTAATTTATTTTTATGAATGAATAATTAAAAAACTTAATCGATTTAGCGTGAATAATTGCTTAAATCGCATTCTGATCGCAATTTTCCATTAAATTAGGGTCAAACTAATTTTACTGATATTTGTTTTATATTTAAAGGGGGGTAAAAAATATTAGCTTATAGTCTCAAGATGATCGTCATTTTTTTATTATTTAATAAATTTTAATGTAGCATATAGCTCGATTTATTAAAGTCTTCATGCTTGTTAAACTTTATATTTGCATTCCAGCTAATAGTGCCTCTAGTCATTGTCTCTGATTTAGTATTAACTTAAATTATGTTCACTAATTTATTTTAAATTAAAGGTAAAATAATTAATCTTGGTAATTATATAACGATGACCCCCCCCTCAATCTTCATGTCTACTGCAACAAAAATTTTTCGAAAAAATCTTCATGCCTACTGCAACACAAAATTTTTATAAAAAAATTAATGCATTTTTCTCTAGGTGAGTTTCTCAAAAAAAACCATAAAAACAGCGCTACTGTAGGTGTAATGACCTTCTCATCGAGATTTGGACGGCTATTGCTAGGCTCGGCATTTTATTAAACTTATCTAGCTAAAAAGTACAGAAAAATTTAAGATGCACATCGAAAATTTGTTGCATTGGATTAGGATTAAGATTATTACAGACAGGCGCTAGCCATATTGATGACGCAGTCATTAAATACCTCCCGTACGGAAGGTTCTACTGCTTTTCGACTCCAGTCCAGAGGATCTATCCCTCTTACGAGTGCCTTCCCGTACCTTCTGTCTCCTCCTTGCCTTGGGAGTTCAGTCTTGAGTGGGCGGCTTATGGATTTCTGAGGCCATTCTACGGGCGATTGGAGTAGCTTGATTCCAAGGATCAGCTCTTGGATTCTATTGAGTGTCAAAGTGCCTTTCTTCGACAGCTACAGGAAAAAAGACTGTTCCCTGTGTCCTGGGCTGAAACCCCCAGTTTCTCGTTAGAGGAATGCCCATGGGTCCTCGGATCCAAGGACGTTGCTGAGCACCTCCATTTCCAATTACAGGAAACCACCAAAACCTACCCGGATACACACTTCTTGAGCCTCTGTCTGAATCTCGGCTCGGAGTCCGTCCCAGTTCGCCGTAGCCATAAGGTCTGGACTGCTGCGCCAAGAGGGCAGATTGACACGTTTCACCATTTTAATGTATATATTTGTTGCAAGAGACATGAAAATTATTATTTTTTTTATATAAGATTTTATATTAAAAATTGCATTTTTGTTGCAATAGGCATGAAGATTGAGGGGGGGTCATCGTTATTTTGTTCTGTTAATGAAATATCGACATCAATCTTGTATAATATATCTAATTACAATGAATAAAACATTTTAGAGTGGTTAATCCTTATCCTACTTAAATATAAAATAGGATAAAAATACCATAGGATATGTTTTATTTATTGTAATTAGAAATAATTCTTTATAAAAATACAATTTCTTTTAAATAGAATATGCACCTTAAGCATTTAAATATTTATAAATCGGTCCAGGAGCTCAATGAATAGTTTATGTATAGCAATATTAGATAGCAAAGCTATATTAAAATTATGGACTTTCCAATCTTATATATTAATTCGTTGATTTTATTTGAATATGCTTATTTATAACGTCAGCCCAAACTTGATTTCAAATACTCTTCATTTTTATAATTCATCCATACAATTTTTTCAAGCCCTTTGCTTTTTCTAAGACGCTAAGCTAAATTTTAAAAAAGAAAATATTTAGATGTGCTTATGGCACTATTTAATCCTCTAAAATATCAGATTTCTCTATACGCAAAAATTCCTATCATAAGACTTTCAATAAATCTCTCTTTTTTCCCAGAAATTTATTATCTTGATATCTGATTTTCATTGTGATGATTAATTTAAAAAGATTGTGGCTGATATTTATGCAACAAGTCTAAGAAAATATGCAAAATTTGTGAATAGAGCTAAAGTTTAAATATCTTTAAAGTTTCGGAGTATGCTGGCTTTCAGCCATGTATTGCATAGTGAGTAATTGATTGTTCGCGAATTCGCCTTTTCTCACCACCGTACAAGTTTCCGGATCCTTTTCACAAACTCCTCTCATTTTCATACACAAATGTACGCTTCTTATGACGACAAGCACTCCCTTTGGCTGGATCGCTTTTTCAATGGCATCAGCAATTTGCTCTGTGAGTCTTTCCTGGACCTGAAGACGCCGTGCGAAGATATCAGAGATTCTTTTGAGTTTGCTGAGACCGAGCATCTTTTTATCAGGGATGTACCTATAATAAAACTTACGTGATAGAGCAATTTCCTATAAAAGGCAGTAGATGATGCTCACAGAGAGAGCAAATCTCCAGTCCTTTAACGTGGACAACTCCTGAACCGTCATGTGGGAAAATGCCTTCTCCGATTTTTTCGCAAGGCGTTGTAAAATAGCCTTGGGTTAGCTCAACTAAAGCTTTGGCAGCTCGCTTTGGGGTGGATTCAGTACCCTCATTGGTTAATGGGAGCTTTGACAAAATAGTCGCGTAAGCTTTTTCGATCTCACCAAGTGCTTGACTTACGGTATTAGGCTTGCTCATATAGACTTAGCATCCTTTTGACTTGGGTTATCCCGATGTCTCCTGACGCTAGAAGGTGTTCTACCAACATTTTTTGGTAAAACTAACTCTCCTTCCGATTTTAGGAGATGGCGGTATAGCCCGAGTCAAAAGGAGGCACAGGCTATATTGGGTAAAATTAATGGTTAATTGCAAATCGCATTGAAAAATCTGTAATTTATACGTTGCCATGGAGTTTCTGAGTATTCAGAGTTATTCAAAATTCTATTAAAATTTAAGTAACAGACAATTAAAATTATTTGAAAATTTATTTTTGATGAAATTTATATTAATCTTCTGAAAGGGCTTGCAAACCATTGGAAAACCAAAATTAGTCCCTTTAAGAGCGAAGAAAAATTTTTGTTGTTGATATAAAATGTTTTTATAAATAATTAATATAGTTCATAGTTCAGTATGAACTTTTATCATTGAAAATGTAACCATTTTAAATGGGTTTCATATTTTGCAGACATCTAAATATTTCAAAGATTGTAAATAAATATCACTAATTTTAAACGCTTAATAATATTTTTAGGTAATTGAAGCTTTTGCTTAAATAGTCGGATTTTTCTAACTATTTGCTTGCTCAAAGAGGGAAAGGGAGTTAAAGACTTTTAACGGAATTATTTCTAATAAACTTTGAAAATATTTTAATTCTAACAGATTTTAAAGCTTACTCACATAAGTGTATTAGTTGATATTAATTTGAACTGCAATCTATAACTTAATTAAATTTAGCAGAGAGTATTTATCTGCAAAGAGTTTTTTCGGTCTTAGTATTACTCTAAATGGCCTAATAACTGGCATCTCTTCTTATTCCAGTGATATATAGAGCCCTTAAGTCTTGCAAATACTCACTCCTCACGTTTTAATAGGAAAAAATCTGCTCCAATTTTAAAGGGGATTTTTATCAAAAATTTGATAGAAAAAATATGAAATTTTTACCTATTCAAATTAATTGTATTCTACTTGCATTCCATTTATCAGAAATAATCGGCAAATTTCGATTATGTCTATATAAATTAGCTATTACTGTTTTATTTTGTGAAATTTTTTCTTTTCCTTTTGTCAGCTGATTATAAAAACATCTGGGGAGTAAAATTAGGTAGTTCTAACCAGTCTAGTTACCATTTTTGCAGCTAATATTTTTTTCTAGGTTATAAAAACTTCTCATTGCTCCATTTCAAGTAGAAGTACACATATAAAACTAGTGCAATAAAATCAATTTTGAGTGAGAGAGGTAGTTTAAGAGAGATTAATCTCTTTCAATCTTATAAATTTTGTATTTATAAAGAAATAAAATCAGCAATTTTAATAGCTATATCTTCTTAATCATATTTGATTTTAAAATTAATTAATATGCATATCTAGCTATAAAAGCAACCTAAGAGTAGAGCTAAAAATACCCCAGAGGATATTTCAGTGCTACTTTTAGAGTGCAAAATATATAAAAAAATTGTAAATTTTGTTATTATTCCAGTTGCTAATAATCATGAGTTAAATAAATCCAGCATAATTTTAACTAATAAAATCTTCTAGACTTTAAATGGAGGCAACCCTCGAAAACTTCATTTCAAACATTTTGATAAATTTGAGGAATTTAGCTGACGAAAGACTACCTGGGATTAGCCAGTTATTGAAATCTGGCTGTTCGATTATGCCATTAGGTATCTTAAAGGAAATAAAGCCAAATGTTCAGGATCTTGCAACTTCAGCACCTAGTTTATTCTTTAATGCAGCAGCACTTTATTACGCCAAATTCATACAATTAATTGAAGTCACAAATTTGGCAGATGAGTGAACTCTCATTCCTCAATACCTCAAATTAATTGGAATTATGAAAAATTTATGTAATGGAGAAAATCATTTAAAAGAAGTAAACTTTGAGCCTTGGCTTAAACTTATCATTGATAGCATAAAAGAGGTTTTATTCTCTTATGAAACTATCGAAAAGACCTTTGCATTTCTAAATATTTTAAAAGAAATTGAAAAACAATTTGATCCCCAAGTTTTAGCACAAAAAGAGCAATTTGAGTTTATTGATCTTGGAATACAGGAATATGTAGGAGGCGAAGAAGACTTAATAAAAAGCTATTTTACTGTAAAGACAATAAAGGAAGGCTGGGGTTTTGATTTATTTTATTCTGAAGGATCATGAATCGAAAAGGCCCGCAGCTGGCTAGAAGAGGAAAGTATAGAAACTTGTGATAAAATTTTGGTCAAAAGCATACTCAACAAATTAAATTCCTTTACAAATAAGTATTATCCTGAAATTGAAGATGATATCACCCGATTTTGTGAAAAATTTGAAATGGATTCAAGCAATATTAAGAGTTTAGAACTCCTAGAGATTCAAAATCTTAGCCTTCCTAAAAAAGATATCTTTCTTTCTTCTGAATTTAGCCCGATTTTCGAAGATCATTGAATTGGTGATAACAGCCAAATTGAAATAGTAAGCCCTATATTAAAACTTTGATCAAACGAAGGTATATCTATTTTTGAGTATAAATGCTTGCTTAATGAAAATCATATTTGCATCAAAATCTTCAAAGAAGGAAATTCTGATATCATTTTAAATCAATATAGCTCATGAGCCTTTATGGATAGACCCCATTTAAAATGCAGCCACTCTAATAGACTTAAATCTTCATGATTCAGATTATAATATAAATTCCCTAGTTTTAAACGAGTTCAAAATAGTTTTATATAATTGTTTAATAAATTTAAAAATATATTTAATAATACTATTTTGCTCAGCGAAATAAATCAAGTCATATTTTTACAATTCTTCTCTCTTCATAAGTTGTATTTCGAAGCAAAATGGCTTTGACCCAATTTGGTAGTCCTAAAAGTGACTTTTCAAAAATAGTTGATAAGGTAAACTAAGCTTACACAAGTAAACGAACAATTATTTAATATAAAAATTAATTTTTGAATTTCTAGTTATGATGATCCCTTAAATCAAATTATAGAAAATGCCATTTTTTAAAATTCAATAAATTCAAAAGCTTGACAAGGAAAACCCAATACCATGAAGCGTCTCAAAATAAGAGAAAATCTTAAGAGTTACAAGTTATCCATTTCCAGCAACTGATTTCCATCGCAGATTGCTTCTACACTTCGTCACCTAACACTCCTCTAATCTTTTATGAATCTATATATAGGAAAAGCCATCTTTAATAAATAAAAATTAGTTTTAAGAAACTTTGCAAATTACTTTTAAATTTTCGTTGTTTAAAGAGCTCTTCGAGATAAATCTATATACATTTTTTTCAAAAAAAGAAACTTACTCCCCCCCCCATCCTTGATCGAACGACTCGCCATCGTTCGATCAAGGATGGGGGGTTAAAAAAAAATTTTTCGGGAAAAAAAATTTATATATAAAATAAAAAATATATATGTATATTTTGTTTATTTACTTTTAAATAAGAGGGTTAAGAGTATTTAATAATTATTTTTACAGCAAAAAATTGAATTAATTTCATAAAATATCAATTTTTAATATTTTGATTTATTAGTTACCCTTTTAAAACTGTATAAATTTTAATTTGTTCCTTACTGAATTAATTTTTTTTTTTAAATTTTAAAGAATCTCTATTTTTTAGATTATTGAGTTTTCAAGCCTAGGTTGATGGCTAAATCACTTCGGATAGTTGATTTCGCAGCTTTCTGTCGTCCCAAAGCTCTGAAAACAACTTCATTAGGTACATCTTCCAAGTTTTTGATAACTAATATATTTTTATATATATAAAAATTTGCATGATATTAAAATCGTTCGATCAAGGATGGGGGTTAATTTCCCCAATTTTTAGGAATTTTTACAGTCAATCGTTCGATCAAGGATGGGGGGGGAGTTAGCTATTTTTGGGGCAATTTTAGCTAAACTCTAACAGTATTTTTACGTTTTTTAGACAATTTAACCACAAAAAGAGTTACTGTGCTAATTATTTAGCGTTTCTCAGTACCCTTTAGCGGTAATTTAGCAAATTCTTCAACCTAAAATTTATTTTCTTAAAAAAGAATACCCTTTTTATATTGATTAAGGACTTAGAATTTTATTTTCTTTGCTTGTTCGGACATATATCCAAAAAATGAACAGAAAAAAATAGGTCTTAATTAAAAATTAATTTTTATATTGAGCCCCCATTTAAAAAATTGATGAATTTACTTGTTAACTTGGCTACGCTTGCCAACCATTTTTGAATAGTCACTTTTAGAATAACCAAATTGGGCCAAAGCCATTTTGCCGCGAAATACCACTTTTCAAGCATAAAGAGAGAAGAGCCGTTTTAATTTTAAAATATGCTTTGGTTTATTTTCTCGATCTTTATGGTATTATAAGATATACTAATCCCCCGAGGATAGCGCTATCTTGCGCCATCATCGGGCATATCAAAAATGGCCCCACACCGGGAATTGAACCCATTTGTGGGGCCATTTTCGGTGTGTGTAGAACATCGACTTCCACGCACCAAAAATGGCCCCACACGTGGGTTCAATTCCCGGTGTGGGGCCATTTTTTCAATTGCCCGAGGATGGCGCAAGATAGGGCCATCCTTGGGCAATTCCTATATATTTTTAAAATTATTAAAAACAATTTATATAAGTAGGGAATTTTTATTATAATCTAAATATTTCTCTAATAGTGAAGATGTGAAGTCCATTAGAGGGCTGCATTTTCAATGAGGTCGATCCATAAAGGTTCATGAGCTATATCAAAAGGAAAAAGAGTGCTATGAAAAATTGTCCAGCACACGAGCAACTATTTATTTGAAATATTTTGGAACTTTTGACTACAAACAACAACACTTTATTATAATAGAGCTTTGCAAGTGCGATCTTTCTAAATTGATACCTAACAATGTGCACTTTTCTGATAATGATTTAGCTTACTTTGCATACTTATTTATTGAAGCTTTAACTCCCTTCTCTGTGATCAAGAAAAATTTATGAAAAAAAATATATATAAGTGATAATTATTATAACGAATCTCAAGTTAATTTTATTATAATTTAAACAGCTTGCATTTTATAGCATACATTTTATTAATTAAATTGATATTTATTTTGAATTTGATTTTTTAAATTTTTAAAAAAAAAAAACTATTAAAATTTTTTTGTTCGCTTATGGAGGGGGATAGAGGGAGGAGTAAGCGATTTGAAAAAAAAGAATAAAATTTATCATAGAGACATTAAACCTGCGAATATTGTTATCAGTCAGACTAATGAATTCAAACTTATAGACTTCAATATATCAGACAATATTGATGAACCAAGCGACAGCCATACATTAGAACTTCCATGCAAAGGAACGCCTTCAGATGCAGCAGCTGAAATTTATCGGGGCTTACAATATAAGGAGTCTGTTAAATATAGCCGAGAGCGTGCAGATGTTTATTCTTTGGGGCTTGTCATATTACAAATGGCTAAATCTGAGCTATTGTCGAATGAAAGGGAAGATGTTGAAAGCTTTAATCAGCGTATAAAAATTTATATAGCCAATTCTAGACCTCAAACTTCATGGTTTAAGGAACTACTTGATAAAATGCTTGAAGAAAATTATAAGAATCGCCCAAGATTTGAGTGGTTATTAAACTTTATAAAAAGTAATGAAGAATTCATGAAATGCAAAGAAGGGTATAAGAAAGACTGGGTATCAGGCTTAAATAATTAAAAAATAAAAATAAATGTCTTCAGAAGTTTCAGGAAACAAGTGACACAGCATTGTGTTACCATTGGGTAATTTAAAATCAATGCGTTTTCTACATCTTTTTAATTAAATGGAACCAACCCTTGAAAACTGTATTTTAGGCCTTTTAAATCGCTTAGATCGGGAAAGACTTCTTATTGAAATCAGTCAATTATTAGAATCTGGCTCTTGGACAATCCCATTAAACATCCTAAAAGAAAGCAAGCAAAGTGTCCAAAATCTCGCAACTTCAGCTCCTGATTTATTCCTCTATGCAGTAGCCTTTTACTACGTAAAATTCATCCAATCAATAAATTTTATAAATCTAGAGTCTGAATATACTCTTATACCTGAATACCTAAAGACAATCAAAATTATGAAAACTCTATGCAGCAAAATAAATATAGGTGATGTGAATTTTGAGCCTTTTCTAAAAAGCATCATTAATTCCATAAATGAGACCTTCTTGTCTTATGAAAGCATTGAAAAGACCTTTGAATCTCTAAATATCTTTAAAAAAATTGAAGTTGACTTTGAAATCCCTATTTCAGGACAAACGCGATGATGCGAGTATATAGATCTTGAAATTCAAGAATTTGTGAAAACTGAAGAAGACCTCATGAAAAGCTATTTTGTTATAAAAACAGTAAAAGAAGCATGAAACTTCGATTTATATAGTTCTGATCAATCATGGATTGCAAAAGCTCGTAGACGGCTAAGAGAGGAAAATGCAGTAACTTGTGATAAAAGTCTTATTGAGAATATTCTGATATAGTGCGTGCCCCCCGATAGATTTTAAAGGAAAATACCCTTCAAAGAAAAGATTATTTTGAAATTCCAAAAAGTCAAATATCAATTTAAAAATGTCGTTATATATGTCCTATTTGTCATTTGAAAATTGACTTTTCAGATTTTTCCTTAATTTAAATTCAAAATTTTTTATCTAAAAGCACTTGTCCTCAGGGATATAAAATGAGGCTTGTGCTATACTCTTATATCCCATTAATGATTTATATCCTAAATAGAAGAAGAAGTTATTCGATTTTGTAAAGGATTTGCAATAGAATCAAGCAATATTTTGAGTTTAAGATTATTAAATCTTCCCAATATTGAGCTTCCTTTCAAAAACTCCATTCCTTCCTCAGACTTTTCACCTATTTTTTAAAATAATTGCATCAGTTACAGATCTCACTCCCCCCCTTTAAATTGGAACTAAAAATTTTGTTCCAATTTAAAGGGGGTTAATTTTTTTTTTTAAAAAAAAATTTTAAAAAAAATTTTTAAAAAACTTATCGAATTAGATCTATAAATTTGTTTAATAAAATGCTATTTACTCTTTATCCTTTAAAAAAAATGATATAACTAAATTTTCATTATTAGTTAATACGCCACTATTAATTGGTATCAAAATTATTTACACAAAAATTATTATTTTTATTGATAAAAAAAAATTAAAAAATAAAAAATTTAGAAAATTTATCGATCAAAGTGCTAATTTTAGATGTTATTTATACTCTATTCTTTAAAATAAAGCAAGAAATAAGTAAATTTTTAAATTTATAAAGAATTCCTATTGAATTTATATCAAAACTATCCAAATAAAAAATATCATTTTTATCAAAAAAAACAAAAATTTTTTTGAAAATTTTTAAAAAAAAAAATTATTTTTTTTTTTAAATTTAGCATTAAGGATAATAAATTTATTTAAATAAGATGCTCTTTATACTTTTTTTTCCTTAAAAAAGAGCAAGATATAACTAAATTTTTTAATTTTAGTTAAGAAAAAAACATTAAACTTATATCAAAACTTTTTAGATAAAAATTATACATAATTTTTATTATAAAATTAAATTTTGTTCCAATTTAAAGAGGAGTTAATTTACCAAAAAAGTGGAAATTTTACCGATATTTTGTTCCAATTTAAAGGGGGAGACAGTTTGAATTAGATAGGTCTCCAATCAGTAAAATACACAAGCATATTACAGTATGAGAAGGATACAACTTTTTAAACCTAAACCCTATATGTGTCAAAGAATATAATGGAAGTGATAATGATGTTCTAAATCAATATAGAAATGAAATTCAAATAGGCCAAATGCTAGCAGAAATAGGGTCCCTTTTTTTTGCAGCATTTTAGCAATTTTGAAGACGGCGAGAATCATTTTATTGTAATGGAACTATGCAAAAAAGAACTGACTCCCCATTAGTGAATTTTTTTTTTTAATTTAAAAATTCCCAATTTGTAAAAATCGAGAAGTAAAAAGTAATTTAATAATTTGCAAAATTAATGCTTTAATTGCTTAAAATTAAACAGAAATAGCTTGAGAATTCATTAAAATAATTATAGTTATATATCAATTTTTTTTCGCTCATGAAGGTGGGTTTTTTTGGCAAAAAATAGGATTTTTCGATGGGAAGTAAGTGAATTAATAGCTAATGGACAGCAGTTCTCTAGGGCTGATCTCGCCCATTTCGCATATTCGTTCATTAAGGGACTTTCTGAATTAAAAAAGAAGCAAATATATCATAGAGACATTAAGCCTGAAAATATTATGATAGGCTATGATAATGAATTTAAGCTTATTGATTTCAATATCTCAGTGGTTTCTAAAAAAAATAAAATAAATAAACTTAATTTTGCAGCTGCTTAAATTCTCAAATTTTCTTGAAACAACTGGTTTCTGAAAGAAATAGTGAGATGGCTGGGATAGGCCCACACTCTAATAAAGGAACGCTAAATTACTCATCTCCAGAAAAATTCAACTGCCCCGAAAATCAAGAAATGCATGAGCATAGTCTTGAGCTGAATGATGCTTACTCGTTAGGTCTTGTAATCTTAGAAATGTCAACCCTTGAAGTAATTTCAATTCATAGAATGAATAAAGAGTTGTTCATCCAAAAAAGGGAAGAACAAATCAGACAGATTGAAATCCCTTGGCTCTCAAATTTAATTAGAGAAATGCTAACTTATGACTACCGCTATCGGCCAAGATTTGGAAGATTGCTGGAAATGATCGAGCAGGATAGAGAATTTGTGAATGACAGAAATAGGGAAAGATCAAATTTTATTTAAAAATTTTTATGAGAAATTAGTGACTTAAATAAAAATACTGAAGAAATATCAATATTTTTAAATCTAAACTAAAATATTGTAAACTAATGCATAAGTTCTAAAAAAGCTTAATATCTAACCTATTATATACATTTTGAGAATTGAATAAAGTAAAAAATTCAATTCTCAGTAGAAAAATAATACACCCTAATTATTGCAAAATTAGTCTATGAAATTATCTTTAATCATAAAGAATACCTCGTATTTATATTTTTTGAGGATTAAGATTAGATTAGATTATTAGATGAGGGTGTATAGTCCCCGCTATTCAATGGTGGCATTCTATACAACTCTAGTCACCTGGCAGCACAGCCGAATTTGGCGACTTTCACCTCTGGTAACATCAAGTCCAGGCCAAAAACCCTTGGCTTCTGTAGCGATATTACCCTATTGGGTTAAAACCCTCGCTGGGCGCACCATTTCTAACTTGATTACTTTAGCTGCTAGTTACTCCTCCCTGCCTATTACCCTTGGCCGGTATAGTCCCTCTTTAGAGCTTTTGAAACGTAGAGACTAACCATTATTTTAGCTTGCCTTCCCTTTTCTCAGATCATCCTTGGAGAAAAGTTTAACCACTTCCGCCAGGCAGACCATCATAGCAGCTTGAGCAGGCAACTCACTCTGCTGTGGCAAATAGAATTGTGAGTAGCTGTGTCCATTGAATCAGCTCACAAGCCAGCAAATTTTTGCTTAAGTCCCTCGCTGCAGGACATAAGATGTTTCTTGACCAATTCCTAGCTCCTAAAAACATGGGTAGCTGTAACACAAGAGGATGAGTCAGACATCATCTCCATTTATATATATTTTTTTTGATAATTAGTAATTATGCAATAAAGATAAAACCATCTTAATTCTATAAATATATTTTAAAGAATGGAAGAATTGATTATAATTTTATCGAAAAAGCTTTCTAAATACTCTTTAGGCGACATAGATATTTTACTTGATCATAGAAATCTTATCCAATGAGAAACATTGCAAGCAATAAAGCAAGCAATTGTAAGCAATAGAGACTTATCAAATGACGATATAATTCATCTTTATTATGCTCGCTATCTTCAAACACTTTTTGCTACAGATGATCCTATACCAGAAGCATACATGCATGGTATCACTTTGCTTATTGATCTCAAAAAATGTATCAGAGATTATAGCCTAGAAAACTGCATCACAATAATTACCCGGAAAATAGGCAATTCTATTAAGCTTTCTCTAGGAATAGAATTAATCTCGAAACTGGTAAAAGAAATCAAGAGAGCTAAAACTGAGCTTGCAATAGATGATCTTAGAGATATCGAAAATGATATTTACTTGGGGATAAAATCCTGGATAGTCCAGAAAAGGCCAGATTTTAATGTTTGAACTCTGAGAGAATGCTATAATAATGTTGATAGCATTTTAGCTGAGAGTACAATAAAGCAAAAAATTAATGACTTAGTTGCTGTTAAAGTTTATGCTTGGTTTCTAAAAACTTATAGTGGATTAATTAGGGGCAATTTAAGCCAAAATTTTATGAATGCTTTAGATGGCGATGAAAAAAGGATTTCTAATTGGATGAGTTCAATTAATTGCAGACACGATATAAATGAAAAAATAGAAAATTTTGAGCCGATAATAGGAAAGATTGATCTATACGACAAGGACCCAAGTAGCATTTATCGAGTGACTACGAAAAGTCAATTGGATAATCAATATTCCAATAGCCAATACTTAGCAAGTGTTAAAAAGAGATCATACCGCTTGGCAGTTTATAAGTCAAAAATTATAGATACAGGTGAAATCGTAGTCGTAAAAAGTTTTATTAGCGACGTCAGGGAAAACTTGCAGAATGGGTATAACGAAAAAGATATCTATGAAAAATTAGCAATGAAAAATACAGACTTTACCTTAAAATATTATGGCCACTTTCTTTCAACAAAGAAAAAGAATACGCAAGTTCAGTATAAACTGAATCTCGTTCTGGAATACTGTGATAGCACCCTCTTTGACGAAATAGTAAGATTAAAAATGCAGGACCGAACTTACCAAAATCGAGAAATCGCTCAAATTATCTATACTCTCCTTGATTTATTCAGAAAATTACGAAAAGAAAAAGTCAATCATTGTGATATAAAGCCCCAAAATATTTTTATCACAAGTGATGGGCGACTTAAGCTCGGAGATTTTGATTTATCAGAAACCTTTAAAACAAGTGACGCATCAAACCTAGGCACAAAGCTCAGAGAATTTCTGGGGGGAACTGTAAATTATATGGCACCAGAGCTGAAAGAGATATATAGAAGCTGGGAAGTAAACGGAAACCCCTGTGACAAAAGAAAGTTTAGCAAGGAGAGGTCAGATGTATATTCGCTTGGACTCGTTTTTCTTATGGTGATTACGCTTAGACCAGTTGGAGGGTTTAATGAGCATGCACATCAAGATGAGCTCAGACAAATTATTGAAAATTTACAAATGGATTGGGCCAAGAGATTGCTGAGAAGAATGCTTGCTTATCTTGATGAGGAGAGGCCAAGATTTGAAGAGGCGTTTGAAATGCTTGAAGAGGATCCTGAGTTTATTTTGTGCCTTAATTCGTCTGATTAAATGGTAATAAAATTAATTTATTATGATGGCAGTAAAGGAAACTTGTGCAAGCTGAATATCGTATATAGTTAAAATCTTAATAAATAAAAATCACTAAACTTTTATCTTAAATTTGTAGGAATTGAGCAGTTTTAGAGCTAAATCTATAAAAAATTTGTGAAATTGATATGGCATAACTGAATTTCAAATAATTTTTAGCCAAAAATGAATATCTTTTTTCATAAATTATAAGCTTCATATATCAGTGGAAAGTTTTTTATACATTTCATAAAATATTAATGCTATTATAGGTATTAAGCTGATCTTTATACTTAAATTATTAAATTAATTAGTCTACTTAAAATATTATTATTTTTTATGATGATGTGGGTGGTGACCCGGGGGTGGAGGAGGATGATGCCAACCTCCAGGAGGACCCATATCACGGCATTGATTTAGTCTCGTTATTTCTGATCTACAGTTATTTAACTCTTGGGTTAGCCTTGAATTTTCAGCCTTGCAGTTATTAAGTTCTTGAGTAGTAAGATTGAATTGATTTGAAAGTCTTGAATTTTCGGTTTTGAAATTATTGAGCTCTTGTGTAATAAGGGAATTTTGGTGAGAAAGATTTGACTTTTCTAAATTTGACTTATTAAGCTCTAATGAAATACTGGAAACTTGGCTCGAAAGTTGGGAACTTTGGTCTTTATAGATGGATAGTTCTTTGTTTATAAGGCAAATTTTTTCAGATAAGTGCTCATTCTCTGTTCTTACATCTCCCAGCTCTTTTTCAGCAATCGAAATTTTATTAGAAATATTTAAGTTTTCTTCCTTTAGAGCGCTTATTTTTTCGTTCAAAATAGAAATTTGAGCTGAGAGCTCAAACTTTTCTTGTTGGGATTCAGCTAATTCTTCTTTTGTAGCACAATTTTCATGATTAACCAATTTTAAGCCTTTCACAAACTCAAATGTTTCTATTATAAGTTTTTCTAATGAAATGTCTTTTAAAGGATTTTTTTCTTCAAGAAGCTTGATTGTATCAGTCCCTGACATTGTTAAATTTTCCGAGCTGAAGATATCTTTCTCATTGATAACTTTTATCATTTCTTCTTTAAATAATCTGAGCTCTGCATTTAACTGCTTCAAAACTTTGCTTAGTTGAAATGATATAGCTTTAACAGATGAAAAGACTTGGCTTATCAGATTTGATTTTAAGCCTTCCAGCTCTTTAATTTGCAATAAAAAGTATTTTAAAATTTCCACTTTTGAGGTAGGTTGAAAATCGGTTTTGATTGAAAGGTTTTCAAAGTTGTGAGAACCTAACATAATGAGATGGTGGCCAATGTGGTTTATACAAAAATAAAGTACTGGAATTTTGCAAGAGCATTTTATTTTTGCAGGCTGTTCACAAAGCTCAAACATGCATTTATGGCTTTCCATTTTATATCTGCTTTTCTATATTATATATGGTGTATAAATTATATAGGAAAATGTTCTAGTAGCATTAGGCTTATGATCTGTATTATTAGTATTCTTATTCCGCTCAAAATTATTATTAATTTTTAAATTTTATCTGGTAGAATTAGATTAGTGATAAAAATATTATCTAAAAATACTTTATAGAGCTAAAGAACTGAAGAAGTTTAAGTGGTACAAGCAAGATGCCCAATTAGTAATCGATAAAGCTACTTATCGAATAAAATCTACATATGGAGATTATACATATTATTATTGCAAAGAAAAAAATTGCCGCGCTTCTTACAAGGTGAAGCATCCATTAGCGGGAAATACCTTTGCTGAAATAATTAGTCAACACTTTAATCATGATCCTCAGGTGAGTATTAGATAAAAAAAGCCTCAAAATAAAAAGGCTGATGAGATTATCAAAGAAGTTGTCACTTAGAATCCACTTTAAGCAATTCTCATTTAGAAAAGCAATATCCCGAGTTTATGAGCACCTATAATAAAAAGAATATCAAAAAGATTTTAAGGTCGCAAAGTTGAATAATGTATGGAATGATTGATTTTAGGCATGCACAAGCTTTTCTAAGATTGATGGTTTAACATTTATAAGAAGTTTAGGATGATCATAGCCAATATTCAATGGCCTACTTATTTATTAGTTTGCAGTGATGACATTAGAAATCTAGTAGAATTTAAGGATTTAAATCAACAGGCATTATAGATTTCATATGCATTACAATATTTTTAGATAATCCATACTTTGCTATAATCATCCTTCATTGATTTGATTAATATTAGAAAATGAAGTTAAATAAAATTTTATGGGAGTTGCTTTATATAAGACTAAATAAAAATCTAACTTGAAAATTTTCTCATCCACAACAAAAATATATTCAGGCTCAATGTTGCAATAAACAATTTATTCTTCGCTTAAAATATTTAAAAATGGATTTATTTACCCAGGAACTAATTTTAATTAATAAAGAACCTAGTTTAAACGCTTTTATTTATTATAAAAAAGGTATCAGAGCAAAAAGAAAAAGTAAAAATTAATAAAAAATTGTACACATATTCAGCCTAATGTTAATTTAATAACCAAGGCAGCTCAAATAAAGAATAATAAATATAAAATTTCATAAATAATTAATTTAAGTTTAATGCCATGTTCAATTCTATAAATTATAATATAAAATTATTAAAGCAGATGGAAGAATTGATAACTATTTTAGTAGAAAGACTTGCCAATTCTTTGCCGGATAGTCTTATAATTTTGCTGAATACCAAAGTCCTTATCCAATGAGAAAAATTACAAGAAATTAAGCAATCAATTCTAAGCAATCCAAGTTTTTTAGAAAATGATATAATTCATCTTTACTATGCCCGCTATCTTCAAACATTTTTTGCAACAAAAGCTCCTATACCAGAAGTCTTCATGCATTGTGTCACTTTACTTGCTGATCTCAATAATTGCATTAAATGACACTCTTTCGAAACCATAGCAATTTTAATTAGAAAAATCGGTAGAGCTATTAAACTTTCTTCTGATTTATGCTTTATTTGCATAATTAATGCAAATTTACGAAAATTTACGAAAATAAATAATAATTTTAAATTTAATTTTATTGTTGAATTCATGTTTAAAGGCATAGATTCAATTTCAAGGTTGGTAAAAGAAATTAAAAGAATAAAAATCGAGCTGGCTTATGATAATTTTTCAGATATTGAAAATGAAATCTATTTAGGATTAAATGCCTGGCGAATTGAAAAGAGGTTTAATTTTGATATTTGGATGCTAATATCCCATCAGTGAAAAAATAATAATATTGAATTTTTTATAATATGATATAATTTTTATATTATTTATTAGAAAATTAATTATGCATGTAAAATAATTAATTCAAGGGAAATTAAGAGAATGCTATCTTGACATCATTAGCATTTTAAAAAACGATGCATTGAAGAAAAAGACAAACGATTTAGTGGCAATCACAGCTTATAATTTGTTTCGGAAAACTTATAAAGATTTAATTCAAAATCGCTCAGATCAAAATTTGACTAGCGTTTTAGATAGTAGTGGGAAAAGAATTTTTAACTGAATCACTTCAATTGATTGCCGGCTAGATATCAATGAAAAAATAGAAAGACTAGAGCCGTTTGATGAAGAGGCTAAAGAGAGGGAGAATTTAGTAGAAAAACCAAGAGCTATATTTAGGGTGACAAATATAAATCAGCTTATCATTGACAAAAAAGATCCAGATGCAACCATATACAGCGTTGATAGAGGAGCAGTCCATATCGAGGTTATAAAAGCAAAAATTAGGCAAACTGGAACAATTGTTGCTTTAAAAAAATTTATGTTTTGCAATACATTTTTCATTATAATTCTAGATCTGAAATCTCTTTTTATATATAAAAATCGATAATTTTTTATCTATAAAAATGTCTAAAATAGAGTAGAGTTGCAAAAGCTAAATCCAACACCAGTGATAGCAAAGAAGCCAGTGATAGCAGAGAAGTCATCCAAAACTGCGAGAACGAAGTAGAAATCTACGAAAAATTTTCTCAAACCGGGATGGATTTTGCCTTAACCTATTACGGACATTTTTCTGAGAATTCTGAAAGAGATTACCATAGTCTTTGTATAGTCCTCGAATACTGTGAATCCACTCTTCTGCATGAGATCGCGAATCTGAGCCAAAAAAGTCTCCGCTATGAAAATCGTGAACTCGCCCAAAAGTTTTACGCCCTCCTTGATATTTTCAGAAAATTACGAGAAAGGAAAATAAATCACTGTGATATAAAACCCCAAAATATTTTTATCGCAAGTGGAGGACAATACAAGCTGGGAGACTTCGATTTGTCGGAAACCTTTAATACAATTGAAGCTTCATATCAAGATGCAGAATATCTTAATTTTTTCAAGGGAACCAAAAGCTGGATGTCGCCTGAGTTGAAAATACGCCACGAAATTTATATGCGCACAAAGAAATTTGATGAGAAAATTAAGTTTAGCAAGGAAAAGTCGGATGTTTATTCTCTAGGACTTACATTTTTGATGATGGTTACAATGCAGCCGGTTAAAGGCTTTAATGAGAAAAAGAAGCAAAGTGAGCTGATGCTAAAGATTGATAATTTAGAGCAGGTTTGGGCTCAAAGACTACTAAGGCGGATGCTTGCTTATAAGTATGGGGAGAGGCCAAGGTTTAAAGATGCTTTTAAGATTCTTAACGAAGACCCTGAGTTTATTTCATGCCTTAATTCTATTGAGTAATTTGAATGAAATTAAATTATAGTGCTACTTTATATGGATATCAAATTTTTTTATTAGTATAATATTTTATAAAATAGCAATCAGGTGTTAAATTGATATGAATTATTCAAATTTCGCCTTATAATATTAAAAAGAGCTAGATTTATTCTTTGCAAATCTCCAGAATTATAATATAAGGTAAAGTTAAACAAGTACTAATTCGACATTTATTGCATCTGAAAATGCACTAAATGATTAATGGGCAGGAAAGGATAAAAGAATAAGTTTTCCTGTATGAGCTCTATCTAAGATGAGACATCCGGATAATATGACAGAAATTCTATATGTTTGTGAATTCCTGAGGTTTTTTATTTTTCTTCAAACTAAGCTGTTTGCCATTGTGAAAGCTATTGATGGCAATGACTTGGTCCTGGACTAGGAACCTTCGCCTCATCTTAAGTGTGGGGCCTGATATTATAAGATTTTCTCATCGATTTTTTTGATAAAATATTCCATAAATAAGTGTATAATTTATTGTGGAGCATTCTGCCGCCTTAGCATGGTGGAGATAGTCCTATAAGGAATCATTGATTGTGTCCTCATCACCAGATCAGTATCAGGGGTAAATATACTCCTTTCTGCAGACTCTGGCCCAAACAATACTTGCCTGAAAAATCAATGGGTTCTTTAATTGCGCCCAGCACAGAAAAACAGGTCCTGATTTTCACAAAATTATCGAGCAGTTGCTATGTCTGGCATGCTTCAAAGCTGCTTTTAGCTTTAATCATATTTATTTATTGCTTTATATGTAATAATTTTGTTCATTATATAATCTATGATGTTTAGAGTTGGAAATTTAACAAATATTAAAAATGAAACGAAATTTAATTTTCAATCATTACCTTAATTGTGAAGGATCTTGATTTGTTGAATTGCAATTTGCATTAAAAAAATCAGCTATGGAGTCATATAAGTGTGGAGACTCAAATGCAGATTTTCTCAGACCTGAAGGTGACAATCCTAAAGGTTAAATAACCTTCTCAATTTAAGAGGTTAGGCTAGATATTGAAAACAGACACTAACTATATTTTGAAAAGCCATTAATATATCTTTCGTGCAGAAGATTCATCCACAAATTATAGGAAAAGGTTATGCTGCTCGTATTAGGCTTCAGTCTTAGTAGGCAACTTATGGATTTTTCGGGCCTGCAAAGGACAATAGGAGTAGCTTGATCCCAGGAGTATTTTTGAATCTAACATGAAGTGGAAAACTGTTCTTGTTGCCCAAATTGAAACTCATAGTTTTCTGTAGAGGTTTGCCTAACTATTCTAAGAATATTGCTGAACAATTCAATTTCTAGCAAATGAAAGATACCAATATTTCTGTCTAGGCTACTCTTGATTCAATTATCTCATATCGCCTTAGCTTTAAGATCTGGACTGTTTCACCAAGAAGGCAGACTGACAGTGACTCTATTTAATATATATTTTCTAATTTAAGTTAGGGTGTATATCTATTAATTAATATTAGCTATTATCGCACCAGAGCGCTGTCTCTCTTATTTATTTCCTTTAACTCAGTCATCACTTATTGAACCATAAGGGTAGTTATCTAAGATTTTGCTTAATTATATTTGGACTGAAACTTACCAATTACAAAAAAGGTGCATTATTTGGTGCTTAAAGGAAATGAATTGTCGAAAATTTCAGGGAGCAATTGGAATAAATGTTTCTTATATATAGTCATAACGCATTCATGGTTTTTCATATCGGAAGCGCCTTAACCTATTTCAATAATAGTAGTGACCAGAAAAAAAATATAAAGTTTTAAAAGAATGATAAATTTTTCTGTAAAAATGGCTAATAATTGAATTTTTCACTAAGTTTTGGCTTTATCCAAATAATAAAGAATATAAAGACATTAATTATGTTTGGATAAACAAATTAAAATAATTCGCCAAATTTAAAAAAATAAAAGGTTATATTAATTTGGATTTGAATTTTGCAGTTTCTAGATTCGAAGGATAGTAAGAACTTAAGCATGGGCCTGGCTGTAGATCCTCATAAGGCTTGAACTGTTGATAAACCGGAGGCTTGGGTATTTGAATATATTGACGTGGCGGTAATGGGATAACTCGATCGCCTGGCCTTGGATTAGTTACTTCATATTCATTTTGCCTTGATATCTCTGGAAATCCTGTATTTTTAACACAACCTAGTTCTTTATAAATTTCTGATATTATTGTTTCATATGAAGCCTCAGAAATAGACGTTTTCTGATTTTCTTTGATAAATTCAGCTGCTTCATATGGTAGCTGATTAAAATAATCGTCATTTTTATACCAGTAGCAGCTTTGAAACTCTTGAGTAGTTTCATTAAACTTGAACTCAAATGAAGCAATTTCTTGGTCAATTTTTTCAATAAAAATCATTAATTCACCTCTTATAAATTAAATAGTTAAATTAGCCAAAGAATCTATAAACAGCTAAATAGCAAAATAATTACAATATATTCTGCTATAAAAAATTTTAAGGGCTACACCTACAGTATAGTAAGCTATTTTCTAATTTGCATATCTCAGTATAGACTTCATTTACTAATTTTTCCTTTAAATCTCGCAGGAGTTGCACAAAGTATTACACATTTTATCAGCATCCTTGGAGTGCCAAAATATATCTGACATATTAAAATGTAAAAATAAAATATTTGCCCTTAAAAAAAGTTTAAAATAATAATTATATCTATTAAAATATTAAATAGCTTATATTTTATATTGCATATAAAGCAAAAAATCACTATTGGTTTGTATATTTGAGCCATCAAGTAATTTTCGAAAGTTGTGACTCCCAGGAGAATTTATAATATGGTTTCCTAAATGCTCATCACAGAAATGCAAGTATTGATTTTTACAGCGGCATCAGGATGTTGCGTTTATATTGCATCCTTTAGAGCTGCATTTCACAGCACTAATTTGGGACTCTTCTTGCATAAAAGCAGGCATAAATGTTGCTGGAGCTTGTAGATATGATAGATTTGGGACTTCAGGGTTGTCTATTAACTGGTATGGAGATGAGATGGGATAGTTGTCTTGAACTATGAATTCTCTTCTATTTTCAAACTTAGGAGGATAATCAACGTCGGAGTTCAGATTATGCGCTGCATTATTTCGTTTTCCGTACTTATTTAATATATAAGTTTTCTTCATGTCATGCCTATTTATATTTATTCTCAATAATCGTAGATTGAATTATTACAAATCAGGTTAATTTTTGAAATTCATCTTCAAAATTTCTCATTAATTTGTTATAATTGAAACTACATCATGCTTAATGCTTTGATTATAAGATAAATAAGTACGAAAAATACTTATAAAACTTCCACACTTTGAATTTTGCAATAAGAATTGAAGGAAAAGGTGCTGAATTTGGACTATTTGAATAATTTCTGGCAGAGTTTTTTGAGTTCTATTCAATAATTACTTTCCTTCTTTGACGAGTAACCAAATAGGGGTTAATTTTATGGTAAAATTTTAAAAAGAAGCTTAATTTATTATATTAGAGGCAAAAATATTAATTGGGCATCGTTTTGAGTTTAAATGCTCGATAAAGATTAAGCTTTCCTATATGAACTCTATCTAAGATGAGACATTCAGATAATTTTAAAGGAATACTATAAGTCTGTTGAATTCTTGGAGATTTGTTATTTTTCTTCATACTAAGCTGTTCGCCATTATGTTAAAACTATAAAAAAATTTATGCCAACGACTTGTTCCTGGAATAGGGATCTTAGCCTCATCATAAGTAGAAATTTGATGTGGGGGTCTGAGCTTATAGGATTTTTTCATTGATTTGTGGATGAAATACCTGCCATAAATAAGTGTATAATTCCTTATGGAGCATTCTGCTGCCTAAACATGGCTGAGATAACCCTATAAGGAATCATTGATTGCGTCCACGTCACGAGATCACTATCAGGGATGAATAGACTCCTTTGCTGAAGACTCTGCCCAAGCAATATTGCATACAACAAATAAAGCAAAAGCTCATGCTCTATTTTTAAACATTACCTTAATTGTGAAAGATCTTGATTCATGGAATTGCAATTTGCATTAAAAAAATTAGCTATGGAATCATATAACTGTGGAGACTTCAAATGCAGATTTTCTCAGACTTGAGGGTGGCAATCCTACACACTAAATAACCTTCTCAATTAAAGAGGCTAGGCTAGATATTGAAGACAGACACTAAAATATATTTTGAAGAAGCCACCTCTCGTGCATAAGGTTTATCCAACTTCCAGCAATAAATTCCACAAATTATAGGGTTAGCTTTAAGATCTGGACTGCCTCACCAGAAGGCAGACTGATAATGACTCTATTTAATATATATTTTCTAATTTAAATTAGGGCGTACATCTATCAATTAATATCAGCTATTATCGCACTAGAGGTGCCTCTTTTTTATTTCCTATTCAATTATCAGTTTTTTAATGGGTAATTATCTAAGATTTTGCTTAATTATATTTGGACTAAAACTCATTTATTATAACAAAATTTGTATTATTTGGTACTTAAAATAATTGAATTGCCAAAAATTGCAGGGAGTAATTGGAATAAATGTTTCTTATACATAGCCATAACACATAATGCTTTTAAGATGCGAAGTGCTTAAACATAATAGTTGTGGCAAGAAGAAAAATATAAGCAAAATAATGAAACATTTTTCTTTAAAATTTGCTATTGAATTTTCACTTGGGAAAAGCTTTAGTTTCATGCAAATAATAAAGAATATAAAGATATTAATTATGCTGGGTAAAGAAATTATAAATAATTTGCCAGATTTAAAAGATAAAGGTTATATTCATTCTGATTTGAATGTTGCAGTTTCACGAATCGAAGAATATGTTTTTGTATTATCATAAGGATTTATGCGTGGCTGTCGATCCTCATAAGGCTTGAATGGCTGTTGATACTGTTGAGGTGTGATTATTTGATTATATTGAGGAAATGCGTATGGCTGTTGATATTGCTGCCTCAAATTTAAACTGTTTGAGGTCTTTAAATCAGGTTGGAACCTTGGATTAGTCATTTCATATTCATTTTTGCTGGATATCTCTTGAAATCCTGCATTTTTAACCCAACCTAGCTCTTTATAAATTTCTGATATTATTGTTTCACATGAAGCTTCAGAAATAGACGTTTTCTGATTTTCTTTGATAAATTCAAATACTTCATCTGGTAGCTGATTAAAATAATCGTCATTTTTGTACCAGTAGCAGCTTTCAAGCTCTTGAGTAGTTTGACTAAATTTTAATGCAAATGAAGCAATTTCTTGGTCAATTTTTTCAATAAAAGTCATTATTCACCTCTTATAAAATCAAATAGAAATAGTAAAAAAAGCCAAAGAATCTATAAGCAGCCAAATAATTACAATATATTTTCTATAAAAACTTATACAGCTAACTTATAATATAGTAAGCTATTTTCTAATTTGCATATCTCAGCATAGATTTTATTCACTAATTTTTCCTTTAAATCTCTCAGGAGTTGCACAAGGCATTACGTATTTTATTAGCGTCCTTGGATTGCAAAATTATATCTGGTATATTAAAATGTAAAAAATAAAACATTTGGCTGCAAAAAAACGTTTAAATGATAATTATATCTATTAAAATATTAAATAGACTATATTTTATATTGCATATAAAGCAAAAAATCACTATTGGTTTGTATATTTGAGCCATCAAGTAATTTTTGAAAGTTATGATTTCCAGGAGAATTTATAATGTGGTTTTCTAAATCCTCAGCACAGAAATGCAAGTATTGATTTTTACAGCGGCATCAGGCTGTTGCGTTTTTATTACATCAATTAGAGCTGCATTTTACCACACTAATCTGGGACTCTTTTTGTGGCAAATCTGGCATAAATGTTGCTGGATCTTGCTTATATGTTTGAATACGGGGGTATCTGGCTTCTTCTCTATATGTCTGGTATGAGTTAAAGTTGGGATGGGTTTCTTGATATAAGAATTCTCTCCTATTTTCAGAATTAGGAGGATATATTAACGTTAGCGGTAAAACGCAGGCAAGGAATTCGCATATACTACCTTACTAGAGGGACTTATCATCATTTTGGACTTCTGTTGATCCCCCTTTCCAATAATGGGCCCGGAGGTATAAACCAAGTCCCCAGCGGGTCTAGTGGTAATCTAGCCTGATATACATAAAGGATTGCTGGCCTCTTCTACTCTTCCCCCTTCACACTGAGCTGTTGCCTGTCAGTGTTGAATAAAATGGGTTTTAAGGTCGGCTAGTCTGTCGTCCCCATTTTTATGTATATGACTTGGAGGATAATTTTTATGGGGATTTTGCTTTAGTGATAATTCTTTCCACATTTTTTGCATTTTTGCATATTTATAAAGATTTATAATATTATGATTTTAATTGACTCCATATTAATTTATCAGCATTAATGCTAGCAAATTACTCAATTTTAGAGCATCATTTCTCAAATTTAATTAAATAAATAATTGTTCATATTTAAATGTATGTCATGCCTATTTATATTTATTCTCAATAATTGTATTACAAATCAGGTAAAATTGAAATTTATCTTTAATTTCTCATTAATTTGCTATAATTAAAATTGCGCAATGTTTAATGCTTAAGGTTATAAGATAAATAAGCAGCAGAAGACTTATAGACTCTTATGCTCTTTGAATATTTAAGTAAGAGTTGAAGTCTAAAGCGCTGAATCTAGATTATTTGAATAATTTTTAACAAATTTTTTTAATTATACTCTATAATTACTTTTCTCCTATGGCAAGTAAGCACGTTAATCTTATGCTCATATTTTAAAACACTCAAACTTCCAAATATTAAAAGCCTAATTTTATTTATTAATTATAGAAAATTTAATTAATATCTTTACGAAGTTTAATCCAGTATTCATATTTAAGATTAATTTTTTTGCCTCATTACTGCCTTCTACGAAAGCTATTTGAAACTGTCCTTCCAAAGAAGAGGCTTGAAGTTGAAGCCCTTTGAGCCAAAAATGGGATTGGAGCCGCTCTCTGAAGTTGAGCATCATCAGGCTTACTATTTCTTGATTCAAGATCTTGGTATTTTTTATATAATTCATCATAAGCATCTTTTAAATATTTGTTGCTCTGCTCAGTCACCTCTATGTTTTTTATTAACTCAATCTCTTTTGCTTTAAGTGCTTCATATGACTGTTTCAATTCTTCATTTTCTTTTATATATTTTTGTTCAGTTATTTCTATATTTTTTATTAGCTCAATTTCTCTTGTTTTAAGTGCTTCATATGACTGCTTCAATTCTTCATTTTCTTTTATATTTTTTGGGGTATACTGGCTCATAATAGTATTTATGTCAAGTAATTTGACCTCTAAGATTAATTTTTCTTTGAAAATTTCTTGGAATTCTGAAAGTTTTACCCAGCCAATATTTCTATAAACTTCAGAAATTATTGTTTTATAAGGAGTTTTCGAGTTTAGGGTTATTTGGCTTGCTCTGATAAATTCAAGATCATTAGTCGAAAGCATCGAATAATCTGAATTTATGCTCTCTTCATTATTTTCAAGAGCTTCCATTGCTTCATTTATTTTTGATGAAAATTTAGCAATTTCTTCATCAATCTTGTCAACATAAGTTGCTAAGCTATTTTCTAGCCTACACATCTCAGCATACACCTCTTTTATCAAATTTTCTTTTAAATGCCGCAGATTTTGTATTTCATTTTGCATGTAAAGCAAAAAATCATCCATTGCTGAAATGTTATTTCCACGAATCAATTTGTCAAAAGGGTGAAGTGTACACAAACCCAAAATTATCTATAAAAGTTTATTAGCAATAAATCATTTTTCAAGGAACCAGAATATCTTCAAAAACCTTTAAATAGTTAGCACAAAAAACTGTTTTTTGCAGCTACAGCTTGTGATAGCATTTTTCTGGTACCTTCGAAACTAAATTTACTGTTAGTCATATTTACTTTTTTCTACAGATTTAGTCGTAATAGCTGCCTTAATGTTTAAGATACACGAAATTAGTGTAGCTGATGCAATCCTTGATCTGTTTATAGAAACAAAAGAATTATTTTTTATTCTTATTACTTCTTAAAATATGTCTTGATTATCAATTAAGAATTTTATATTTATTTTGCATTTTCCTCACCGACCATTCTTGACAATTCCTCTTTTTTGAGTCAAATCAAAGTTTATAAGTCTTAAAAATCACTCAATCTCATTCTATTTGGAAAGTAAATAACTATTGGTAGCAATAGTAAGGTAGTGTATCCTAAAGAGCCATATATGGACATATATAAATTATAAAAGTTTGAAAGTTAAACAATAAAATTATAGCTTTTTACTCTTAATTTAGGCTGAATTACATTTAATTTGCCTATAAAATCATATATTATTTAGCCAAAATAATCATTTACCATATAGAACCTTTATTTATTTAGTATCTTCATAGAACGCCCTTATTACTGCCTTCTACGAACGCTATTTGAAATTGTTTTTCCAAAGAAGGAGCTTGAAGAAGCCTTTTGAGCCGGAGCAGGCATTGTAGCCGCTCTCTGAAGTTGAGCATCATCAGGCTTACTATTTCTTGATTCAAGGTCTTGGCATTTTTTATATATTTCATTATAAGCATCTTTTAAATATTTGTTGCTCTGCTCAGTCACCTCTATGTTTTTTATTAGCTCAATCTCTTTTGCTTTAAGTGCTTCATATGACTGTTTCAATTCTTCATTTTCTTTCATATTTTTTTGTTCAGTTATCTCTATTTTTTTTATTAGCTCAATTTCTCTTGTTTTAAGTGCTTCATATGACTGCTTCAATTCTTCATTTTCTTTTATATATTTTTGTTCAGTTATTTCTATTGTTCTTATAAGCTCAATTTCTCTTGCTTTAAGTGCTTCATATGACTGCTTCAATTCTTCAGTTTCTTTTATATTTTTTTGGAATAATTGATTCATACTTGTTTTCACTTCAAGCAACTCAATTTCGAGGTCTTTATTTTTTTTGGAAATTTCTTGTATTTCTGAGATTTTTTCCCAGCCAAGATTTTTATAGATTTCTGGAATTATTGTTTCATATGGAGTATGTAAAATTGAGATTTGATTGTTTTTTTGGATATAATCAATAGCTTCAGATGAAGACAGCTTTAAATAGTCTAAGCTTGGATTTTTATTGCTGCTTTCTAATGTATTCATTATTTCGCTCATATTCTCTACAATTCTTCTAATCTCTAGATCTATCTTATCATTATAATTTTCTAACCTTTTTTACGATATTGTAATAAATAATTGAATGATATAATAATAATAGATAAAAACTTTTAAAAGATAAAATTTTATAAGAAAAAAGCAGTAAGTTACTTTTCAATTTTATAATTGCAGAATATGCCTCCAATGATAAATTTCTTTTTAAATCCTCCAACTTTTGGATTTCATTTTGCATGTAAAGCAAAACATCATTTTTTGTTTGGAGATAAGGATCATCAGGCAAATTTTCAAAGCTATGCTTACCTGGTGAGATTACATGAACTCCTAGGTGTCCAGCACAGAGCAGCAATTCTGGATTTTTACAAGAGCATTTAGCTATAGCTTTTGCTTGGCATCCTCCAAAAGTGCATATGAGCGTTCTCATATTTCTTAGTTTATTGCATATTATCAGATTACAACAGAAAGAAAACTCTTATTTTAGTATAAATTTAGCCTTACTGTGTTGAATTATTTCATAATTATAAAGAATTAATCTATATAACATTTTTTATAAAGAGGATAATTTAAATTTTTCTTGTGCTAAAATAACTCACTAATTTAAAGAGAAATTTGCCTAACTAATCATTATTGTTTGATAATTTATTATTAATTTGGTTTATTTATTGAAATTTGATTCTTTTATGTCATTTAAAACTATGTATACTGATATTTCTATTGCTTTGGAAAAATATGATAAAATTGTTGCTGAGAATTTTAGGCTTCACGGGTTTAAATTTTTGTTATACTTATAAATTTAATATGGCAGATGCCATTTAATTGATTTTAAAATATAAATAAAATGGCCAGAGCGAAAATCCTCCATAAGAGTGTGTTTATATATTTTGACCAAATAATAAAAGATTTTTGCTGTTTTATTTTAATATACCATTAGCCTCTGAAAAAGGTAGCTTTAAATACTCTAAGATAGTATTTATGGTATTAGTTTCAAAAGTTTGTGCAATTTCACTAATATCAAGTTTAAATCTTGCAAATTCTTGGTCCTGCCTATGCAATTTTCTAGCTTTATCTTAAAAAAAATTATTTAATTATTATTTTTATTAAAAAGTTGATATAAATAGCTTCTTATGCAGAATGTTCACTTTCATCATAGTAAAAAATTATTTTGCATGCATATTCTAGAACTTATCTCTTTGACTGCACTTTTCTTTAATTTCTTTAGATAATTAAGATTATTCTGCATGTAAAGCATAATACCAGTTTTTGCTTGGCGACAAGGATCATAGAATACTTTCTCATATTTATGCTTAACTAAATGTTTGACTTGTGATATCGGGAGATATCGATACAGCCCGAGCCAAAAAGAGGCTCAGGCTATATAGTTATCATTTTGTGTAATAATTTAATCCTAACGCTTTTAATTATGTCCATGATCCAGTAAAAAGAACTTTTTTCTTATTGCATACGCGGCATCTTCTATTATGCATACCCTTAATTTTTTCGAAATCTGGAAATGGACAATTCCCACAATTAAGACACCCGCAATCATTTTTATGAATTTCATTAGCGCGAAACTTTCCCATGCATAAAGAGCAAGTATATCCCCGCCCATCAACAGTAGAAACTTTAGAAGACTCAATACTGCTTTGCTTAAAAAAATTTATCTGAGGTATACCAGGTATGCTTGGGATTAATCTTACTGGCTCAGGAATTGAAGATCTTTTAGGCTGAGATTGGCAATTCTGATGATCTTCTATAAGTTGATTATATCTTAGCTCAAGTTCTCTCTTTTCTTTATACAACTCATCATAAATCTTTTTCAAATTTGTATTAGTCATCTCATATGATTCTATTATTTTTGTGTGCTCATATTCATTTTGGTTTATTTTTTCGTCACACGACTGTTTTACACTAAGCAATTCTTCGTCTAAATCTTTAATCTTGCTTGACATTTCTTGAAACTCTGACAGTCTGAACCATCCTAAATTTTTAAAGATCTCGGAAATTATTGATTCGCTAGTAGAATCCTCAATCAAATTTTTATTATTTTCTTTGAAGTAAGCAATAGCTTCTGAGGAAGGCAGCTTTAAATACTCTAGATTTGTGCTGTCATTACTATTTTCTAATGCTCACATAATTTCATCCAGATTACGTCAAAATGAAACAATTTTTTCATCTATTTTTCCAATATAGACATCTAATTCCCCACCAAAACTATTGGAAAAATTTTCTGGTAAAAACCTCTATGAGAAAAACTAAATTTTATAAAAAATTTTATATATAAATAACAATTATTAAAATGTAATGTCTAGTTAATCTGTTGAATTTAAACAAATTGCATTTTTTAAAAACATAAATTTTACACATTAAATGAATTTTTAGCTTTCAAATTGGGATTTTTTTAAATTTTGGATAGAGCATTTACTATAAATGCTATTTATACTTTTTTTAAAAAAATTAACCTCCTTCCTGAGCGAACAAAATTTTTTTGTTCACTCACGAAGGGGGAGGAGTAAGCTACTTTTTATCTTGCACATCTCAGTATAAACTTCTTTTGTTATATTTATCTTTAAATTTTCCAAGCTTTGGAGTTCGTTTTGTATATAACTTAAGACATCATTTTTTGTTTGGAGGTAGGGATCATCAAACAATTTTTCATAGTCATGCTTACCTGGAGAGTTAATTAAATGATTGCCTAAATGGTCAGCACAAAACAATAGCTCTGGATCTTTGCAGCGGCATCTAGCTGTTGCTTTCATCTTGCATCCTTCTTGGCTGCATATGAGCATTCTCATTTTTAATTTATTTACAATATTTAAGATAACAACAGAAAAGGGTGCAAATTGGTCATGCTTATCGATTTATTGTGCGATTTAGTAGACATAAAGAACATTAATTAAATTATGAAAATCTTGGGCTTTTTGTTTTCAAGAAATATACATAAAATGGCGATAACGTCCGGCCCATCCTCTCGTGTACAGGAGTCATGCATGTCCCGGCATGGCTTTTGGATCAGAAGCTGGCCCAACTGGATCTAGTGTCCTACAGCGAAGGACTTAAACATAGGGCTGGTTTGTGACCTAATCAAATGAGCAGCTACTCATGAATTCTTTTTTCTTACAGGACTAGAGCCATCGGACGCCCGAAATGGAGCAGGGTGAATTATCTGCTCAAGCTGCTGTGGTGGTATGCACCGAATGGCGGAAGCGGTTGAGTTTTTCTTCAGGGATGACCTGGGAAAAAGCAAAGGCAAGACAGTCTATCAGGTTTAAGGGCTCCAAATAGGGCCGATATCGGAGGCAGGGCGAAGTACTTAACAGTCGAAAGGGGAAAGTTGGAGATGATGGCACCCCCGGTGAAGGTTTTCAACCTAATAGTGAAATATAGCTAGATAGGATGACTGGAACGGGGCTTTTTTGGCTTGCCGGCAAGCCAAAAAAGTCCCGTTCTAGTCATCCTATCTAGCTATACCACTACCAAGAAATCAGGGGTTTCGGCATAGGCTAGGAGTTAGCAATGTGAAAGTCACCCAATTCAGGTTTGCTTTCATGCAGCTAATGCCCAACAGAATGCCACTATTGAGAAGCGGGGACTTTAAATAGCTATCGAATAATCCAATCTAATCTATTGTTTTCAAGGATGATATATTAATAATAATGGATATGTATAATTGTCACTGAATTTAGCTAATAAATTTGAGTATTTTAGCCAAGCTCGATAAAATACATCTATATTCTTTTATTAAGAAAATTAGCGAATTTTAAATTCTTCTCATAGCCTTCTGCAACTCTCATAAATGCTAGAGATTCACTTATTTTGAATAATAAAGGTTTTAATTAAATTGTTTATCAATTGAATCCTTTATACGCAATCTGTTCATACTTTCTTCAATCTTTTATTTAAAACACTCATAACTCAATTGTTTTGCACTCGACATGGAAAAACTCTAACTTTATTCCAAATTTTCATTGAAAAAACTCTAATTTTATTACACAAATTTTTATTTTAAATACTTGTTTAGAAAGATTAATTTGCCCCTCCGTGAATGAACAAAAAAATTTGTTCGCTCTCGGAAGTAAAATTAATTTAGTTTATAAAAATTTAAAAAATTAAACAGACGAAGCTAGCGATTTCATTATAATAATTATCATATATATATCAATTTTTTTTTTCATAAAAAAATTTTTGTTTCGCTCATATAGGGTTGATTTTTGGGCAAAAAAAAGAATTTTTTAATGGTTTGTTAGCTCATGGAGGGGGTTAAGGTTATTTGCATAGCCAAAAAAGTATCATTTTGATTGTCTCGAATATTTTAATCTTCCTGATTTTTAAGGCTGGACAATTTCTAATGTTTTATTTGTCAAAATTACACTAATCTTATAGTTTTCAGGTTAATTTTAATTAAATATTATTCGCTACTACGAATAAGCCAAACATGGCAACTTTTTAAGCTACAAATTAGGATTTTGGTTCAAAAGACAATGCGTGTATTTATCAGATCCAAATTCTTGGCTTTTAATTTCAAATTCAGATAAAGTCAAGCAATAAATACATGTACAAACTTTTTCTGAAGGTGTAATCTCTTTTTGCTCAATTATTTTGGATTCAGCATTAATAATTTCAAAGGTTACCTGACTATTCTGGATACATTAAAATGGCGCAGTGAGCGAAATTTGCATTCATTTGGGCTTTACATCGCGGGCCACAATATCAGGCTGAGCCAACCTTTAGGACAAGACTTTGCCACTTGGAAATATGGTTTGGTGGAGTTGGAAAGGGAAAGCCCAGCAAGTCTACTGGATCTCACTGCCAATCGAGTAAAATTCCTAGCAGTTCCAAGTGTTGCATCCTGCTCAGGATTTCATTTTGGTCAATAACTCGACAAGAAAATTCATTTTTCAATTTTCTTAGAGCGAACCTATGGGTACGTAGCGAGTACAAGCCCTCATCTGTAAGAAGCAAGAGGTGGAGTGTTATGCAGGGCGATTATTAAGTGAGTAATGTTTGACTATCTGGGTCAAGCTCACTGGATTCTCGTGTAGTGGCTGCAGTCAAAGGAGTTTTTACAACCTCCAGCTCATAAATATTCTGCTCCAATTCAAGGCATCTTTTATACAAGGATATAATCACAAAATTTTTTAACCTTTCACTTTCTAACTCAAGCGATTGGTTTACAATCACCGCAAAACTTTCTCTGGTGCTCTTTTGACGACAAAACTTATTGCTTATTTTTTGTACATGAAAATGGTTTTCTGGGAATGTTTTTTTTTGATTTTCAGCGGGATTATTTTTGCGAATCTTATTTAATATAAATAAGATGGTGGCAAATCCATAAATTGTTTCTAATGCTGAAGCCTTAGACAAGTAGGGCCTCTAAAGCTTTTGGTCTAAAAATGGAGTATTCACATTATGAAAAGTCTTGGCAAGCACATAGAAAAATAGCAAAAGCTCCTTATATCATAATCTTATTTATCCCATTGTCACATACCATTTTTGAGTGTTTAAAGTCATTATATCCATGACTCTTGGCATCATTTATAATCTTTTTTAATTCCTCTCTATATTTTTCAAGCCCTTCATCTAATTTTTTAAGTCTTTCTTGTAATTCCTCTTGAATATTAATTGTTAGATTTCAAGCTTCTTCAGTAAGCAGCTTCTTTTCTTTTTCGATAAGGTTGATTTGATCTTGAACAAATTGAAGCGCTATCCTATCAGTACTAAGGCTAAAATCATCAAAAAGGCGTTATACATTTACCTCGAAGTGATTTTCTCTTGAAAAAATTCTCACTTCCTTAGTGAGAAAAAATTTTGGCTTACTTACAGAGGGGCGATACAAAATTTTGAAAACAAAAATGTAATTTAATTTATAAAATTAAGGTTTAATAGAATTAACAAGATATTTCGTTATTATTATATTAAACAATTATTGCTCGTTTACGTAGGAGGATTTTTCAATTATTTTGCTTGTTTACTAAGGGGAGTTAGGGCTATTTAGTCTGGACTTTTACCTTATCAGGCATTTATTTGAAAATAATGCATAGTTTTCGACTAAATGGTCTGAGGAAATATAGCATCAAAAAACTGCCCATTTCGTTCTCTAACTGCATGATCCATTAAATGATATTCGCAAAATTTATGTTTTCGACAAAAGCATATCTCTATTGCAATTTCGAAACAATCTTTAACCTTGCATATAATAGAGTCCATATTAATTTTATTGATTTTAATTGAAAACTCTCTGAAATCCATCCAAAAATAAATTTGGTTTAAATTTTTAACAATTGTTTATTATTTTCACCATCTTCTATATTTTATTACCGGAATTTTTGAATTCTAAAATATTAAAAAAATTTATTGAAAATGTTTTATATTAAGGTAATAAATCACAGCATGGGCTTTGGGCGATTTCTCTTACGGTATTTCCATCTGAATCTTGTAAACTTAAATCTATTCCAGGCATTGAAATTAGCAGTGTAAAAATTTCAGGATTATTCAGCTCAGCAGCATAATGAAGAGGTGTCATCCCTAAATTATCTTGTAAATTTACATCAGCCCCAAGTTTTAAAAGTTGGGACACAATTTCTGAGTTTTCTGCATCGGCAGCGTGATGGAGCGGTGCTAAACCTTCAGAATCTTTTACGTTCACCCCAAGTTCTTCGAGTAGCTCTATATCAAGCTCTCCATTTTTGACGGCTTCACACAATTTATGGACTTTTTCTTGATGCTCATCCCTAGGAGCTTCTTCTTCTTCCTCTTCTAGCTGAAATTTGCTGACTTTATTTCCCCAGTTTTCCTGACTTTTTGATGCTTGTATAATAGATATATACAGTAAAATATTTTTTTTTTAAAAAATATATATAGATTTTAATTAAAAAATAAATTTTTGGTACTCAGCTTCAGCTTGCTCTTTTGATTTTCCAAGATGCATAATCCAGGATTGATATTTCATTGAGTCAATCATGGATGAGGGTGGAGGAATATTGCAGTCTCCAGCTGTAGCTTGCTTATAAAGCCCATAAATAAGTAGCTGTATATCTTGTGTGAGAGTCAATTTTTTTGCCTCAGCACATGCTTCAGCAAATTTTAGACTCATTTTTATTAATTACCTAATTTCAGACGAATTTTTATAAAATTATGCAGTTACCCATTCATTTCCTGATTTAACTTTTCCGCATTTTCTGCATGATTTTTTCTTTTTAAAAATCGAAAATATTTCTTCATACTCAGGAAGCATGCAGTTTTGGCATGAAATGCATCCGCATTCATTTTTCTTTAAAGCTAAATCATCATTTACAATAACTTGGCAAATACAGCATTGATATATATGCTTCATATTCCCAGGCTTTACCAAAGAGTGAGACTTTTTCATTGATTTTCCATACTTACCATACAAAATTTTGTATGATGCGTTTATATTGTTATACTCAATACTCAGCTTGCAGTTTTCTGCTTTCAGCTGCTCAATTTTTGTATTTAATTGGCATCTTGTATTTTCTTTTTCATCTTCAAATACTAAAAACTGCAAGCTTGACTCCTCTTGAAAAGACTCGTGCTCTTGTTTTAACCTTCTAATTTTTTGGATTAATTCTTGGTTTTTTACGTTGAGTTCTTTGTTTTCTTTTTTTAAATTTTTGTTTTTTTCAGCTAAAAGCTTCATTTCGGAGGTTTCTCTCCACTCAAAATTTTTCTGGATTTTGTATATTTTTTCTAGGATTTCTGTATGTGACATTGATTTTATAGATCCTGCATTTTTTGAGTTTAAATAATCAATGGCTTCATCAGACGGCAATAGTAAAAACTCCATTTCGTGCAATTCGTCGGTCCTTGGAATTTGGTCAGTGTTCATGATTTTTAGCAGCTCTTTTTTTGTTTTTATGATTTCATAGTCTATTTTTGATATAAATTTTAAGGTAAGCTAGGCTGAATTATTTTTTTATTTAAAATGATTTATTTTTATGGGAAAAAGGATAAATAGTTCCCAAGAAAGCTTTGAATAGCAATCATATCTTGGGACAATTTTTGGGTGAGTCTTGATCGGAGAGATCTGAGGCTTGCGATTGAATTATTTAAATGAGAAATCGAGGCAACTTTAGTTGCTTGAAGCGGAAAATTAAAGAGTTTTACACAATTGTGTACACCTGTTGAGTATAATAAGTGGGCATCTATATGAGTTTCGCAAAACATGATATTTTCACAAAGGCACTTTATGTTGGCTTTCTTGGGACAATTTTCAATGCTGCACATCTGGTCCATAATTATTATATATTATAGATAAATCAAAAAAACAAAAATTTATAGCCTGAGCAAGAAAATAGCCTGGTGTGTGCTAATCTTTTCTGGTCTAAAGTTGAGTTGGTAGAGCCAAATTATATTGGCCTTGTGTTCTCTTAAGATTGATCTGTGAATTTGAAGCTAGTTTGGCCCAAAAAAATGTGTAAGACAAATTCCTCTATTTTTTAGAAAAGATTGCAAAAGTCTGAGCTATCTTCATGCTCATGCTATAATAATAATAATCTGTTTAATTGTTACTTTATTCTTATATATTAGCAATGAATTTAAAAAATATTCAAATCTTTATATAAAAAATTACTCCATAAGTGAATTAATTTATCAAGCTTTATTAGTAGGAATTTTAATTCTTTTAAGTTAAAAACTATTTCCTATAATCAATATATCAAATTCTATTTCACTATAATGTATATATATAATAAAAGCTATAGCCATTTTTTCAACAACAGATTTCACAAATTCATATTAGAGTTTATTAAATAGCCTTTATCTTTCTCTAATAAATATCTCATGTCCACAAACTCTGCATCTGTCCTTAATACAGCATCCAATCATTCACCAATACTCCACTCTTTCATATAGTCCACATGTTTTGCAGCTTATACACCCACAGGGATTTTTTATTATTTTACTTTTAGGAAACATTTTCTTACACATGATACATTCATAGCACTTTTGATCATTTTTTTCGAAAAATCCCATAGCTTTTTCACACATTTTACTAAAAAAGCTTCGCTTTTTTTGAGGAGAAACTTTATTATCGTTTAAATCTATTGTGGAAGATTTTGGTTGGCTTTCATGCTCGCTTTCTGTGCTTTGCCCATCATTGAGAATCTTTGCATTGCATTCTAAATAAGGATCATCATGAATATCTTGGGCTTTTAAGTTTTCAATTGAGCTCATTTTACCTTAAATATGTATATAATAGCCTAATCTAATCTGATTAAAAATATTTCTAAAATAATTTAGAATTTATAAGTAGAGACTTCATTAAGTTTTTTATCATAAACAATAATATTAATAAAATTTCAGCTAAATATATAATGATTATTTCCATTCTTTATTTACATTCTTATTAAGAAGAATTTTAAAGGCGATGCCCAGTTATTTGTCTCATTCTTTTGCAAACCCTGCAAACCACATTGACGAAGTATCCTTGCATATGATCAAATTTTTTGACTTCTAAAATATTGCATTTTGTGCATGTCAAGCACCCACAAAAATTTTCAATTACAGCTGATGAGTCAAAAATCCCTCCACAATTACAGCATTCCAAGCTTTCTCTTATTTCAATTTTTATTTCAGTAGTCTGTGGGTTTATAGTATCAGTTCGGGACGGATTTTTAAAATAATAGCTTTTCAGTGGCTTGCTTTTGGAAGCTAAATAATCATATATAGCAGTTTCTGGCTCTTTAAGAAGTATAGGATTTTGGCTCATTTTTTGCTTATCCTCATTATTTTCCTCTGTTTTTATAGGTAATTCTGATTTATTTTGTAAAATCTCTAAATCAAGCTTATTCTTTTTCTTATGAGTTTCTAAGTTAGGTGACGGACTTTCTTCAAAAGTATGAGAACTACTAGGAGAGTCACTAATATCATGTATTTTGATCCTTTCTGCGCTTCTCATAAACAAATTTATATCTCTCATCAGTGCTTGCAGAGCATTACTATTAATAACGCCTATAGTTTCATTAATAGTGCTGCTAACAGATCCTCTTCTTTCTAGTAAACTTGAATCAGCTGATGATTTTCTGCTTGGTAAATTAACCTCAAAAGGCTCTTTATCTAATTTTTCGTCATTAAATGACCATCTTCTTTCAGTTGACTTTAGCGAAACATTGAGGTTTGTGTCGTCTGAGACAATCAGCTCTTTTATTTTTAAATTAATTCTAAATATTTCTCTATCTATTTTTGTGGTGCAGCTGTGGAGACTTTTTTCAATCATAATGATTTTTAATGAAATTTCTTTGTAGAGGCTTTTTTTGAGCTTTTTAAGCTTTTCTGTTTGCTTTGTAAGATAAACACTAGTCAATAGATTTTGTATTTAAATAATTATTATAAATAATAAATCAACTTTACAATATGAGATTAATCTTATATATGCTTAAAATAGATTGAATTCAGTAGAGAATAATTAATATTTTCAGATTTGGTTCGAACCCTTTTTTCTGTGTTAAATTCAATCGCATGATGAGGCCCTGGAGAGCCTTGCAAATGTTTATTAATATGATCTGAGCATAAAAACGTTTCAGGATTGGCACAAGTACACATAAAATTTGCATCGTTTTTGCAGCCTTCAATATCACATTTGTCTGAAATCATATTTTTACTGTTCCATTTTCGTAATTTTATTACTCCTTCTTTTAATATTGAGAAAACATATTTTACATTGTATAAATATGCAATTAATAAATATTATATCGAATTTTTAGTGTAAATTAATATTAAATTTTTAGCCCTCTTAATAATTTGTTTTCTTTTTTAAATAGGAATTAGCTCTTTAATAAATTTATTTTTAATTAAAATTCCAAAAATTGACACAATTATTTATAGGAATTATTTTAATATTCTTCACCAAACAGAACTTTCATGCATGCGATGCTCCCATCTCTGCTGGCACTGAATAAGCAGTCATTGTATTCATCATATTTAATTTGTTTTACACCTTGATTATGAAACTGTGTAATATTTTGTTTTCCATTGTCCCAGACAATGATGCCATTGCCGCCAGTTACTAATTTTCCTTTAATTATTTCGATGCTTTTTATTTCACTGTCAACTTTTAAATTTTCAAGCACTCCACAAGTCCTTATATCCCATTTCTTGATAGTCCTATCTTCTGCAGCTGTTAAAAACGAATGTTTATCAATCAATTTAATACAATTAATTTCTCCATCGTGCTCTGTGAAAGTTGATAGGCATCTTGAAGCTCTCAAGTCTCATAGTTTTAAAGTTGTGTCGTTTGAGCCTGTGATAAAAGTAGAAGAATCATGAAGACACATGCAGGTTAAATTTTTATCATGCGCTTCATAACATTTTGCTAATTTTCGATTTTCAAAATCCCACACTTTTATATACCCATCACTTCCACCTGATAATAAAGTCCTCGCAGAAGGAACCGCAAGACAAATAACATTCCCATCATGTGCTTTAATAGAGGAAGCCAAAGAAATCCCTCTTTCAATGTTCCAGATTTTGATTTTTTGGTCACTGCCACCTGAAATTAAAAATGAATTCCCAATTATTTCTAAACAGTTAATTTTCCTCGTGTGAGCCTTAGTTGTAACGATGACCCCCCCTCAATCTCTTCATGTCTATTGCAACAAAAATGCAATTTTTTAATATAAAATTTTATATAAAAAAATAATAATTTTCATGTCTCTTGCAACAAATTATATACATTAAAATGGCGACACGTGTCAACCTGCCCTCTTGGTGCAGCAGTCCAGACCCTTATGGCTACGGCAGGCTGGGACCGACTCCGAGCCGAGAATCAGACTCAGGCTCAAGAAGTGTGTATCCGGGTAGGTTTTTGCTGCTTTCCTGTGGTTGGAAATGGAGATTCTCAACAACGTCCTTTGGATCCGAGGACCCATGGGCATTCCTCTAAAGAGAAACTGGGTGTTTCGGCCCACGCCATAGGGGAGCATCTTTTTCCTGTAGCTGTCGAAGGAAGGCACTTTGACACCCGATAGACTCCAAGGAGCTGATCCTTTGAATCAAGCTACTCCAACCGCCCGTAGCAGGGCCGCAGAAATCCATAAGCCTCCCACTCAAGACTGAAGCCGCAAGGAAAGGAGGAGACAGAAGGTAACGGAAGGGCACTTGTAAGAGGGATAGACCCTCTGGGCTGGAGTCGAAAAGCGGATGAGCCTTCCATACGTGAGGTCTTGGTGACTGCGTCACCAATATGGCTAGCGCCTATCTGCAATAATCCTAATCCTAACCCTCTTGCAACAAATTTTCGATGCGCATCTTAACTTTCCCGTACTTTTTAGCTAGATAAGTTTAATAAAATGGCGAGCGATGACAATAGCCGTCCAAATCTCGGTGAGAAGGTCATTGGCATGCCTACAGCAGCGCTGTTTTATGGATTTTTTGAGAAACTCACCTAGAGAAAAATGCATAAATTTTTTTTTTATAAAAATGTTGTGTTGCAGTAGGCATGAAGATTTTTTCGAAAAATTTTTGTTGCAGTAGACATGAAGATTGAGGGGGGGTCATCGTTAGTTAAAGGGGAAACAGTGGACCCGACTCGTCAGCTGTGTAAAATATTTGCATAAGGATCAGATATAGTTTTGTCAGGTAAGTTTCAGCTAGAAATTAAGTAGTCTTGTCCCGCGCTTCATAGTTTGTTTTTTCCTAATGCGATAGAATTCACACTGTTTTTGTGGCCGAGAAATAAAATTTCAAGGGAAAAATCTTTGCTTGAGAAATCTATACTGGTAATTATTATATAAATGATGGTAAATAAAGGCAATTTCTATTTTTAATGCTATAAAAGATCTGATTTTTGATATGTTTGCATAAATTCAAGGCAAATAAATATATATCGATATTGATTAAATTAAATTTCAGCTAAAATAATAAATAAAATAGCAAAATTTTAATATAAATTAATTTTCTATATTATACTAATTTTCCTTTTCTTGCGCTTGAAACTTTACTAAAATACTCATCAACTGCACTTTGATATGAGAGTTGAAAAGGAATTCTTAGCTCTGGAACTGGCGACCTTTTAGGTGAAATTTTATACACTTTTTCATGATGTTTTGGTCTTTTATGGTTATCTGAATTTGTGGCATACGTATAATAATTCGAATATTGGTCTTCACGCTGGCTTAACTCATATATACTTTATTAATTGTTTTTGTATAATAAATTTTCTATAATAATTAGTAAAAAAGACTAGCCCGCTATCAATTTTATATAAAATTCAAGATAATCAAGAATATTGACTTTGACCTTTGATTTTTCAAAAGATTTTCTAAGCTTGCTTTAATTGAATCAGGACGATAATGCAACGGCTTTTTTTCTGGAATTAAAACGCTTGACGATTTTGAATTTTTAATATCATAAAGGCTTTGTGGATAGCTCGGTTTTGCGTCTTTTTCTTTGTTTTTTGATGTGTGAGATCGCTTATGGTGGGATTTTGAACTGAAAAAATTGTCCGAGGTCGGTGTATTAAATTTTACGATACTTTGGAGCTCTTCATCTATAGGGATAGACAGGTCTTTGAAGTGAGGAGAAGGGGTTCTGGATTGAGATTCGCTTTCTGGGGTCGAAAAACTGATTAATTTTTTAAGACAGAGGCTGCAGTGGCCTTCTAATCATTGACTGGTTTTTGGATATGTACATGTGCAGATAGGTAATGATTTTTGAGCCTGGTGCCGGGGCTGACTTCTTCTAGACATTCTTTTTATCTGGATCTTAATATCAGATTTTAATTCATAACTATTAAAACGATAATATATAAAGCATGACAAACAACCTGTTAGCTACTATAACCTGTTATTTTTATTAAAATTTTTAGTTGCTGTATATGATTTAGATTAAATAATTAAATAAGATAAATATAAAACGTTTAGGGCGATAAAAGTAATTTATTTGTAAAAATTGAAATACAAAATATTAAGGCTGTAGAAATTATAATAATATGTCTATGAAGTTTTTTAACTATGAGGATTTCTGGATTTTTTGATATTTTCAGCTGCATTAGCTAAATTAATTATATTTTTTGATTAAATTTGTATACTTTTATATGTCATAACTCTTTCCATATATTTTTTAACTTCTCTATGTCGAATTTAGATTAAATTTATACTATATTTAATTGAATTAAACCAAACATATACAGCAGCTAAGAAAATATCTTCACCTGCTTAATTTATTAGCTTTCCCACTTTAAAAGTGACAAGATATTTTTTTGCTAACTCCCCCTCCGTGAGCGAACAAAACCATTAGAAAAATCCTATTTTTTTTGCCCAAAAACCCACCCTATGTCCTTTTAGCTAATACTTGGAAATTGCTACAGATCAAAAATCCAAAAGGGCAGCTTTGATTTTTCTCACTTCGAGATATATGGCGGAGCCTAGGAGAGGTAAAGGTTATAGCCAGTTTAACATTTTAACTATGGTATTATTTACTATGAGTATAAGAATAGTTTTTATTATGCGAAATTACTATAAGGCTAAATTCAGGTTTTGAGCTATTATTTTATGACGAGTTGATTCTTATAATGTTTTTCTTATAATAATGGATTTCTATACCGTGAGAGTATTGCATAGCTTCTATATAATTGTGGCTGTATATCTTAGACCAAAAGAAAATTTTTTTATCTGATTCGAGCAATTATGCAGAATGATTTTCTGTCTGAATTGAACAAAATCTTAATTAAAATAACTTATGAAGTTTTTTGGATAAAAAGTGCCTGAGATAGATGTGCTTAAATCGGAATATGCTGAAACTGTGAGGAGAAGTAATTCAAGATTAAGATTTGTTATCTAGATTTCAAAAACTTATTACTATTCTAAACTGATATTAGAGCAGCTTTTTGATGATTGAACATTATAGAGTGTACACTTGATGAATTTTGTGCTTTATAAAAAGCTGGCTTTTTAATGTGAATTTTTAATATTAAATTAAAAGTTCTAAAATATAATAAATTTCCATAAGCAATTTGCAAGTTTCTATAAGATTTATACATTAATGATATTAAATTTCTATTTTCTGTATATGATATAAGATAAATAATTAATAAAATTATATTAAATGATTATAAGTATATAGAGAAAAAGAAATATAGTAGTTATTTAAATAAAATATGAAATTTCGCATTAGAATTTAGAATGAAAGTTTCTATTGAATTTTTTCAATTATGAGCTTTATGGAAACCTTTATTTTCAACTAAAGTATATAGCTGTATATCTTTTAATATAATTAGCGATTATTTCATAAAAAACTTATTTGATTTCTATAATTCTTAATTTACTCTGATTTCAAGCTCTTTTAGTCATTTTTATCATTTTCTCTCCATGGAGTTTATATCAGATATATACCTTATTTTATTAAAATAAATAAGAGTATTAAAATAGCTCTATAAAAAATTCAGGAAATTAAATATAAGTACTAAAGCACTTCATGTCAGTTTAGTTTCCTAACTCCACATCAAAGAAAAAGCAAAATATAAAAATTTAAATATCAGTAGTAGATTTTTATATAAAATAATTTTAAGTCTTTCATTATAAAATTGAAAATTTACTCATAAAAATTAAAAATAATTTTATTAATCGAAATTAGGCCCCCTACATAAATCTTCAAAAATCACATTAAAAACAAGCTCCTTAAAAAGATATTTTTGCTGCTTGTATGGATAAGGATAATAATACATGCCTCTTGTGCAGATTCCAAAAATCCTTACCCCCCTTTTTAATTAGAACAAAAATTTTATTATTTTTCAATGAAAGATTTGCAAAGTAAAATAGTTTTTATATAAATAACTTTTGCTCATTTTAATGAATTTAGTGTAATAAATTACTATTTAAATGCTAACGCCCTTAATCTATTAATTCTGCCAATAATTTTTTATAAATTTTTTTTAAAAATAGGAAAATTAACACCTTTAAATTGGAACAGATTTTTGGTTCCAATTTAAAAATAGGAAGAGCTAAACTTGATCACAGGATCTGGTGGGCAATATTCGGGATATCACAGGTTTTAGTCTTTTGCCTCATGCTAGGAGCAATGTTCACTACCAGCTGGGTCGAGCTAAATGACTCAGTCTTCAAAGGAAGCATGCTTTATCTCAGAGAATTACTCGGAGAAACCGGAAACGAGCTTTACAGTCACTTTTACGATAAAAAAGACGGCTGCAAGCATTTGCATAAATTCTCCCTATGCAAACTTATCAATGATCTTGATACAGCAGGCACCGCTTACAACTTTTTCGAATGAATTGGCTTTATTTTCTTATGTGTTTGGTTTGGCTATTTCTTAAGCCTTATTATGAAGTGTGGAAGCTGCCGATGCTGCTGCTTGCATAGACCTTATTGTGAGGCAATAATGGTCGTTATTTGCCATTACATAGCCACTATAGCATGGCTTTCAAATTCCCATGCAGAGTTTAAGAGCGATTGTGATTGGGATCGCAGCCAGACAGATGTTCCTACAATTTGTGCTAAGGATGGACCAGCTATTGCGATATTTTTGATGGTGTTTTTACCAATTATTGTGGTCGTGTTTATTTTTGTATTCCAAATTGCGTATAAAGATCTTATAGCAGCAAGAGGGGAGAATCAAGGACAGCTAGTGGTACAGCAAGGTGGATATATGCCTCCAATGCCTGTGCAGCCTGTACAGCCCGTTCCACAGTTTTATCAGGCTTATCAACCTGCTCCAGTGATAGGACAAGGATATCCGGCACCTAATCAACAATTCGCTCCACCAATGCAATATCCTAATTATCCGCCTCAATATCAGCAATTTCCACAACCTCAAGCACCGGGCCAAGTCTAAAACCTAAGATAACCCTTCAAAAATTAAATTTGGGATTTTATTAAAAATTCTTCTTATCCCATATAATTTTCCGGATAATATAAGAGCAAATTCCAATGCAAAATTTCAAGGATTTGGTAAAAAAATATTTTATCATAATTTAAAGTCCTTTTGATTGGATTTAGAGTTTAAAAAAGTTTATAAATTAGTTCTATTAATTTTGAAAATAATTTTTAGTTCTATAAGGGGATTATTGGGATTTAAAGGTAATTTTGTTTGAGGTGAATATCATAGATAAGAAAACCTGATAATTATTTTTTAATGGAATTCAGCTCAAAGACATTGGCTTGCTTTGATGCTTCTTTTAGGCATTCTTTTTTACAAATCTAGCTTACAGCCCTTGGCTTGTTACTATAGAAGTCTAAAATTTTGAATAGATTATCTAAATCGCAAAAATATTAGAATTGTCTTTTTTGTATAGAAAATAAAGTGGATAATTAGTTTAAATAAACATTCATACGAATAAAATGACTGAGGAGAGCTGCTCGTACTCTCATTATGGGGTCCTTATGTATAATGGATGAGGCTTTTGGTATCAATTATAGCCCAGCGATGTCAGTATCTCAAGGTGAGAGATATGAGACTCTTTTCAGTTGAATTGACTCCTGGACCTTAGGCAGTTAATTGCATTTTTTTCCCAGCAGCAGCCCTGCATGAGGGTACGTGAAGAAGCAGTGTGAGTTCCTGCTCAAGCTGCTGAGAATTTTCTATATATAGCCAGGGAAACTAGGAGACAAATTAAAAAGTTGGTTGGCACCAGCAAAGGAGTCTCTCCAAATGAAAAAGGTTTTCATAGAGAGAACAGTCAAAAATATGATTTCTTGCTGCCTAAAATCAATCTGCTCACTCCCCCCCCCCCCCCCCGTGAGCGAACAAAACCATTAGAAAAATCGCCATTTTTTGACCAAAAACCCACCCTCCGTGAGTGAACAAAAATTTTTTTAATAGAAAAAATTTTTAATGGAAAAAAATTTTGATATATAAGTGATAATTAGTATAATGAAATCTAGAGCTAATTCTGTTTAATTTTAAACAAATTGCGTTTTAAAAACATAAATTTTGCAAATTAAATTAATATTTGCTTCCCAATTTTTGCAAATTAGGATTTTTTTTAAATTTCGAAAAAAATATATTTTTTATAAAATTTATATATAAATTTTGTTTAAAAAAAAAAAATTAACCCCCCTCCGTGAGCGAACAAAATTTTTTTGTTCGCTCACGGAGGGGGGGGGGGGGGGAGTCAGCAAATTCTTTTAGGTCCTGTGCATTCCTATACATAGAAACTAGGGGTTTCAGCCCAAACTTCAAGAAGGTAGTGCTACCCGCAGCACACCACTGCGGAAACGAGAGAGAACAATGAATTAGGGACTTTACATATCTATCATTAATCAAATCTAATCTAAACATTCCAAAACTCATAGAATTATCAGCTGAATATGAATATTTATTTATAAAAATAAAATTTGATATATCAAGTGTTGAAGAAATTGCAAAAAATATTTTCTATTGAATTTTAAGCAACAAGCTTTTTTGAATTTTTTGTATTTTTTCCAAAATTCACTTAAATAATATCATTCTTTGGTTTTATTTGTGATTGTATCTTGATAGCTTACAATTTTTTATGATATTAGGGAAAATAAATATATGCCATTCGTACAGATTCCAAAAATACTCAAGCTTGACCATAGTATTTGGTGGGCAATATTCGAGCATAACAGGCTCTGATCTTTACCCTTATGCTTGGGTCAATTTTTACTACTCACTGGGTTGAACTAAAGCCCCATTTCTTAAAAGGGAGCATAATGTATCTCTTAGAGAATTCCTCGTAATTTTAATTCAATTTAAAATAAAACTAAGCATATGTCATTCATTAAGATTCCAAAAATCCTCAATATCGAATGCAGGATCTGGCAGGCAGTATTTCGCTCTCTGAAATATCTGCTTTTACCCTCATCTTAGTCTATTAGTACTACTAGTTGGGTATATCTAAATCCTTGCGTATTAGAGGAAGCCTACTTTCCTCAAAGAACTCAAAGGGAATACTCTATGTATTTATGGAAATAAAATATAAAAATGTAGAGAAATTTAATAAAACAATTTCTTGGAAGTTTTTATATTTTAATCTGTATTTTTAGAGCTAGGTTTGTCAAAATAGCCTTACTATTTGATTTTCCTCACGATTATTCTCAAATGACTCAATAAACTTCTTTGAATACTGATCTCGTCTGATATCGTTACATCAGTAAATTTTTGCATCTCTCTTATCTTCATAAAAACTATTTGCTGATGTATACCAAAACACTGCAATATCTCTAATATTTATTTTTATTTTTTATTGAATAATTACCATTAAATATATAAGGTTATTTTTGATAGGGGGTAGAGAGAAGGGGATTTAAACTTGAGTATATGTTGGAATCGCTAGCAAAGTTAATAGCATGTAATTTTTTAGATTGCGGAGTTTGGTTTCTATATTGCCCTACTGTAAAATCATTATTCTTTTCCGTATCGCACTTGTCAGCATGAGACTTTTCACCGTACTACTCTTTATGGACGAGGGCCTGCACTCACTCCTCTCAAATCAGGAAATTTGGTTTTTTGAATTTTTACAAAATCTACTCGACTGACGCGCTATATGCCAACACAAATCTACTGGTAAAAATGGAAAGTCAAGACCCTGGACTCAACATCTGATATCATGCTGGATAACTCCCAATTGGCCACAAAAACATCCTGTCTCGCACTTCGGGGAGAATTTTTCTACTTCATGTCCCATTTCCTATGCGACAAAAACCTGCCCCAGATTGAATTTGGCTGATCAACTCAGTATGGCCGTCCTGCTTCACAAGTATAACCTAGCTGATACACATAGGACGTCTCTTCTCTTTAAATCCCAACAAGAGTTAAGGGCTTGGCTTAATCATCAAGTCATTTAAAGATATGATTTTTTATTAATATAATTTCAAAAATATATTTGCTCAAAATTGAACCTACCTCTCTTATCCCATCTATAATACATTAAAATGGCGATATGTGCCAGCCTGCCCTTTTGACAAAACGGTCCAGACCTTATGGCTATGTCGAACTGGGACGGGTTCCAAGTCGAGAAACAAGTGCAGCCTCATGTAATATGTATCGGGTAGGTTTTGGCTGCCCTCCTGTGGTTGGAAATGAAGGTGTCCAGCAACGTCCTTTGAATCCAAGCAGCCATACCGAGAAGCTGAGGATTTCGGCCTAGGCCACAGGGGAGCAGTCTTTTCCCTGTAGCTGCCAAGAAAGGCACTTTGACATCCGAAGACTCCAAGGATCCTTGGAGTCAAGCTACTCCAATCGCCTGCAGCAGGACCATAAGCCACCAACTCAAGAATGAGCAAGGCAAGGATGAGACAGAAGGTACCAGAAGTGGCACCCACTTTCGGGTGGATGACCCCCTAGAATCAAACAGTGGTAGAACCTTCCGTATAGGAGGTCCTTGGTAACTGTGACACCAATATAGCTAACGCGTGACATTAAATAGCCTTACCTAGCCTCTTATCCCAAATTTTATATTAAAAGTCTTTGCTTCTAAATTCGTCAAAATAATATCAGCAACATTAAATTTATTGAAAAATTACTTCTAAATAAGCTATTTCATTCTTATGATTCCTAATCTCGTCTGATGTCACAAATATCAGTCCATTTTTACTTCAACCTCATCTCAATTCATCAATCTTAAGCTTTATTAACTCTTCTTTTCCAATAATTTCTAAATCTCTATAAATTCTAGCAATCTCTATATCATTACACGTCATTTAATTTAGACATTTTATCCCTATTAAAAAGTCTATATATATCCTTCATATATTTAAATATCAATATAAAAAAAAATAAAAATGCTATTTACCTAATTAATTTAAAACAGAAAATATATGCCATTCATAGAAATCCCAAAAATTTTCAGGCTTGACTACAGGATCTGGTGGATAATTTTCTTTGTGTCTCAAATACTAATTTTTGCCCTCATGCTTGGTTCTATTTTCACAACCAAGTGGGTTCAGCTAGATCCGAGCATTATAAAAGGAGGCTTGCTTTACCAAAAAGAGTTCGTCGGAGCCACAGTAAATAAATATTACTGGGACGTCTATGATAAAGAATGCGAGGGTTACCACAAGTTTTCCCTTTGCAAACTAGTCAAAGATCTAGGCGTTGCAGGCAGATGCTTTGCTGCTTTTGAATGGATTGGCTTCTTTTTCCTGCTTGTATGGATTGGGTATTTCGTAAACTTTGTGATGAAGTGTGGGAATTTTAGATGCTTCTGACCGCATAGGCCTTATTGTGAGGCTATAACGGTAGTTGTTTGCCATTATTTGGCAACTATAGTGTGGCTGGCTAATTCACATGCGGAGTTTAAGAGCGATTGCAAATGGGACGGGAATAAAAGAGATATTCCTACAATTTGCGCAGAGGATGGGCCGAACACTGCGTTGTTTTTGATGATTTTTTTGCCTATTGTGGTGACCGTTTTTATTTGTGTTTTCCAGGTAGCGTATAAAGATCTTTTGGCGGAAAGAGAAAGGATTGAAGGGCAGCCAGTTCAGATGTCGGGATATATACCTCCTGTACAGTATGCACCACAGGGTTATCAAGCTTCTCAGCAATATCCAGTTCTCCAGGGGCAGCGCTAGTTTAAATAAATTATTATTCATTAACTTTTTTAGAATTTATAGTCACTTTTTTGGCTCAAGCAGGAGAAGATTCCACATAGAGATTAAGAATGAACTTTTTCTCAATTGAAACCCTTGTATTTTCTCTTATTTTGGCATTTTTTAACAGTTAAATTTGTTAAAATAAATCTAAAACAATAAAAGGAAACAATTGCATTTATAGCTATTGTGAGCTATCAAAATAATCTTTAGATAATAAATATTAATCTATATAATGAAAGTGCTTGGCATAGTAGCGCATCTAAACATCCTATATTATTTATCATTTATTTTCAATATTATAATCTCAATTATCGGGTAATATCTTCTTAAGTTGACACTTTCAGGTGTGCACTCTACATTTTTATCCTTTTCAGCAGACCAAGAATTATTAAGCATCAAATATTTGAACATAATTAGATATATGGTTTAATTTTTATAGAAAACAGTGCAAAACTTTATGTTTCATACAAAAAACAATAGAAAAATTAATAATTAATATTAATCCCTTGCTACCAAAAGTTAATCAGTCTTTATTAATGTTAATTCTATAAAGTTAACTCATGGTATAATAACTAACCGAAAATTCTAAAAGTTATCTTTTTACGTAGACTATAAAAGACAAACCAATATAAACGATCTTTAAAATTATCAAATAGCCAAATGTCCTATTTTCACAACCTGGTGAATAAATTATATAATATAAATCTTCATTTCTATAAAAATCCTTCACAAATTAAAATATGCCATTTGCTCGGATTCCAAACATTTTAGTTTGCGACAACCGGTTTTGGTGGGCAATGCTTTTTCTTAACCAGCTTTCGATATGCATCTCTATGGTCGGCTGCCTATTATTAAACGAATGGGTTGAACTCGGCCCTAGTGGCTTGATGAAAGGATCTCTTTTCAAAATTAATGGAACCTCTGGGAGCACAGATGTCAATAAATATTGGCACGACTACTGGAAAGATAACTGTGACAACGACCAATGGCGAGATTTCGGAATTTGCAAAGTAATCGATAGTTTATATGCTGGAAGCATTTATATGAGTGTAGGAGAAGTCCTAGCAATTTTATGTCTGCTTCTCTGGACTTATTCCTTTTTTCAATGGATTTATATAGGGAAAGGAAGAGCAAAGAGTCTGCATAGGCCATATATGCAAGCAATCGCAATGATAGGTTTTCATTATGCAGGAACAATAATATGGATTACTGAAGCAAAAGTCAAATATAGCGGGAGCTGTGATTGGGATGGGACTTTTTCACAAGTCCCTGATCTATGCGCAAAGAAAGAAGCTGAAGTAGCTTTAGCTTTGATGATTGTAATGCCTCTTGTTGTTGTGGTGTTTATTGTTATTTTTCAAGCAGGATATAAAGAGCTGGTGGAAGCTAGAAATCAAGCTGAAATAAATGAGTCTTTAGCGAGTGATTTCTTTTCAACGGAATAAACTAATAAGTTTAGCAATATTTTGATATATAAGCAATAATTAGTATAATTAAAGAAAAATAATCTTGGAATATTTTATTGGTTTTCATAATTATAAAATTTTTGATAGTTTTTTTATATAACCTGAGTTCGGGCTATAAATACAAAGTATGATTAAACAATAAATTGTGCTTAATTTTTGATATTTAATAGTAAAAGTTTGTATTGAACTTCGTATAAGTCTTTAAATCCTTCATTTTTTAAAATGCTTGAAACCCATTTTGAAAATCCTAAATCTAGATACGCAATACGAATTTTAATGTTGGTGGGATTTATACCGCAAAATAGCTAAGGATTCGAGCAGTAATATGGCCAATTGGAAGTGATTATTGTTAAAAATTAAAGACAAATATATAAGCTTAATAATTCTATTAAATTCCAAAACCTATAGTTTTTTCTACTTTGTAATTGAAATTAGCGCAATAAATATTATAAAACTACTATATTTTCGGCAATTATAAATTATTAAATAAATTTTAAATTAAAAAACTTCTGGAATTAATAGAGGGGGTAAACATAAGCTATTCTTGGCTTATCGGAATTTCTTAAATTACATTTAAAAATTTTACTATATTTATGTTTTTTTGTAAAATAATTTTAAAATTCACTTAAATGATATCATTCTTTGATTTCATTTGTGATCGTATCTTGATAGCTTACAATTTTTTATAAATTATAATTTTTTATGATATTAAGCTCTTTTAGTCATTTTTGCATTTTCTCTCCATGATTTTTGTATTAGATATATTCTAAGTTTATTTAAATTAAATAAAAAATCTTAAAATAAATAAATATTTATCAATGTATGATTAATTTAATAGGGAAAATAAATATATGCCATTCGTACAGATTCCAAAAATACTCAAGCTTGACCATAGGATTTGGTGGGCAATATTCGAGCATAACAGGCTCTGATCTTTACCCTCATGCTTTGGTCAATTTTTACTAATCGCTGGGTTGAACTAAAGCCCCATTTCTTAAAAGGGAGCATGATGTATCTTAGAGAATTCCTCGTAATTTTAATTCAATTTAAAATAAAACTCAGCAATATCCAGCTTTCTAATGGCAGCGCTAGTTTAAATAAATTATTATTCATTAACTTTTTAACAATTTATAGTCACTTTTTTGGCTCAAGCAGGAGAAGATTCCACATAGAGATTAAGAAGGACCTTTTTCTCAATTGAAACCCTTGTATTTTCTCTTATTTTGGCATTGTTTTAGCAGTTAAATTTGTTTTATTAGAATAAATCTTGTTTTTGCTGAAAAAATTAAAGGCGAAATTATTGAATATTACAATTGCATTTATAGCTATTGTGAGCTATCAAAGTAATTTTTAGATAGCAAATAAAAATCTTTATAATGGAAGTGCTTGACATAGTAGTGCATCTAAAAGTCCGATATTATTGATCATTTATTTCAATCTCATAATCTTAATTATCGGGTAATATCTTCTTAAGCTGACACTTTCAGTTGTGCACTCTACATTTTTTATACTTTTCAGCAGATCAAGGATTATTAAGTATCAAACATTTGAACATAACTAGATATTTGCTTTAATTTTTATAGAAAACAGTCCAAAACTTTATGTTTCATGCAAAAAAACAATAGAAAAATTAATAATTAATATTAATCCTTTGCTACCAAAAGTTAATCAGTCTTTATTAGAGCTAATTCTATAAAAGTTAACTCATGGCATAATAACTAACCCAAAATTCTAAAAATTATCATTTTTACGTAGATATAAAAGACAAATCAATATAAATAATTTTTAAAATTATCAAATAGCCAAATGTCCTATTTTAATAATTTATATCATATAAATCTTCATTTCTATAAAAATCCTTTTTCTAATCACAAGTTATAATATGCCATTTGCTCGGATTCCAAAAATTTTCAATATCGATTGCCGGGTTTGGTGGGCACTGATTTCTCTTTCCCAGCTTTTGACATGCATACTTATGGTCGCCTGCATATTAACAACCAAATGGGTTGAACTCGGCCCTAGTGGCTTGATGAAAGGGTCACTTTTCCAAATTACTGGATATATGCAAAAATGGTGGAACAGAAAGCCTGACCTTTTTCTTCAACATCAGTAGGCAATCGTCCAGTTTGAAGGGATGGGCGGAAAGAGGCTATAATCCTTTGTGCATATCAGGCTAGGTTTTTCTCGGGCCATAGGAGCTAATCGCTGGGACTTCAAGTTTTTGCCTCCGAGACCATATTTGGAAAGAGCAAGACCAGCAAAAGCACCGAGAGGACGATAAAATCTCTCTAGTAGGGCTCAAGAGGTGACATCTTCCTAACGAGAAACTGGGAGTTTTGCCCTATAGGCTCGAGGAATCATGGAAGCCAAGAACGGTAGTTCCATCCTTGCCTGTGGCGAGGAAGGTGTCTGCCAGAGTCTACCGAGGATGATGAGAATGCAGGGGTGAAAATTCCCGTCCCTGTGTAGGACTAACAGCTCACTTTATCTTAATATAAATCCAATTAATGGAACCTCTGGGACCACAAATGTCAATAAATTTTGGCATGACTACTGGAAAGATAACTGTGACAACGACCAATGGCGAGATTTCGGAATTTGCAAAGTAATCGATAGTTTATATGAAGGAAGCATTTATATGAGTGTAGGAGAAGCCCTTGCGTTTTTATGCCTGCTTCTCTGGACTTATTCCTTTTTTCAATGGATTTATATAGGGAAAGCAAGAGTAAAGAGTCTGAGTAGGCCATATATACAAGCAATCGCAATGATAGGTTTTCATTATGCAGCAACAATAATTTGGATTACTGAAGCAAGAGCCAAGTACAGCGGGAGCTGTGATTGGGATGGGACTTTTTCACAAGTCCCTGATCTATGCGCAAAGGATGGAGCTAAAATAGCTTTAGCTTTGATGATTTTGATGCCTATTTTTGTTATCATTTTTATTGCTGTTTTTCAAGCAGGGCATAAAGAGCTGGTGGAAGCTAGAAATAAAGCTGAAATAAATGCGCCTTTAGGGAATAATGTGAATGTTATTGGATTTGTTCCTCAAAATCCTCAAGGATATATACAACAGCCTTATGTGCAACCATATGGTCAGCCATATGTTCAACCACAGCAGCCATATGGCCAACCTCAGCAATTTTATGGCTACCAGCAATAGTCATATGCTTTTCAATCGAATAAACTAATAAATTTAGCAATAACAACCAAATTAAACTATTTTTGTTTATTATTTTTCAAAGAAATAATGCGATAAAATCTTCTAAACTCTCTCCATGGGCGAACAAACCCATTGAAAAAATCCCTATTTTTTACACAAAAAAACTCACCCTCTATAGTGAACAAAAATTTTTTCAATATAAAAAAAATGATGATGATATATAAGCGATAATTATATAATGAAATTTCTAGGTAATTTTGTTTAAATTTTAAATAGCTTGCATTTTAAGAGATAAATTTTACAAATTAAATTAATATTTGCTTTCAAATTGAGATTTTTTTAAATTTAACATAAAAAATTAATACAAAATTTATATATAATTTCAAAAAAAATACCTGAACAAAATTGTTTGTTCCCTCACTGAGGGGAGAGTAAGAATATAGATTTCGAGATAAATATTTTAGACATGAACAGAGGAAGAAAAAATAAGCTTCGAGTATTTTATTGTTTTTCATAATTATAAAATTTTTGATAGTTTTTTTATATAATCTGAGTTCGGGCTATATAAATACAAAGTATGATTAAACTATAAATTTTATTAATGTTGCTTAATTTTTGATAATTTGCTATTTTTAATATCAATAGTCAAAATTTGTATTGAACTTCGTATTGCTCTTTAAACCCTTCATTTTTAAGAATGCTTGAAACTCGTTTTGAAACATTCTAAACCTAGATACGCAATGGGATTTATGTCGCAAAATAGCCAAAGATTCCAGCAATCACATGGCCAAGAAGTGATTATTGTTAAAAAATAAAGATAAAATATAATAACTTAAATTTCTAAAAATATTTTTATGGCTCATAAAGATTTTTCTTCTTTGTAATTGAAATTATCGTGATTAATATTATAAAACACTATATTTTAGGCAATTACATATTAGCAAATAAATTTTAAAATTAAAAAATTCTGGAATTAATAGAGGGGGGAAAAACAAGCTATTGTTTTTTATTAGTAAATAAAAATTATTAAAATATTCTAGAAAAAACTTATGATTTTTATCATTTTTGGAAAGTTATTTAATTGTTTTCATTTTCTACTGTGAAAATTTCTCTTGACCTTCGTACAAGTCCTTCAAGTCCTCCATTTTCTAAATATTGCTGATACTCATTTTTAAACCTTCTGTACCTAGTCAATGCATATTCCAAAAAGTCATAGCCTTCACTTGGGCCTTTATAAGAAGCCAAACTCCACATAGCCCATATATAGTTACTGGCTATTAAGCTTTGCTTTACTTCTACCCACATTTCAGCGCCTTCTCCATAAGCTCTGACATAGCGTTCCACAATTTCATCAGTAGCTTTTAATTCTTCGCAGTATTTCCAATATGGGAATTTATCATATAAAAAGTCATAAGTAATTTCATTTAATATTCCTATAAATAAAAATTTCTACAAAATATAAAGCAATAATTATTTGAAAATAAATAAAAAAATGATTTAAAGGACATTAAGAATTGGGGATATTTATTAATTAAGAGAATAGTAAGCCAAAGTCCATGCTTCTATAACTAAGTCCAGAAAACTCGAAATCCACAAAATAAACTTGATTAATCTGTGAATTGTAGAGGAAGTTTATTGGTGAAGGATCAAGATGTGAATAAACTACTGGTGAATTTCGAGGTAAAATATTTTGGTAAGCTTCCCATTGCTGACAGGTTAGCAGTTCTAAAATTTCACCTCTCGCTTCAGGTTTGTGAATCAAGTTTGGATTTGTTTCGATTCTGTTGTTATTAAACTCTCTCCACCTTCTAGGATTTTCATTAAAAAAAAATATTTTTAGTTATTTTTAATTAAAAAAAAATTTATAATTGTCTATTCACTAAATAAGTCCTTCAGTAATTAAGTATATTTCTATATAATCCTATCACTAAAAAGTATAATAATTCATCAATCCCCATTTTCATCAGTCATAATAGTTTCCCCTCCAAGTACTTCATTCATGTCAATTGAGTGTATAACTCTCAGTCTTTTTGCCACTTGGTCAATGATTACAGGGTCATGCAACATATTTCTCGACAAATGCCCAAAGCCATCAAGGAAATGCTCTATGCGCTCACGGGTGCTTTCCCCGTAATTTTTCGGGGCATAGCCTAGTGATGAAAGTTTACTATAAATTCGTCTCTCTCTTGATTTATTTGTGATATAATCAGGACCAAATACACGGTATATTAGTTTTGACGGAGAAATATTAAGGGTTGTCTGAACAAGATATACACGATTAGAATTACCAGTCAATAGAGTTATTGAGGTATTTTCTAAAGTCGCAAAGCGCCATGCTCTTATATGTGTTTTAATGAATTCGACAGCGGACACATGGTGCTCTTCAATTGACATTTTTAAATATAAATTCGCCTTTGTTATGGCGATTAAAAAGACTGAAAGATAAAAAATTTTAAATTATTTTGCAAATTTTAAGAGATATTTCGTAAGAGGTGAGGATTTAATTTGCGCTAATAAAGGATTTTAATAGGCAAAGTATTAAAAGATTATCATAACTTTTTCAAAAATTTACTGAACTTTTTTAGAAGGAGTAAAATTGGCTTTTATGTCTGGGCTTATATCTTAAAGGTTAAGGAAAAATAAGTAAGGAATTTTTAGTAAAAATTGACTTCAGAAGGCTATTAAAATGCAAAAGAAATTTTATAACTTTTGTTGCCTTTTTTCTCATCTTTAATTTAGACTGTTAGGAGCTTTTTTATTAAGAGAGAGAATAGGTAAGATCTTTTACAACTCAAAAACCTATCAATAATATAAGGAATTTATATAATTTATCTTAAAATTTTTTTGATAATTAAAAAATTATCGACTTGGAAGGTAATTGAAAGCAAATAATAAACAAATTATTCAAATTTATTATAAAATATAAATCTTGCTATTTTACTTCATTAAAAAATTTCTCAATTTCCAATAAAATGCTTTGATCATTTTTTCTATCTATTTCCTTATTAAATAGTTAAATAGTTCGATTATTACGGTTAATTATTCTGAAAACCGCTTTCTTCCTCTCTCCAGCCACTCCTCAGCACCCACTTCTTTAAAAGCTGTATATTCTGCTTTAAACCTTCTAAACCTTTGTAACGAATATTCTAAATAATCATATCCACTTGAAGGCCCTTTATAAGAAGCTAATCCCCACGTTGCCCAAATATATTGTGAAGCTATCAAGCATCTTTTGACTTCTACCCACATTTCAGCTCCTTCTCCATAAGCCCTCACATATTTTTCAATAATATCGTCACTTACCGTCAATTCTTCATAATATTTCCAAAAAGGATATTCTTTATGCAAAAAATCATAAGGGACTCCGTCAAGAACTTGGGCAATGTCAATTCCTCGATACCCGTATCCAGAGAACTCAAAATCAATAAAATAGACTTCCTGGAGGTCTGGGTTGTATATACTTTATGTGTAAAAATGCGATTATTTTTGAAAAAAAAATTAAATTATTTTTTTATTTAATTTAGGATATTACTATTATTAATATAAGAAAATTTTGGAAATAATGCATAAGAAATTAAGAGGATTTGGATCAAGATGAGAAAATACTACAGGGGAGTTCCTTGGAAGTATATCCAGATACATATCTCATAGAGGAGGACTTAATAATTCCTCGATTTCTCTTCTTGCTTCTTCTACATGAATAAAGTTCGGATTTTCAGCTAACCTGCTTAAATTATACCTATTTTGCTATTTTGCAATATTATATTTTCAATAATTTTTATTTATTTAAATATTCTAAAATAGTATACTATATATAGTTAAATTCGCAAGCCATTAATGTAAGTTTTTATTAAACGTAAAATTTTTCCTTCAATCTACCATAGTCTATTTATTATAATCAGGCTTATATATTCTCTCCATCTTCTTGGATTTTCTTCAACCATCACAGGCTCTCCTTCCAAAGCGTGAGTTATATCAATAGAATGCAACTCTCGCAGCTTTTTCGCTACAAGTTCTAGTATCAGCGGGTCATAGAACATTGTCCTTGGGACATGCTCAAACCCTTCCAAAAAATCTTCCAATCTTTCTATCTCAGAATCCCCATACGTCTTTGGGGCATGTCCCAATACGGAAAGTGCATTAAAAATTTTGCGTTCTCGAGACTTTATTGTGGTATGGTCAGGGCCAAAAACACGATAAATAAGCTTAGATGGTGTTACATTTAAAGTAGTCTGGACTAAATAGACCTTGTTTGAATTGCCTGTTAAACGGATTAATGTGGTATTTTCAAGAGTTGCTGAGGCTCATTCAGGGACATGAGAGATTATAAATTCGATTGCAGAAGCATGAAGTTCTTCGATAGACATTTTATTGATTCTCCTGAATAAGAAGGATTATTTTGGTGAAAAATAAAATAGGACGGATGATTGTGAATTGCTTTTTAAATTTGAAATTAGAGTGGGTTTCAGAATAATTAAATAAAATTTTACTATTTAAATTATAATTAACTATTAGCTGCAAAAAATACGTAAAATTACTTTGCTAAGCTTTTACATATAATTTCTTGAACTGTGTTTTAAAAGGGCAAAATAATTAATATATACTAGCAAGAGCAAGGCCAATAAATTCCAAAGATTTTTAATTTGCTCAATTATTAGCTTAGTTTAAACTATTATAATATCATCTTCTATATTGCTAACAAAGCCATCAATTACAGAGAGGATTTTTAATGGCAGGATATCAGGCATGCTAAGTCTAAGGATCAATAGAACTGATTTCAAAATAGAGCACCATTTATTTTATGAATTTGCTTAATTCAAAGACTTATTTACTCTTCTTATAACGAATGACCTATTTGAGGCTCAAATGAGGAAAAAAAACGGCAGCCTTTTTGGATTTTCGACTTAAACCTTTTTCAAGGTATTGGCTGCCCAGGACAGATCCAACATCTAGAGGGTGCCCCGATGGTCCAGAAAAGGAGCAACGATGTAGAGGCAAGCCTGTCTCCCCATCTGAAAAGGACAGGAAACCTTGAACTTCCCTCTCAACCCTGAAATTATTTCAGTGTCATCGGAATTGGTTCTACGCGCTCCACAGGAATACCTCGGAATCTATCTTCCATTAACTTCACCTTTTATTTCTCTTGATAAGTGCATATTCCCTATATTTAATTTTTAATCCAGCTCTAATAGTATCAAATTGAGAAAGATTCTCTTGCCAGCTTATTTTCTTATTTTTTCATGGATTAACTTACTAATTAAAATTCATATTGGCATTTAAAAATTTAAGCTAGGCGTTAAAAGGTCATAAGTGGATGACCACTGCCCTCCCATCTGCATGAATTTACCTAACTCAATGATTAGCTCTTAGGTTAGAGCCATTTCTTGCAGATGGCCCATTAGCCCTGATAAGCAAGACTAAGTGGAGGCAAAATCTGCCTAGACCATCTGGCAAGGACAAGAAAATCTTCGGGAAAAAAAATAGAGTTTCCCTCCCCGACAGGCTCCTCAAACCCGAACGTATCAAAATGTGGGAGATTCAATATTTCAGCTCATTCAGATGGGTCCTATCTGCTCCATAAGAAGTGTGCTCAGGAGTCTATCTTCTATCAACGTCACCGTTTTAATTTCTCTGGCATTCAAAAAGGAATTTAAGATTGTGTTTAAATTGGCTGTGATATTATATATCCCCATTTTTATTAATTAAGAAATTTTCAACATAAAATTTATTATATTATTAAATAATTATCGATTATTTTAACTCATCAATAATTCATATATATTTCGAAAAATAAGAAATGGGAGATTTGAAAGAAAACATCATAAAAACACTCGAATCCAAAGGCATTCTAGACTCAATCAAAGCTCAGTTGAAATCCCAAGTTCTCCAAGCTCTAGAATCTCAATCAGGTAAAGGCCAAGTTTTTAAGCCAGAAAGCTTAAAAATCATGGAATCTGAAGAAGGAAAAATTTGTGTAGAACTCATCAGAGAATTTCTGGAATTCGCTAAATTTAAGTCAACGCTAGAAGTTTTCATACCAGAAGGGCATTTATCTTCAGCTAACGCAGATAGGATTTTATTAGAAACAAAAACTGGTGTTAGATTTGAACAAGGGAAGCCTTTACTTATTGGTCATGATTTTTTCCCTGCAGACATTTTCTAGGTGCCTTTGGATCAAATTTTTTTCTTGTTAGATATTTTATCGAAAAACACTATTTTTTGACCAAATGGCTCTGAGAAAATGTTTTTCAAGAGAAAATCTCCCTGAGAAGCCTTTACTTATGACGATTTTAGAAAAGTTAAAAGGGCAAAATTCGCCATTTGGGATAAATAGCCCAGCCAAAGTGGCAAAGGAAGAGCCACCCCGGCAAATTATTCCTAAATTTCAAGCTCTATTAGAAGAAAATTCTAAAAAAGTGTATACTTTTTCAGGGAAAAGCAAAGAAGAGCCGAAACCTGATATTTATGCATTCCCAGATAAACCTATAGAAAACTTCAAAGTAGTTGAGCCTGTAAAAAAAGAACCCGAAATAAAGCCGCCTGAGCCAAAAAAAGTTATATTTTTTACTATAAAATGGCAAATTTATTTCCAAATATTTATCCCTACATAATTATCTATTAAATTTCAATTAACATTTAATAGAATATTGAAACTAAGCCTATTGAGCAGCCAAAAACTGATCCAAATGATAAATTTAAACTAGCGCCTCTAGGAAAAGTCGGGAAAAAGCCTGCAACTTTTAAAGGTTTTGACGACTTAGTTGAAGATGAGCCACCTAAGCAGCAAAGACAAGTGAGCCCTCCAAAAAAGCAAGTCTCCCCACCACCTAAGAAAACTGATGTTTTTGATTCAGAAGAAAGCATTGAGGAAAGTATTGAAGAGTATAGTGAAGATTATGAAAGCATTCATAAAGATCTGCTAGAGTCAATTGGGACCAGCTCTATGGGAGTTGACGTAAGTGTCAATTCTCTTGCATTGGAAGAGTTTGATCATGTAGAAAGAGTCAAACCTGCAAGATAAGTAAAAATTTGTTAGTTAATTTACCTTAAAAATAAATAAAATGCTAATTTTTTATATTTCTTTTCTTGTAAAACGAGAATTTCTTAATAAAAATCTATTTATTCCAATAAAACTGCTAAATTGTTATTATTTTTACATAAACTTATAAGTTTATCAAAAGAATATGCAAAGAAGTTAAACTTCTTTTATTCAATTTTTTCTTTCCCAAACAGTTTCAGCGTGCTCGGAGATATTACCTGAAAATGTGAACTAGGCCTTAAAAATTCTTTTTTATGTCTGGATCCTACCATTTTTTCTAGCCGCATTTTGTATTTCAATGTATCAATATTCTTATAAGGAAACAGAAAATCAAAGTCTGCGTCTTCGCTTTTCTGGTCATTTTCTTTTTCCTTATCACTCGTAATGTGCTGCTCCATCATTTCGATAGGAAAATCTACTTTTAGGGTTTTTGTGACATCCCTTTTCATTTTCCTGTCAAACCAGCTTGGGATTCCAGCTTTTTCTCGAGTCCCAAAAATAATCCTATGACTCTTATAAGCCCTTTTACCTTATCATTAATCCCCTTGCCACAATATTTATTAAAATATAATCCCATTATTTTTTTTTAAAAAAAATATTTTTTTGCCTAAGTATATGCTCCCTTTGCACATTTCCTTCATGTTTTTCAGGAGACGCCACCCTCATATATTGAGCAAAAATATACCTTGGCGACATCAATGCGTCTAATAATTCGTCATTTTTATGAGCTTCATTGACCTTCCCGAACTCTCGTTTCTGGAACTCTCTACTTGTCAATGCGAAATTATCCCATGAAAGCGGATCCAGGTCTTTTCTTTTGGCTTCAAGTTCACGCTTTTTTTTAAGTCTGGTTATTTTTGTTTTTCCGTCTAAATAGTTTTTATCCACTTTTCAAAAGCTTGGAGGTTTCGGGATTGTTATGCCGTCGTTAAGGATTTTCATACGGCCAACATGGAAGTTTTTTTTGGATTTGGCGTCTTTGAAAGTCTGATAGACGTTTTCGTGGAGAGAATGGCAGTCTTTAATTAGATGCTGAAGCCGAAATACACGGCGAGCTGTTTTAGGCTTGACTGGAGCGTCAACAGAAGCACACTCAGAGCGGCCTCTGGCACTTAATGCTGATGTGTTGTCGTTGAAACTAGGGCTGAATAGAGTGGAGATATGTTTTTTGGCTTCCATTTGTACTAACTCTGAGAAGTAGTAGATTATGATTTTTGAATTTTAATTGAATTTTGCTAGGGAAATATAGTAAAATTCCTATAATTATTAATGGCTTCTCTTTGAGAAATAATTTTCTATTTAGATGTGATTTATTAATTATTTTTAATTAAAAATTTAATTTTATATCAACAAAAAAATTTTTGGAGGAAGCTAGTTAACTTTATTTATATTTAAATAAATACCCTATAAGGTAAGAAAAATAATAATTTATAGCTCAAAATATAACTTATTTTTAAAATTTTGATTTAAGAGATATTTGTTATAAAAACTTAAAATCAGTTAATGTTTATTTATATTTCCTTATATAAGCCTAAATTCTCACGATGCTTGAGTCTTTTTATTAGCTAAAACTATGATTGTATAGCCAAGTTTTTATTGAGCTTATATTGAACTATTTTAATGGGAAATCTAAATTCTATAAAGATTCTCAATAATAAACTATTTATTCTTTCAATAGCAATCAAAGTAAGCCGATTCTAAGGCTCCATGCTATTACCGTGCCCTTTTGATAATTTGGCATTTCTATGGGGAAATTTTATAAAAGTTTTTGGATAGTGTCGAAAAAAAAATTTAAATTTTGATCAAGATTTCTTATATCAAAATTTTCGCCTAAATATCACACATTAAATCCAGGATCTATAAAGGTTCACATTAGGAACGATTTTGGGCTTTGGGCCTGAAATGTTGGCCTCAATAAAAAATTTAATCATCATATGGGGTTGACAAACCAATTCATTTTTGGGAAACTTGTCAATCGTCAAATGGCAGTTACGCTTTATGTGAAAATTCAAACTTTTACCTAAAAATATAGATGGGTAATAAGTTATACACGATCATTTGGTCTGCACCCGATTCTGATACCCTTATAAATAAAATTTGATAGCAAAAGTTAAAGCATTTATTTAATATCTCATTTTATATAAAAAAATAGCTAAAAGATTTCTCTATATAGAGAAAATATTATAAAAGTTTTTGAAAGTATTGCCATTAGATTTTATTTTGTGAGAGACAGCATATCTCTATTAAATTTAAATAATTCTAATTAACAAAAATTAAGACATTTTTAAATAAATTTGTATGGTCCAGGGCAGCTTTTGGCTCGCTCTAGGCTACTAGCCTACGCTCCGACTCGCGGAGTTGGTTTGGACAAACCAATTCTAAGTTGACAAGTATTTATTTTTATTTTCTTTACTCGCGGAGTTATTTTGGAGTCGAATCAGCTCCAAAAGTGGCAGAAGCCGAAGCGAGCTAAAAGTTGTCCTGGGCTATATTATTTTCTATTATAACTCAGGAAGACAAAAATTTATGATATGTTAATATATTTATTTTCTAGTTTTAAATTTAATTATACCAAATCCCTGCTTTTGATTGGGCTTATCTACATCTCCAGATGTCAGATAGAAAGTTAGCAGGCCAATGTTTTTTGCAAAGTCAACTCCCCAGAAGACAATACTCTTGTTAATGGAGATTTGCCATCTAGGGAGTTGACTTTGCCAACAAGCGTTGGTTCTTCAACCCCCCATCTGACGCCTCTGAATTCAGTAAAGACCGATCCAAAGCAGTATTGGGCTATATTACATAGAAATTCTGCCAATTTCTAAAACCCATCAAGTGGAAGACTCTTTTTGTAATTAAATTATGAATTTGCTCTATAAGATTATAAAATAATTTATTATCAAATAAAACACTACTACAAATAAATTTCAACTGATATCATCAAACCAAATCGGTATCTTTAAAAATCAAGGATTTTTTGTTACTTTTTCTTGAAAATTATTTTTATTTATTGCATGCTCTATAACAATTATCCAAGATTCCTCAAATTTTAATTTGTAAAAAAATTTAAGAATTTTCAAAAATAGCCTAAAAAGTAACTCACTAGTTAATTTAAACTTATAAATCTAAATATTATGGTAAAAATGAAGCAATTTTATAATATAAAAGATCATGATTTATTTTTTTACGTTTTGTTTTCTCACTCCCCCACCTCCGTGAGAGTGAACCAAAAAATCTTGTTCGCTCGCGGAGGGAGTTAATTTTTTTTAAAAAATTTTATATAGAAATTTTATAGAAATTTTTTTTCGAAATTTAAAAAAAACCCTTAATTAGCAAAAATTGGAAAGCAAATATTAATTTAATTTACTCCCCCCCCCCCCTCCGTGAGCGAACAAAAAAATTTTGTTCGCTCACGGAGGGGGGTTAATTTTTTTTTTTAAAAAAAAATTTATATATAAATTTTATAAAAAATATTTTTTTCGAAATTTAAAAAAATCCTAATTTGCAAAAATTGGGAAGCAAATATTAATTTAATTTGCAAAATTTATGTTTTAAAACGCAATTTGTTTAAAATTAAACAGAATTAGCTCTAGATTTCATTATACTAATTATCACTTATATATCAAAATTTTTTTTCCATTAAAATTTTTTCTATTAAAAAAATTTTTGTTCACTCACGGAGGGGTTTTTGGTCAAAAAATGGCGATTTTTCTAATGGTTTTGTTCGCTCACGGAGGGGGGGGGGGGAGTTAGAAAATTTATATTTTAAAACGCAATTTGTTTAAAATTAACAGAATTAGCTAAAGATTTCATTATACTAATTATCACTTATATATCAAAATTTTTTTCCATAAAAAATTTTTCTGTAAAAATAGTTCTATTAAAATAATTTTTGTTCACTCACGGAGGGTGGGTTTTTGGGCAAAAAATAGGGATTTTTCCAATGGTTTTATTCACTCACGGAGGGGGTGAGTTAGCTTTGCCTCCTGTTCAAGCATAACTTGCAATAAGAATTGGTGCCCAGACTCTTATGTAATTATCATATAGAAAGGCGACAGCTATTGTGACACTGAATGCATGACCGAATATTGCAATTTTGATAGTTCAGACTCTACAGGAGATTTTGATTTTTCTAACTCTGACTGCTATTTTGACTGCGTATATTATAATGGCTGCACTCCTAGTCTATTAGGAGACGGAAATTGTGACACTGCTTGCAATAATGCTGAATGCGGCTGAGATTTAGGAGACTGTGGATATTGTGATAGCTCTTGTAATTTTTATTCAGGCTATGAAGATATGCTAGGAAGCGCTTGTTATTCAGCATGCAATACCGCTGATTGCTATTACGGCGAAAGTTATTGTCAAGAATGCAGCACAAACTGTACATCTTCCATATTAGGTGATGGGACTTGTGACGAGGCTTGTAATAATGCTGACTGTAATTTTGATTTTGGGGACTGTGATAACAGTACTTGTGCAGATGGCTGCTACTCGTGAATGATAAATGATGGAGTCTGCAATGAATTTTGTTATGTTGAAGAGTGCGATTATGATGGAACAGATTGTGACTGTGCACCTGGGTGCTCGGCAGATTTGTTAAATAATGATCAATGTGATTCAGCGTGTGATAATGCTGCATGCTTATATGATAACTATCTTTGTGGAGATTGCAACAGTGGGTGTTTTAATGAGTATATAAATGATGGAACTTGCCAAGATGCATGCTAACTTCACTGAAAGAAATATAGTGAAATCCAAATTTTTGGGAAAAAAATGTTTTTTTAAATAATTATGGTAGATAGCTTGCTAAATTAAAATTATTTTTATTTCCCAAAGAGGAGTGAGTATCAAATTGTGATAATGATGGATACGATTGCCAATGTGCCTCAGGCTGTAACCATACCAACTATGGCTCATGCAGCGAAAGCTGCATGACAGCAGCTTGCTATTACGACCAATTCAGCTCAGACACCACTAAACATTGCAAAAATACAACTCTAATGCTATTCTACATGCACTTACAGCTTGTTAATAACGATTTAGAAACAATTCAAAAAATCAGCACATGTGAAGCCCAAAACTGCCAAACAGAAATGCTTCTAAAGAATACAAATGACTGTACCCAAAATTGTGACTCCATTGCATGTGCTTATTCCTGGCTTAATTGTGAGCCTGAAAAAATGAACCGTTGTAGTGACAGAAATTGTAAAACTTGTTATGGGGATAATGATGGACAGTGTTATACGTGCCAAAATTCGTATTATCAGTTTTATGGGTACTGTTTAAAGGCTTGTCCTTGTGGATATACAGCTAATTCAATTGCAGATACTTATTCTCTGTGCTTGCCTTCTGACGATGACTCGTCGTCTATAAGTCCAGCTTATTATTATGTGACGTCACTTGTTACGGATGATCAAGCTGGAGGAGATGGGACATTAGCAAACCCTTTTGAGTCTAAAATGAAATGGTGACTTTGATGATAAGTGGACTATGAGGCGTGATCTATATGGAGTATGTAGGATACAATGAAGCTGAAAGCAGGGCATTTGCCACTTTTAGAAGTAGGCTTCAGGCTTGCGGGCACCGTGCCGAAAGGGGAAGTTCTGCTTCTCCCCCTAAGGTTTTCATGTCCCTGCCAGATGGGTAAACAGGTGCCTATCACGTTGTCTTCTCTCATCGGGATCATCGGAGCTTCTCACAGAAGATGGCTCTGCCCAAGGGAGCTGATCCTCTGGTCAGGTGGTTCAGGTCGGAAATCCAAAAGGTAGACCTTTTGGAGGTGGGCGACAGCTAGTTGCTAGATCCGCTAATGGCCAGCATGATCGTTTTAACTTTAACTTTCGAGTCTTTAGCACTCGCGCTGACTGTAATAAACAATAAATATTCAGTTATTATATTACTTGATGATGGAGTCCACTATTTAACTCAATTGAATAAGACAAATATTATGACGATTATTTCACCAGACTCCTCGAAGCCTTATAATTCACAAACTCAGAGAAAAAGCTTAACAATAACTACTGAAAATAATAGCACTATATACCTTAAACCAAAAATTGACTGAAGTATTTTGACTATTACTACACTTAAACTTAATTAATTATAGATTGCGTCTCGTTTAACATCCAATACCACATCAACTCCTGGATGAGCTTCTGTCCGTGCTTCAGAGTTCCCCCCAGACAAGCGTCTTCCGCTACCTGGTCTTGATCTGAATAGTCCCTCGTCTTTAGGCATTCGGATTTCGGCAGTTGTCCATCCAGCTCTTTGGCAAGCCAACTTGTGTAGTCAGGAACGCTAAAGGTCCAGTCTCCATCGCCTGGGGTTGGCGGCACACTTCTAGGAAATTCGAATTTCCTGTCTAAGGTCTCGCACCCTTGATTATAATTCACTGAGTGAAGTCAAATCTCATAATAAAAATAGTCATCACCGAATATTCTGTTCTCCCGAACAGAAATTCTCCTTTTGGCTAATTTTAATATAGCAATCACTACACAAAATACTGAAAAAATCATTATTAATAATATCATTTTTGACGGAAATGAATGGGTGCATGGGCAGAACAGCTGTTTAGACGGGTATTGCTCTTATTGTCCTTCGGTAACTGAGCAGTTTGATGGCAGCTATAAAGATGACAGAGGAAATGTGATAACGAATTTTACAGAATCAAGCCAATGTCAGAAGTTCCATAACTGAAATTTAATTGAGGTTGCCAGCGGAACTACTTTAGAGCTATATAATGTTGAATTTAATAACTGAAGAATGGAAGAAAATTCAATAATTTATAACAGTGCAGGGACTATTGCACTTAATGAAGTATATTTTGATAATATCAGAACAAACCCAAGCTCGGGATCGGCGGTAATTGCATTTAAAGACTGCTCTACAAGCACTGACTATGCCTATGGGTGTGGGAATTTTACTTATTGCGGAGGAAGTGTGACAAGGCTGAATAATGGATTTGAATATTCTTCATCAATAACGCTAATTCTTTTTATAACAATAAAACGCTATAGCGAAATTTATTTTTTAATTTTTTAAAATCAAAAGTAACAAATTTTTTTTTCGTATATTTATTAACAGGAGAATTAAAAGGATTCTTTTGGGCTTCCAGAGCTCAAGATGTCTCTTTTGAAGGCGTGAGCTTTAAAAATAACGCTGTTTATTCTTCCTCAAGCTCAAACGACGACTCTTTAATTTACCTCGAAATTTTTAGAACACTTAGCATTGCATCCTGCACTTTTTCTTATAATTTGGTTTACTCTGCCTTGATTTATTTAAAATCTACCAATCTTGAGCTGAAGTCAACATTAAATTCCCAGAACCAAGTAACTGATTATTTGATTTATCATATAACTTTCCAAGACTTATCATTTTCATATAATTATGGATTTTTATACTGTATTTTTGCAGCTCAGTACCAAACTGAGCTGCAAAATATTTATTGAAATAATGTAACTATAGAGTCTAATGGAGCAGAAAAAGGCGCATTAGTCTATATATCAAATGCAGTTATCCTTAATCAGTATATTTTTGGCCAGACTTCTATTGTCACAACATCTGCTGGAAGTAAGGTGCGAGCTTATGAAAAATATAGGACTTTTTATTGGGATACAATAAGTTTTATCAACAATAATTCAGGAGGCTTAGGAATGTGAGATTTCACAAAACTTGTAAATTTGTATTTAAAAAGTATCAATATAGCCTCAAATGGAGTTACAAGCAATACAGTAAACAGTCTTGTCCTTGGCTTTTGAAAATCAAATACAAGCATTTACCTAAAAGCCCTGATCTCCTCCCCAGCTTCTTTAGATTTTTCTTCTTTAGCATCATTAGCCTCAATGATAAATATTACAATTGAAGACTCAAAAATCAATAAAAACTATGCATCTGCATCAAACCCTTATCTATTATTCACAAATTCAAATATAACTGTTCTAAATAACATCATTTTTGAACAAAATTCAGGGACCTCATCAGAATACCCAACTATTTTGTATATAAATGGAGGCAACCAAACTGCTATTATAAGCTCAAGCATAAAAAGTAATTTAAATAATGCTGACCAAGGGTATGGAACGATTTATGCGAAAGGCAGTGCATTAATAATGCAAATAAATGATACAGAATATGGGGCAAATATCGCCTATAATGGAGGAGGGATTTTATTTTCTGGGAAATCCCTTTCGATAGCGGAGACTGTTTTTATAGGGAATGAAAGTCCTTCAAAAGGAGGGGCAGTATATATTGAACAAACAATAACAGGTACTATGGAAGTTTCGATAAATTCCTGCAGTTTTACATCAAATATTGCAGCATCATATTATGGAGGGGCAATTTATGCTGAAAATGCTGGAGTTATTGCTAATATAATTCTTTTTGCAATAAAAAATTCAAATTTCACTCAAAATTCTGCAAGTTATGGAGCTGCTATTTATATAGACAGCTCACTCTTTTTAATTAATAATTTTAATTTTTATGAATTATATAAAAAAATAATAAAAATTGCTTATTTTTGATAGGAGAGAGTCAGTAAATCTTGATCAAAATGGAGGCTCATACCTAGCTGCTTCAAATTTTATTAAAAATAATTCAACTTCTTCAGGAGCCATTGCCCTGTACTTTATAACTGGAATTTACCTTATTTCAGACTGCAAATTTACCTCAAATATAGGAAGACTTGGCGCATCTTTGCACGCAGAAATAGAAACTGAGCCAAGTGCTTACTATTCCAGAATTTATATAACTTCAACTGATTTTACAAAAAATTCAGGCCAAGCAGTTATTTATTTGACGAATTCTGACGTTTATTCTAAAATACTCACAAGTAGCTGCACATTATCACAGAATGAAGGAATACCGATAGAGCTAGACTATGATCATTGGGAAGACACAAATTCTGTAATTACAAATAACACAGGAAAATACTCTGGAGGAGTCAAACTTCTTGATATTTCATATGCAGCATGTGAAAACACAGTTTTTTCTTATAATGAAGTAACTACAGATGGTGGCGCAGTTTCTTCTGGATCAGCGTCTAAATTTTATTGTATGAATTGCTCATTTATAGGGAATGCAGCTAGTGGATCTGGAGGGGCTATTTTCAATGAGCAAAAATCGTTTTTTAATATTACAAATTCTGTAATTAAAGGAAACCAATGTGTTGATAAAGGATCTGCTATTTATATGCTAGGGTCAACGAGTCCAGTTTCTATAATTAAAGACTCTACGATTTCTTATAATAATTCCACAAATGAAGCTAAAATTGTATGCATATAAAATGCGGCCTAAGGGCACCCGACTTCCTTGATGCAATTTTTTAACCTTATGGCCAACGAGATTTGGGCGAGAAGCCAGTAGGGATATATGCCGATAAGGGATTATGGATATTGAGGTGGGGTTTGACTTGCTTCCTGAGGATGGAAGAAGATAAACTGGCAATGTCCTTTGGGACCCGAAGTTGGGACACCGCGACACCAGGGTTGTGGCCTGAGTAACATTTTTGCCGGTAGCTGCTGAGGGCAGTTACTAATACTGTTAGGCCCAAGTTTTCTCCCTCATCAAACTACTTCCCAGAAGCCTGTACTAGGGCCACAGAAATCCTTAATCTACCTCTAAGGAGCAGCATATATCTCAAGGTTACAAGGAGGAGCTCGAAGGAACCCTGACTCAAGCCATACATGGAATCAGTAGCAAGAGGAGGTGAATTTAGTGTATCGCAATTTTCTAGCGAACTATTGGAGCTGAGTACAGCAGCACTCCCTAGGGCGACGAGGGGAGAGATCCTTGGTAACTGCCTTAACGCTAAGATAAAGCCTATAAGTAATTTAAAATTAAAATAAGAAGCTACAATTGCTCTGCTTGACTCTTCTATATACATTGAATCATCTATCATTACTCAAAATACTGCATCTTATATTACCCCAGGAATTCTCTTAACTCTTTCAGAGGCAACTATAGCAAATTCTGAATTATCTAGCCAGAATGGAGATCAAGGCAGCTTTATATACGCAACCACTCAGAGCGTGGCGAATATTTATAACACAACTTTTAAAGATGGGGTAAGCACAAGCTCAGCAGGGTCTATTTTTTCTATTTCCAGTACTGTAAATATATATAATGGCACTTTTAATAGAAATAGTGCCAAAAGTGGAGGAGGCGGGGTAATATTGTCTTACTCAAGCAGCACTTTGCTCATAAACAATAGCGCATTTTATAATTCTTACAGCAAAGATGTAGGAGGGGTTATAATTGGCTACGAAAGTGATTTAAATATCTATAACACAGTCATGAAAAATTATAAGGTAGGGGCTATTTATGGGTCTAAAATGAATTCTGTGTATATAAAAGACTCAAAATTTTATAATGGGATTGGCACCAATGGAGGCTCATTGACCTGCGTTTCTTGTGAATCAGTTTTAATATATAACTGCTATTATCAAGGAAACACTGCGGAAACAGGCGGGGCTATTTATTTATCAACATCAAGCGACACAGAAATAGACAGTCCTTATATCATAAAAGAATCAGAATTTTGGAATAATTCAGCATCATTGGGAGGCGGTATATATGCAAATGATGTCAGCTTAAATGTATCTTCTTCAGTATTTGTAGGAAATATCGCAAATACGACTGACGATATAATCGGCACCACCCCGTCGACTGGAAATGGAGGGGGCTTAAACTTAGCCTGCTCAGATTTTACGACTTGTGTATTTAATATCACCTATAACAGTTTTGTTAAAAATTATGCCAAATATAACGGGGGAGGATTTAATTGGGAAGATATTTGTCCAATCGCGTATGGGAACTCTTTTAGTAGTAATGAAGCTGAATATGCACCAGATATTGCTTCATTTGCTATAAAATTGATGGCGGTTGATGATAATGGGGATTTAATTGACTATGGGAGGAGGCTTGATGAGATCCCTACTGCGACTTCAATTGATAATATAGCATCTGGTTGGTCAATTATAAATTCACACAAAAAATAAATTTTTTTTGAATTTTAAAAATAAATTAATAATTTTTAAAATTTTTAAAAGGGTAGCAAAACTTTTTTTAGCCTAGCCTTCTGGTCAAGAAACTACTAAAAGTATTACACTAGCATTAGTTGATTATTATGGAAACATTGTAGCAACTGATAGCTCAAGCACAGCCCAGCTTTTCCCTGAAAACTCTACCTCAACTACCCTCTCAGGAACTACTAAAACAACAGCTGCTAATGGGCTCTATTACTTTGACAGTTTTATAGTCTCAGCAGAACCAGGAACAAGCATTTCAGTAAAAATCACCTCATCTGGTATATAGTTCATGCACCGATAGAGATTGTCATTATTGAAAATGCAATTGTTCTAATGGACTTTATATCTTATGCTTCGTAGACCAGTTTAGAGAAATATTCAGATTATAAATAAAATGTCACTAATTTTATATAGTTATTTTTAAAATAATAGTTAAAATAATTCTAATAATTGTCATAAAGTTCTAATGAAGTCTATTAATTAGATCGGTAGCATTTTCAATAATGACGATCTATATCTGTACATGAGCTATAGATACCACAAAAGAGTCGAAAATAGCGACTGATGCAACTTTTATTCCTTCTGTAAATGTTGTCGTCTCTCTTCGACTATGCGTAGTAGGAGAAGCCACTGTAGGTGTTGACTGTGAAGTCTGTGGGGCTGGGTATTATAGCTTAGACCCTTTAAATACTCAATGTTTAGCATGCCCGTCACATTCAGCAACTTGTTATGGAAACTATACAATTGTCCCGCAAAAGGGATACTGGAGGTCAAATAATATGTCAGATAATTTTATTGCCTGTCCGAAATCTTCAGCTTGTTTAGGCTCCCCATTGCCTCCTAATCTTTCTTTTACTGGGCTTTGCCATGAAGGATACAAAGGAAATTTATGTCAGGCTTGCGAGGAAGGCTATTCAAGAACCAGCACAAATACTTGTGGAAAATGCCCAGATGCAGTTTCTAACGCTTTTAAAGTGATAGGAATAATGTTTGCTGTAGTTCTTATATGTGGAATAATGGTAAAAACGACCAGGAATTCTGCATATAAGCCGAAATCAGTGCAATCTATATATATTCTTTCTTTTACTCTATATTTTCTTAGTCTTATTATCTTATCCTAAGCCATATTTTAATAAAATTAATATATAAAAATTTTTGTGAATTATTTGCAGCTTGTGATGCTAATGACTACTTTTGATTTACAATGACCCTCCAGCGTAAATCAGCTTTTTTCTATTCAAAACGACACAGGATCAGTAAGCGAACAAGTTTTTTCTTTTGACTGCTTTTTAGACACGGGCCAAGGAAATGACCAAGTATATTTCAACAAACTTATTATAATGGCTATTATTCCTATAATTATCGCACTAATCTCAGTCTTAATTTGGGGCTGTGTCGCGATTTATAAAAAGACGCTAAAATCATTTAAAAATGATTTAATTTCTACAATAGTCATTTTACTGTTTCTTTTTCACCCAAATTTAGTGAAATCCATGTTTTATGTGTTCTCGTGTAGAGAAATAGAAAAAGGGGAATATTGGCTTGTACAGGATTTAGATATAAGGTGCTGGGACAGTAAACATGTATTTTATTCTTTGACAGTTGCAGTGCCTTCTATTATAGTTTGAGGAATCGGAATTCCGACTGTTTCTTTATATTTTCTATGAAGAAACAAAAGAAAATTAGACTCAATTAGTGTCAGGCTTCAGTTCGGGTTTCTTTTTAATGGGTATAAAGCAAAATCTTATTATTGGGAATTTGTTATTTTATATAGAAAAATCCTTATTGTTTGCTGCTCAGTGTTTTTGGCAAATATTTCGACAAGTATTCAAGCATTAACTGTAATGATACTGCTTTTGCTGTGCCTTTATTTCCAAAATGATGCGCAGCCTTATGATGGAAATGCTTTAAACCAGATGGAAATCCGGTCCATTTTGGTAGCGGCTGTTACAATATATTGTGGACTTTATTATTTGACTGGATCTTTGGATTCTGTATCGAAAACTGTTTTTTTTATTTTAATCTGTGGAGCCAATATTTATTTCCTTTATTATTGGCTTAAAAAAATGTTTGGGGCTGGTTTTCAAATCTTAACTGATTTAATTCCATGCTTAAGAAGAAGATTTAGCCATAAAGTGATGGATGGGTTTAGTGATGATATTTTTGAAAATTCTGATATAAATCATGTGAAATTAAAGCAAGGAGAAAAATATTTTTCAATTATTTCTAATAGTAATCCAATGTCAGCTTTACCTGCTGATGAAGAGCTGGAAAATATGATGAATATGGATATGAAAAAAGTATTTTTATCAGTTGTGGAAAATAAATTGGAGAACAAAAATAGAGAGGAAAATCATGATTCTAAGTATGAAAATCATTGTACTTGGTGCAACTACCAAAGTGAAGATCTATTAGATCCGCCTCCACCTTCTAGATCTGCAAGTCTAAATTTGAAGACATTAAATAATTAAATAGATTAGCCTTAATATTAAAAATTTCAATTGTTTTATAATATATATGATTTCCATAATAATTTTTAAACAAAAAAACCTAGATTGCTTTATATAGATGAACTAGAAAAAAAATTAATTTAAATTAATTCACTGTTCTTATGACCATTATATATTATAATCTAATTATTGTAAAATGAATTCCTTAAGTGTGAAATCATTCTATTGGAATGGAATAAAATCCTACAAGCAGAATAATTACGCTAGTAAATTTTACATTTTTAATTATATTTTAAAAATGATACTTTCTTAGCACAAATTTTAAAGGATTAAATAAATATATGGACTTTTTAAAAATTATATATTTTCGATCTGAAGACAAATTAGTTATATTCAATATATAGCTTTATTTTTTTCATATATAAGCCCATTGAAATTATTTCAATGAAATGAATTAACCAATTTACTCTTTATAATAGTATAGCAAGGTTATCTACTTATTTTTTATTATAAGCAAGATGGGTGTTAAAATAAAGCATTAAACTAAAGCGCTCTCTGCTAACTTTATTTTTGTTTTCAACTCAATTGATTTTTTTTTAATTTTTTTATAAAAATACACTTTTATTAATTAGAGATCAATAAATAAAGTTTAGGTGCTATGAATAATCCTCTTTATTTATAAATTATAAATTTTCTAATTAATATTGGAATAGAAGAAATTTATTTATTAATTTTTCTAGGACTTTATAATAAAATTATTAAAATATAAAGCAAGCGAATCGCCTCGCTGATGATAAATTTAGAATTTTTCTTAATATTTTTTATAATAAACATCATTATTTTTTAGAATTATATTCTAAATTTCTTTAGTAAGAAATTCGATCTAGAACCCATTTTTTACAAAAATTAAACTATTCTTATCATTTTATGACGCCCTTCTTCAAATTTGCTCTGTACATAATGGCATCATCGGTCCTATGCTAAATAAATAAGTCTTACATCTTGAAAATGTTTTGAAATCAGAAAATTTATCTTCTACTTCTATTCCCTTGATTCATGTAAGCAAGCTCTTTTGATAATTTGAACTCTATTTTAATAAAACCTATTAGAAGTGAAGAGTAAACTATATCGAAAACATAGCAAGCTTGAATTTTATAAAAAAATAAGAAATATTTCTTAGCAGTTAATTTAGTATTTATGTACAAATATGATAACATATGTAATCTTTTTTATAATATAAAATATGCTAATTGTTTTTACTGCGTTTTATTTTCTTTCTTTTGTAAGTGGCTCACTCATAACTTGCAACAAGAATTGATGCCCGGATTCTTATGTAATTATCATATAGAAAGGTGACAGCTACTGCGATACAAATTGTATGACTGAATATTGCAATTATGACGCCTCAGGATCTTTGCAAGCATTTGATTTTTCAAATTCTGACTGCTATTTTGAGGATTTATATATTTAAAAGGACATTTTTAAATTTGTGATGTTTCCTTGGAAAAAATATTGATAGTGAGACATTGATAAGAAAAATCCATTAAGTTAAAACAAATGCCTTATTAGAAAAAAAAATCAAAAGATTCTACTGAAAATCATGTACCATATTTTGAGTGCGTTTATTATAATGGCTGTGACCCTGGCTTATTAGGCAACGGAATTTGTGATATCACTTGCAATTATGCTGAATGCGGCTGAGATTTAGGAGACTGTGGATATTGTAATAATTCTTGTAAAAATAATTCAGGCTATCAAGATATGCTCGGAAATGCTTGCTACTCATCATGCAATACTGATAGTTGCTATAGCGGCGAAAGTTATTGTCAAGAATGCAGCATAAACTGTACATCTTCTCTATTAGGTAACGGAATTTGCGACAAGGTTTGTAATAATGCTGACTGTAATTTTGATTTTGGGGACTGTGAAAATAGCACATGCGCAGATGGCTGCTACTGGTGAATGATAAATGATGGAGTCTGCAGTCCATTTTGCTATGTTGAAGAGTGCGATTATGACGGAACAGACTGCGACTGTGCTCCTGGATGTTCGGCAGAGATGTTAAATAATTTTCAATGTGATCCTGAATGTGATGATATTAGTTGTGCATACGATAATTATTTTTGTGGGGAATGCAATAGTGGCTGCTTTAATAAAGATATAAATAATGGTGTTTGCCAAGCTTCATGCTGAGTAGCTAGCTGTGACTATGATGGGCATGATTGCCAATGTACCACAGGCTGTAATCATACCATTTATGGCCAATGCAATGAAAACTGCATGATAGCAGATTGCTATTATGACCAATTTAGCTCAGATCCATCTAAACAATGCAAAAATACAACTTTAATGCTATTCTATATGCATTTGCAGCTGGTTAGTTACTCTTTATCAACTTTCCAAAGCATAGACAACTGTGCATCACTAAATTGCAATACAGAAATGCTATTTAGTAGTCAGGATAGTTGTATAAAAAACTGCGACTCTAGCCAATGTGCTTATTCTTGGCTTAATTGTGAACCTGAAATAAAATATCAATGCAGTGATAAAAATTGCAAATATTGTTATGGAGAAAATGATGGACAGTGCTATACGTGTAAAGATTCTTATTATCAGTTTTATGGATATTGTGTAAAGGCTTGCCCTTGCGGATATTCAGCTAAATTAATTGCAGACACTTATCCTCTGTGTTTGCCTTCTGACCATAAAGATGATAACTCAACGGCTTTGAATCCAACTTTTTATTATGTGACGTCGCTTAATACGGATGATGAAGCTGGAGGAAATGGAACTTATGAAAATCCGTTTGAGTCTTTAGCGCTTGCATTGACTGTAATAAATACTAAATATTCAGTTGTCATATTGCTTAACGATGGAGTCCATTATTTAACTGAGTTGAATAAAACAAATATCATGTCAGTTACCTCAGCAGACTCTCATAAACCTTATAATTCTAAAGTTCAGAGAAAATTCTTATTTATAAATACTGAAAATGACACTACTGTTGTATATCTTAAGCCAAAGCCTGACTGAAATATAATGACTTTTTCGACCCTAAATACTGAATACTTAGGTATAAGCAATGTCATTTTTGATGGAAATGAATGGGTTCATGGGCGTAATAGCTGTTTGGATGAGTATTGCTCATATTGCCCATCTGTAAGTCTACAATTTGATGGTAGCTATAAGGATGACAGAGGAAACACAATTACTAATTTTACAGAATCAAGCCAATGTCAAAAATTCCATAACTGAAATTTATTTGAGGTACAAAGTGGGACTGTATTAGATCTGAATAATGTTATATTCAAAAATTGAAGAATGGAAGAAAATTCCTTGATTTTTAATAGTGGAGGAGGTGTCTGACTTTATGGCGTTGATTTTGATAACATAAGGACGAATCCTAGCTCTGGATCTGCTGTAGTTGTATTTCAAACCTGCGATGATGCTTCTGGATTTACTTATGGCTGTGGGGACTTTGCGTATTATTGAGGAAAGGTTACGAGGCTGAATAATGGTTTTGAATATTCTTCATCATTGACACTAAAAGGATTTTTCTGAGCTGCTAAAGCTCAAGATGTGATTATTGGAGAAGTGAACTTTGAAAATAATGCTGTTTATTCTTCATTAAATGCAGCTGACGATGCTTTGATTTATCTAGAAACTTTTAGATGCCTCACAATTTATTCCTGCATTTTTTCTTATAATGTGGTGTACTCAGCTTTGATTTATTTAAAACCTATAACTCTACAGCTGAAATCAACAATAAACCATCAGAATCAATTAGAAGATTATTTTATGGAACATGTGGATATTGAAGACACAATATTTTCTCATAATTATGGATTTTATTATGGAATTTTTGCAGCTCAATACCAAACTGAGCTGCAGAATATTTATTGAAGCAATGTAACTATTGAATATAATGGGGCTGAAAAAGGAGCATTAGTCTATATATCAAATGCAGTTATCCTTGATAATTATATTTTTGGTCAGACTTCTATTGTAACAGCGTCTAATGGCAATAAGGTGCGTGCTTATAAAAAATATAGGACTTTTAATTGGGGTGCAATAAATTTTGCCAATAATAACTCAGGAGGCTCAGGGATGTGGGATTTTACAAAACTTGTGAATTTGAACTTAAGCAACGTTAATATTACTTCGAATGGAGTTATAAGCAATACTGTAAACAGCTTAACCTTCGTATATTCAAATAAAGATTCTATAGTTTTTCAGATAAATAAATTTATTATTTTAAATATTTTTTAACACATATTTTTACAGTAAATAAATTTTTCACAATCCTCACATAGTATATAAAACTGAATAAAAATGTTTGTATTATTATACTATAGCTCAGTTAATACCTTAAAAAATTTTATTAGTATTGGAGAAGTTAGTATTTTCAGCATGGAAAGCAAATCCCAATATTTATTTAAAAAACCTAATTACATCTCCGGTATCTATAGAATTTTCATCTTTAGCGTTTATGAATACATTGATAAACCTGACTATTGAAAATTCAAAAATTATTAATAATTTCGCAACTTTTTCAACACCTTTCTTATGGATAAATAACACAAATATTGCTTAACTTAACTTTTAGTATCTGGTATTTAAGGTGTCTAGTGCCGCACCCTAATAAATAGGGCTATAGCAAACTAGTGACATCACGGAGCCATCTGTAATCGTAATGGTCAGCCCATGGGCCAAGTCTGCTATCGACGCTTCGCCTCCAGTCGCCGCACATCTCACCCGACGCGTTGCCGTTGCCTTGCCTTGACTCAGCTCCTGGGCGTGTTCCGCCTAAGGGTCATCCTCCCGTGGGGATGTGCTGAGGGGTAAAACTCTGAGCCTCTTGAATGCACTGAGGAGCTGTTCCTTTTGTTATCACCAAAGTTAAACAGGTATTGCTGTGCAGAAGTTCTCGAGAGAAAACTCAACCCCATAAATAAAATTGCTGAGGGAGAGAAAATTAGCAAAGCTAATTTCTCTCGGACCGAATACCATTTTATTTATAATACAAATATTACACTTTTAAATGATGTGATTTTTGAACGCAATATAGGCAACTCAGCTGATTATCCAACTATTTTGTATATAAATGGAGGTAATCAAACTGATATTATAGGCTCAACCGTATATACAAGTTTGAATATGGCAAATGAAGGCTATGGGACGATTTATGCCAAGGGAAATATATTAGTCATGCAAATAAAAGACACAAATTTCCAGTGGAACATTGGCAGTAAAGGAGGAGGACTTTTGTTTTCTGGAAAATCTCTTTTGCTAGAAAATGATGATTTTAGCTGAAATTCGTCGCCTTTAAAAGGAGGGGCGATATATATTGAGCAAACAGGAAGTGGATTGATGTCAGTCTCAATAGATTCATGCAATTTTTTCAATAATTTTGTAGGAATATTTTCAGGCGGAGCCATTTATATGGAAAATAGTGGTTTTTTGACTGAGGTGGCTACTTTTTCAATAAAGGATTCAAATTTTTCTCAAAATTGTGCTACTTATGGAGCTGCAATTTATATAGATAACTCAGTTATGCTTGATCGAAATAGTAACTCATGGATCGCTTCTACAAAATTTGTTGAAAACAATTCAAGCGATTCTGGAGCTGTTGCATTATATTTTTTTGATGGTTTTTTTCTGATTTCAGATTGTGAATTTTCTTCAAATATAGGAAGACTGGGTGCATCTCTACATGTAGAATTAACATTAGTATTAACTTAATATATAGAGAAGTCCGCCGTTTTCCGACCTAAGAGCTTACCTTCACCCATAACGCTTTATCGGCTGCCCACCTTCAACTGTCTAACAGCCTTCAAAGTGTTTCTTCTTCTGGACGAAGATATGCATTCGCTACCCGAGGTTGATCCGCCGTGCCGTATATAGAAATTTCCCTTAGATGGCGCTGTTTGCCCTTGATTTGCCTACTGAAAAAATTTTTTGGTTTGACCAAACCATATGGTACTGGTCGAACCAAAAAATTTTTTCAGTGGGCAAATCAAGGGCAAACAGCGCCATCTAAGGGAAATTTCTATACCAACAGACGAAAATTTGAAAACAATTTTCTTGTATAAGATTCGGCCAAAATGGAAATTCAGCCTGGGACGTAACGCCCAGTTTCATGCTAGGAAGTTACCCAATTGACCAAGTGGGTTTCTTTGGCATAGCTGAGCGTTCCTCTCCAACTTTGGAAGCCATTTCCCCTAGGTAAAACCCTGACATTAAATTCGCAGAGGTCAATCAAATTTGATCTTGCGCCCCCCTGTGCCAAGGAAAAAATCTAGGCGGATATACATACTGAGCCCCAAATTCCCTTCCAAAAGGTCCCCAACGCCCTGTCGCCTACAGGTTTTGAAAAAAAGGGCTGGCTAGTCGCCATTTTAATATGTATCACATGTAGAAATTGATTCTGAGTATAAGGACTGGTACTCAACACTAACAATAGAATCGACTAATTTTACTGAAAATTCAGGTCAAGCAGTAATTTATACGGCAAACTCTGATATGTATTCACATATTATTACTAATAACTGCATATTTTCTCATAACGCTGCAACACCAATAGAGCTAGACTATGATTATTGGGAGGATAAAAACTCTGTGATTACAAATAATATAGGAAAATTCTCAGGAGGAGCCAGATTTAACGATTTTTCGCTTATAAAATGTGAAAATACCATTTTTTCTAATAATGAAGCAATTAAAAGTGGAGGTGCAGTTTCTTCAGGATCAGGCTCTAAGTTTTACTGTATGGCTTGTACATTTATAAGGAATACAGCGAAGATTTCAGGCGGCGCAATTTTCGTTGAGCAAAGTTTTTTAAATTAACTTAAATTCAGTTTTTAAAGGTGCCGCGCGCCGCTCCCAAAGAACGGAAGCCAAAAATAGTGATTCAAGGCCCATTATGTCATTTAAAATGGCGCACCATATGTGCAGAAATTCTAAAATAATGCTCCCGCCAACCAAAGCTGCACTTCACATCTGGTGCCTTGCCTTCGCTCTTGTCAGGCTTAGCTTCGGTGCATGCTTTGCTAAGGGTCATCTTGGATGTGCTAATTGGTAAAACCAAGCCTCTTGATGCACTGAGGATAATTTCATCTGTTTATCTCCAAACTTAAACCGCAGAATTTAAAAAACAAACCATAATAAAATTCTATGAGGGAGTGAGCAAAATTAATTTCTCTCGAATTGAATGCCATTTAAAAATCCATTGAGCAAAATTCATTTTTTAATATCACCAAATCTTATATAAAAGAAAATAAGTGCAGCAATAAAGGATCAGCAATTTACATGTTAGGGTCAACTACTCCTGCTTCTTTAATTTTAGATTCCACAATTTCTTATAATAATTCGACAAATGAAGCTACCATTGCTCTCCTTGATTCTTCTATATACATTGAATCATCAACTATAACTCAAAATATTGCATCTTTTATTACTCCTGGAGTCCTTTTGACTCTATCAGAGGCAACTATAGCAAACTCTGAGTGTTCTAGCCAGAGTGGAGAGGAAGGCAGCTTTATATATGCAGCTACACAAAGCACAGCTGATATTTATAACACCACGTTTACAAATGGGGTAAGCTCGAACTCAGCAGGGGCTATTTATTCTATTTCGAGTACTGTGAATATATATAATGGCACTTTTAATAAAAATAGTGCCAAAAGTGGAGGAGGCGGAGCTATTCTGTCATACTCAAGCAGCACTTTGCTAATAAAAGACAGCGGATTTTATGACTCATATAGTAAAGATGTAGGAGGGGTGATAATCGGTTACGAAAGTGGTTTAGAAATCTACGACACAGTCATGAAAAATTATAGGATTGGGGCTATTTATGGATCAAAAATGAACTCAGTTACTATAAAAGGTTCAAAATTCTATAATGGGTATGGCACCAATGGAGGTTCATTAGCATGCATTTCTTGCTTATCAGTGTATATATGCAATTGCTATTACCAAGGAAACACTGCTGAAATAGGTGGAGCTATCTATTTATCAACATCAAGTGACATAGAAATATGCAGTCCTTATGTCATAAAAGAATCATTATTTTGGAATAATTCAGCATCTTTGGGAGGTGCAATCTACACAAATGATGTTAGTTTAAATGTATCCTCGTCAATATTTGTAGGAAATATTGCAAATACTACTAGTGATGCTGTTGGAACTAGCCCTTCAGCTGGAAATGGAGGAGGATTAAATTTAGCCTGCTCAGATTTTACTAATTGTGCGTTTAATATCACATATAATAGCTTTACAGAAAATTATGCCAAATATAATGGGGGAGGAATAAATTGGGAAGATATTTGCCCAATAACAAATGGAAATTCGTTTAGTGATAACAAAGCTGCTTATGCTCCAGAAATTTCTTCATTTGCAATAAAATTGATGGCAGTTGATAAAGATGGACATTTAATAAATTATAGAAAACTTGAGGAGATCCCTACTGTAACCTCAATTGAAAATATAGCATCTGGCCAAATAACAACTGAAAATATAACACTAGTACTAGTTGATTATTATGGAAATATTGTATCAACTGATAGCTCAAGCACAGCCCAACTTTTCCCTGAGGATTCAACTTCGACAACAATATCAGGGACCACAAAAACGACAGCTGTTAATGGATTATACATTTTCACAAGCTTCATAGTCTCAGCTAAGCCAGGAACAAGCATTTCTATAAAAATAACGTCGGCAGGTATAGATACCTCAAAACAGTCAAAAGCTTCGACTGATACAACTTTTATTCCTTCTGTAAAGGTTGATGTAGATAATAATAAAATGGCTAAGTGCGGAATTAGTTCTCTCCGAGAACTATTCCTTCACTCGCTTTTATTATTATGGGGTTCAGTTTTCCACGTGGCCTTTTATCAGCAATACCAATATGGAATACCGCATAGGGTATTTCTTTGGTCCAAGATAATAAGCTCTACCTGGGTTTGCTGCTTGACACACCGAGGAGGGTGACCCTTAGGCAGAACACGCGCAGGAGTCGAGTTCGGGCGAGGCAACGCTGCCGGCACGGGATTTCTGGCCCTGCTGAGGCGGAACTTTATAGACGGCCAGATCGGGCTAACCGATCCAGGAGTGCTTGGTGACGTCACCAGTTGGGAGTTAAAAGGATGGGCTCAAGCATGCCTAAATCATCCTGCTGAAGAAATCAAAACACCTTAAATACCTAAGTAACTAAGTAAAGTAAGTAAGTAAGTAAGTAAGTAAGTAAGTAAGTAAGTAAGTAAGTAAGTAAGTAAGTAAGTAAGTAAGTAAGTAAAGGTTGATGTAACACTTCGGCTATGTATAGTAGGAGAAGCTACTATAGGTGTTAATTGTGAAGTTTGTGGACCTGGGTATTATAGTTTAAATCCTACAAACACTGAATGTATAGCTTGCCCATCGCATTCAGCAACTTGTTATGGAAATTATACTATTGTACCACAAAAAGGATATTGAAGGCCACATAATATGTCAGATAACTTTATGGAATGTCCTAAGCCTTCGTCTTGTTTAGGATCTCCATTGCCCCCTCATCTTTCTTTTACTGGACTTTGTCATGAAGGCTATACAGGAAATTTATGCCAAGCATGTGCTAGTGGCTACTCAAGAACAAGCACTAATACTTGTGGAAAATGCCCAGACCTAGTTTCTAACGCTTTTAAAGTAGTAGGAATAGTATTGGTTATGATAATTGTATGAGGAATAATGGTAAAAACAACTAGAAATTCTGCATATAAGCCCAAATCAGTACAGTCAATATATATAAAAATTTTTGTGAACTATTTGCAGCTTGTTACGCTAATGACTACTTTTCATTTGCAATGGCCTTCGAGTGTATCTCAGCTTTTTTCAGTTCAGAATGACACTGGATCAGTGAGTCAAGAATTTTTTTCTTATGACTGCTTTTTAGATGAAGGTCAAGGAAATAACCAAGTATACTTCAGCAAGCTTGTTATAATGAGTATTATCCCTATAATTATAGCAATTATATCAATTTTATTCTAACTCCCTATCTGAAAATTAATTCTCAACAAACAAAAAAAATAGAAATTTTAAAGATTTTTATTTAATTTTTACCTAACTCCCCCTTTAATTGGAACAAAACATCAGTAATAATTTAAAAGGTGTTATAGCCTAAATGCGAGGAATTAAATTATTTCAATAGGAATTTATTTTATGAAAATACTTATTAAAAAAATTTTTTAAAAAAATTAAAGATAAAAATACTAGTATTTATAAAATAAGTTCTGAATTAATTTAATAGACAAAATGCAAGTAGAATGCTATTTAAACAGTTTTTAACACTTAAATGATTAATTTTTTTAATTGTTTCTTCATTAAAAATAAAAATATTGTATTCACTTATTAATTTTTAAAAAAATTTAAATATATTTATTTTAAAAACAACCCTCTAAATTAGAACAGGATTTTTTATACCAATTTAAAAGGGTGGGGTAAGAGATGTGAGGATCTGTGGCAATTTATAAAAAGACTTTAACATCATTTAAAAATGATTTGACTTCTACCATTGTCATTTTACTTTTTCTTTATCATCCAAATTTAGTCAAATCTATGTTTGCGATGTTTTCTTGTAGAGAAATAGAAGAAGGAGAATATTGACTTATAGATAATTTAGATATTAGGTGTTGGGATGATAGACACATATTTTATTCAGTAACTGTTGCAGCTCCCTCTATTTTAGTTTGAGGAATCGGAATTCCAACTCTTTCTTTATATTTTCTATGAAGAAATAAGCGACGCTTAGACTCAATAAGCGTCCGGCTTCAATTTGGATTTCTTTTTAATGGATATAAGGCAAAATCTTATTATTGGGAATTAGTCATCTTATATAGAAAAATCCTTATTGTTTGTTGTTCAGTATTTTTAGCAAATATTTCTACAAGTATTCAAGCACTTACTATCATGATGCTGCTTTTGTTTTGCGTTTACTTCCAAAGCATAGTGCAGCCTTATGATGGAGATGCTTTAAATGAGATGGAAGTTCGCTCAATTTTGGTAGCGGCTGTTACAATATATTGTGGGCTTTATTACTTGACTGGGTCTTTAGATTTTTATTCAAAAACTATTTTTTTTATTTTAATCTGTGTAGCAAATATTTATTTCCTTTACTATTGGCTTAAAAAAATGTTTGGAGTTAGTTTGCAAGTCTTAAGTAATTTAATTCCATGTTTAAGGAGAAGATTCAGTCGAAAAGTAATGGACGGGTTTAGTGATGATATTTTTGAAAAAACGGCGTTAAATCATATTAAAACCAGGCAAGGAGAAAGATATTTTACAATGATTTCTAATGATGATCTACTTTCATCTTTGCCTGTTGATGAGGATTTAGAAAAAGTGCTAAATATGGACATGAAAACTTTATTTTTGAATGTGATGGAAAACAATAGCAGCTTCTCAAAGGAGAACCAAAATGAAGAGACTGATAATAATATTTCTTATGAAAATCACTATACATGGTCTGACCGTGTAACAGGAGATTGGTCAGGCCCTCTTCCAGTTTCAGGATCTGCAAGCTTTCAACTGAACTCAAATAATTAATTATATATAAGTCGTTAATATTTGGCCTTTATGGAAATAATTTGAATTTTAAATATATTTTCTATGCAAAAATATAAAATTAGTATCAATAGCTTATTTATTAAGTTTTTGTGCATTTTATCTAGCTAAATAGATTATAAATACGAAATATATAATTATTAAATATTTTCAGCTTATTTTTAATTTTTGCTTACTGATTAAGGAAGCTGCAAGAGCATCTTATAAATAATCGTGTTGATTAGCAAAAAATTAATATAAAAATAACAATCCTGTGTCCACTTTTCTTAAATATGGATATGTAAAATGTATTTTTATGTGCTGCGGAAAATAAACAGGAAAACAAAAATAGAGAGGAAAATATTGATTTAAAGTACGATCATTGTATATAGTGAAATTTTTAAAATAAAAATTATTAAATCCGCATCTACCTTCTAGATCTGCAGTCTTAATGCGAAGGCATCAAATACTTAAAAGGGCTATGATGATTTGCTCTTCAGGCTTATGATCTAATTTAGATAATATGAAAAGCTTACAAATTTATTTAAATTTTATAATAAAATTATTAAAATGCAAAAGCTAGTGTAAAAATGCTATCAAAAAATTCGTGCATTTTCTATTAAAATAATTTATTAATTTTTTATCGATTTTGTAAACAATATAATAATTATAACTCTTGATATTTATAGGTAAGAAATAATATTTAAACCAAAATTATTTTATTAAATTGAAAATCTTTTAGCATCTTAGTCATGAGAAAGTTAAAATTTGATACTAGACAGTATATACAATAGATTCTTACAAAATCAATTTTACGAAATCTGGCCAAATTAAATTATTCTTAATATATTTAAATGCTCTCATTACATTAGCCGAAGCTTTTCTCTCTAATAAAGGTATCTTTCAATTAGGTGCTAAATAGTTGTGCCTCACATTCTGAAAATATCTTGAGATCAGAAAACTCTATCTACTTCTATTACTTCCTTGATTCGTATGGATAGATTCTTTTGATAGCTTTATACAATAAACCATATCAAAAGCTTTGAAAAATTATCCAGAAAACAGAATAATTGAAATTTGCAAATAAATAAAAAATATTGCTTATCCCCCCTCCGCGAGTGAATAAACCATTAGAAAAATCGCTATTTTTCCACCCTCCATGAGTGAACAAAAATTTTTTATGGAAAAAAAATTTTGATATATATAAATGATAATTAGTATAATCAAATCTAGAGCTAATTCTGTTTAAATTTAAACAAATTGCTTTTTAAAAACATAAATTTTACAAATTAAATTAATATTTGCCTTCCAATTTTCGAGAAGTGGGATTTTTTTAAATTTGAAAAAGAATTAACCCTCTTTCGTAAGCGAACAAGATTTTTTTGTTCGCTCACGGAGGGGGACTTAGCAGTTAATTTAGTATTTATGCTTAAATACAATAGTAAATACAATCTGCTTATAATATAAAATATGCTGCTTCTTTTTACTGCGTTTTATTTTCTTCCTTTTACAAGCGGCTCGCTCATAACTTGCAATAAGAATTGGTGCCCAGATTCTTATGTAACTATCATTTAGAAAGGAGACAGCTATTGTGACATAAATTGCATGACCGAATATTGCAATTATGACGCCGCAGGGTCTTTACAAGCATTTAATTTTTCTAATTCTGACTGCTTTTTTGATTGCGTTTATTATAATGGCTGTGACCTTAACTTATTAGGCAACGGGATTTGTGATAATGCTTGCAATTATGCTGAATGCGGCTGAGATTTAGGAGACTGTGGGTATTGTAATAATAATTGTAAAAATAATTCAGGCTATCAAGATATGCTCGGAAGTGCCTGCTACTCATCATGTAATACTACTAGTTGCTATCACGGTGAAAGTTACTGTCAAGAATGCAGTGAAAATTGTATATATTCAATTTTAGGTGATGGAATTTGTAACGAAGATTGTAATAATGCTGAATGTAATTTTGATTTTGGGGACTGTGATAATAGCACTTGTGCAGATGGCTGTTACTCGTGAATGATAAATGATGGAGTCTGCAATGAATTTTGCTATGTTGAAGAATGCAATTATGACAGAACAGACTGTGACTGCGCTCCTGGATGTTCGGCAGAGATGCTAAATAATTATCATTAGCATTAACTTAACTTATTGAGAAGCTCGCCGTAATTCCCACCTAAGGGCCTACCTTCACCCGTAATGCTCCACTCGGCTGCTCACCACCAACCGTCTCACAGCTTCAAAGTGTTGCTCCTTCTGGACTAGGATGTGCACTCGCTACCCGAAGTTGGATGAGTTGCGTCACCTTGCAGTACATTAAAAGAGTTGTCCTTCCCGAAAATTTGAAAACAAATTTTCTGGTCGAACTGTCAGCCAAAATGGAAATCCAAAGCCTGGGAAGTACGCCTAGTTTCAAGCTAGTAAGTTGCCCGATTGACCAAGTGTCCTTGGTATAGCTGAGCCTCCCCTTTCCAACCTTGGAAACCATTTCCCCTGAGGTAAAAACCCTGACATCAGAATGAGCTGCAGTTAACCAAATTTGACGTTGCGCTCCACTGTGCCAAGGAAAAACCTACACACACCGAGCGCAAAATTCCCTTTCCACCAGGTCCCCGACGTAGTCGGCTACAGGTGTTGAGTAAAAGAGCTGGTTCGCCATCGCCATTTTAATATGTATTGCTAAATAATTATCAATGTGATGCAGAGTGTAGTAATGCTGCTTGCTTATATGATAACTATTATTGTGGAGATTGTAATAGTGGCTGCTTCAATAAAAATATAAATGATGGTATTTGCCAAGATGCGTGCTGAGTAGCTAGCTGTGGCTATGATGGAGATGATTGTCAATGCGCCACGGGCTGTAATTATACCATGTATGGCCAATGCAATGAAAACTGCATGACAGCAGATTGCTATTATGATCAATTTAGCTCAGATACAGCTAAACAATGCAAAAATACAACTTTAATGCTATTCTATATGCATTTGCAGCTGGTTAGTTACTCTTTATCAACTGTCCAAAGCATAAGCAGCTGCGCAGAACTAAATTGCAATACAGAAATTCTTTTAAATAGCCAGAATAGTTGCCAAAAAAATTGTGACACTAACCAATGTGCTTATTCTTGGCTTAATTGTGAGCCTGAAATAGAAAATCAATGCAGCGATAAAAATTGTAAATATTGCTATGGAGAAAATGATGGGCAGTGCTATACGTGTAAAGATTCTTATTATCAGTTTTATGGGTATTGCTTAAAGGCTTGTCCTTGTGGATATTCAGCTAAGCTAATTGCAGGAACCTATCCTCTGTGTTTGCCTTCTGATGATGAGTCGTCGTCTGAAAATCCAACTTATTATTATGTGACGTCGCTTAATACGGATGATGAAGCTGGAGGTAATGGAACTTATGAAAATCCTTTTGAGTCTTTGGCCCTTGCATTGACTGTAATAAATACTAAATATTCGGTTGTCGTATTACTAGACGATGGAGTCCATTATTTAACTGAGTTGAATAAAACAAATATCATGTGAATTACCTCAACAGACTCTAAAAGACCTTTCAATTCTCAAATTCAAAGAAAAAGCTTATTAATAACTACAGAAAATAACAACACTGTATACCTCAAGCCTAAGCCTGACTGAAATATAATAACTATTGCGACTCTAAACACTGCTTACTTAAGTATAAGCAATGTCATTTTTGATGGAAATGAATGGGTTCATGGTCACAACAACTGCTTAGATGGGTATTGCTCATATTGCCCATCTGTGGATCTGCAATTTGATGGAAGCTATAAGGATGATAGAGGAAATAAAATAACTAATTTTACAGATTCAAGCCAATGTGAGAAATTCCATGATTGAAATTTATTTGAGGTTTTAAGCAATACTACATTGGAGCTATACAATGTTACATTTAATAATTGAAGAATGGAAGAAAATTCGCTGATTTTTAATAGTGGAGGGGTCATTGGACTTTATAGTGTTGATTTTGATAATATAAGGACGAATCCTAGTTCAGGATCTGCTGTTGTTGTATTTGAAAACTGCTATAATGTTTCTGTACATACTTATGGCTGTGGGGATTTTATTTATAGTGGAGGAAGAGTTACGAGACTGAATAATGGCTTTGAATACTCTTCATCGCTGACACTAAAAGGATTTTTCTGAGCAGCTAAAGCTCAAGCTGTGTATTTTTTAAAAGTGGCTTTTGAAAATAACGCTGTTTATTCTTCTTCAAATGCAGCTGATGATGCATTAATTTATCTAGAAACTTTTAGATCTCTCACAACTTATTCCTGCATTTTTTCTTATAATGTGGTGTACTCAGCTTTGATTTATTTAAAGCCTACAACTCTTCAGCTGAAATCGACGATAAACTCTCAGAATGAATTAGAAGATTATGTTATGAAACATGTGACTATTGAAGACACAATGTTTTCATATAATTATGGGTTTTATTATGGAATTTTTGCAGCTCAATACCAAACTGAGCTGCAGAATATTTATTGAAAAAATGTAACTATTAAGTATAACTGTGCCGAAAAAGGAGCATTAGTCTATATATCAAATGCAGTTATCCTTGATAATTATATTTTTGGCCAGGATTCTATTGCAACAGCTTCTAATGGAAATAAAGTGTATGCTTATAAAACTAATAGATGCTTTTATTGGGATTTGATAAATTTCATCGATAATAGCTCAGGAGGCTCAGGAATGTGAGATTTTACAAAACTTGTAAATTTGGACTTAAGCAGGGTTTGCATTAATTCAAATGGAGTTACAAAACACACGGTAAACAGCTTAGTATTTTCTGAATGAAAAGCAAATCCCAATATTTACTTAAAAAACCTGATCACATCTCTAGCCTCTTTAGAATTTTTATCCTTAGCATTTATGAATACTCTAATAAACCTAACTATTGGAGACTCAGAAATCATTCATAATTCTGCAACTCTATCCACACCTTTCTTATGGATAAATAACTCAAATATTACACTTTTAAATAATGTGACTTTTGATCACAATTTAGGCAACTCAACGGATTATCCAACTATTTTGTATATAAATGGAGGCAATCAAACTGATATTATAAGCTCAAAAGTATATGCAAATATGAATTTGGCATATGAAGGTTATGGGACTGTTTATACCAAGGGAAATATATTAGCCATGCAAATTCAAGACACAAATTGAAGATTAAATGCTGGAGGACTTTTGTTTTCTGGAAAATCTCTTTTGCTAGAAAATGATGATTTTAGCTATAATTTTTCACCTTTAAAAGGAGGGGCGATATTTATTGAGCAAACAGAAACTAGTTTTATGTCAGTCTCAATAAATTCATGCAATTTTTTCAATAATTGGGCAACAATGTTCTCAGGAGGGGCAATTTATATGGAAAACACTGGTTTTTTAACTAACGTGGCTACTATTTCAATAAAAGATTCAAATTTTTCTCAAAATTGTGCTACTTATGGAGCTGCAATTTATATAGATAACTCTGTTATACTTGATCAAAATAGCAGCTCATGACTTAGTTCTTCAACTTTTATCGAAAATAATTCAAGCGATTCTGGAGCTGTTGCATTTTATTTTTTAGGTGGAGTTTTTCTTATTTCAGATTGTGAATTTTCTTCAAATACAGGAAGATTGGGTGCATCTCTGCATGTAGAAATTAAATCTGAGTCAAAGGACTGGTATTCAAGATTAACAATAGAGTCGACTAATTTTACTGAAAATTCAGGCCAAGCAGTAATTTATGCGACAAACTCTGATATGTATTCACACATTATTACTAATAACTGCATATTTTCACATAATACTGCTACACCAATAGAGCTAGACTATGATTATTGGGAGGATACAAATTCTGTGCTTACAAATAATGTAGGAAAATTTTCAGGGGGAGCCAGATTTAATGATTTTTCGCTTATTAAATGTGAAAATACAATTTTTTCTAATAATGAAGCAATTAAAAGTGGAGGTGCAGTTTCTTCAGGATCAGGCTCTAAGTTTTACTGTATGGCTTGCTCATTTACAAGGAATACAGCTAACATTTCAGGCGGTGCAATTTTCATTGAGCAGAATTCATTTTTTAATATCACCAAATCTTATATAAAAGAGAATAAGTGCAGCAATAAAGGATCAGCCATTTATATGCTAGGGTCAAGTACTCCTATTTCTTTGATTTTAGACTCCATAATTTCTTATAATAATTCGACAAATGAAGCTACCATTGCTCTCCTTGATTCTTCTATACACATTGAATCATCAACTATAACTCAAAATATCGCATCTTTTATTACTCCCGGAGTCCTTTTGACTCTTTCACAGGCAACTATAGCAAACTCTGAATTTTCTAGCCAGAGTGGAGAGCAAATGTCTATCGTAAATACAAAAAGTCTTCATTGCCGGACGAAAGATGCAAAATCCATCCGGAACACAAATGCCCAGACCCGTAGACTCTGTTTCCTGCTCAGTTTGGCTTAAGACCGCAGCAAGGATCCCAAACTCATATTGGTCCGAGAGAGGACAGGTCGGTGACGTCGTCATTTTATTTGTGCGAGTGGAGATCAAGGCAGCTTTATATATGCAGCTACACAAAGCACAGCTGATATTTATAACACCACGTTTACAAATGGGGTAAGCTCGAACTCAGCAGGGGCTATTTATTCTATTTCGAGTACTGTGAATATATATAATGGCACTTTTAATAAAAATAGTGCCAAAAGTGGAGGAGGCGGAGTTATTCTGTCATACTCAAGCAGCACTTTGCTTATAAAAGACAGCGGATTTTATGACTCATATAGTAAAGATGTAGGAGGGGTGATAATCGGTTACGAAAGTGATTTAGAAATCTACGACACAGTTATGAAAAATTATAGGATTGGGGCTATTTATGGATCAAAAATGAACTCAGTTACTATAAAAGGCTCAAATTTCTATTATGGGTATGGCACCAATGGAGGCTCATTAACTTGTATTTCTTGTTTATCAGTGCATATATACAATTGCTATTACCAAGGAAACACTGCTGAAATAGGTGGAGCTATCTATTTATCAACATCAAGTGACACAGAAATAAGCAATGCTTACATCATAAATAAATAAAATGGTGACGCTAGAGAAATTGGTTCCAGAAGCACAATCCCTATGGAGAAGGTCAGGCCCATCCTGATGAAGCTAAAATCAGGGCCTCTGCTCCTTTTTGAACTAGGCCTTCAGGTTTGGGGATACCTTACGGAAAATATTAATTTTTCCCCAGAAGGTTTTCCTCTCCCTATCAGGTAAACTAGATAGGGTTTGTCTCTTACGTAGTCTTTGTCTATCGAGACTACAGGACACTCTGAGCAGGTGGTCCTAACCTAGGAAGCTAATCCTTACATTAGGTGAGTTTTTCAAGAAAACTCAAGAGGGTGGTTTTTTTTGTTTGGGCCTTAATTATTTGCACTTTGGTGTACAAGTACCCAGCGTAGGCCACCTTTCCTGGAGTCAAGGTAGTTCCGCTTATAGCATTATAAATCATAATCTTACATCGTAAAAGATTCATCATTTTGGAATAATTCAGCATCTTTGGGAGGTGCAATCTACACAAATGATATTAGTTTAAATGCATCCTCATCAACATTTGTAGGTAATATCGCAAATACGACTAGCGAATTTGTAGGAACTAGCCCTTCAGCTGGAAATGGGGGAGGATTAAATTTGGCCTGCTCAGATTTTTCAACTTGTATATTTGATATCTCCTATAACCACTTTATACTTAATTATGCCAAATATAATGGGGGAGGAATAAATTGGGAAGATATTTGCCCAATAACAAATGGAAATTCGTTTAGTGATAACAAAGCTGCTTATGCTCCAGAAATTTCTTCATTTGCAATAAAATTGATGGCGGTAGATAAAAATGGACATTTAATAAATTATAGAAAACTTGAGGAGATACCTACTGTAACCTCAATTGAAAATATAGCATCTGGCCAAATAACAACTGAAAATATAACACTAGCACTAGTTGATTATTATGGAAATATTGTATCAACTGATAGCTCAAGCACAGCCCAACTTTTCCCTGAGGATTCAACTTCGACAACAATATCAGGGACCACAAAAACGACAGCTGTTAATGGATTATACAATTTCACAACCTTCATAGTCTCAGCTAAGCCAGGAACAAGCATTTCTATAAAAATAACGTCGGCAGGTATAGATACCTCAAAACAGTCAAAAGCTTCGACTGATACAGCTTTTATTCCTTCTGTAAAGGTTGATGTAACACTTCGGCTATGTATAGTAGGAGAAGCTACTATAGGTGTTAATTGTGAAGTTTGTGGACCTGGATACTATAGTTTAAATCCTACAAACACTGAATGTATAGCTTGCCCATCGCATTCAGCAACTTGTTATGGAAATTATACTATTGTACCACAAAAAGGATATTGAAGACCACATAATATGTCAGATAACTTTATGGAATGCCCTAAGCCTTCGTCTTGTTTAGGATCTCCATTGCCCCCTCATCTTTCTTTTACTGGACTTTGTCATGAAGGCTATACAGGAAATTTATGCCAAGCATGTGCTAGTGGTTACTCAAGAACAAGCACTAATACTTGTGGAAAATGTCCAGACCCAGTTTCTAATGCTTTTAAAGTGATAGGAATAGTATTAGTTATGGTAATTGTTTGAGGAGTAATGGTAAAAACAACCAGAAATTCTGCATATAAGCCAAAATCAGTGCAGTCAATATATATAAAGATTTTTGTTAACTATTTGCAGCTTGTTATGCTAATGACTACTTTTCATTTGCAATGGCCTTCAAGTGTATCCCAGCTTTTTTTAGTTCAGAATGATACTGGATCAGTGAGTCAAGAATTTTTTTCTTATGACTGCTTTTTAGATGAAGGCCAAGGAAATAACCAAGTATACTTCAGCAAGCTTGTTATAATGAGTATTATTCCTATAATTATAGCAATTATATCAGTTTTATTCTGAGGATCTGTGGCAATTTATAAAAAGACTTTAACATCATTTAAAAATGATTTGACTTCCACTATTGTCATTTTACTTTTTCTTTATCATCCAAATTTAGTTAAATCTATGTTTGCGATGTTTTCTTGTAGAGAAATAGAAGAAGGAGAATATTGACTTATAGATAATTTAGATATTAGGTGTTGGGATGATAGACACATATTTTATTCAGTAACTGTTGCAGCTCCCTCTATTTTAGTTTGAGGAATCGGAATTCCAACTCTTTCTTTATATTTTCTCTGAAGAAACAAGCGACGCTTAGATTCAATAAGCGTCCGACTTCAATTTGGATTTCTTTTTAATGGATATAAGGCAAAATCTTATTATTGGGAATTAGTCATTTTATATATACTTTTTATTTGTAAATACCCAATTTATATATCAATACAGATTAATTGTATGGGCTGCATATAAATAGTATAGAAAAATCCTTATTGTTTGTTGTTCAGTATTTTTAGCAAATATTTCTACAAGTATTCAAGCACTTACTATCATGATGCTGCTTTTGTTTTGCCTTTACTCCCAAAGCATCGTGCAGCCTTATGACGGAAATGCTTTAAATGAGATGGAAACTCGGTCAATTTTGGTTGCGACTGTTACAATATATTGTGGGCTTTATTACTTGACTGGATCTTTAGATTTTTATTCAAAAACTATTTTTTTTATTTTAATCTGTGCAGCAAATATTTATTTCCTTTATTATTGGCTTAAAAAAATGTTCGGGGTTAGTTTGCAAGTCTTAAGTGACTTAGTTCCATGTCTAAGGCATAGATTCAGTCGAAAAGTAATGGACGGGTTCAGTGACGATATTTTCGAAAAAGCAGGATTAAACCATATTAAAACCAGGCAAGGAGAAAGATATTTTTCGATGATTTCAAATGATGATCCATTGTCGTCATTGCCTGTTGATGAGGATTTAGAAAAGGTGCTAAATATGGACATGAAAACTTTATTTTTGAATGTGATGGAAAACAATAGCAGCTTCACAAAGGAAACCAAGGAAACAAAAAATGAAGAGACTAATAATGATATTTCTTATGAAAATCACTATACATGGTCTGACCGCATCACAGGAGATTGGTCAGGGCCTCTTCCAGTTTCTGGCTCTGTGAGCTTTCAATTAAACTCAAGTAAATAACTACTTTTATTTTGCTTGATCATGAAAATATATTTTCTTTGCAAAAATATAAAAAAATTAGTTAGATTGCTATTATGCAGCCAGTTCTAGACATAGGCATTAAATATTTCTTAATTTTTATTAAAAAATTCGTAAAAGGTGATTTTCATCCTTTCTTTTCAATAAATACCTAAACCTTAATAAAAATTTTCAATGACTTTTAGCTTCATAAAAGATTGAAAACTCAATTTTTTTAAAAAATACTGATGAGATTTCAATTTTCCTTTTTAGAAGTAAATTCTTTTAGTTTTGCTTATAAGTATAATTATTATGTTTGCAAGGTTTTTCGGGCAAATAGATCTAATAGCTCTATTATTTGTGACTAATCTGATTTCAATTACTTATACTTATACTTATACTTGCAATTAAAATTTGCCCTATATAATTTAGTTTATTTGGCAATTAATCACTAAGATAATATACGAGCTCTTTAGTTGTATGTTTAGGAGAATTTTATTTATATGGTATTAATATTGATGAGAGCCTTTTATGCTTGGACTATTGATAAGGCTATTTGTTATTTAGAACTATTTAAAAATTTCTCCAAAACTACGAGGATTGATTATTTAATAGCGAATTTATATTTTTTTTTGTAAAATACTTACCAATTAAGGTTTTAAAATTTTGTCTACTCATGACTACTGAACTTTTTACCTCTTTTATAAAATGGGCTCGGTTATATTTCATATAATAATAAAATGATTTCCCTACTTGCGTTTGCTTTCTTACCTTTTGCTAATTCTTTGAATATAACTTGTAACAAGAATTGGTGCCCAGATTCCTATGTAATTTTGACTTAGAAAGGAGACGGCTACTGTGATACAGACTGCATGACTGAATATTGCAATTTTGACGCAGCAGCTGCGACAGGAGATTATGATTTTACTAAATCTGACTGCTATGTTGATTGCGTTTATTATAATGGTTGTAATCCTGCTTTATTAGGAGATGGAACCTGTGACAGTGCTTGTGATAATGCTAAGTGTGGTTGAGATTTAGGAGACTGTGGGTATTGTGCAGATGGCTGTAATTTTTATTCAGGCTATAATGACATGCTTGGAAATGTTTGCTATTCAGTGTGCAATGCAGCTAGCTGCTATTACGGTGAAAGTCAATGCAAAGAATGCAGCACAAATTGTACATCTGATCTTTTAGGAAATGGGGAGTGTGATAATTCTTGCAATAACGCTGATTGTAATTATGACTTTGGAGACTGTGATAACAGCACATGTGCAGATGGCTGTTTTTCATGAATGATAAACGATGGAGTCTGCAATTCAGTCTGTTATGTTGCAGATTGTAATTATGATGGAACAGATTGTGACTGTGCTCCTGGCTGCACAGCTGCCATGCTAAACAATAGTAAATGTGATTCAGCGTGCAATAACGCTGCTTGTAAGTATGATGCTTACACTTGTGGAGACTGTAGTAGTGGCTGCTTTTATGCAAACGTAAGTGATGGAGTTTGCCAAGACGCCTGCTGAGTTTCAAGCTGTGATTATGATGGGAATGATTGCCAATGTGCTTTAGGTTGCAATCATACAAATTATGGGAAATGCGATGAGAAGTGCATGACTGCAGATTGCTATTATGACCAATTCAGCTCAGATACAACTGAGCAATGCCAAAATTCAAATTTGATGCTGTTTTATATGCATTTACAGCTTGTGAATAACGATTTATCAACTATTCAAAAACTCAGTGATTGCGCAGGCCAAAACTGTAATACAGAAATGCTATTAAGTAGCCAGAATACCTGTGTTCAAAATTGTGATACCAAATCCTGTGCATATTCTTGGCTTAGCTGTCAACCTGAAGCGAATACTCGTTGCCATGATAGAAATTGCAAATCCTGCTATGGTCAAAATGATGGACAGTGCTATATGTGCGACACTATGAATTCATTTCAATTTTATGGGTATTGTTTAAAAACTTGTCCTTGTGGATATACAGCTAAATCAATAGCAGGCTCTTATCCTCTATGTTTGTCTAATGATGATGACTCTACAGCGGCGAGCCCGAGTTATTATTATGTGACATCGCTCACAACAAGTGACCAAGCTGGAGGAAATGGAACCTTACTCCCCCCCTCCGTGAGTGAACAAAAAAAATTTGTTCACTCACGGAGGGGGTTATTTTTTTTTTAAAAAAAATTTATATATAAATTTTATAAAAAATCCTAATTCGCAAAAATTGGAAAGCAAATATTAATTTAATTTATAAAATTTATGTTTTAAAGAGCAATTCGTTTAAAATTAAACAGAATTAGCTCTATATTTCATTATACTAATTATCATTTATATATTAAAACTTTTTTCCATAAAAATTTTTCTATTAAAAAAATTTTTGTTCACTCACGGAGGGTGGGTTTTTTGGCAAAAAAATAGCGATTTTTCTAATGGTTTTGTTCACTCACGGAGGGGGGGGTTAGAAAATCCATTCGAGTCATTATCACTTGCCTTAACAGCTATAAACAATAAATATTCAGTTGTTATATTACTTAATGATGGAGTTCATTATTTGACCCAGCTGAATAAAACAAATATCATGTCAGTTGTGGCGCCTGATAGCACAAAACCTTATAATTCTCAAACTCACAGAAAAAGCTTAACAATTACTACAGAAAATAACAGCATTGTATATCTTAAACCAAAGATTGACTGAAATATCATGACTATTACTACACAAAACACTGAATTGATGACTATAAGTAATATGATTTTTGATGGAAATGAATGGGTTCATGGGCGAAATAGCTGTTTAGATGGCTATTGCTCATATTGTCCATCTGTGACTAAACAATTTGATGGAAGCTATAAAGATGACAGAGGAAATTCAATAGTAAATTTTACTGATTCAAGCCAATGCCAAAATTTTCACAATTGAAATTTAATTGAAGCTGTCAGTGGAACGACTCTTAAACTTATTAATATCACCTTTAATAACTGAAGAATGGAAGAAAACTCGATTATTTTAAACACTGGAGGAGCTGTTAATCTCTATGATGTAAATTTTGACAATATCAGGACTAATCCAAGCTCAGGGTCCGCTGCAGTTGTATTGCAAGATTGCCAAGGAAGCTCTGGGTATACTTATGGATGTGGGTATTTCATTTATAGCGGAGGCAGCGTTACAAGGCTAAACAATGGCTTTGAGTATTCTTCATCCATAACACTTAAAGGATTTTTAAGAGTTTCTAGAGGCCAGGATATTTCTATTGTCAAGGTGACTTTTGCAAATAATGCTGTTTATTCTTCATCAATGGCAAATGATGACTCTTTAATTTATTTAGAAATTTTTAGGACTCTAAAAATAGAATCCTGCACGTTTTCTTATAATGTGGTATACTCTGCCTTGATTTATTTAAAGTCAAACAATCTTGATCTAAAATCAACTTTAGATACTCAGAGTCGAGTTACTGACTATCTGATTGATCATGTGGTTATTGAAGATACATTATTTTCATATAATTATGGGTATTATTATGGGATTTTCGCAGCTCAATACCAAACTGAGCTGCAGAATATTTATTGAAATAATATAACAATGCAATGCAACGGCGCAGAAAAAGGGGCATTAGTGTATATTTTTAACTACGTTATTTTAAACCAATATATTTTTGGCCAAACTTCAATTGTAGCAGCATCTAACGGAAATAAAGTCAATGCTTATGAACGATATAGAACTTTTAGCTGGGATACTATAAAATTTATAAATAATAATTCAGGAGGCTCAGGAATGTGGGATTTTACAAAACTTGTAAACTTGAATTTAAACAATATAAGTATGACTTCAAATGGAGCTACTAGCAATACAGTGAATAGTATTGTGCTTAGCACGTGAAAAGCAAACACTAACATTTATTTAAAAAACTTAATTCCGTCTACAGCCTCTTTAGATTTTTCTTCCTTGGCATCTATGAACCAAATGATAAAACTTACAATTAAAAATTCAAAAATTGAAGAAAATCTCGCATCAGCGTCGACACCTTATTTATTACTAACAAACTCAAATATAACAGTTTTTGATAATGTAATTTTTGATACCAATATAGGCAAATCCACAGATTATCCCACTGTTTTGTATATAAATGGGGGGAATCAAACTGATATATCAGACTCGACAGTGAAAGGAAATATAAATAATGCAGGCCAAGCCTATGGGACGGTTTATGCTAAAGGTAGCACTTTAGCATTGAGTATTGAGAAGACTGTTTTTACTAATAATTATGTGAATAATGCTGGAGCAATCTTGTTTTCTGGCATATCTATTTCTATATCAGATAGTTCATTTATCAATAATACAGCAAATACAAAAGGCGGGGCATTATATATTCAGCAGTCAGCTGCTGCAATTATGACAGTTTCAATAGATTCCTGCAATTTTACTTTTAATTACGCATTAATATCTCCAGGTGGAGCCATTTACATAGAAAACACGGGGGTTGTATATAACATAATTAGTTTTGCATTAAAAAATGCAATATTCACTCAAAATTATGGCAGTTATGGAGCTGCTATTTATATAGATAGCACAGTAAATCTTGATCAAAATAGCAACTCATCCATTGTTTCTTCTAGCTTTATACAAAATAATTCAACAACATCAGGAGCCATCGCACTCTATTTTTTAAGTGGAACTTTTCTTATTTCAGATTGTGAATTTACTTCAAATATAGGAAGACTTGGCTCATCTTTGCATTTAGAAATTGCAGCTGAGCCAACTAGCTACTATTCAAGACTTACAATAGAATCAGGTAATTTTATCCAAAATAGTGGCCTTGCAGTCATTTATATGACAAATTCTGATGTTTATTCTTACCTTATTACTGACTCTTGTAAATTTACAAATAATGCAGCAACACCTATAACACTAGATTATGACCATTGGGAAGATACAAACTCCGAACTAACTTATAACGTTGGAAGTCCATCAGGAGGAGTAAAAATGCTTGATGCCTCACTTGCTGTATGCGAAAATACAATTTTTTCTTATAATCAAGTGTCTTCAGATGGAGGAGCTGTTTCTGCAGGATCAGGTTCTAAATTTTATTGTGTAGGCTGCACATTTATAGGGAATACAGCAAAAGGTTCAGGTGGAGCTATTTTTAGTGAGCAGAAATCGTTTTTTAACATCACAAAATCTTATATTAAAGGAAATAAATGTGCTGATAAAGGATCTGCTATATATATGCTAGGGTCAACTACTCCAATCTCTATCATTTTGGACTCTAATATTACTTATAATAATTCCACAAATGAAGCTACTATTGCTCTTCTTGACTCTTTTATAAACATTGAATCATCTACTATAACCCAAAATATCGCGTCATATATTACCCCAGGAATCCTTTTAACACTTTCACAAGCTACAATATCTAACTCTGCCTTTTCAAGTCAAAATGGAGACCAAGGAAGTTTTATATATGCGACTACTCAAAGCACAGCGACTGTTTCTAACACAACTTTTACAGGTGGAACAAGTACAAACTCAGCTGGGTCTATTTTTTCTATTTCCAGTACTGTGAATATTTATAATGGGACTTTTAATACAAACAGTGCCAAAAATGGAGGAGGTGGGGTCATTCTGTCTTATTCAAGCAGCACTTTAGTGATATATAATAGCGCATTTTATAATTCGTATAGCAAGGATGTGGGGGGAGTGATAATTGGCTATGAAAGTGACCTGACTATTGATAGCACGATTATGAAAAATTACAAGGTAGGCGCTATTTATGGATCTAAAATGAATTCAGTTACTATAAAAAATTCAAAATTTTATAATGGGATTGGCACCAATGGAGGCTCATTAACTTGCATTTCTTGTATATCAGTCTATTTATATAACTGCTATTTTCAAGAAAACACTGCAGATACTGGTGGAGCCATTTATTTATCTACATCAAGTGACACAGAAATAGAAAATCCTTATATCATAAAGCAATCATCATTTTGGAATAATTCAGCATCATTAGGAGGTGGAATATACACAAACGATATCAGTTTAAATGTATCCTCTTCTGAATTTGTAGGAAATATCGCAAATACGACTAGCGAAATTGTGGGAACTACCCCTGCTACTGGAAATGGGGGTGGAATAAATTTAGCTTGCTCAGATTTTACGACTTGTGTATTTAATATTACCTATAACAGCTTTACAGAAAATTATGCTAAATATAATGGAGGAGGCATAAACTGAATAGATGTGTTTCCTATAGCTTATGGGAATACGTTTAAAGATAATAAAGCTTCTTATGCACCTGAAATTTCTTCATTTGCAATAAAATTGATGGCTGTAGATAAAAATGGGAATCTAGTTGAATACAATAGAAGGCTAGATGACATTCCGACAGTGACCTCTATTTCTGGGATTGCATCTGGTCAAACTACTACTAAGAGCATAACCTTGGCACTAGTGGATTATTATGGAAACATTGTAGCAACAGATAGCTCAAGCACTGCACAGCTTTTCCCTGAAGATTCAACCTCTACAACCTTATCTGGAACCACTAAAACAACTGCTGTTAAAGGTATATACTATTTCGACAGTTTTATAGTCTCAGCGAAACCAGGGACAAGTGTTTCTATAAAAACAACGTCTACTGGCATAGACACCACAAAAGCGTCTAAAATATCTGCAAATGTCACATTTATTCCTTCAGTAACTATTGATGTTACTCTTCGCTTATGCATAATAGGAGAAGCCACTGTAGGGGTTAATTGTGACGTTTGCGGGGCTGGGTATTATTGCTTAGACCCTACTTACACTCAGTGTTTAGCTTGTCCTTCACATTCAGCTACTTGTTATGGAAACTATACTATTGTTCCGCAAAAGGGGTATTGAAGGTCGAGCAATATGTCAGAGAATTTTCTTGCCTGTCCAAAATATTCAGCTTGCTTAGGATCTCCACAGCCTCCTAATCTATCTTTTACTGGACTTTGCCATGAAGGATATACAGGAAATTTGTGTCAGGCATGCGAAAATGGCTATTCGAGAACCAGCACAAATACTTGCGGAAAATGTCCAGATGCAGTTTCTAATGCTTTTAAAGTAATTGGAATAATGCTTGCTGTAGTTCTTATATGTGGAATAATGGTAAAAACGACCAGGAATTCTGCTTACAAGCCGAAGTCAGTGCAGTCAATATATATAAAGATTTTTGTGAATTATTTACAAATTGTGATGCTCGTGACTACTTTTGACTTGCAATGGCCATCCAGTGTGACCCAACTCTTTTCTATACAAAATGACACAGGATCAGTAAGTGAACAGGTTTTTTCTTTTGACTGCTTTTTAGACACAGGCCAAGGTAATGACCAAGTTTATTTCAATAAACTTATTATTATGAGCATAATCCCTACAATTATAGCATTAGTATCAGTTATATTCTGAGGATCTGTAGCAATTTACAAAAAGACTTTAAAATCATTTAAAAATGATTTAATTTCTACCATTGTGATTTTGCTGTTTCTTTTCCACCCAAATTTAGTAAAGTCTATGTTTGCTGTGTTTTCCTGTAGAGAAATTGACGAAGGAGAGTACTGGCTTGTGCAAGATTTAGACATTCGATGCTGGAATAGCAGACATGTATTTTATTCTTTGACAGTTGCAGTGCCTTCTATTATAGTATGAGGAATCGGTATTCCGACTGTTTCTTTATATTTTCTATGAAGAAATAAAAGAAAATTAGACTCAATTAGTGTCAGGCTTCAGTTTGGGTTTCTTTTCAACGGGTATAAAGCAAAATCTTATTATTGGGAATTTGTTATTTTATATAGAAAAATCCTTATTGTATGCTGCTCTGTATTTTTAGCGAATGTCAATACAAGCATCCAAGCATTAACTGTCATGATGCTGCTTTTACTTTGCCTTTACTTCCAAAATGTGACGCAGCCTTATGATGGTAATGTTTTAAATGAAATGGAAATTCGGTCAATTTTAGTAGCTGCTGTTACAATATATTGTGGACTTTACTACTTGACTGGCTCTTTAGATTCTGTATAGTCTAAGATGCCTTTTATATTGTTATAACCATAAGTTTACATTAAAGTAAAAAAAAATTTCAAATTTAAAAAACTTCCAATTTGAAGTAAAAATTTATTTAATTTTTAAATTAATGTTTTAAGGATTTTTTCCGATGGTTTCGTTCGCTCACGGAAGGGATCTATTTTCATCTCACTGATCAATAATTCCTTATAGGGTATATCAAAAACTGTTTTCTTTATTTTGATCTGTGCTGTAAATATATATTTCCTGTATTATTGGCTTAAAAAAATGTTTGGAGCTGGCTTCCAAATCTTATCTGATTTAATTCCGTGCTTACGAAAAAGATTCAGCCGGAAAGTCATGGATGGGTTCAGTGACGAAATTTTTGAAAAATCTGAGCTAAATCATGTCAAAGTAAAGCAAGGAGAAAAATATTTTTCTATCATTGCAAACGAGGACCCAATGTCAGCGTTACCTGCTGATGTAGAGTTGGAAAGCATGCTAAATATGGATATGAGAAAATTATTTTTGCGTGTCGTAGAAAATAAATTAGAATCCACAAAGGGAGTTAAGGATGTCAGCGTAGAAGAATATTTTCCAGGAGAAATCTATAAAACGGTGATGAACGATTTTGATCGCACAAATGAGGATGCAGATTCCCCACCTTTTAGATCTGCAAGTTTAAAAACTAAAATGCCAAATAAATAATTATTTTTATTAAATCAATTCATTATAAAAATTTTTAAATAAGAAGTCAGAGAATTCTAGGAGCTATTTTTTAATTTAGCCTTAGTAGAATGAGATTAATGTTTACATTTAAATTATTTTTTAATATTAAATTATGCACTCTATTGACTATTCTTGCATGAAAAGCAAACAATAATATTTATTTAAAAAATTTAATTCCGTCTCCAGCCTCTTTAGATTTTTCTTCCCTGGCATCTATGAACCAAATGATAAAACTTACAATTGAAAATTCAAAAATTGAAAATAATATCGCATCAGCATCGACACCTTATTTATTACTAACAAATTCAAATATAACAGTTTTTGATAATGTAATTTTTGATACCAATATAGGCATATCGACAGATAATCCCACTGCTTTGTATATAAATGGAGGCAATCAAACTGATATATCAGACTCCACAGTAAAAGGAAACATAAATAATGCAGGCCAAGCGTATGGGACGGTTTATGCTAAAGGTAGCACTTTAACATTGGGCATCGCGAGAACTGTTTTTACTAATAATAATGTGAATAATGCTGGAGCAATCTTGTTTTCTGGCATATCTATTTCTATAAATGATAGCTCATTTATCAATAATACAGCGAATACAAAAGGTGGGGCATTATATATTCAGCAGTCAGCTGCTGCAAGTATGACTGTTTCAATAGATTCCTGCAATTTTACTTTAAATTGCGCACTAATATCTCCAGGTGGAGCCATTTACATAGAAAACACGGGGATTTTATATAACACAATCAGTTTTGCATTAAGCAATGCAATATTCACTCAAAATTATGGCAGTTATGGAGCTGCTATTTATATAGATAGCACAGTGAATCTTGATCAAAATGGCAACTCATCTATTGTTTCTTCTAGTTTTATAAAAAATAATTCAACAACATCAGGAGCCATTGCACTCTATTTTTTTAGTGGAATATTTCTTATTTCAGATTGCAAGTTTACTTCAAATATAGGAAGACTTGGCTCATCTTTGCATCTAGAAATAACAGCTGAGCCAAGTAACTACTATTCAAGACTTACAATAGAATCAGGTGATTTTACCCTAAATAGTGGCCTTGCAGTTATTTATATGACAAATTCTGATGTTTATTCTTACCTTATTACTGACTCTTGCAAATTTACAAATAACGCAGCAACACCTATAACACTGGATTATGACCATTGGGAAGATACAAACTCCGAACTAACCTATAACGTTGGAAGCCCATCAGGAGGAGTAAAAATGCTTGATGCCTCGCTTGCTGTTTGTAAAAATACGATTTTTTCTTATAATCAAGTGTCTTCAGATGGAGGAGCTGTTTCTGCAGGATCAGGTTCTAAATTTTATTGTTTAGGCTGCACATTTATAGGAAATACAGCAAAAGGCTCAGGCGGAGCTATTTTCAGTGAGCAGAAATCGTTTTTTAACATCACAAAATCTTATATTAAAGGAAATAAATGTGCTGATAAAGGATCTGCTATATATATGCTAGGGTCAACTACTCCAATTTCTACCATTTTGAACTCTAATATTACTTATAATAATTCCACAAATGAAGCTACTATTGCTCTTCTTGACTCTTCTATAAAAATTGAATCATCTACTATAACCCAAAATATAGCATCATATATTACCCCTGGAATCCTTCTAACACTTTCACAGGCCACAATATCTAATTCTGCCTTTTCAAGTCAAAATGGAGACCAAGGAAGCTTTATATATGCGACTACTCAAAGCACAGCTACTGTTTCTAACACAACTTTTACAGGTGGAACAAGTACAAGCTCAGCAGGGTCTATTTTTTCGATTTCAAGTACCGTGAATATTTATAATGGGACTTTTAATACAAATAGTGCCAAAAATGGAGGGGGTGGGGTTATTCTGTCTTATTCAAGCAGCACTTTAGTGATATATAATAGCGCGTTTTATAACTCATATAGTAAGGATGTAGGAGGAGTAATAATCGGCTATGAAAGTGATCTGACTGTTGAAAGCACGATTATGAAAAATTACAAGGTAGGCGCTATTTATGGATCTAAAATGAATTCAGTTACTATAAAAAATTCAAAATTTTATAATGGGGCTGGCACCAATGGAGGCTCATTAACTTGCATTTCTTGCATATCAGTCTATTTATATAACTGCTATTTCCAAGAAAACACTGCAGATACTGGTGGAGCCATTTATTTATCTACTTCAAGTGACACAGAAATAGGAAATCCTTATATCATAAAACAATCATCATTTTGGAATAATTCAGCATCATTAGGAGGTGGAATATACACAAACAATATCAGTTTAAATGTATCCTCTTCAACATTTGTAGGAAATATCGCAAATACGACTAGCGAAATTGTGGGAACTACACCGACTACTGGAAATGGAGGTGGAATAAATTTAGCTTGCTCAGATTTTACGACTTGTGTATTTAATATTACCTATAACAGCTTTACAGAAAATTATGCTAAATATAATGGAGGAGGTATAAACTGAATAGATGTGTTTCCTATAGCTTATGGGAATACATTTAAAGATAATAAAGCTTCTTATGCACCTGAAATTTCTTCTTTTGCAATAAAATTGATGGCTGTAGATATAGTCTTTTAGGCATTTTGCAACAATTTTATATGCTAAAACTACTTAAGGCAATTTTTGACTCTAAAAAAAATATATCCTGAGTTTACCTCAATTTATCAGTGAATACATTTTATAAATAAAATTGATATTTTGAATTAAAAAATTTAAAAATATTAAAATAATTGATTTTATAGACAAAAAATTGGTCTTTATTATTTAAAAAGTCAAACTTTGGAAGTAAAAAGCTAATTAATCTATAAAAGTGGGAATCTAGTTGAATACAATAGAAGACTAGATGATATTCCGACAGCGACCTCAATTTCTGGAATTGCATCTGGCCAAACTACTACAAAAAGCATTACTTTGGCACTAGTGGATTATTATGGAAACATTGTAGCAACAGATAGCTCAAGTACTGCACAACTTTTCCCTGAAGATTCAGCCTCTACAACCTTATCTGGGACGACTAAAACAACTGCTGTTAAAGGTATATATTATTTCGACAGTTTTGTAGTTTCAGCGAAACCAGGGACAAGTGTTTCTATAAAAACAACGTCTACTGGCATAGACACTACAAAAGCGTCTAAAATGTCTACAAATGTCTCATTTATTCCTTCAGTAACTATTGATGTAACTCTTCGCCTATGCATAATAGGAGAAGCCACTGTAGGGGTTAATTGTGACGTTTGCGGGGCTGGGTATTATAGCTTAAACCCTACTTACACTCAGTGCTTAGCTTGTCCTGCACATTCAGCGACTTGTTATGGAAATTATACAATTGTTCCTCAAAAGGGGTATTGAAGGTCGAGTAATATGTCTGAGAATTTTCTTGCCTGTCCAAAATCTTCAGCTTGCTTAGGCTCTCCACAGCCTCCTAATTTATCTTTTACAGGGCTTTGCCATGAAGGATATACAGGAAATTTGTGTCAGGGATGCGAAAATGGCTATTCGAGAACCAGCACAAATACTTGCGGGAAATGCCCAAGTGCAGTTTCTAATGCTTTTAAAGTAATTGGAATAATGCTTGCTGTAGTTCTTATATGTGGAATAATGGTAAAAACGACTAGGAATTCTGCTTATAAACCGAAGTCAGTGCAGTCAATATATATAAAGATTTTTGTGAATTATTTACAAATTGTGATGCTTGTGACTACTTTCGATTTGCAATGGCCATCCAGTGTGACCCAACTCTTTTCTATCCAAAATGACACAGGATCAGTAAGTGAACAGGTTTTTTCTTTTGACTGCTTTTTAGATACAGGCCAAGGTAATGACCAAGTTTATTTCAATAAACTTATTATTATGAGCATAATTCCTACAATTATAGCATTAGTATCAATTATATTCTGAGGATCTGTAGCAATTTATAAAAAGACTTTAAAATCATTTAAAAATGATTTATTCTTCGCTAAGCAAGCTTAATACTATAAAAAATATGGAAATTATTATTTAGATTACGATGCTATTATTTCATCACTCATACAGCTTAGCTAGCTCCCTTTTGCTGCTGGAAAGCTTTTTATATGCGAATGCAGGGGCTAATTTTTTATACAATAATTGCCTTATAAAATAAATTTTTCGATATCGAAAGAAAAATTCTATAGTTAGTGAAACTGACTATATTTAAATAGCATATTATTTTTAATAATTTTATTTCTCTTTCAATAATTTAATTGAAAACCCAAACTTTATCATCTCTTGAATTTCGTTTTCATCCAATTTATTTAAATAATTTTAACACTTAAAGTTAATAATTTAATAAATATGAAATTCTATCAATCTTTAAAAATAACTAATTTAATTTATAAAAGATCAAGAATAAATCTGGCTGAAAATTACATAATTAAGTTCCAAAATATTTATAAAAAATTATATTAAAATATTATTAGAGTGTTTATGGGGTTTAGCCTTCCCTTTAAGTAAATTTTTCCAACGGATTTGCTCGTTAGTCAAGGCTGGGAAAGTAAGCATAATTTCTACCATTGTGATTTTGCTATTTCTTTTCCACCCAAATTTAGTAAAGTCTATGTTTGCAGTGTTTTCATGTAGAGAAATTGACGCAGGAGAGTACTGACTTGTGCAAGATTTAGATATTCGATGCTGGGATAATAGACATGTATTTTATTCCCTTGCTGTTGCAGTCCCTTCTATTATAGTATGAGGAATCGGTATTCCGACTGTTTCTTTATATTGTCTATGAAGAAATAAAAGAAAATTAGACTCAATTAGTGTCAGGCTTCAGTTTGGGTTTCTTTTTAATGGATATAAAGCAAAATCTTATTACTGGGAATTTGCTATTTTATATAGAAAAATCCTTATTGTATGCTGCTCTGTATTTTTAGCAAATGTCAATACAAGCATCCAAGCATTAACTGTCATGATGCTGCTTTTACTTTGTCTTTACTTCCAAAATTTGGTGCAGCCTTATGATGGAAATGTTTTAAATGAAATGGAAATTCGGTCAATTTTAGTAGCGGCTGTTACAATTTATTGTGGACTTTACTATTTGACTGGCTCTTTAGATTCTGTATCGTCTAAGATGTCTTCGATATTGTTATAATTATAAGTTTCCATTATAGTAAATTTTTTTTTCAAATTTAAAAAAATTCGTAAAATTGAGAAGTAAAAATTATTTAATTTGTAAAATTTATGTTTTAAAATGCAATTTAACAGATATTTCATTATACTAATAATCCTGTGCATTACGAAATTTTTCATAAAAAAAATTGTTATTATGGAGGGTGGCAAAATTAGGATTTTTCCAATGGTTTTGTCCCTCATGGGGCAGTATTTTCATCTCACTGATCAATAATTTTTTATACGGTATATCAAAAAACTGTTTTCTTTATTTTAATCTGTGCTGTAAATATTTATTTCCTCTATTATTGGCTTAAAAAAATGTTTGGAGCTGGCTTTCAAATCTTATCTGATTTAATTCCTTGCTTACGAAAAAGATTTAGCCGTAAAGTCATGGATGGGTTCAGTGACGAAATTTTTGAAAAATCTGAATTCCCACATTTAAATTGAACCAAAAAATCATCTAATTTAAAGTCGGTTAATTTTTTTTTAAGATTAAAAAAAATAAATTGAACACAATATTTTTGAATTTAATTTATTTTTATGAAGAATTAATAAAAAATAATTGATTCAGTGTTTAAGCTGTTTAAATAGCATTCTAATTTTCTTATAAATATTATAATTTTATATATAGAATTTCCCTATCCAAAAAAATTGTTCCAATTTAATTGAGGGATAATTTACTCAAAAAATGGATATTTTTCTTCCAATTTAAAGGGGGGAGTGAGCTAAATCATGTCAAAGTTAAACAAGGCGAAAAATATTTTTCTATCATTGCGAACGAAGACCCAATGTCAGCATTACCTGCTGATGTAGAGTTAGAAAGCATGCTAAATATGGATATGAGAAAACTATTTTTGCGTGTCGTAGAAAATAAATTAGAATCCACAAAGGGAGCTAATGATATCAGTGTAGAGGAATATTATCCAGGGGAAATCTATAAGACAGTGATAAACGATTTTGATCGCACAAATGAGGATGCAGATTGTCCACCTTCTAGATCTGCAAGTTTAAAAACTAGAATGCCAAATAAATAATTATCTTACTAAATCAATTATTATAAAGTCTTTAAAAAGAAGTCAAAGAATTCTAGGAGACATTTTTTTAATTAAACTTACTCTCCATTAAGAGCAAGCGAAAATGCCTATTTTTGGAAATTAGCCTTGGATAAAAAATTAGCTCGCTCTAAAATGTGAAGTTAAATAATTTTTATCAAATATTTATCTTTATTAGAAGAAATGAATCATATAGAATATAATTTTAATTCTATCGAGATTTGCTTTATATGCTTTTTTTATGTCTCCAATAATTTATATAATAAGTAAGTCTTTATATTAAGCATCAATTATAAAATTCTAAAACTTATTTTTAAAATAACTAGGCAGACAAAATATGCAAAACAGATATGGAAAAAGGTGAATAATTTAAATTTAAAAAAAAAATGCTGGAATTAATAGTTAAATATGATTTTCCAGTCTGCCCAGACACTAGTCTCGAAATTTAATTAGTAAGTACCGGCAAGGTTTATATACATTAAAATGACGGCACGTGTTAACCTGCCCTTTGGCACAAAAGTCCAGACCTTATGGCTATAGCGAACTGGGATAGACTCCGGCCGAAAATCAAGTGCAAACTTAAGAGATATACATTCGGGTAGGTTTTCGCTGCTTTCCTGTAGTTGGAAATGTAGATACTCAAAATGTCTTTTGGATCCGAGAACCCATGGTATTCCTCCACCGAGAAGCTGGGGTTTAAGCTCAGGCCACAGGGAAGTAGTCTTTTTTCTGGAGCTATCAAAGGAAGGCACTTCAACACCCGATAGACTCCAAGGATCCATGGAATCAAGCTACTCCAATCGCCCGTAGCAGGGTCACTGACATCCATAGGCCGCACGCTCAATACTGAATCACAAGGCAAGGAGGAGACAGAAGGTATCAAAGTGGCACAGACCCTCTGGACTGGAGTCGAAAACTGTAAAACCTTTTGTGCAGGAGGTCTTTAGTGACTGCGTCACCAATATGGCTAACGCTTGCCTTTAATAACCTATCCTAACCTTTAAAATTTCTTCGACCTTCTAGAGGTTGTCCAAACAATTTGAAAAGAAAATTGAAACTATTCTAAAGAAAGGTGCAATTGGCTAAATGTAAATAAAAGGACTAGCTGCAATCTTTATATTAAAATCTTATAATAAAAGACAAAGAAAAATATAATCGCATATTCGTCTTAACCAATCCAATTTTTTCCTTTTTTTGATTCTATGAGAAAAGCCTAAAACAATCTAAAATAATAGTGCTGGTAGAGATAAATCCTCAAAGTCAAAAAAGGAAAAATTTATGTTAATAAAATGTTTTTATACCATGAATAATCCTTTATTTATTATATTTATTTAATTTTCAATAGAGTATTTTATATTGCTTCTGCTTGTTAGGCCAAACATGAGCTTACCATGAATAGGATTTTTTAATTTCAGTCTAACTATAGATCATCATTATTTTACATCTTTAGCTATTACTCCAGAGCAATCAAAAAATAGATAAGCTATATATAATTATTTTTTATTCATATTTTAGGAGAGGAAATAAAATTAAAATAAAATTGCTATTAAAATTATATAGCTTACACCCCGTTTTGGATGGGCCTTGAGCGCCCCTCCCCATACAACCACCCCCTAACGGTCCCAAGTATTTTAAAATGTTAAATATTAATTTGACAAGTTAAAATATTTGAGGGTACTTGCCAAATAATATTTTAACATTTAAAATTTTCAGGATCGTCAGGAGTGGGTGGCATGGGGAGGGGTTACTTAATGGCGAGCAACCACGAGGGGTGCACTATAAGCGAAAACAAAGTGATCTTGAATATTTAGTTATGAGTTAAATTTCTAAATAGTTATGAAAAAAAATTCTCAAAGTCGTGTATAAAATGGTCAAATTTATTCTCTTTTTATTAAATATGGCATATCATATCATCAAATCTACCCAATAATTAATATATTTTCCACAAATAGGAGATTATTTTATCAAATTTCCTTTAAATTAGCCAACAACTTACTCCCACTGACTTTAATAGAAAAATTTATTTTCCAAATTTAAAAAAAATCTCAAATCGCTAAAAAAATAGAAGTAAAAATTATTTCAGTTTGTAAAATTTATGTTATAGGACGCAAGCTATTTAAAATTCAATTAGCTAGGTATTTTATATTAATAATTATCAATTATTGTTTTTAAAAAAAAATTTTTTTGCTCACAGAGGGTGGCTTTTTCCCCAAAATGCCGATTTTTCCAATAGTTTGTTCGCTCAAGAGGGGAGAATTAGTAAAGACCAACATATTTCACTTTTTAATAATAAAATGATCCCACTGATTCCGTTTACTTTTTTACCACTTGCTTATTCCTTAAGTATATCCTGCAATAATAACTGATGTCCAGATTCTTATGTAATTTTCACATAGAAAGGAGATAACTATTGTGACACGAATTGTATGACCAAATATTGCAATTTTGACACAGAATTATCTACAGAGCCTTATGATTTTTCTAAATCTGACTGTTATTTCGATTGTGTCTATTATAATGACTGTAGTCCTGATTTATTAGGAGATGGTAAATGTGACACTGCTTGTAATAATGCTAAATGTGGGTGAGATTTAGGAGACTGTGGGTATTGTGCTGATTCTTGTAATTTATATACAGGCTACGAAGAAATGCTTGGAACTGCTTGTTATTCATCATGTAACACAGCTAGTTGTTATTACGGTGAAAGTCACTGCCAAGAATGCAGTACAAATTGTACATCTTTTCTTTTAGGTGATGGAAAATGTGATGATGTTTGCAATAATGCTAACTGTAATTTTGACTTCGGAGACTGTGATAACAATACCTGTGCTGATGGCTGTTACTCATTTATGATTAATGATGGAGTTTGCAACTCAGCTTGCTATTTCGCTGACTGTGGTTATGATGGAACAGACTGTGATTGTGCTCCTGGATGCACAAAAAGTATGCTGGAGAACAATAAATGTGATAAAGAATGCAATAATGAAGCTTGCCAGTATGATTCTTATAAGTGTGGAGAATGTAATGCAGGATGCTTTTATACAGATATAAATGATGGAGTTTGCCAAGATTCGTGCTGAGTCTCAAGCTGTGATTTTGATGGGGATGATTGCCAATGTGCGACAGGTTGTAATCATAAGATCTATGGTCAATGCAATGAAAATTGTATGACTGCGGATTGCTATTATGATCAATATAGCACAGATACAGCTAAGCACTGCAAAAATACAAATTTAATACTGTTTTATATGCATTTACAGCTTGTCAATAACGATTTATCAACTGTTCAAAAACTCAATGAATGCGCAGGCCAAAACTGTAATACAGGAATACTTTTAAGCTACCCAAATACTTGCGTTCAAAATTGTGATACCAAATCCTGTGCTTATTCTTGGCTCAATTGCCTACCAGAAAAAACTTCGCGTTGTCATGATAGAAATTGCAAATCCTGCTATGGTCCGGACGATGGACAGTGCTATATGTGCGACACTATGAATTCATATCAATTTTATGGGTATTGTTTAAAGGCATGTCCTTGTGGATATACAGCTAAATCAATAGCAGGCTCTTATCCTCTATGCTTGCCTAATGATGATAGCTCTACAATGGTAAGTCCGACATATTATTATGTGACATCTCTCACAACGAATGATCAAGCCGGTGGAGATGGTACCAGAGAAAATCCATTCGAGTCATTATCTCTTGCTTTGACAGCTATAAACAGCAAATATTCAGTTGTTATACTGCTTAATGATGGAGTTCATTATTTGACACAGCTGAATAAAACAAATATTATGTCAGTTGTGGCGCCGGATAGCTCAAAACCATATAATTCTAAAACTCGCAGAAAAAGCTTATCAATAATTTCTGAAAATAGCAGTAAGGTATATTTTAAGCCAAAAACTGACTGAAATATCCTGACCATTACTACACAAAATACTGATACGATAATTATAAGTAATATCATTTTTGATGGAAATGAATGGGCTCATGGGCATAACGGCTGCTTAGACGGCTATTGCTCATATTGTCCATTTATAACTCAGCAATATGATGGAAGCTATAAAGATGACAGAGGAAACACAATAACTAACTTTACTGGCTCAAGTCTGTGTCAAAAATACCATAAATGAAATCTAATTGAAGCTGTTAGTGGAACTACTTTACTCTTATACAATGTTGCTTTTAATAACTGATTAGATTAGATGAGATTAAAATTTATAGGGGGTCGGGGTTTATTTCAGCCCCTCTCCGTCCAACGGATAGCTTCACGTTAGCGCTAAGCGCTATCCTCACACCACCTTTTTCCCCACTGATGTCACCAAAAAAATGGTGACTTCAGAGGTCTGTCGGGGAGAAAATCCTACCGTTCGGCCGAGCCTTTCTTGGTCCCAAAATTCAGCTGACAGGGCTCAGAGTACGGGTGAACCGTCTTTTGCCTACTCCATGGCCTATCAGAATCATATCGCAGGTTCAAGATTGCTCCTCATGGAGTAGCATCTGGATTTGCGCTGGTAGGGACTTCTGCAGGTAAGGAAAAAAAGATCTAAGGTTATCCCTTAGACCAAAAACCTACCCCGGAGAACTATCGCCATGTGGCTCGCCTTTCCTGGCCCGGATCTACTCACAGGTTGTCAGGAGTCCACGTCAGATCACGCCATTTTGATAATTCTTTTTAATAACTGAAGAATGGAAGAAAATTCAATTATTTTTAGCAACGGAGGGACTGTCAAGCTTTATAATGTTGATTTTGATAATATAAGGACAAATCCGAGCTCAGGATCTGCAGTAGTTGTATTTCAAGATTGCTTGCAAAACTCTGGATATACTTATGGTTGTGGGAATTTTTCTTATAGTGGAGGGAAAGTTACAAGGCTTAACAACGGCTTTGAGTATTCTTCATCGTTAACACTAAAAGGATTTTTCAGGGCAGCTAGAGCTCAAGATATTTCTTTTGGTAGGGTGATTTTTGAAAATAATGCTGTTTATTCTCCATCAAATGCTGATGATGATTCTTTAATTTATTTAGAAATTTTCAGGACTCTAAAAATAGAATCCTGCACTTTTTCTTATAATTTGGTATACTCTGCTTTGATTTATTTAAGTTCTTCCAATCTTGATCTAAAATCGACTTTAAACTCTCAGAATCAAGTTATTGACTATTTAATTGACCATATAGTTATTGAAGATACAATATTTTCATATAATTATGGGTTTTACTATGGAATTTTTGCAGCTCAATACCAAACTGAGCTGCAGAATATTTATTGAAATAATGTAACAATGGAATGCAACGGCGCAGAAAAAGGGGCGTTAGTGTATATTTATAACTCCGTTATTTTAAACCAATATATTTTTGGCCAAACTTCTACTGTAACAAAATCTAATGGTAATAAAGTTAAGGCTTATGAAAGATATAGGACTTTTAGCTGGGATACTATAAAATTGATAAACAATAATTCAGGAGGCTCTGGAATGTGGGATTTTACAAAACTTGTAAACTTGAACTTAAATGCTATTAATGTGACTGAAAATGGAACTTCAAATAATACAGTTAACAGCATTGTCATTTCTGTATGGAAAATAGATACTAATATTTATTTAAAAAATCTAATATCATCCTCAATTTCCTTATTCCACACTCCGTGAGCGAACCAAACCTAACATTAACTTAAATATTGAGAAGTTCGCTGTAATGCCTCGAGGACCTACCTCCACCCGTATTGCTTCACCGGCTGCTCACCACCGACCGACCACGGCCTTCTAAAGTGTTGCTCCTTCTGGACGAGAATGTGCACTCGCTACCCGAAGTTGGATGAGTTGAGCCACCGTGCCGTACGCCAACAGAGTTGTCCTTTCCGAAAATTTTGAAAAACAAATTTTCTGGTCGAACTCACAGCCAAAATGAAAATCTAAAGCCTGGGACGTAACCCCCCAGTTTCACGCTAGAGAATTGCCCGATGGACCAAGAGGAACCTCATTGGTGCTGCTGAGCTTCTCCTTTCCAACCTTCGACTCCATTTCCCCTGAGGTAAAATCCTTGCCATCAGAGTGAACTGCGGTCGACCAAATTTCGACATTGCGCTCCACTGTGCCAAGGAAATACCTAGCCGGATACCTATACCGAGCGCCAAATTCACTTCCACGAGGTCCCCGGGTCCTAGAAGGTCCCAGCTACAGGTGTTGAGAAAAAGGGCTGGTTCGCCGTCGCCATTTTAATAAGTATGAGCGAACCAAACCATTACTAATTTTTGCTAAAGAACCTACTTCATGAGCAAACAAAAATTTTTATAATAGAAAAAATGTTTTATGAAAATAAATGATATATAAATGATAATTATAATGAAATCCCTATCTAATTCTGTTTAATTTTAAGCAGCTTACATTTTAAATCACAAATTTTACAAATTAAATTAATTTTTACTTCTCATTCTTACAAATTAGAATTTTTTTAAATTTCGAAAAAAAAAATTACTATAAAATTATATAAAACAAAAATTAATCCCCTCTGTGAGGAACAAAATGTTTTTGTTCGCTAAGGATCGGGGAGTTAGATATTTCTTCTTTAGCGTCTATGAACTCACTGATAAAATTTACAATTGAAAACTCAGAAATCAAAAAAAATTGCGCATCATCTTCAACTCCTTATATATTTCTGACAAATTCAAATATAACTGCTTTCAATCATGTCATTTTTGATAACAATTTAGGTAAATCTGCAGAGTATCCGACTGTTTTGTATATAAATGGAGGCAATCAAACTGATATAATAGATTCTACCGCAAATGTAAACATAAACAATGCAGATCAAGGATATGGGACTATTTATGCAAAAGGCAGCGCTTTAATATTAAAAATTCAAAAATCAACTTTTAGTTGAAATAACGCGAATGATGGAGGAGGAATTTTGTTTTCTGGGAAATCACTTTTTATATCAAATAGTTCGTTTACAAATAATTATGCTAAAGCAAAAGGTGGAGCGTTGTATGTTATGCAGATAACTGCTGGCATTATGGAAATTTCAATAGATTCATGCAGTTTTATATCGAATATTGCATTAATATCACAAGGTGGAGCAATTTATGTAGAAACACACAATATACATAAAAATGGGATAAAAGACTATTCGACTTCTTAAACCTATTTCTTCAGGAAAAGCCCAGTGATAAGGGGAAAGGCATAAAGAGGTTGGCAACCCTTTGTGTATATCGGGCTAGGTTGTTCTTGGACCCTAGGGAGCTAATCCCTAAGATTTTGAGTTTTTATTTGTGGAACCATTATTGGAAAGGGCAGGGTCAGAAAAGCGGACATAAATCCTTCAATCAGGGCTCAAGATGTGCATCTGCCTAGCGAGAAATTGGAGTTTCGACCTAATTGGTAGGCCTATAGACTCCAGAGTCATGGAAGTCAAGAATGGTCATGCAAATTCTTTGCCTGTGGTGGGGAAGAAGAGAGTCAGCCGGAGTGCCTTGGGGAATGATGAATATGTAGGGTGTAAACCCCGGCCTCCCAAGGATAAAGAGCATATTAAAATTATGTAGAAAACACTGGAGTTGTCACTAATATTGCAACTTTTGCTATAAAAGATTCAAAATTCACTCAAAATTATGGCAGTTATGGAGCTGCTATTTATATAGATAGCACAGTAAATCTTGATCAAAATAGCAACTCATCCATTGTTTCTTCTAGCTTTATACAAAATAATTCAACAACATCAGGAGCCATTGCACTTTATTTTTTAAGTGGAATTTTTCTTATTTCAGATTGCGAATTTACTTCCAATATAGGAAGACTTGGCTCATCTTTGCATTCAGAAATTGCAGCTGAGTCAAGTAGCTACTATTCGAGACTTACAATAAAATCAGCTGATTTTATCCAAAATAGTGGTCTTGCAGTTATTTATATGACAAATTCTGATGTTTATTCTCGGGATCAGATCCAATGATCGTGCATTTTTGATAGTGTGCATTTCACCGAAGCACTTTTGGTTGAAATTTTTAATAGTGATATATATGACTGAAAAACCCGTTAAATTTCGATGAAATGTCACACTATTTAAAAATTTTCAATCAAATGTACTTCGATGAAATGCAAACTATCAAATATCCGCTGTCATTTGACATGCCTTATTCTCATCTTATTACAGACTCTTGCAAATTTACAAATAACGCAGCAACACCTATAACATTAGATAATGACCATTGGGAAGATACAAACTCCGAACTAACTTATAACGTTGGAAGCCCATCAGGAGGAGTAAAAATGCTTGAGGCCTCACTTGCTGTATGCGAAAATACGATTTTTTCTTATTAGATTATTAGATTAGATTACGACTGGGTATTTAAAGTCCCCACTTCGTTCGAGGAAGCATTCTACGGTTTCCCGTATGGTGGCAGAGCGTTCACCAAGCCCGGGCCGAAACCCCCGGTTTCTCGGTAGAGGCATTGTCAAGGGCCGTCTCATACCGGCTTTGCTGACCGCCTCCATTTCCAACTTGGATCGTCGCCTAAGTTTACGCCAACACTGCCGCGTCGTCCGCCAGATCTGCCCATTGAAGGGCACCTTTTAAACTGGAGAGACTCCCGTTTAGTCGTCTAACTCGCCTTCCCCTCTTTTCCGGTCATCCCGAGAAAGAACTCAACAGCTTTCGCCATTCGGGGTGAGCCATAAAAGCAGCTTAGGCAGGTAAGTCGCCCTGCCTCATTTCGGGCACTCACTGGGCTGAGCGCTGCTAGCAAAAAGAAGTCACGAGTATCTGCCCATGGGTCTGGTCACAAAAACAGCGGCTTTTGCGCTTAGGCCTCTCGCTTCGAGGTCCCAGACGTTGTTGGGCTAACTCCTGGCTCCAAAAACCATGCCCGGATATATAGAAGTTTCCTATGTTTGGCGCTGTAAGGCCGATAAATTCTGATCGGAATTTATCGGTAGGTTGCACCAAATCAATGCCTTGGTCGGACCAAAAAGCGATTTGGTCCGACGAACTTGGAAAGCTCCTGGGAAAATGTCTGCGCTTTTAGCGCTATATAGAGGAAACCTCTATACATGGGTAACCACCACTTAGAGGGTGGGTCGGTCGCCGTCCGCCATTTTATGTATATCCGATTTTTTCTTATAATCAAGTATCTTCAGATGGAGGAGCTGTTTCTGCAGGATCAGGTTCTAAATTTTATTGTTTAGGCTGCACATTTATAGGAAATACAGCAAAAGGCTCAGGTGGGGCTATTTTCAGTGAACAGAAATCGTTTTTTAACATCACAAAATCTAATATTAAAGGAAATAAATGCGCTGATAAAGGATCTGCTATATATATGCTAGGGTCAACTACTCCAATTTCTATCATTTTGAACTCTACAATTTCTTATAATAATTCCACAAATGAAGCTAGTATTGCTCTTCTTGACTCTTCTATAAGCATTGAATCATCTACTATAACCCAAAATATAGCATCATATATTACCCCTGGAATCCTTTTAACACTTTCACAGGCTACAATAGCTAACTCTGCCTTTTCAAGTCAAAATGGAGACCAAGGAAGCTTTATATATGCGACCAATATGCACTAATATGTAGAAGGTAATCACTTGGCCTCTTGGCTGAATTTTCCCAACCCCTGTGGCGAATACCCAGGTGGAGAAATCAAGTTAAGAAAAACCTCCATCATACATGATGCATATTGAATTGTCATTTCTCGTGCCTTAGGAGCTAATCCTGGGATATGGGCTTTTGGCTCTGTTATTCTTTTAAAGGGCAGGGTCAGCGAGATATCATATCGACTAGAGTAAAAGGCTCCTTTTAGACAGCATATGCCTAGTACGATCCAGAAATTTGTGTATTGGGGAATCACCCAAAGGACTTCGGAGCCTTTAAGTCCTTTCCGATTGTGCAAGACTCTCCTGTGTCGGAAGGAAGGGTGCCTGCTGATATCTCTCTGGGATAATGAGTATGCAAGGGTGCAGCTTTAAGCCAGTCCTTTAATGGCAAAACGATTGCAAATCTAATCTAATCCAATCTATTATATGCGACTGCTCAAAGCATAGCAAGTATTTTTAACACAACTTTTATAGATGGATCAAGTGCAAGCTCAGCTGGGTCTATTTTTTCTATTTCTAGCACAGTAAATATTTATAATGGGATCTTTAATAGAAATAGCGCCAAAAATGGAGGAGGTGGAGTAATTCTGTCTTATTCAAGCAGCACTTTGCTCATAAATAATAGCGCATTTTATAACTCATATAGCAAGGATGTAGGGGGAGTGATAATCGGCTATGAAAGTGATCTGATTATTGAGAGCACGGTTATGAAAAATTACAAGGTAGGCGCTATTTATGGATCTAAAATGAATTCTGTGTATATAAAAGACTCAAAATTTTATAATGGGATTGGCACCAATGGAGGCTCATTAACTTGCATTTCTTGCATATCAGTCTATTTAAATAACTGCTATTTCCAAGAAAATACAGCAGATACTGGTGGTGCCATCTATTTATCGACATCAAGCGACACAGAAATAGAAAACCCTTATATTATAGCAGAATCATCATTTTGAAACAATTCAGCATCATTAGGAGGTGGAATATACACAAACGATATCAGTTTAAATGTATCTTCTTCTGAATTTGTAGGAAATATCGCAAATACGACTAGCGAAATTGTGGGAACTACCCCTACTACTGGAAATGGAGGTGGAATAAATTTAGCTTGCTCAGATTTTACGACTTGTGTATTTAATATTACCTATAACAGCTTTATAGAAAATTATGCTAAATATAATGGAGGAGGCATAAACTGAATAGATGTGTTTCCTATAGCTTATGGGAATTCATTTCATGATAATGAAGCTTCTTATGCACCTGAAATTTCTTCTTTTGCAATAAAATTGATGGCTATAGATATATAGGGCCTTCCTATAGATGGCGCGCAATGCGTCATCACCGAGCCATGTCGGGAGAGGGTTCCACACGAGGAATGGTTCTACGTGTAGAACCCCCTTTTTGACCTGTGAGAAAACTACTTTCTACGAGCCAAAAAGAGGGTTCCACACGTAGAACCATTCCTCGTGTGAAACCCTCTCCCGACATGGCCCGGTGATGGCGCATTGCGCGCCATCTATAGGAAGGCCCTATAGCTCTTTAGACATTTTATTTGCTAAAATTAATTTATATTATATAAAAAGCCTAAAAAAAATTTAATGCGAATAGTTAGCAAAAAGCTAATTAATCTATAAAAATGGGAATCTAGTTGAATATAGTAGAAGACTAGATGACATCCCAACAGCGACCTCTATTTCTGGCATTGCTTCCGGTCAAGAAATGACTCAAAGCATTACACTAGCATTGGTAGATTATTATGGAAACATTGTAGCAACAGATAGCTCAAGCACTGCACAACTTTTTCCTGAAGATTCAACCTCAACGACCTTATCTGGGTTAACAAAAACAACTGCAATAAAAGGGATATATTATTTTGATAATTTCATAGTTTCTGCTAAGCCAGGAACAACGATTTCCATAAAAACAACTTCTACAGGTATAGATACAACGAAACAGTCAAAAATTGCAACAAATGTTACATTTATTCCTTCAGTAACTATTGATGTTACTCTTCGCCTATGCATAATAGGAGAAGCCACTGTAGGTGTTAACTGCGAAGTTTGTGGAATTGGATATTATAGCTTAAACCCTTCAAACACTCAATGTATTCCCTGTCCTTCACATTCAGCGACTTGTTATGGAAACTATACTATTGTTCCGCAAAAGGGGTATTGAAGGTCGAGCAATATGTCTGAGAATTTTCTTGCCTGTCCAAAATCTTTAGCTTGTTTAGGCTCTCCACAGCCTCCAAATCTATCTTTTACTGGACTTTGCCATGAAGGATATACAGGAAATTTGTGCCAGGCATGCGAAAATGGCTATTCGAGAACCAGCACAAATACTTGCGGGAAATGCCCAAATGCAGTTTCTAATGCTTTTAAAGTAATTGGGATAATGCTTGCTGTGATTTTTATTTGTGGAATAATGGTAAAAACGACTAGGAATTCTGCTTATAAGCCGAAGTCAGTGCAATCAATATATATAAAGATTTTTGTGAATTATTTACAAATTGTGATGCTTGTGACTACTTTTGACTTGCAATGGCCGTCTAGTGTGACCCAACTATTTTCCATACAGAATGATACAGGATCAGTAAGTGAACAGGTTTTTTCTTTTGACTGCTTTTTAGACACAGGACAAGGTAATGACCAAGTTTATTTCAATAAACTTATTATTATGAGCATAATTCCAGCAATTATAGGATTGATTTCAATACTATTTTGAGGATCTGTAGCAATTTACAGAAAGACTTTGAATTCATTTAAAAATGATTTAATTTCTACAATCGTAATTTTGCTGTTTCTTTTCCATCCAAATTTAGTAAAGTCTATGTTTGCAGTGTTTTCCTGTAGACAAATTGACGAAGGAGAGTACTGGCTTGTGCAAGATTTAGACATTCGATGCTGGGATAGGGGACATGTATTTTATTCCCTAGCAGTTGCAGTCCCTTCTATGATAATATGAGGAATCGGTATTCCGACTGTTTCTCTATATTTTCTATGAAGAAATAAAAGAAAATTAGACTCAATTAGTGTCAGACTTCAGTTTGGGTTTCTTTTCAACGGATATAAAGCAAAATCTTATTATTGGGAATTTATTATTTTATATAGAAAAATCCTTATTGTATGCTGCTCTGTATTTTTAGCGAATGTCAATACCAGCATCCAAGCATTAACTGTCATGATACTGCTTTTACTTTGTCTTTACTACCAAAGTGTAGTTCAGCCTTATGATGGTGATGTTTTGAATAAAATGGAAATTCGGTCAATTTTAGTAGCGGCTGTTACAATATATTGTGGACTTTACTATTTGACAGGGTCATTAGATTCATTTTCAAAAACTGCTTTTTTTATTTTAATCTGTGCTGTAAATATATATTTCCTTTATTACTGGCTTAAAAAAATATTTTGGGCTGGTTTTCAAATCTTAACTGATTTAATTCCATGCTTAAAACGAAGATTTAGTCGGAAAGTAATGGATGGGTTCAGTGACGAAATTTTTGAAAAATCTGAGCTAAATCACGTCAAAGTTAAACAAGGCGAAAAATATTTTTCAATCATTGCGAATGATGACCCAATGTCAGCATTGCCTGCTGATTCAGAGCAAGAGAGCATACTAAATATGGACATGAAAAAATTATTTTTGTATGTGGTCGAAGAAAAAAATAATAATAACAATAAAAGCAATGCATCAGATGAAGATTTTCCAAATGATACTCACAGAACAGCAATTTATGTAATTAACAACAAGAGAAGCGATAATGCAGATTTCCAAGATGTGAATCTACAAGTTTAAAATAAAACATTAAATATTTAATTAACGTATAAATTATTATTATTAAAGTCATATAATAAGCGGTAAAAGTTTCTTGGGAGCTATAATTTTATTTTGCTAAATCTGGAATTTTCGCCTCCAAATATTCAATAATCCCATCAATTTCTTTTTTGGTTTCTTCAATTGTTTCGCTATCTTCTATTACATCAATCATTTTCCTTTCAATTCTGTCCTCAAAAGAGTCAAAGTCATATAAAGTCCTTTGCTTTATTTTAAAGCTCTGAAAATCGTTAAAATAATGCCGAAATCTACCTAATTGTATAGCGATTTTCCTTCTTTTGTCTGGATAATGCCTCACATAATATCTATATCTTACTGCTGAGGTTAATACAAAAGCTGCCAGCTGTTTTAATTCTTCTTTAAACCACAGCCTATTAAGGATTGTTAATGAAGTTTGTTGACCTGCGTCAAGCATTAGCATATTTGTCAATGTAATTACCATTAAAGATACACATAAAACTCCTCATATACAGGCAAGGACATCGAATAAGCGGCCAGCACTGGTGACTGGGAAGTAGTCTCCATACCCTACTGTTGTCATTGTGATTATCGCACACCACATCGAGTTTCCATATTCCCCGAAAATTTTCCCTGTGTAGTCGTCCAGAGGTCTTTCAAAAATTCTTAAGCAAAATGCATGAGTAAAAATTCCTCCGATAATCATAGCAGATAGTAAATAAACTGGGGTATCTTTCATCATGCATTTTACTGCAAACCAGCTACCTGCATAACTTCCCGTCATTTGGCATAATCTTTGTACTCTTCCAGACCTATAAACACTAATAACACTTGCAACCCGAATTAAATGATAAATCCTTATTAGCATTCATACAGTCACTATTGATGTGTATGTATAAGAGTAATCTACATTATAAACATTGTTATAACTCCCCCCCCTCCGTGAGTGAACAAAACCATTAGAAAAATCGCTATTTTTTGCCCAAAAAACCCAATATAAATTTTTCTAAAAAAAAAATTAACCCCCTTCCGTGAGTGAACAAAATTTTTTTGTTCACTCACGGAGGGGGGGAGTAAGTAGAAAATTGGTAATCCTCAAACCCGTATACCGGATGAACTGCATTTATTATGATCTCCATAATGAGCCACTTGAATTTTCCTGTCGAAATAAAGTCATCTTGATAAGAAAAAATTCCTTTGGCTTGCTCTCATTTAAGTTCTCTATGTGTACGCCAGCAAATAGCGCCTAAAAGCAGAGCTGTAGTTATTGTACAAAAAATATACCGCTAATAGTCAAAATTTATTTATGATTCAATTGATAATCCCTGGTATAAGTAATTAATAATAGCAAATTATTTATATATAAAAACTATAAAGGATTTTGGCTTATATAGTTCTGTAGATAATTTAAGCTGATTTTTAATGGAAAAACCATGCACAAGCTTTATATAAGAAATTGTAACCTGCGATTTTTTGCTTTTATAGATAGAGGAATTAAATGTAAGGTCATCACAGATAGCTCCACAAGCGAATCCGGCTATAGCTAAGGCTGCACATATAATTTCTGCACTTTTAAGCTTTTCGAATTGGACACTTGTAATGTTTATGTCTTCAGATTGGATATAAATCAAATCTCCTGGACGACTTGTTGTTTGGTGTCTGAGGTATGAAGCTTTTGTTTTCCCATAGCCTGGATTGCCATTAAGTAAGCGGAAATTTTCACCTGGATTTTGCCTTCCAGAAGTAGCTGAAGATTGGATCATTTATAAATATTAAATAATTAGATACTTGGGAAATTATTTAAAATAAGCCAGAATTACATTATTTTCTCCTATAAAATGCGTTTTTACTAATAATTTCCAGTATTAATTAGAATTAATTCATGTTGTGGACTTGCCATAAAGGAAAAATAATTGCGAAGTTAAGAATTGTTTCATTAATATTCATGCAAAAAAAACTTTAAATTCCCCATTGAAAAAGCCTAATTATTTTGAAAATAACTCCTTTTAAGAATTTTTTTAAAATAAATAAATAAAAATAAAACATAATTGATAATCATTTATAAAAGCATTTCTATTAATTTTTAGAGAGTGTGCATAAACTTGAAAATTAAAATTATCAAATTGAAAAAAAAACTCTGAGCGATAAAATATTTGCTCCTTTGATGAAAATCATGTGGAAATTCTTTATCTAATTTATTTCTTATTACATTTAAGATTATTACGATATTTTGAAACTGACTATGCATAATATAAATTATGTTGATGAAAGATTTAATGAGATTTTGCTTTATAATTGTCTGCATATTAATGCTAAATCAAGTTTTAATCACCAATTTTATTTAATTTAATAATTTTGAATTTATTAAATTTAATAAAAGTTATTTCTAAAGGCAGGTGATATACTGTGCAAATAAAACATATAGCTTAATATTAAAGCACCTTTAGTTTAGGCTATTATAACCCCCTATAGGCTTTCATGATTATTATAAACATTTTTGATTTATGAATATTTCATCATACAAAAATTTAAATTTTTGGTATCGCAAGCAGAATGGAGTTGCGAGCTATCCCAACCTCCTATAGAAATTACCAGAGGATGGCGCTATTTTGCGCCATCCTCGGGCAATTTCTATAGCATCTGTAGCTAGGGAGACCTTGGGAACTTGTGGAAGGGAGTTTGGTCTTTGGCATGTGTATCCGGCCATTTTTGGATCCCAACAGGGAGCTTTTCTATAATCTAACTAAGTATAAATAGTATCGCAAGCAAATAGCTTTAATAAATTCAGCAATTCATATCATGCTAATCTAGCTCAAAACGACGAGAAATATATTTAAATTTGTCATATATATTAAATAAATGCATAAATGCGCCATTCTTTAAAGTTCCTATTCTTAAATACCATATTAGGATGAAACCGCCTATTCTTAAATATCCTGATAAAAATGAAGTTTTCAGCAGTGATATTTGTATCACTCATATATTTCATTCTAGCAAGCTGGCAACAAAGCTTAAATAATGGGACACTTGGCGGCTTTTTTACTTTGGAAGAAATCAACAATGATCTTAATAGGATCTCAAGTCAATTTTCAAACATCGCGACTTTTGGGTCTGTAGGGAAAAGCGCTCTAGGAATTGATATAAACTATGTACAACTGATAGGAGATGGGCTTCCAACAGCAGACAAAGGTGGAGTCCTAATTACAAGCTCTTTATATGCAGGATACCCAGCAAACCCATCATTCGTAATGTATTTGCTTAAAGATTTTGCGAATTTAGCTTAATTAGTTATATATTCTAATTTTAACGTCCAATATCACGTCACTTGGGGCAAAATTCCTTGCAGACCACACGCAGTCTATCACTTGGTCTTTTGATCTGAATAGTCCATCGGCTTCTGCATTAATATTTCGACAGCTATCCTTCCAGCTCTCAGGCAACCCAACTTGCATCCGCCAGGTACGCTAAAGGTTCCCCTGGCATTGGTGGCACACTTCCAGAAATTGAATTCCTAAGGTATGGATGTCCAAGGTTGCGTACCCTTGGTATAAATGCACCATCATTGCCAGAATATATTCACTGGGTGAACCAAAGCCTCATAATCTAAGGGATTTTTCTGTTCTTAAGAGCAGAATATTCGAGTGGGGCCATATTTTAATTATGCAAATATTTTGCGAATTTATATGCATTTTACAATCAAAATCGGCTTAACTTTTTAATAAAAAAATAAAAAAATTAATTTAATAAAAAATATATACTCTGAAGATTCCTATGAGAGAAGCATCCTTTTAACTACAAATATTTGGTTTGTCCCAGTAGTAAATGTTGACGCATATAATATTATGCAAGAGAGCTATAAAGGAAGTAGCTTTCAAGTAATCAAAAAAAATTCAAAAGACACTGGATGTGCAAATTCGGCTGGTGATGGAGTTAATCTTGATAGAAATTGGGATTTTAAATGGGGACATTCTGATGAAGGGTCCTCAAGCGATCCTTGCGATGAAGAATATAGAGGAACTGCAGCATTTTCTGAAGTAGAATCCAAAATTCTTATTCTACCCATTTATTTTTGAGTAAAAATATTAGGAACCCCTATTTAAGGAAAATAGCACCTCTTAGCTATAAAAATTTTTTGGTAGCCTATATTTTAATATATATTTAATATTATAATCGTAAAATCTTAGCAAATGGTTTTAGGCATTTCGCCATCAAAAAAATAAATTTTATAAATTAAATTAGATTTTCACTCGAATATTCAATATTCAGTTTTTTATTAGTCCTTTAGCAAGGAAAATATTTCATCATTATCAAGGAAGAGTTAGGGATTTTTTAATCGGAAAAAACATAACGACTTGGCTTCACTATGAAGGAGAAGGGGATTTATGCTATTTTAAATTGATTTCTATATATTTTATTATTAATAAAATTAAAAAAATATCATTACATCCCAGCAAAGCATATACATTTTGCCTTATACTTCCATGAATATCACAGAAATAACAACTCCTGACCCTATGTTCAAAGGTGTATACGCAAACTTAACAGCCCAAATGCAAAAATTAAATATTATTTATGGCCTCAGCAAACAAATTAACGGTAAATATGAAGACGGAACAGTCATTGACTATGCTTTATCTAGAGGCATTTTTTCATTCCAGGGACAAGTAGGTAGCGACTCTAAAAACATTACAGGAGACATAATTTCTTATTTCAAGCCTCATTTTGAAATTGCTTTATGGAACATTTTTGGGGCATCATTTTATATAGAAGCCCACTTCTATGATGAGCTTTATAAGTGTAGGGACTGGCCTGGGTATTGTTTACATAATGAATCTGCAGTGTTTTTCTATGGAGAAATGGTGATGAATAACTATGGATTTACAGCTGCCAAACATATGCTGCTAAACGTCACTTTTGACTATGAAGAGTCATATGGATATCGCTTTTCGTTGCAAAACACATCATCTTATATAATAACTTCAATTGTGACTGGGAAAAATGTCACTGACTATGTGCCAATTTTATTTGATGAAATATATTCAGAAAAAAGACTGATCTGGGGCGTGGTCAGTCTTGACATCCCAGCTATGTCTGCGATGTATTTTGGTTTTGTGCTGGAAAGTCCAATGCAGAAAAAAGAACATCATTTCAGAGTGGACTGGAATGTGACTCTAGATATACGTTAAATTAGTGAATAAGTCTATAGGAGATTAATATAATTTTCAGATTTTATATTTAACATGATAGAGAATAATATTTATTTGCCTAAAAGTGAATCAATTGTAATTGAAACGTCTGATCACGTTCAAATGAGCTATGCTGATAATGGTGGAGGTAGCTCAGGTTTAAGCCAAGGAGCCATAGCAGGGCTTGTGATTGGACTTTTAGTAGCTATCTTGATTATTATTGGGCTGGTATGGTACTTATGCAGAAGGAGAAGATTTGAAGAGAGTCTTATAAAGCAAGCTTATCAGCATGCACCAAAGGACTCAAAGCAACTTAAAGGATTTTCATCTGGAGATCTTCAGTTTAACACAGAAGATTATGCCACCCCAAGAGTTTAATTTAAGTTATTATCACTAGCACCCCTCATAAGTGAGCAAGATTTTGTGTTTATGAATGCAAGCTTAAATTTTTTATTTTACATAAAATTTTATAATAAAAATCATAGAGAAAAAAATCTAATGTAATTTATAATATCTATGTTTAGAATACAAGTTTTCAAATTTAAATAAATTAATTGGAGATCTCATGATAATAATATTAATTTACATTATAAATAAATTATACCAAAAATATTTGATTTCCAAAATTCGGCTTTCTTAATCTAAAAGAAGGAGAATTAATTAAACATCTTAATAATTAATAATTAATTTTACGTTAGAAAGACTTTTTTTTCTCTTTATTTATAACTAATCATTTTATCATGCAGTCGAAAAATAGCATTTCTAATTTCTCTATTAATCATTGCCGGCTGAATATTTCTTTTAATCATGCTGACTTATCTGATACCCAAGCGTGTAAATTTCACGTTGATTCCGGTACAAATTGAGATGGTGCTAATGGAATCTTAGGTATTGATGATAATGGTGGTTCAGGCATCAAAACAGATGCAATAATAGGTATTTCAATTTGGGGCAACTGCGGCATTTTTATATTTAATTATCTATCTTTTTTTCAGACTCAGTAGGATATTTAAAATTATTGATTGACGAAGGAAAATATTTAAAAATTTTGAATTTAAATTAAAATTGGCATGAAAAGAAAAATCCTATGAAGCCGGAGTGTGAGCCAAGCTCACTCAAGAATTCTCAGCCAACTATAGGATTTTCTCGTATTTTGAAATAAAAACTTCTGTTGAAATATAGAAGTTTCCTATGTTTGGCGCTGTAAGGCCGATAAATTCTGATCGGAATTTATCGGTAGGTTGCACCAAATCAATGCCTTGGTCGGACCAAAAAGCGATTTGGTCCGACGAACTTGGAAAGCTCCTGGGAAAATGTCTGCGCTTTTAGCGCTATATAGAGGAAACCTCTATAGATGAGGCTACTCCTGCTAATATAGACGAGCCTCAAAAAGATATAGAAATTTAAATGTTTTAAGTAAAACTTTTAAATAACAGCATGAAATATTTTTTATAAACGATTCTATACTAGAATAGAGCTCTTACTCCTCCCATTCGTGAGGAACAAAACCATTGGAAATATCCCTATTTTTTCCAAAAAACCAACCCTCCGAAGCGAACAATAAATATTTTATTAAAAACTATTTTGATATAGAAGTGATAATTAGCATAATGAAATCTCTAGCTAGTTCTATTTATTTTAAACAAATTGCGTTTTTAAAACATAAATTTTACAAATTAAATTAATATATTGCTTTCCAATTTTATCGAATTGTATGGTTTTTAAAATAAAAACCCATAAGCGAACAGATTATTTTTGTTTCTTTAAGCAGGCGAATTATAAGATTTGGATCGAGAACTTTGCCAATAAGGAATAAAATTTTGAAAGCAAAAGAAATATATATCCTTGAAGGCTCTAATAAAGTGATAGAATAAATTGGGCATTAATGTAAGCCATTTTATAGGCACTTATTTGATTGATATAAAATTACTTTACTCCAAATTTAAAAAAATTAAATATATGATGTGAAATTGCCTAATATATTTGTTAATTCTTTAAAGAAAAAAAATGAGATGATGATGCTGATGAAAGACGGACTTCGGAGCGCACTCCCTATGGATTAGGCAGGCCATCAATCTAAATTATGGTGCCTGTCTTCTTTTCAATAAGATTTTGGGTTTGGGATGCCTGCTGAAGATAGCATTTTATTTCTCTCTACCTCACAGTCTATCCTTATCAGGACTGAGGGTAGCTCTGCCCCAGGGAGCTGATCTTTATGGCGTGGTTTAGATCAGAAATTCAAAATAGCAGCCGTTTTCCTCATCTGAAACTAGCTTTTTGGAACCAAGACAAGGAGATGGTCAATTGCTGATTCCGCTTATGTTCAATACTTAATCTTAAAGAAAAAAAGTCTTCTTAGAATAATCAAAATGAATATTATAAAAATGGATAAAGTCTCAGTTCTATACTTATCATTCCTCTACTTTGCTTTAGCATCCTGGGAATCGACTCTTAACAACGGTACACTTGGAGGCTTTTTCACTTTAGATGAAATTAATACTGATATGTCAACCATTATCAACTCTTTTCCAGACCTTGCATCAGGTGGATCAATTGGACAAAGTTCTAAAGGAGTTAACATAAATTTCATCAAATTAGCAGGACAAGGGATCCCATCTTATGAAAAAGGTGGCGCATTAGTCACAAGCTCATTATATTCAGGATACCCCACAAATCCATCCTTAGTCATGTTTCTATTATACTATATTTATTGTAACTGTTTATAATATTAATTAAAGGGCATTTTATATTAATTCAATTAAATATAAAATAAAAGACTTTGCTAATAATTACTCAAAAAATAGCATAGAAAGGAGCATTCTTTTGAAGACCAATATTTATTTTATCCCGGTTATTAATGTAGATGCCTACAAGCAAATGGAGCAAAGCTATACAGAGGGTAGTAGCTTTGAGGTTGTTACAAAAAATTTCAAGGATACTGGATGTGAAAATTCGACACAAGCTGGAGTAAATCTTGATAGAAACTGGGAGTTTAATTGGGGAAACTCAACTGGAGATTCTTCAAATAATCCATGCGATCCTAAATATAGAGGATCTTCAGCATTTTCTGAGAGCGAAACAAGCAGTGTCAAAAATTTTATTATTGATAAGAACATAACAGTTTGGATTCATTTTGATGAAGATAAAAATGTATACAAAATAGCTTGCTTTTAAAAATTTTTTTTAGTATATTTATTTAATTAGATCTTAATTATGGAATCAGCTAATTGGTATATATATTTTGCCTTATACCTCTATGAGCATGGATCCTATTACAGTTCCTGATCCAATGTTCGGCTGGGCTTACAACGATCTAAAAAGCTTTTTTCCACTAGTAAACATATCCTATGGGACTGCTAAAAAAATTGACGGCAAGCTAGAAGACGGAACTCTTATAGATTTTGCCCTGTCCAAAGGAATATTTTCTATGAAAGGAGAAATTGCGCCATATGACAAATCAGAAAACATCATGACTTATTTTAATCCTCACTTGCAATCTGCTCTATGAAATCTAGATGGCGCCTCTTATTCTCTTGAAGGGGAGTATTATTTTAATTGGTATGAGTGTTATGAATATCCTGATTATTGCCAAAATAACGATTCATCAATATTTTTTGAAAATGAATTCTATATTACCAATTATGGGTTTAAAAATGCAAAAAGTATTGCGCTTAATTTTACATGGAATTATGCAGATAATATTCCTGGGTATAATTTTTCATTACAAACCAATGGGTACTATGCTCTTTACCGTATCATGGATGATGAAAATATTACAGACTACATTAATATTGATTTTTCTAATATAGAAGCAGATGATACGTCTATTTCTGCTGAAATTCTTTTTGATGTCCCAGCTTTAACGTATGTAGACTTTATTTTTTATATAGAAGGAACTAGACCCAATAGTAAAGACAAGATGAATTCATATTGAAATGTTTCTATTATAAATAAAATGGCATTCGGTTCGAGAGAAATTAGCTCTGCTAATTTTCTCTCCCTCATGGAATTTTATTTATGGGGTTAGGTTTTCACTCGAGAACTTCTGGACAGCAATAGCGGTTTTAACTCTGGGAATAACCAGAGGAACTGCTCCTCAGTCCTCTCAAGATTTCGGGGTTTTACCTCTCAGCACATCTCCATGGGAAGATGACCCTCAGGCGGAACACGCGCAGGAGCTGAGTCGAGACAATGGCGACGGCATCGCGCCGGGTGAGACGTGCAGCAAGGCTGGTGAAGCAGGAGTTGATAGAAGGCTTGGCCAGGGCTGACCTGTTCCAAAGATGGCTCGCCTACGTCACTAGTTTTGCCATAGGCCCTTTTGGGCTGCGGAACTAGACACCTTAAACACCAGATAATTAAGTTAAGTTAAGTTAAGAAATATTTCTATTAATCATGCAGGATTGCCTGACGCTGAAGCATTAAAAACAAATATAGATTGGGATATAAGTTTAGACTCGGATAATAAAAGTTCAAGTGATGATGATTCTCATATTAGTATAGCCAGAGCTCTATTTTTGCTTGGGCTTCCCTAACTTTACTGACGGAAAGGGCCAACCTTCTCAAATGGGAGAGCTATTTATTATGCAGATTCTATCATTTTGGGGCTAGCAAAATTAAAATTAGTTGGCTTAGCTAACTCCTTTTTTTTTCGGGTAAGATTGAGAAGCCCAAGCAAAAGAGTGCTCAGGCTATAAAGGTGCAGTTATTGGCATAACAATTGGCGTCATAGTCATATTTTTAATTATTGTTATAGGACTAATCATATACATCAGACAGCGGAGAAGAGAAGCTAACAGTGGTCTCATGAAACAGACGTATGAGCCTGCATTCAAAGACTCTCAGCCAAGTAAAGGGTTTTCCCCTCCTTTTGAAATACAAATTCCACCTGAAAGATTTGAGCCTCAAAGGATTTAGGTAATTAAATTTTATAATAAAATGTCTGAATTAACTGAAAGTAAGCTAGAAGAAGAAATAGAAAATATTAAAGCAGCGCTGATACAAATCAATGGATCCTCATTAGAACAGATTTCTCAAGAAATTTCCATAGTTGAGCCTTACCAAGATGAAGAATATGAAAGTGACGAGATTTCAAAAACTAAAAGAAATCAACAATGCTTAAAAATCCCAAGACGAAAAGAAGAAAATCAGTGGGAACTATCGCTTTTACTTGAATCTGAAAGAGAAAAAAACTCAATTCTTCAGGAAAGGATTGATCAAAAAGACAAAATGCTGGACAATTTAAATAGTCATTTAAGCGATTTATACGGATCTATAGAGCAGCTTCAGAATAAACAAAAAATTCTGATAAAAGATTTGACGACTTGGAAAAATAAAGCAGTTTCACTCGAAGAAGAAAATGCAAAATACGACCTAAAACTCAAGGAAAAAGATGAAGAAATCGAAATGCTTAAAAAAGACAAAAAAGCCGCTGTTTCTAAAGAGTTTGAACTAAAAGAAAAATTACTTGATGCAAAGGTAGAAGCAGATGCCAATATAAAAATTATGCAGAATAGTATTGAGGAAATTAAACTAAAAAACGAAAAAACTAGTAAAGAAAAAGAAGAAGCTTTAAATGGAATTGCTGAGCTGAAACAGCAAATAAAAAATAAAGAAAGTGAATATAAATTTCTTCAGCTTGAAAATGACACTTTTAGAGAAAAGCTCCAAGAAATGGACAAATCAGTGGTCAGTTTAAGGGAAAATTGCAGAAAAAGTGATGAAAAAATCAAAAATTTAAAAAATGAAAAAGCAAGGCTTGAGCAGACCTGCTTGAGTTTAAAAAATGAGGCTAAATCTAGTGAAAATATTTCAAACTCAGCAACAATAGAAGAATTATATAAAATAACAGGGACTTCTAATGAAAAAACTCTTGTTTCCCATATAACCCATCTAGCCCAATCATATACTTCAAGCAAAAAATATAAGAAATTGGTGAAAAGAATAACTGAAGTTATCCAAGACGTCTATAAATCAGACTCAAGCCCAACCAAGCCTACTTGCACAGAAACATGAAATAGTCTTATAAATATTATAGAGGAATATATGATTTTCCGAAATGGTTTGCAAGGACAAATTCTTGTCAAAATATGCCAATTTTTCAATTTAAAATCTATAAGCTTAATTGTTGGCCATTTAGAACAATTAAAAAAGAATAGACAAAGTATTATTTAATTAAACCTCAATAAAAATAATAAATTAAAAATTATAGAAATTAGGAATTTAATTAAAATAAAATAAAATAATTAAACCCTTAACCTTAATAGAAATAAGCTTAGTTTTATATTAAGGAAATAATTCAGCTAAATAATCAATGACCGTTTTTCAATAGAAAACAATAAGCTTTATAAATGTCTGGAAATATTCGAGGACTAAGAGATATTGACAGAGATCGAGAAGAAAGAGAGCGTCGAGCACTAATTCAAAGAAACAGAGAAAATCGTCGTCCTAATCAATATCCTATATTAGGCTACGGTTTTGAGCTTGGCACTGCAGACTCTGCTCGAAAAGAAACATTTTGCCAAATGATTAAATATCCTTTTTTCCATTACTTTCCCCAAAAAACACTCTTAAATTATATATCCCATATAATCCATAATATTCTCTATATATTTTTTGTCCTTATTTCACTATTTACTCATTCATTTTTGCTATCACCTGTGCTCAAATAATCATGTATACAATAACAGTGTTTTACGATTACAATACCGATGCGTTTTTAGAGCCAGAAGAAGACACTTTAGATGATTTTGGGGCAAAAAATCCAGAAGAAATGCAGCAGAATTACCAAGTATGAAGATTTGTGACTCCAATACTTTTGCATGCTAACATGGCCCATATAATTTTCAATTTGTTCACATAAGGATAATAAATAATTGATTTCTGATGAATTAAATTATTTTTTTAAAATAAATTAGGAAACAAGAACAACATTATAAAGCGCAGGAATTAAATAATAAAGAAGGTATACAAGTTATACTTGGATTTAGATTAGAGCCTACAGTAGGATGGTGGAGAACTGCAATTGTGTATGTTGGCTCAGGGATTGGAGGAGTCATTTTCAGCTGTTTAGTTGCCCCTGATGATCTAGCTGTAGGAGCGTCAACTGCGATATTTGGAATTACAGCGGCGATGATTATGTGGATCATTATGAACTGGTCAAGCCTTGAAGACGATCTGTATAGGACTGTCACTTTGATTTGGCTTTTAATTTTACTTATGTTCAATATCTTATTAGGATTTGTAAGAAATATTTAGACTTCAAGCTTAATTGACAACTGGGGACATATAGGTGGAACCATCACGGGGCTAGTTTTGGGATTTGTGGTCTTTGAGCTTATTGACCCTCCAACACAAACAGACAAATATTTGAAGGTGGCTGGATATGTGTTCTTAGGGTTTTATTATATTGGAGGCTTAGTCTTGTTCTATACAGTCATAGAAACTTAATTAAATAAATTGTTTTTAAGTGGTCTGATGAATATTTTTAATGAGAAAAAGTTAAATTTAAAGTAGCAGACAATGAAAAATAAGATTAAGGGCTTAAAGTCTTCCAGATTTAATGTCTTCGCATGCTTGCGACCACCGGAGCCTGCTTGCAGGAGGAATTCAATCGCCTGAACCCAAATCAACAGCGGTCTACTCCCGGGGCCTGGGCTTGCACCGTCATCCCTGAGTCTCGACGGATTAGGAAGACACCTCTTGCCTTACGTCTGTAGATGCTATGAAGGCAAAGGTCAGCCCGATGCCTTCTGTCGGCTACCTGAGGAAGGGTGACACCCAGGAAAAAAGAACTACGGCTACCCGGAGCTGCGAGGAAAAGAACCGTAGTCCAAAACCATCCGGATAATTAATGCCTGGACTGGAATGGTCACCAGTTGACTCCCAGGGCTGCCCACCCCATACGGCAGCGATCACGCATGCTAAGGGTTAGAGTTAAAGGGTTTTAACCTTGATTTAGGCTATAAAACCATTTTGGCGCGCCCAAAGTGGTGTGACCTCCGTAAGGATATTTTGTCACCACCATATTAATTATGAAAAATAAGCAAAATGAGTTTTAGAATAAATTTAAATAAAGCCATTTTGTTTTTGAAATTTTATCATAACTGATATATAACAAGTAATAAATATTCAGTAAATTCTTACTGTAGCTGCTTAATAAATTTTAAGATAAAAGCCAAATGTTTTTCATATTGCTGATGCTGCTAACTCTACCCTAGCGAGTGAACAAAAAATTTTGTTCGTTCACAGAGGGGGGTTATTTTTTTTTTCGAAATTGAAAAAAAATCCCAATTCGTAAAATTTGGAAAGCAAATATTAACTTAATTTGTAAAACTTATGTTTTAAAACATAATTTGTTTAAAATTAAACAGAATTAGCTAGAGATTTCATTATATTAATTATCATTAATATATCAAATTTTTTTTCATAAAAAATTTGTGTTCGCTCACGGAGGCTGAGATTTTTGGGCAAAAAATAAGGATTTTTCCAAATGGTTTGCTCACCAAGAAGGGGTGGAGTAAGCATTTATATTTTTTTGTGAATGAGCAAAATATTTATACATCAGAAATTAATTATTTAGCATTAAAATCCCAAAAACCTAATATCAGGAAATTTACTTAATCAGCCACAAAATTAAATCAGAAATTTTTTAGCTAAAGGATTTAGATTATTTTAATGCAATAAACAGAATAGAAAATATTAATTAATTCAGAATAATTTGATGCAATAATTAAAATAATACCAATAGTATCCTTTCTATTTATAAGCTTTTGCATATACATGACAGCAGCAAACTACCTGACCTTCTGACCCTTTTTCTTCAAAACCAGCAAGCAACGGCCCAGTGTAAATGAGAAGGGCAGAAAAAGGCCGGTAATCCTTTGTGTATGTTGGACATGGTTTTCTCGGGTCCTAGTAGCTAATCCCAGGACTCAGATTTTTTTTTACCTCTGAGACCATCATTGGAAAGGCAGGACTAGCAAAAGCCCTGAGATAACGATAAATCACTCGAATAGAGCTCAAGAGGTGGCATCTGTCTAATGGGAGAAACTGTAATTTTCAGCATAGATAATTGGCCCATATGCTTCAGGAGTCACGGAAGTCAAGATGGTCGTGAGAATCCCTTGCCTGCTGTGGAGAGGGAGGGTATCTGCCGGGTCCCTCAGGGATGTTAAGCATGCAAGGGTGGAAATCCCTGGCCTTTGTCTAATTTAACTTATAAGCTTTTGTGTAGAATTAAGACCACAAATTTTAATTAAATCTCTAAAAATTATTTTCTGAAGCATTAAAGTAAGTTTTTCATCATTATAAGAGCCATTTTTTAAATAAATTTTTTACTGGCTTATGCAATAATGAGCCTTGCTTCAATTATTAGCAACTCAAAACAAATTGATAGGATCTGATCAGCAAAATATGAACAAGATGCTAAAATTGAGCAAAATAACAATGTTTCAGTTAAGGAGAACGAAAGTTTATAGATATACCCAAAAAACATTAAAAAAATCAGAACTTTCTAGATTTATGATACTTGCTTGATTATTTAAGCAGGCTCTAACGATCTAAGGTCCACAAAGCGTTCATTTAAAACATTTTCTGAATTTTTTTCTAATACAAAGACATATTTCTGCCATTTTAATTGTAAGTTCAAGAGCATTCGTTATGTTTGGAATGCTTTTTCTAAATTTTCCCTATCAAAGTCAAACGATCATTAATATTTACTTGGGATTTTATATCTTTATCAACTTTTACAAAAAAGCTTTTCTTTTCGAATAATTAATATATTCCCATTTTCTGCTGCAAAATCAATTAGCTAGTTTTCTTTTATTTATTTTTATACATCTTACTTTATTTAAAAAATTGTTAAGTCCCTTTAAATTGATTCTGTTTCAGTTTTATTATTCACTCATGCCTTTTTTATCAGCTCATTTTTGTCAGTGAAATCATTCAATATACGAAATTCTATACACAAAAAACATTGTTACTTTTCTTTTATTTATGAGCCATTTTGAAGGAAAAAAATAAGACAGTAAGTAAAATTGTTTTCTGTGTGCAAAAAAATGTATATAAAATTAAAATGTCCGCAGCATCAACGCTCACTTTAAGCACTACTGACCTATATCACTGTATAAAGCACACCCAGCAGCAAGCAATAACCTCATCCCCGCAGTTCAGCCCGAAGTTTTATTTCACGGTGCTTATCACTAATGATTTAATTGCTTTGCTCGGAAAAGTCCCTAATGAGTTGCTTTTAACGGGACTTTCCAACATTCAGTATATTGCTGATACTATCTCTCCGAAGTCCTTTTACCCATCCCCTCAATCATTATTCACCAAACGTACTGCACCATTTATTCCGAACTATCCTCATAAAATGCATACACTGGTGCTGGACTTAGATGAGACTTTAGGGCACCGATTCCAAGAAAAATATTTGGTAAGGCCATTTGTGTCAGAATTTATAAATTCACTTACTCTAATTTTATAGCCCAAAAAAAACTATTTTTATTTTAAAAATAGATTCAATATTATTCAATTATATGTAAAACCAATAAATTTACTTACAAGTCTAAGAGCTAGTGAATATTTCGAAATAATTTTGTTCACTGCTGCTTCACAAAGATATGCAGATAGTGTTATGAATTTGGTTGATCCGCAAAAAAAAATAAATTTAAGACTCTATAAGCAGCACACTATAGAGATTGACGGAGTCTTAGTAAAAGATTTGGCCTGCCTTGGGCGAGACCTTTCTAAAGTTATTATAATAGATAACTCTGCAGATAGTTTTCAAAGGCAGCCCGCAAATGGAATTGAAATTGAGTCATGGGTTGGCGACCCAAACGATCGTGATTTAAAAGATTTATTGCCTTTCCTCATAAAAATTGCTACTGAAAATACTGAAGATGTAAGAATAGCTCTTACTCCCCCCCCCCCCCTCCGTGAGCGAACAAAAAAATTTTGTTCGCTCACGGAGGGGGGTTAATTTTTTTTTTAAAAAAAATTTATATATAAATTTTATAAAAAATATTTTTTTCGAAATTTAAAAAAATCCTAATTTGCAAAAATTGGGAAGCAAATATTAATTTAATTTGCAAAATTTATGTTTTAAAACGCAATTTGTTTAAAATTAAACAGAATTAGCTCTAGATTTCATTATACTAATTATCACTTATATATCAAAATTTTTTTCCATTAAAATTTTTTCTATTAAAAAAATTTTTGTTCACTCACGGAGGGTGGGTTTTTGGTCAAAAAATGGCGATTTTTCTAATGGTTTTGTTCGCTCACGGAGGGGGGGGAGTTAGCACTTTAAAAATGAATAATTAACGTAATTGTACAGTAAATTTCATATAAATTAAATCATGTCTGAAGCCAGAACTCGAAGGAATTCGCAATTCCAATCTTCAATTTTTGAATCAAGCTCTATTTCTCAGAACAAAAGTACAATTGAAAGAGAAAGTTTCAATAATCGGCAGTTAAGACAACGGTCATGTGACTCATTAAGCCTTGATTATGGAAGGAGCCAGCCAAGAGACTATAGAAATGTACAAGGAAATGACTATACCTATTATGACTCCAGCAAGACTATGTTTTTTTCCTATAAATAATCATTTTTTTATGTTTTTTAAAAAATTTTCTAATAAACCATATTAGTATAGCAGAAATAAAAATCAAGAACGCCAGTTTGGTGTCCAAAATTCAAATCAATTTGAATATGAAGATTCAAATTCTCGTCCATCTAAGCCTTCTGATACTCCTAATTTGCTAGGAAACGACCAAAATAATTACTACCAAAAAGAAAACATCAGAAAGACCTCACGTGACTTTGAGCCAAAATATTCAGAGACCTCTGCGTTTAACCGAAAATATTCAGAATTATATGGAAGTTCTCAGCATATAAAACAACTCCCTAAAAAAGAAGAAAATAATACAGAAAGACGAGGGGATGTGTCTTCAAGGCAAAGAAAACGTGAAAACATGGAATCCACAATTTTTTACCCAAGTCAATACAAAGATTTTGAAAGAGAAAACCCTCAAGAAACTAGAAAAACCCAGTTTTCCCCTGAATCTAGAAGGCTTGAAATGAGAGAGTCTTCTATTTTTGGCAAACAAGAACCTAGACAAGCCCCAAGTCAGCAGCATGATACCTATAATGAAGAAAAAAGAAGGAAAAACCATATGTACTCAGACATATTTGGAGAGCCCAGTGAATATGCTCATAATAAATGCCCAGACAAGCTGATTGCAGCTACCCAAAAATGAACAGAAAATGATGCAAGGACTTATACAAGAGAAGAAGATTATGATGCCCAGAAATTTAAATCAAAAAATCTATGGGGAAATGAAGACTACCAGGAAAGAAATATAACCCCTCAGCCAAATAGAGCTGATCCTCAGAATCCTCTGCAGTTTAAAAATAGAGAAATGGCAAGCTCAATGCAAAATTATAGTGAAAGTCAAGGGAAAACCCAAGAGCCTGCTATTGTAGAATATGATTTAGAAAATTTGCCTAGAAATATTACAAAGGAAGGGATAAAAAAAATTTGTAGCAGTGTCCATGTAGTATCAATACAAATAGATGATGATAATATTACTGGGACTTGTAAAGGTAATGGGAAAATCGTGATAAGGACCTCAACAAATGCAGAAAAAGACTTAAAAAGATTACTTATTAATGTTTAAATTTCTGAATAGAATTCTGGTTGGCATACCGATTAGCCAATTGATGTCACCAGGAAGCCTCACCTAGTTAGATTTGCTCTAGGGTTCCATCATCAGGTTCCAGGATTCTCTCTTTGGTTGTCGCTATTGGCACGTTGACGATAGGTGCCTTAGAATACTTATTTTGGGACTTGCTCGCCTCTTCTCCATATCAGCCTTCACTGATCTGCTCCAGCAGCTTTGTCCTGACCTCTGCAGGACACCGTGGCCAGGTGCTACGGCACGAAAAAGCCCTTTTAGCGGAGAAAAATCCGCAGCAGAGGATGTTCTAATTTCCCATGGATGGCGCTATTTTGGCCTTGATTTTCCCACTGGGAAAATCAAGTCCAAAATAGCGCCATCCACAGAAAATTGCAATATCAATAAAGATTACAGTTAGATTTGGCTGATGAAAATATTGCATTGAAAACTCATAAAGAAAACCTAGGATTAAAGTCAAATTATTCCCAACTTAGCTCAGTAAAGTGGAATGATCCTCATATTGCAAGAGATCCATCAGAAAATTCAATTAAAAGAAAGGAGTCTCATAACAGAAAACCAGTAGACGAAATTTATATGGCAAATATGCAGTGGCAAAGGACTAAAAATCCGAAACATGAGTATAAGTAATATTTAATATTTTAATATATAAAATTATAGTGTTTATTATGAATTTTAAGCATTTCTAATATGATAATAATTATTTGCAGAATCTAAATGGAAGACGAGCCAGAAGTAGAAAATCAATATTTAAGCCAAATTTTGACAGAGGCAATACAGTCAGGGGATCAAAACAAAGCTAATTCAATTTTGCAGCTTTTACAAGAAATTGATGCGACAATTGAAGTAATTGAGCTTGATGCAGTCCAGTCTCTTCCCGCTCCTCAATATCAAAGCGGCCCTGTTGCTAATGCTGCTCAAGTTAACAGAGGAAAGTAGCTATCTTAGTTTATATTTTCTTGTTAACTCCCCCCCTCCGTGAGTGAACAAAACCATTAGAAAAATCGCTATTTCTTGCCCAAAAGCCCACCCTCCGTGAGTTAACAAAAATTTTTTAATAGAAAAAATTTAGATATATAAATGATAATTAGTATAATGAAATCTAGAGCTAATTCTGTTTATTTTAAACGAATTGCGTTTTAAAAACATAAATTTTATAAATTAAATTAGTATTTGCTTTCCAATTTTTGCGAATTAGGATTTTTTTTAAATTTCGAAAAAAATATTATTTATAAAATTTTATATATAAATTTTTTAAAAAAAAAAATTAACCCCCCTCCGTGAGTGAACAAAATTTTTTTTGTTCACTCACGGAGGGGGGGAGTAAGAAGATTTTAACTAAAAATTCCCAAAAGCATAATCCCGTCGATTTTTGGTAAAATTACATCAAATTGCTTGAATAAAATGTTTAACTTTTCTGCTAAAATTAATTTAAATTTTTTAAGTCTATATATAAGATTTTGGATCATTTTAAAATAATTATTTTTATAATAAGAGTATTAAGAATGTTGGGAAAAAATTTTTCTTACTCCCCCCCATCCTAAAAATTGGGGAAATTAACCCCCATCCTTGATCGAACGATTTTCATATCATGCAAAATTTTATATATATAAAAATATAATAGTTATCAAAAGCTTGGGAAGATATACATAATGAAGTGTTTTCAAAGACTTGAGACGACAGAAAGCTTCGGAGTCGACCATCCGAAGTGATTTAGTTATCAACCTAGGCTTAAAACCTCAATAATCTAATAAAATAGAGATTCTTTAAAATTTTTAAAAAACAAAATTAATTTAAATGAGGAACAAATTAAAATTTATACAGTTTTAAGGGGTAGCTAATAGATCAAAAAATATAAAAAATTGGTATTTTTATGAAATTAATTCAATTTTTTGCTGTAAAAATAATTATGAAATACTCTTAACACTCTTATTTAAAAGTAAATAAAATAAAATATATATATATATTTTTTTATTTTATATAAATTTTTTTGTTACCAAAAAAATTTTTTTAACCCCCATCCTTGATCGAACGATGGCGAGTCATTCGATCAAGGATGGGGGGAGAGTTATGAAAATAGCTTTATTTGCTGATATTATGAATTATTATATGAATTTTCATACGTGAAAAGATTTCTTTGAGAATTTAATCTTTTATTTATTTTAAAACACAATGTAAATTAAAAGATATTATCTAATATCCTCTGTGCTGATATACGCAATAATCCAATTCAGATTGGGCATCTTTGCATAATTTCTTGTTTCCATTAGAGATCATGCACATATATAAATCAGCATCTTGTTTCTGACAGTGCTTTTTTATTTGCTTGTCGTTCTCTGCTTCTTTAGAGGCACGCCAATGAGTATAATAGATCCCAGTAACTAATACAGGTAAGATGATCTTTGAAGCTGAATAAGCGTATTCCATTTTATTATAATGACCTTTTAAATCATTCAATCGGCTATATTTTCATAAACATAAAATAACTGCTAAATCTCTTCAAAGAATAATTTTTTTAAAAAAAAAATAAAAAATAATTTTTATTATAAAGAGTAAGAAATGCTTAACTCTGGAAGGCCGCATTCAAAATCGCTCTATTATAGAGGTGATGGAACTGGAAGAGATACTTATATAGCCCACGACAATGGAGGACTATATAGACCTCTTAATACCATGCCTGAATTTCCAATAGGATCTTTGATGGGAAAACGAAAAACAAGAGTCGTTACTCCTACTACACCGTGCAGGACAGTTAGATATAAATCAAATGGTACTGGAAGAGATGGGTATATTGCGGATACTGCTGGAGGATTTGAAAGAGGCGCTTGCTCTGACAGGAACTTTAAATTTGAAGGAAACCTAAGAAGCTATTTAATCCATAGCAATACATATTCTGATTTTTGGATGAATTCTAAGCAGAAATCTGATTTCCAAAAAAGATACTTCAGGCAAAAAAAATCAATTGAACGGCTTTCTAAGCCGAAAAGTTATAATTTATAAAAAAATTGGTGAAAATAATCGATTGAACTTTTTAATTATCTTCTCACAGTTATTTAGGATAAATTTTGAATGAAAAAAATTTTGTTGAAATACCGAGGTTTATTAGATTATTAATTATATTTTTGAATCCGTGATTAATAATGTCTATTTATAAAACCTTTTCACAAAGTCTGAAAATCAGCCCACAAACTTCTCCAGAGAATCCAGTTTTACACCGAAATCACTCTCCATTTAATTTTCATATCAGTCCATCAGCTATTACCCTCCCAAAACATAAGAAAAACGTGCTCTCTACAACTTCTCCTTATGAAGCTCCGCTTTTAATAAAGAAAAACCATCCAAAAATCCATAAAAAAATTAATTCAGAGTTCAGTAAAAGTTTCACTTTATCTAAACTCAGCAATTCTAACCATTCCTTAAATACAAGCACTATTATACATTTTTTAATTATTTTTGCCTATTTTTATAACTCTATACCCTTTATTTTCATATAAAAATTAGGTGCCAAGCCTGTATAGCCTAATTATTATAAATATTTAAACGATATACTCCAGATCTTTATTTTAATCAACGAGGAGACACGACAGACTCAACTTTATCCTCAATAGACAAAAACAGAGAAATTTCATCATTAGAATGCAGACTGATAGAAAAAATCAAAAATAATAGCCCGATCTCACATGGGAAATTTAAAGTATACCAGGAAATATGAAATGAGTTATTGATGTTTTCTAATCCATTAACTAAAATTTTAGTCAATATAAAAAAAGGATATGAGGAGTGAATTGAATACCAGGCTAAAGAATTGCAAAATAAAGCTGAATTAGCTAGCCAATTAGAGCAAGAAAGGATTTCTGTTAAGCTTTTTAGCAAAAGATTTATAGCAATTGCCCGAGGATGGCACTATCTCGCGCCATCCTCGGGCAATTTAAAAAAATGGCCCCACATCGGGAATTGAACCCACGTGTGGGGCCATTTTTGGTATTTGGAGAACATCGACTTCCACGCACCAAAAATGGCCCGACACGTGGGTTCAATTCCCGTGTGGGGCCATTTTTGAATTGCCCGAGGATGGCGCCAGATAGCGCCATCCTCGGGCAATTACTATAAAAAGCTTGCGAGGGAAAATTTATTGCTTATGAAGGAAAGTGAATTAATAATATTAAAGGTGGAGTCTGTTTTATAATAAAATGAGAGACTGAATAAATAAGAAAAATATTTTATTTCTATCTATAAGAATAGAGTTAACTACAGCATTAAAAGACAAAGATATCACAATAGGGGAATTAAGTGAGCATATCAAAATGCTATTGAAAAATAATAAAAAAATAAAAATCAAAGCAAGAAAAGATATATAGTTAAGTGCACTATTTAGGGATTGGGTTCAACACGTGGAGAAATCTTTTAGGTGTTGGACCAAAATCCGATGTGGAGCAATTCTGATCGTAATTCTGCATGCGGATTTTGGTTCCACATGTGGAATGATTTCTCAACGTGTAGAACCTAAGCCTTAAATAGTGCAATGAACTATAGAAAATTTAAATAAGCAGCTGCAAAGTGATAGAGAAGAAATAAACAAAAATAAACAAAAAATCATAGAATTAACTGAGAATTTACAATATTATAAGAATTTATTGAGGAATAAGAGAACTAGCAGCATTGTTTTAGACGAGCCTACAGATAATGATATCTCTAGAAAATCATCGAATCAGTCCATGAATTCTTCGAGCGCTGATGCTATGCATAGACCTCTCACAATAAGTCTTTCTTTAGAAACACTCAATGAAAGTGATAAAGGAGGCTCAGATTTAGTATATAGCCCTTCGGCCGATCGCAGTCCTTGCTTTAAAGAATCTGATACTCGAATTTCAGATGAAACTCCATTTCGTGATCTAAATTCAGCTGAAACCCCATTTCATGACTCAAATTCCTCAACCCCCTTTAAATTTAATTTATAATTGTTAGAATTTCTCGTTAATTTTCTTAAATTTTAAGGTAGCTTTGGTTCTAAAGATAAATTTTATAAAATATTAAAAAAAAAATAATCGCTTTAATTTCAAGCAAAAATATTGCTCGTTTTAAAACATGGGGAGTCAGAAAATTGCCCATTCCCGATAGCCAAGAAATAAAAATGTAAGATTATATTTATAAAATTTAAATTTACATTTTATCAGGATCTCCTCTATGACTAAAATTTATTTTTTAATTATTTTCAAATTAGCCTTATCTAATCAATAAAATCTCTGTCTGATTTTAAAGCAAATTGATAATTATGATCCTATGATGTATTGCTTTATTATTTATAATAAGAAATTATTATCACTTATTAGCATATTGTTGTGATAAATTCGTAATATGAGAACCTATAAGTTTTTTCAATTCAGGAGTCTGCAAAATAGTTCGGCATATGCTATCAATATCTTCTTCTGAAGCCATTGTTCTCTGCAGCTGCCTCACTTGTTTTTGTAAAACTTCTACATGTTTTAATGATTCTTTATTGTCAGTTTCCAGAAGTTCTAGCCATCTTCGCTTATCAAAGCTAAAAAGAGCTTCTATTAAGCCAGTCATTTTTGCAGACAGATATGAAACTACTTGTGGGCGGATTTCTGTTATTACAGGCCGTGGGACATCAGTAAGAGATTTAAGGATAAGTAGCACAAATTGGTCAACCAGCTTAGAATCTGAATAATCAATGCAAGACTTTTTTAAATCATCTTGAGGAGATTGGCGAGGAGTGCTGCCTTTTCTTACTGGCTCAGCTATTTTTATTACAGGCTCAACAGGTCTCTGTGCAACCCTAACTGGCATTTCTGGTAATTTTGACTCAGAATTCTCATTTGATTTTTTTTCAAAAAAGTCACTACTTTTCATCATTTTTTCTGACAATAATGGAGGTGTATCTTTAGGAGCTGAATACACGCTTTTTAGCATGCTACTGAAATCAAGGCTTTTAAGTATTTCGCTTTCCCCTTCAAATTCATTTTCATGGTGAATCATGCTTTCAGCAAATGTATAATTATTTTTATTGAATATTTTAATTTAAATTTTTTTTTATTTTTTTTTTATTTAAATTAATAAAGAATATCTTCTTGGTGTTTTGGAGAATCGTCTGAGTGGAAAGGAGAAAGGTTAGAATTCATCATATGGCGGGATGGCTGGACTTCATGATAAATTTCTAAAAATAACTCCATAAAGGAAGCTACGTTTATAAGAGATTCTAAGTTATCAGAATTTTGCATTACCTTGTCGACTTGGCTTATAAAAGTTTTTTGTAGAGATTCTTCGTCAGCGAAAACGACATTTGTGACTTTTATGCATTGCTTCATGTTTAAAAATATTGATCTTGTGTCTTCTGTAACTCTTTGGCCTGGGAATTTAGGTGCAAATTGCAAGCCTAAGATTTTTTGTATGGAGTTTCTTACAAATAAAAAGAAAATTAAATCATCACTATCCAAAAACGCAGTTAAAAAATTGGAAAAAGTTTTGATTTCTACGTAGTCTTTTTCATAAGTTTCTAATGACTGGCATAAATCTATAGTGTTTTGTTCAATCATCCTGCGGTTTTTATATTTATCAGCCAAATAATCAGCAACAAATTCAGGAAATGGCACAGGCTGCTTATTTGATGCTTTCCTTACTAGCTCTTCTTCAATAATCGCTGTATCTTGCTTATATTTTGCGTTATATATTTCTTCAATAGCCCTTATTAAGTTTCCAATTGATAATATTTTTGGCCTTAAATGAGTTCCTGATTGTAATTTTAATAAATTTACCATATTCTGGAATTTTGTATTTTTTAAGAATACTTTCATAGGATCTTCTCTCTGCCTATCTGGAGTCTTAGAATTAACCGATCTCTTTGTATCCATACTCTCCCCATTATTTTTCTATATAAAACCTACAAAGCTTTGTGACATATCTTGATCAAGAAAATCAGAAATCCCTTTCATTTGATTTGGGGAAAAATCTGGCTTAAATGGGCTAATATTTCTTTTCCTCTCCCAGTAATAGAAAATCCTTGGGGGTTTTAGTCCCAAATTTTGAAATAGTAAATTTTATATGAATAGATTGAAAATTGCTTTTTATTGGGGATTTTCAGATAAAAATTGAAAAATCCAATTTTTGACATTTCTCCCCAATAATAAGCAATTTTCAATCTATTCATATAAAATTTAATACGAATAAGCAAGAAATTGCTTACTGGGGTGGGAGTTAGGGGTTTTCTGTTTATTTTTTACACTTTTGCTTCTCTGGCTTGATGGCTCTTCTTTAGGGCTTTCATTAGAAACTACCTTTTGCTGGTAAGAAAAAGTGCTTTGAAATAGCCTCTGTTTATCTCCTTTTGCTTTTTTTGTGGTTGTCGAATTAACTAAATAATCATTACGTTTGGGATTTATCACTCTTATAACTGCCACAAAGTAGCCATGCTCGTCTTCCACGAATTGGACTTCATTTTCAACTAAAAACTTAAAATAATGTTCACGTTCTCTAGGTGGTAAGTCTCCTAAAACCAGTGTTGGGATACTTTTTAACTGGCTTTCATTCATTTTGATTTATTCTTTTTTGTTAAAAAAAAAATATTTTAATAAAAAATGTAAAAAAAAGAAATCCTCATAGAGAAAAGTATATGAATTTCATATAAATGGAGAATCAAGAAGGACTAGACAGCCAAACTGCAGGAATAAATAAAGAAAATGATATAGAATCGATGAATGATAAGATAATCGAAATTAGAAACATTTTAGAAGAAATGCGAAAAGAGCATTTTTTGATGAGGGAAAATGTGCTTGATATTTTACCGATAATTAAAGATTTCAAAGGACTTATACAAAGGAAATCGCTTTTTGAGAGAAGCCCTTTTACATATTTAAATGTGCTAGCTAGAGAAATCAAGGCTGATATTTTGCGAGAAGTTGCAAGTAAATTGTTAGAGCCTGGAGATGAAATAAGACATTTAAAAGAAGATTTAACAATGTTTAAAGACCACACACTTGACAAATTTTATGAGCTGCAAGACAATCTTGCATTGCTGAATAGCGAAAAAGTGGTTATAAATGAACGCTTGGCAAATGATGATCAAATTATAGCAGAAATCAAAGAAGATTTAGCCTTAAAAGCGCCTTATAGAGAAGTTAACAGTTTAGCCGAAAAAGTTAGCACCAAAGCCCCACTCTCAGAGCTCAATGAATTAGAAGAAAAAGTAAAAATTTGTCCAACAGCTGAACAAGTGAACAGCTTAAACCGACAAATTGAAATTTTAAATTACCAAATGTCAGCATATGCCTCAAAAGATATGGTTTTTGAGATGGAGCAAGGAATTACCTCAAAAGTCAGTCACCAAATACAAAATTATTTAAAAGCGGAAGTTTTCTTTGAAGAGGTAGCAAAAGTTAGAGGAGAAATAAAAGATACAATTGGGTTGATAGACTATCATAAAGAGAAACAAGAAAAAATCACAGCAGCCTTTCGGCATGAAATATCAAAATTAAATAAAACTTTCCAATCCAAGCCATGAAATCATGAAATTGATATTGTTATGGGGTTTGTTAATGAAAAAACTGATATAAAGACTACTGACAGCTTTAAGGCTGATGTGTACCCAAAACTTGATTTTTTTGATGAAAAAATAAATATTTTCGTATCACAAATAAAAGCCTTTGATTTAGTTTTAGAGAGATATGATGAACTTTTATTAGAAAAAGCATCAAAAGATGATATTGATAGCATCAAAGCAATTCATCCTTCTTTTCTAAAAGTAGCTGAATTTGTGAATCATAAAGAAGAAGTTTTAAATAGAGTTGCCGAATTAGAGATAAAATCTGAAAATCATTTAACTTCTTTTATACTGTGTATAATTTAATAGCAAATTATAGAAGGTTTTAGCAGTATAAAGAGAAATAAATTTATTTTTGAAAAAAATAAAAAACATTCAATAATAAGAGATTAGAAATCGTTGAAAAGAAAATTCATGACTTTAAATCGACTTATAAGATTTTCAATAAAGACTATAAGAATTTTATGGCGATTTATAACTCTCTAGGCGATATCAGAGAGCAGATAAGCGCCAAAGCAAATAAATCCGATATCTTATCATTAATAGATACTTCCGCTCGGCGGGAAGATCTAAATTTAGCTACACAAGCTATAGAAAACTTACACAAGCAGCTAGAAATGCATATAATGCTGCATTTAAACATTTTAAAAACCATGCTAAAATCAGCTGAATCCGCAGCTGTAAAAAACCGACAAAGGGTAGATTTATATCGAAGTGTCTCTTCTCTGCTTAATTGGTTATCAAATTCAATCCCTCCTGAAGCTGATAAACTACTAAACAACAGTTCAAGAGCCTTAAATTCTTCATTTCGAAGAAGTCCAAAAGCTGATGACACTCCTGAACAATATTTCCCTATGCTGATACTTCCAAAGCACTCGAAAAAACAAACTTTTCTATTCAGCGAAACCCCATCAAACGTAAAATCCGACATGGATTTACCTCCTTTATTTTAGTACAATTTTTTTGATTATTCTATTAATAATTGTCAATGTATTAATTTCAACCACAAATTTTCCTAATTTTTCAATTAAAAGATATCAGATTTCCTATATTTTCCTATTCTCTTATAATAAAAATGGGTGGACTCTTTTCGCATCAAGAGGACGAAAGCTTGCGTGTATTCAAAGTTCACGAAACTGGCAAGCGTATTGACTCTTACGAAGAAATCAAATCAGTCTACACAGAACTTCTTGAACATAAAGATATTGTTACTGAAATCACTTTATCGCAGAATTCCTATGGTGTAGAAGCATGTAATGCTATAAGTGAAGCAATTCAGCAGTGTGTTAATCTGCAAGTCGCAAATCTTAGTGATTTATTTGTGGGAAGACAAAGGGAAGAGGTAACAGTATCAATGAGAGCTTTGGGGACAGCTTTACTTAATTGTAAAAGTCTGGAAGTCTTAGATGTGAGCGATAATGCGTTTGGGCCAGATGGGGTTAGAGCTTTTAGCGAGCTTCTTGAAAAAGCGGCTTCTTTGAAAGAGCTGCATGTAAATAATGATGGGCTTGGACCTGAAAGTGCAGCGATAATTGCTGAGTCGCTTAGAAGATGTGAAAACTTGAAACTTGAAGTATTTAGTGCAGGGAGAGATAGATTGGAGAATCCTGGAATTTCTGTTCTCGCTGAAGCATTTTCTGCTATGGGAAGCTTAGCTCTTTTACTATTAAAAAATATAATTATCCATTATAATTTTTATTTTAATTTTTTAAACATTATTACTAATTTATAGTAAGAAAAATCAGTGTTCCGCAAAACGGAATTAAAGCTGCAGGCATGGTCGCCTTATTTGGCGCCCTATCCAACAACCCTAACATGCAAGTAATAGAAATCAATGACAACAACCTCAAAGACGAAGCTGCATACACAGCCCTTGCTCAATGTTTGGAATCCTTAAACTACATCTCAGTCTTAAATATAGGAGACTGTTTACTTGGCGACGCAGGAGCTAGAAAAATTATCACAGCTCTAAAAAGCAGCAACCCTCACTTAAGGCAGCTTTACTTAAACTACGACGAGCTTGAAAACCCAGCCATCATCGACGAACTTGTAGAATTGCTACAAATGAGACCTGAGCTCGAATTGGTCGAAATCAAAGGAAACGAGTTCCCAAGCAAGGCCAAAAAAAGACTAGCAGATTTTGATTTTGAAAGAGAAGTCTCAATTGCCCTTAAAAGTGAAGGAGAAGAAGAAGAGGAAGAAGAAGAAGAAGAAAAGGAGGAAGAAGAGCTTGCTAAAGGAGTAGAAAATATTGAGCTGAAAGAAGATTAATAATCTTAATTAAATTGGTTAAAAATCCTGGAAAATAGCATTTTAAAAAATTAAAAATGAATAAGCAGGGCCATTCTCAAAAATCATCACAGTACTCGAATCGGGCACTTGAAGAAACACAAAAAAGGACTGAAATTTTCCTTAAAAAATTCATCAGAAAAAAAAGTGAGTCTTCTCCGGATAATCCGATCCCGTTTACAAAAGAAGATTATGAAACCATCAAAGTACTGATAACAAATTTAAATAATTTTGGGGTAGAGCTTTCACAAGAAAACCGAATGGAATCTTACAAGTTGGCTTATCAGCTGTTTATTAAGGCAGAAAAATTAGGGCTGATTTTGTCCAAAAAAATTTCAATGCTTCCTGAAAATTCTTTTCATTCACAATCTGTTGCAAAATTAAGAAGCTTGACGTATAATAATTTGGGGTGCTATACCAATTTATAGCCAATAGAAATCACTGATATTTTTATTAAAGTAAACAGATAGCCGGGAAATTTTATTTATTGTGAATGGGATATTTTTAAAAGCAGAGACAAATTAGTGACCGCTTTTGAGTTTTTAGAAAAAGCTATGCAGATTGAAAAACAAGCAGAGCTAGGAGATTTTGAAATAGCTACGACTTATCTTAATATCTGTTCAGTACTAAGCAAATTAAATAGGCATGAAGAAGCTTTGATGTATTCTGAAGAATCTGTAGTTTTGCTTGAAAAAGCAGATGAGGAAGAAGAACGTAACCCTGAAGAAGTAGCCAAATTCTTAGCGACAGCTTATAAAGTTTATGCTGAAGAGCTCGAATTCATGAGCAGAATCAAAGAGTCAAAAATTTTATTACAAAAAGCTTACGAAACAAGTCGCGAAATTTTAGGTGAAAATAACCCTTTAACCCAAAATTTAGCTGAAAAATACGAAAATTTCAAAAACAATTACGAAGACGATTTAATGAATTTTCCAAAAAATAAAGAGCCTTTTATTAAAAATAGACAAGATTTGGACGCATTATCAAATATTCCTAGCTATAAAAGCATAGGAACAGCTGAATTTGGAAATGAGAGGCAAGAAAGCTTGAGACCAAATAAACAAGCATTGGGGTCTCCTTTAAATGTCCCGAGTTATGCAAGTTTAGCGCAGGTTGAGCTATCAAACGATAAACAGTCACGAGAAATTGTTGTTTTAGCCCAATCTTATAGAGTTTTTCTTAATGAGAGACATAAAGTCATAATTTTAGATAAAGAAGAGCAGGAAAATGTAAAAATTTTGGTTGTGCCGAAGACGAAATTTCCAATATATAGAGTATCAGTGTCTTATGCAGATTTAAATGATTTATTAAGGATGAATATAAGAAAAACTCCATTACTTACTCCACCCTACTCCGTAAGCGAAGAAAACCACTGAAAAATTCCTATTTTTTAGCCAAAACTCACCAAACAAAATTTTTTTAATATAATATTTTTATGATAAAATATTTTAAAATATTGTTAATTAATATAATGAATTCTCTTGCTAAAACTGTTAAATTTTTAAACAAATTTCATTTTAAAGTATTGCAAATTAAATTAACTTTTGCGAATAGGGATTTTTTTTTTTAAAAAAATTCTATAAAATTTATATTTAAATTTAAAAAAAATAAACCATCCTTCTTTGAGTACAAAAATTTTTTTGTTACTCCTGGAGGGAAGTTATAGAAAAAGAAGAACTTCGGGGATACATGGAAGAATTAATGAATTTGTTATACAATTTATATTTGAAAAATACAAATTTTATTAAATGTAGATACTTATTTTAGAGAGTATTTTATATTAATATTTCCAATATTTTTTAGCAATTATTAAATATTTGTTTATATATTGATGGAGGAAAATTAAAAATCCATCACTTAGACGAAAGTCTAAGAGAAAGTGAAATCAACTATGTGTTAAGTAAAAATTCAAGACCAGGAAGTGCTTCAAGAAAATTTATGACTTTTACAACAGAAAAGCAAGGCGCTAAATATTCAGTTACCATGGCAGTTCCTGAAGAAAACAAAGTAGACACATGGAAGCAAAAATATATCCCATCATTTGATTTAGATGAACAGCTTTAATTATAAATAGCTAATTGATATACTCTCATAGTTTAAATTCCTAATATTTTGAAAAAAAAAATAGTTATCCTTACTCCCCCCCTCCGTGAGTGAACAAAACCATTAGAAAAATCGCTATTTTTTGCCCAAAAAACCCACCTTCCGTGAGTGAACAAAAATTTTGATATATAAATGATAATTAGTATAATGAAATCTAGAGCTAATTCTGTTTAATTTTAAATGAATTGCTTTTTAAAACATAAATTTTATAAATTAAATTAATATTTGCTTTCCAATTTTTGCAAATTAGGATTTTTTTAAATTTCGAAAAAAAATATTTTTTATAAAATTTATATATACATTTTTTTAAAAAAAAAAATTAGCCCCCCTCCGTGAGTGAACAAAATTTTTTTTGTGGGGGGGGGGAGTTAGCTAGAAAATTTAATTCAATTAAAATCAATATAATTTTTATTCATAATGGAGCCTGCATGGAAAGATATAGATGACCAAAACATTCACATTGATACCACCAGCGAAAACCGCTTAAAGAAGCTTTCCAAAGACCAACAAGAGCTTACAGGCACAGAATACACACAAAAACTCAGAGACCTTTATTCTCAAATGCACCATACTTCATGGCTGTCTTCCACAGCTTCAGATTCCTCAGCTATTTCTAAGCTTCTAAAGACAGCCAAACCAATTTTATCCAACAAAACCCCTCACTTGCTCCCTACCATCCTCGATATTTCCCAACTTCCTCATGCAAATGCCCAAAATTACTCAAAATCCTGCATAAATGCATTGGAATTCCAAGGAACCACCCTTTTATCAGCTGGAAAAGACAAAAGATTGAGGATTTTTAACGTGGATGGGGTTGATAATCCTTTACAAGCTGTGGTTTACATGAAGGACTTGCCTATTTCTTCAGCTCATTTTTGTGATACCTCTATATATCTATCAGGTTCCAGGCCTTATTTTTATGAATATGACGTGCCGACTGAAAGACTGCATAGAATTTCCCATATAATTGGCTATGAAAAAGAACAGCTGGGGAAAATGGCTGTTTCACCTGATAATAGATTTGTGGTGTTTTTAGGTGTTAATGGAAAAGTGATGTTTATATCAACTAGCTCAAATAAATTATAAGGCTTAAAAATGTATATATAGAAAGCCTGCAGCTAATTTTAAGAAAAATTTATAGAAATAATTTAATATTTACCCAAAAAATTTCATATATGAGGGTTTATTATTTGAGTTCAAAATGAACCAGGATGGCCACGCATTAACATTTTTAGACGAAAATACCCTTTTAACTGGTGGAGATGAAGGCGAAATATATTTATGGGACATTTCAATGAGAAGATGCATCAGGAGATTCTGCGACGAAGGTTCCACTAAAATCACCTGCATGTCAACTTGTGGAGACTATTTAGCAACTGGCTCCACAAATGGTGTAGTAAATCTTTATAACACAAAAAATGACGATTTTTCATTACCAAGCCCACCTCCTATAAAATCAGTAATGAATTTAACGACTGCTATAGACGGTGTTACCTTTAACCACAATGCAGAAATTTTGGCTATGTATTCCAGATGGAAAAGAGACGCTGTAAAACTTTTGCATGTGCCAAGCCAGACTGTGTTTTCTAATTGGCCAGGCATTAGAGATCATATAAAATATCCGATGTCTTTAGCATTTAGTTCAAATAGTGAGTTAATGAGTGTTGGAAATGATGAAGGAGTCGCGCTATTATATAGGCTTAACCATTATGCGAATTAAAAAGTTTTTTATTAATTTATTATACAATATAGAAAGAATTCACATTATAATAAGAAAATACTGATAATTTGGCATATTAAGCCTGTTTGGGATATCTATATATGTTGTAGCCAGTTTTAGGAGGACGATCATATGGAGAAATCTGCCTAAGAGGTGGTCTCATCGCTTGCCGCTGGGCTTGTTCACTTGGCCCATATTTATAAGCTTTTTTTGGCGATTTTTTATAGTCATAAGGGTCTGGAGATTTTTTCCTATCATGATGATTTTCTATATTATTTGTCTTGTACCTTGTATAGTCATGAGCCCCATAATGCGTTTTAGGGCGGTCTATTTCTTTGTATGAAGGAGAAATCCTTCGATTATTTTCCTGAGTTTTTGGCCTATGTGATGGAGAATTCCATTTGTCTTTTTCATAGGATCTTGGATTGTCTTTTTTGGCGGCTTCTTGAGTTTTAGGCCTATAGGTAGGGGATTCTCTTTTATTAGTTTCTTGGGTTTTAGGGCGATAACTAGGGGATTCTTTTCGTTGAATATCTTTGGGGTTGTAAACTGGGGAATTACGCCTTTCTTTGGTTCAGTTGTTGTAAATTGGAGAATCTCTTCGATAGTACTCAGGTGTTGTAGGCTTATTGTTGTATATTTCTCTTGGGGCAGGAGAAATTCGAGGCTCAGGCTTATTGGTAGTTATTTCTCGTGGATGAGGGGAGATACGGCTTGGTTCAGGTTTATTATAAACTTCTCTTGGATTTGGAGAAACACGACTTGGCTCAGGCTTATTATAAACTTCTCTTGGATTTGGAGAAACACGACTTGGCTCAGGCTTATTATAAACTTCTCTTGGGTTTGGAGAAACCCTGCTCGGCTCAGTAATTTTCTGCTGTGGAGTAGGCTCTTTATGAAATAAAGTAGGAGAATCTTTTCTTTCTCTATTCCCTATATTATAAGTAGGCGACTCTCTTCTATAATATTCAGGAGCTGCAGGCTTATTCATATTAATATCTCTTCCTCCACATTTTTCCTCCTCCTTACACTCTTCCTTATTTCCAAACAATTTAATTTCTTTACACAAATTTTCTTCACTGCTTTTTTCTTTTTTCTTTAAAATTTCATCACATTTTTTAATTCTTTCTAGTCCTTCTGCAAGAACATCATCAAAAGTCCTGATTTTTTCTTCTTTTTTTTCTTCCTTTTTGTCTCTATTTTTCATCTCTTCTAGCATTTTTGTTTCCCTTACCCTTATTTCTTCTTCTCTTTTTTTTAATAATTCTCTATTATTTTTTGCTTTATTTTCTCTTTCTTTTAATTTTTCTTCGTCCTTTTTGATTTTTGAATTTAATTCTTTTATTTGATTTTCTTTAATTCTTACTACCCCCTCCGTGACGAACAAAACCATTGGGGAATCCCGATCCAAAAAACCACCATCCGTGAGCGAACAAAAATTTTTTATGAAAAAAATTTAGATATATATGTGATAATTAGTAAATGAAATCTCTAGCTAATTCTGTTAAATTTTAAACAAATTGCAATTTAAAACCTAAATTTTTCTAATATTTTTAAATTTCGAATAAAAAATATAAAATTATATGTAAATTTAAAAAAATAAATTAACCTCAATCTGTGAGCTAACAATTGTTTTTGTTCGCTCACGGAGGGGGAGTTAAAGAAATAAAAGGATTTCTCAAGATTTCTTCTATACTTGGACGTCGGTTGTAATCGACTGTCATCATAGCGTTTACTAGCAGCTGAAGGTCGCTTGAGTACTGTTTAGGAATTCTTTCTTTTAAGCCTTCTTTTACTTTGAGTGCTAACTCAGCTTGGGTTCTTGCATGAAAAGGCGGGGTCAATGCACAAATTTCAAATAGCAAGCAGCCAGTTGACCATATATCAGATTTTTCGTTATACTTCCCATCAGAAAACTGTTCTGGGGACATATAATACGGAGTTCCTACATGAGTGTAAGCATAAATCGAATCTTCGTTCATTATTCTGCTAAGCCCAAAGTCTCCTAATTTCACATTAAAATTTTCATCTAAAAATATATTTCCAGGCTTTATATCTCTATGAATAATTTTCCCTTTTTCTCTTTGATGGCATGACATTAATGCCAAGCATAATTGCATAATAATTTTTCATATAGTATCCTCATTGAAATTTTCCCTTGATTTTTGTTTTTTCTTTATTAAGCTTCCTAAGTCTCCTCCAGCACAGAATTCCATTACAATGTAAATTTTTGCATTCTTCTTGTCGACTATTCTATCATAATATCGCACTATATTTGGATGTCTTAACTCCCGCAAAATATTTACCTCAGCTACTAGCTGAGATTTTTCCTTTTCAGACATTCCTCCATAATTGATTTCTTTTCATACAAGCTCTTTTCGGTCAGATTTTCTGATGATTTTTGATACTTCGCCGAATGATCCTTTTCCGATTTTTCCAATAACCTCGTATTTGTCCATTTTAAATATTTTGAAAATTATGAAATTTATATGTTCTGAAATTCAGAAATAATTATTTAGAGTATTCCGATTTGATAATTGAAAAGATTTAATATTGCCTTTAAATTTTTATTATTTGAATCGTCAGTTGTCATTAAAAGTCCATATTTTGCTTATTCAAGGCTCAATGACTTTGGGAATTATATTGTCATGTCAATACTTGCCTTAAATTATGTCTTATCCTTGTTGATTTTATTTGATAAAGCTTGATTTTAACAGATATTCACCCCTCTTCTTATTTTATTAGTACTACTAAATATAAATCCCTAATTTAAGTTAAATTTAAGTTTAAGTTTATTGAATTACTCTAGCACACTTATGCCTTAAGTCTTTGATTACTTGAAGTCCAGCTAAATTAACAGCTCTGAGCAGCAGTAGGTGGACTGGCCTAACCATCGAACCGTTAAAGTTAATAAGCCCTTCCAGACTTCTCTTGTCAGTGCCAGCCTCAGCACCGACCTCTTCTCTTCAAGCTGAGACTCTCAAGAAGCTTTGACTCCTCTCACTAAGCTCGGATTATAGGTCCATCCTGTTTGAAGAGGTGTTAGGGCCTATCCCTAACTGAAATTTTTAATATTGTGAAGTTAAATTAAACCATAAAAATAATTCATTCAGAGTAGTAGTATTTTAAGGGTCATTTTTTATAACTATTATTCCCTTCAATAAATGGATAATACAAAATTTCATAAAATGGGAATAATAAAAAGCAAATCAAAAATCCCTAGCCCGATTCATGGAAACATTTTGCTTTTTACAGGGATAAAAGAGCTTGATGATATATATAAAGAATTAGAAAAGCCAGTTTCAAAAGTCAATAAATTTAAAGCAAATTTTGATGGAATTATTACTAATTTAATCCGAGAACTAGGAGCTGAAATTCATTGAGAAATTAATTTAGATTTGCAAGAAATCTTTAGGATGGTTTTGGTAGTTTTATCAGCAAATTGTGCAGGAAAATTAAATGAAATTAATTTATATATATTTACCATTAAATAACCTAAAAGAAACAATTTGTTTATAATTATATTTATAATGGCCATTGGCAAAATATTCTTGTTTTAAAGGCATAAATTTTACTTCAGAAAATCCTTATATATTATTTGATACCCCAAAACTTAACAGAAAAAGCAGAAAATTAATGGCTATTTATTATGAATTAATGAATTTTTTAATAGAGACTCCTAGAAAGCTTGAAGATATAAAAAAAACAATAAAAAAATGAGTAAAACGAGAAGAAGATTTCCCCAAAAAAATTGCTGAGCTCACTGAAGACTTAGATTTCAGTTCCCAAGATAAAATTACTGCTGTTTTAAATATGGATAAAAATCATGAAATTATAAGTAAATCGCCGGAACTGCTTGATGAATTTTTTGATGCGATAGAATTAGTGAAATATTCTATAAATGAAATTATTAAAGAATTTCAAAAACCCTTATGTTCAGGGAAAATTATATAGTGGTGATGAAATATGTCCTTGAGGAAACCCAGCACTTTGGCGCCAAATTCGCTTTATAGCCTGCAGGTCTTTAATCTAACTATTAGCTTGCCTAGAGCTGCCTTATGGGTGTTAGACTTTGGGAGCAAACTGGTGGCGAATCCAGTCCAGTTATTATTATCCAGATAGGTTTTAGAGCATGCTTCTTTTTCCTGTCGTGGCTCTTTTTTCCTAGGAGTCACCTCCCTTCAAGGTGGCCGACAGTAGGCATAAGGTTAGCCGGCGCCTTTATAGCACCCAAATGATGTGGAGCAAGAGGAGTCTTTCTAACCAGTTGAGAATCAGAGATATCGGTGCAAGCCCCAGGCCCCATAGAAGACTGCTATTGAGACAGTGCTTAGACGAATGAGTCCTTCCTTCAAGCAGGTTCCAGCAGCCGAAAGCGTATGAGAGATAAAACCTGGATGGCTTTAGGCCTTTATGTTAAGCTAAGTTTATATTCAGAAAGATTGGTTAGTCGAGGAATTCAAGCTCACGCCAAGCGAATAAAAAGCCCAAAAGAATTAGTAAGACTATTTTGACCTTTAATTAATGAAGAAACAGATGATTAGGTTTTAATTAACAAAACTTGGAATATTTTTACCATAATATAAAAATATTAATAAAATCTACAGATTAGCCTAATATAAGATTAAATGAAAACCACTTATTTAGCGATTCCCAACTTTTTTATCAATTTCACGCTTAACAATCTCCAAGCTATTTTCATCAAGCTCTTTTAATAATGATAAAACCGCGCATAATATATTATCTCCTGGCTTCTCTATCTGTTTTGCCTCATTTCTTGTTTTAGGCTTCAAAGGTTCTCTAAACGGTGATGGCTCCCTTCTCATTTCTGACTCTTTTCTTTCATCTTTAATAATTTCATCCCTTTGTAATTTAGACTTCTCAGCAGTCTTTGGATGATTTTCGATTTCCTCTCTTGTTTTTTGGACTTCTGCTGGATTTATTTGAGATTTTTCTTCTTGAGATACATTTTGGTTGTCTAGCTTAATCAAGTTTGGTAGGTAGCTCAGCACGATTTCTCTATAACGCTCGTTTTCAGCACATGGGTTATCCCATAACCATAGCACTTTTAGCCCTGATAAATTCTTCAGGTATTTGAGTTCTCTCAAATCTGATACTGAATTTTTACGAAGGTAAAGTTCTGTGTCATATTTAAAATTTTTTTTTTAAATTTATTATTTTTATAAAAAAATATTTTAGAGGAAGCCAGTTCTGTAAGTTTTGAACAGCATTGAAAATATTTTAAAGTGCTAATCTTATTAACACTTAAGGAAAGGACTTCAACATTTGGGATTTCACGAAGAATACTTACGTCTTCTATATCCATTCCTCAGCAGTTTAGATTTTTTACATTGTCGAGACGCCCGGCTTTTGTTTTTTGTAAGATTGTATCTGCTGTTAAAGGCTTTGCCATTTTATTTGAAAAATATATATATGAAAAGCTAAGAAAGATGAGTTTAAATAAGAGAATCGATAATTTAGTAGTAAAATTTAAATATAATTTTAGCAAATTTAAATTATGCTAGAAACCCTGAGATTGTGATCGTTATTATCGAATTAATTAAATATCATATTTTTAAAAAATTATCGTTTTAGCCTATAAATAATATAATTATTTTCCTTTAAATTTCATAACTGTTTCTATTTTCTTCAACCAAAAATTTTTAAAATAAACAATGTAAATAAGTAAATTTTATACTAAAGCCTCAATAATTGCATTTTATTTAATAAAGAAAGCCTTAATTTTTTCTAATCAATCATATAAATTTCTAAAACTCTAATAAATAATGTCAATCTCAGACGATAATTCACTATCAGCCCAAATTTCAGATCACAATTACCCTTCTAATAGTGTTCTGCTTTATGATATCTACCTATACCTTTTTTTCCCTTACGTAGTAGCAGGAGGACTTATAGCTGGACTTCTAATTCTTATATCATATCTCCGTTCTAGTCGTATTGAATTGAAGATGATCAAGCACACTGATTACCATATAAGAATAATTTCCGCGTTCCAAATCGCGAATATGTTCATTATTTTTGCTTGGGCTGATGCATTGTATATTTACGCTAAAATGATGGGTGAATTTGTGGCAGCCTTGATTGGGTTTTTTGTAAGGGAACATCAAGCTTTTCGATGGGGAGTAAGAAATATATACAGAAATATGGTAAATAGCCTAAAAATACATTATTTTCCTATAAAAATAGCAATAATCCTATAAGGTATATAGAGTCTTATTAGTCAAACCGTAATGTTAGTTATGCAAGTTATCTTCACTGTTTGGCTCTCTGAAGATATTTACTGCCAAGAAAACGACCTTTGTGATACAGGAGTTTCAACCTCAATTTTATACTTAATGTACGCTCAATATACAATTGCTTTTATTTTTGAAACAGCTGGGATCATCCTTGTCAGCAATTTAATGATGAGCTTGGGATGGTTCTACACAAAGAGGTTCCCACCACAGCTGAACTTAAAACAGTATGGGATTGAGAGGCCTAAAAACAAGACTACTATATATGACTTGTTCCCTCATCCTGTTGTTTATCAACTTTAAATATAAAACATTTGTGATAATAGAAGTTTTTAAGATATTTATAGGAAAATATTGATTGATATATTTTAATTAAAAATCAAGCCAATAGATTTCTATGATGGAATTTTATAATAAATGATAAGGCTCAGTAGGGTTTTCAGGAATTTTTCTATCGAGCAAGCAGTTGCTAATAAAATTAAACAAGGCCTAGGAGCAAACACACAAGTAGAAGTTATCGATTTAAGCGGAGGATGTGGTACAATGCTGCATATAAAAGTTGCAAGCGATTCTTTTGAAGGCAAAAGTACAATTGTTCAGCACAGAATGGTAAATAAATGCATAGAAGGCCAAGACATACACGGGTTTAAGCTTGAGACTTCAGTTCTTAAAAGCCCATAATTAAAAAAATCAAGTTATGATTTTGAATGATTTTGGATATTAACCAAATTATCTTAAATTAATTTTACTTTATCTAAGAAAATCTATTATAATATTATACAGGAATTCTTGTGGAAGAGCAAATACTCATTGAAAAATTAATTTAGATGCTTTTAGGTATTTACTCAATAATCTAAGGGAGAAATAAATAATCTAATTAAGAAAAATATTGCCTAGCAATATTTTCAGTTTAAATATCTTGCATATACTCGTCTCTGAGTCTTGTAGGAAGTGAAATAAAGTCAGGGAAGTACTTACTATTTTTTGCACACATCCCTTTGCTAAGCTCATTCATGTAGTTTTCAAGCCCTGCTTTTCTTTCCTCGATATCCTTAGGAGTTACCTTGTGGAATAAGGTTTTCATCAGCATTTGGCCAGGGAAATGAGGAAGTGGCTGAGTTATCGACAGCCTAATCAGCTTCATCACCCTATGAAGCTCAAGAAATTCTGAATAACGCTTTTCTACTACATTGTTCCAATCTTTATATGAAACTTCGAATTGGAATAAATAATATTTATCAGACTTGCTGCGTGCTTCTCTTACAGATAGGAATTTAAATTCCATGATGTAATTAATAATTCAACTTTTATACCAGTTACTGCTGGCTTCGTTACAAACACCAATAAAATTTATAATTTGCTTATCAGCATTCAGAAAGCGATTCATTTAAGCAATCAGAGTTTTACTGAAGAAATAATTAATTAAAGCAAATTTCCATTATAATGGAATCATAACTATGATTAAAATTGTTCTGATAAATTTTAGCTATTTTCTATTAATAAATCATATTTTAAAATCAAATTATAATTAATATGAAAAATCACACCAACAGGAACGAAATTTTTTCTCCCGATTTCCAGTCTTACAACACAATTAGAAGTGAAAAGTTATCCGAAAAATCTCGAAAAAGAGATATCGAAGCCAGAAACAACAAATTCAGATCCTTCCCTTCAAAACTTAAAAAGAAAAAAATAAATCACATAAAGCAAAATTTTTTGGCTCGTCAATTTATGACTGAATGCTATTTAACTTCTCCGCACTATATAAATTCAGATTATCTTATAATACCACGACCTTCAGGAAAAAGATGCATGATACTAGTGCATGATGGCATTACTACCTCATTTGATAAAAATGGGAATTTAATGAAATCATACTCTCCTGGGATTTTGTTTTCAAATTCTAACTCTCGTGGAGGCATTATATTACTAGACTGTATATATAGTGAAAATCAAGACACTTATTATGCGCTTGATTTATTGTGCTGGAAAATGGAAGAGTTTTATGAATATCCAGCAGAGTCAAGGTTTTATTTTTTGCAATGCTATTTATCACAATGTGAGATATCTGGGCTATCTATTAAAACTATTAATATTTTTGAAGGAAACCTTGAGGGACTAAGAAATGCTTATTTTTGGAAGTTTGACTATGAAAAAGATGGACTGATTTTTTATAATAAAAATAGTAGCTATGTCCTTGGAATTAACCATGATATTATGATATGAAAGGATGCTAATTGCAGCTTATATGCATTGAATAATATTTCTGAGGAAATTGAGATTATTTTATTTGTAAAATATACTGGAGAGCTATTAACTTTAGATGGCTTTGTACTAGGCAGTGTTGATATTGAAAAATATCAATTGCACCATGGAAATTTAGTCAAATGCAAAATTGAAGCAATTAATACTGACATTGAGCAGCCAGCTGTCATCGGGCTTGAGTTCATGCAAAAAGCATCATTCCGCAAAGGTAAAGCTGATCATTGAAGTAAAATTTTATATCAATATTTATCTAGAAATTCCCCAATTACTTTTATCTCTATCGAAGAAGCCTTTATTTCAAACGATCACATAGATACCCCAAAAACAATTTATTTTGGTAATTATTTATATCCCACTGTCTAAAATATTTTATTTAATAACCTTTATTAAAATCCACTGTAGACTTTAAATTTCCATCAAAAAATGATAATAAATGTTTTTCAAAGCATAAAGATGATAACTCTATCACATTACTAACAACAGCACAATTGTGAGGAGACAATATGATATTTGAGGTATCCCAAAGTCTTGAATTCTGTGGAATAGGCTCTATTTTGCATGCATCAAGAGCAGCCCCTTTTAAATTTCCATTTGTAAGAGCGTCAATTAAGGCATCTTCATCTAAATTTGCCCCTCTTCCGACATTAATGAGGACAGCAGATTTTTTCATTAAATATAATTGTTGAGCTCCAATTATGTTTTCTGTAGAAGGGATATTAGGAAGAGCCATTACTAAAAAGTCTGCTTGTGGCAAAAATTCGTGAAGCCTGCAAGTTTCGACAATTTCATCAGCATATTCGTCTGGCTCTGATGCAGTCTGTTTAATTCCAATAATTCTCATCCCAAAGCCTTTAGCTAATTTAGCTACGTATTTTCCTATAGATCCATATCCTAATATGACTAAAGTTGTTCCATATAAAGTTGGCATATGAAAAAGCTTGTAAATATGATTATTTTGCTGCTCAAAAAGCACTTTCATTTGCTTTTGGAAATAAAGCATCACTGTCATGCACCACTCTGCCATCCCACAATCATATGCACCTTTAGAGCTTGTCAGAGGAATATTCATGCTTTTCATTATTTCAGAAGAAATATATAGAAAATTTCCCGTAGATGGCGCTGTTTGCCCTTGATTTGCCCATGAGGAAAATTTTTTGGTTTGACCAAACCATATGGTACTGGTCGAACCAAAAAATTTCCCTAGTGGGCAAATCAAGGGCAAACAGTGCCATCTATGAGAAATTTTTATAGCTGTCTACTCCAGAAGTTATAGAATGAACCCACTTTATTGGGTTATTTTGCAAAGTCTCGTCAACATCACTTTGCTTTCTAAAATGCAAAACTAAAATGTTTGTTCTTCCCCAATGAGTTGATTCCTTAAAATCATTGAAGTCCAAAAAGCAAGATATTTGAAGCTGAGGATATTTTAATGCTAGTTTATTCATTTCTTCAGTTAAAACATTTGCAAATCTTTCGAAAAGCAGCACTGTAACCACATATTCTTCAGCCATTTATATCAACAAGATTTTTAGGGAAAATTAAAGGATGAAAAATTATCACAAAAATAATTTTTGGGTCATTTTTCATTTTTAATTAAATTTAAACCTGATTTAATAGCCTTTATTGAAGTCGACTGAAGATTTGATAGATCCTTCAAAAAATTCTTTTAAATGTTTTTCGAATACATTTACAGAAAGCTCAATCACATTATCTACAACAGCGCAGTTGTGTGGGGTCAACAAAATATTTGGGGTATCCCAAAGTCTAGAATCAGCAGATAAAGGTTCATTTTTAAATACATCAAGCGCTGCACCTCTAATAGTCCTAGTATAAAGAGCTTGAATTAAAGCACCTTCATCTAAATTTATTCCTCTCCCTACATTAATTAAAACTGCGCTATTTTTCAGAAGCGATAGCTCTTTGGCTCCAATAATATCTACAGTCAATGAATGTTTTGGCAGGGCCATAACAAAAAAATCAGCTTGAGGCAAAAATTCATGAAGTCTGCTAATTTCTACGATTTCTTCAGCATATTCATCTGGCTCTGATGCAGTTTGTTTAATTCCAATAATTCTCATCCCAAAAACTTTCGCTAATTTAGCTACGTATCTTCCTATAGATCCATATCCTAATATGACTAAGGTTGTTCTATATAAAGTTGGCATTTGGAATAGCTTATAAGAATGATTTTTTTGCTGCTCAAATAGCAGTTGCATATTTTTTTGAAAATAAAGCATAGATGTAATACATCACTCAGCAATTCCACGGTCATACGCTCCTTTAGCATTAGTTAATGGAATATTCATACTCCTTAGCAATTCTGAATGTATTATCGTATCAACCCCTGCGCTAAGAGAATGAACCCATTTTATAGGATTATTTGCTAAGGATTCATCTAATTCGGTTTGTGATCTAATGTGAAGGACTAAAATATCTGTATTCCCCCAATGGTTTGATTCTTTGAAATCATTAAAATGCAGAAAACAAGCAATTTGGAGCTCAGGATATTTTAATGCAATTTTGCCCATTTCTTCGAGTAATTGGTTTCCATATCTCTCAAAAATTAAAACAGTAACCACGTGTCTCTCTGTTGACATATTTTTACTCAAAATGTGTATTATTCCATAAATTTATCAATCTGCATTAAAATTTTTGTACTTATAATAAATTACCATATAATTTTTTAAAATTTCAGTATCTGCTATAAATGTATTTTTTACGATATTTTTAATTGATATTATTCAATCAGAATTTACATTTCAATAAACTAATCAAATGTGTTAGTCAATTCCAAAAAAAAATAAAGTCAAAAAGTTCGCAAAATATGCGTAGCGGAATGAGATTATAAATAATCTCATATCAATATATGCTACGTTTATTATTTCCTACTTTTGACCCTGAAAAGAAAAGTCTCCCCAGGAACGCCAAGAGGATTCATTTGTTCCATATTTATTATTATATCACTATACTTCAATACTTGAATAAGTCTTAGTTTTCATTTTCTAAAGCCTAATAAATTTTTCTAATAGTAAGCTATTCAATCATAAAATAAATAAAAATCCTTCACTCAATTATCAATTAGCCTAATAAATTAAATCTTCTTTTAGTTTACTTATTAATGTTGTTTAAAAATTTCCGCTTTAATATAGCATTTCCTTCGATTTTGGTTTTAATTATAACCCTATTTACAGATGATATTTTACTTCTTTGGACTGGCTTTATTTCGTTTAATTTTTCTTGCTTACCAATAGAAGTGTGCTGAGATTGCGATTTTCTTGGTTTTTTATTATTTAGGATTTTGGCAGGCTCATTTGGCACTTCAGATTTTTTTGGATTGGTGCCTAAAAAGTCTGCTAATTCGAGCAAAATCGAGTCTTCATCTTTTGATATTTCTTGATTTTTTTCTTTAATTGGTGCGATTTCTGGGTCGTATTTAAACTCAGAAACTTCGAGCTGTGAATGATTAAAAGTAGTGATACTCTCACAATCTATTATCGATCTTGATTTATTTTTTCTTAGAGAGGAATTCTTTGTTTGGCTCCGATAAGTAGATGATGAATGTGTTGTAGCAGTTGAATCGTGAACTCCTATCGAATACGAGCCTTTTTCTGGAGATCTTTGCAAAACTGGCTTCAATATTTGAAGAGATTCTTTTCTTTTCATATTTGTTATATAAAAATCCTCCAATAACCATCTACAACTATTTATATCCTAATAAGTAAATAAGCCAGTTCTAGCATTTATTTACAAATTAAAATTTTTCCAAATATTTTTCTCTTTTTATTTCAAATTCTGATTTTATAACCTTTACACCCATTTTATCAAAAATAAAAATGAACTAATTTTCTATCCTTCTTTGAAATATTCTCTCCATATAAAATTTCTACGTGATAATAAAAAACTAAATTTAAATTCTGTTTATCTCAATAACTTTTTTATATCAACATTTAAAAATCTATAACTACCAGCTTTAACGACAATTTCTGACGATTCTCTTATAATTAGAAAATGGAATCCAGGCCACAAGCAGGAGGCCATGAAGGCATTTTAATCTTCAGACGAGATAAGCTGTTAAAGCGAGCTCTTTCCAGCGAGCTTAATTTCTATAGAACATTGTTTAATCCAAATAATCAAAATCCAATCTTGCATGAATTTCGAAAATTAGTTCCCAAGTTTTATGGATCCCAGTCGATTGATGGGAATAATTACGTTGTTTTGGAAAATCTGTTATGAGGATACGATAATCCTTCAATAATGGATTGCAAAATTGGCAAAGTTACATGGACTAGAGATCATTCACCACCTAGATGTGTAACTCAGCAATTAAGAGCATCAAAAACAACGACTTCAAGCTTAGGGTTTAGAATAACAGGGCTTTTAATTAAGGACAGAGAAGGGCGTGTAACTGAATCGATCAGGAAAAAAAAAGTTTTTGATATCACGCCAGACAATATTTTGGATTACTTCTCGAAGCTGGTGATAAGGGATGGAGTTTTCCAAGAAGCAGTTGTAGATCTTAGATTAACTTAAATTATCATAGAGCAGCTCACTTTTCTATTTCGCTCCATATTCTTGTTTGACTGTCTAAATGGCCTAAAAGCATCTGTTGCTCCTTCCAGACGAGGAATTGGGAGGTAAAGACTCTGGGCTACTGTACGCCAACTGAGCTGCCTGCTCCGAAAATTCGAAATGTAAATTTCCTGGTCATATTATTGACAAAGATGAAATTCGTAGCCTAGGGCACAACTCCAGGGATGCGTGGGAAAATTACTAGTTGGCCAAGCGAAAACCTTCTGGTTTTCTGGACTATCTCTTTCCAAATTCCAAGTTCCATCTCCCTTGGGGTAAAATCTGCCCTGGATACGAGCCGTATCAGCCATCCCAATACTGCGCTCCACCAGACCAAGTATACCCCCCGGTCTGAATAAGGTTGTAGATCAATTTATTATGGAAACGCAAGAGATTCTGGCGTGATTTAGGAAGCAAACGGTGAACACCTATTTCACATGCTCTGTATTATATGTGAATGGATTTAACAAAGCTCAAACGAAGTTTATTGACTTTTCTTATGTTTATCCGTCAGAGGGAACAAGAGATAACAGTAAGCGATATTTATGATACTCGATTTTAATAATTGTAGAAAATATAAGGGATAGTTTATTTATTTTATAGAATTTGCAATTTTTAAGGATTAGAATGGCTAAAAATTCAATGCAGAATTGTATAGACATGATTGAAGGATTAGAAAGTCTAATCAGCACGTGGGAAAAGCTGAAATTGAAGCATGCAACACCATAATTCTTTATTGAAGAATTTAATAAATATCATTGAAAATAAAAAAAAAATAATAAAAATGTGTGAAACAATTTTAGGCTAGCTATTCAGGATGTCTTATAAGATTTTTTATGTTAACAGTATTTACAAGTAAAATTATAACTCCTCTCCAATTAAAATAGAACAAAAATTCCTGTTCCAATTTAAAGGTTTTTTTTCTCAATAAAATCATTTTTTTCAAATATAAATCCAATATTTTTGAATTTTATTTTTATGAATAATTATAAATCGATTAGCTGAAACTTTTAAATAATATTCAATTTGAACTTCTTCTGTTAAATTACGAGAAATTTACGCCTTCCATGATGGCGAAGGCCGCAGTCCGACAGAAAAACAGGAAGTTCCGAAATTCGGGGTCACTTAACAAAATGGCGGCCCCGAAGGGCCACGGGGTCGGATGGAGGTGTGGTTTCCAGGGTGGGAGCAGGTTTGGGCTAACTGGACCTCTCTTCGACCCACAGACGAAAGACCGACGGCGCAATACCAAGCAGGTACTTCTGGAGGAGCATTATGTTGCCTGTAAAATGGCAGAGGTAGTTCCAGAAGGAGACAACGGACGGCTCCCTCATACCCTGAGCACTACCAGGGGTTAAGAGAGTCCTTTGCTGAAGTTTTTTGGTCCAAGCAGGTTCGGGTGAGTCTCCCCGAAAGATGTCGACGTCACCATTTTTGATGACGTCATCAGAAAAGGGCGTTAGCTGGGATTAGTGCTTAACGCCACTGAAGCGCGAAGCTAATCCGTGTAAGGGTAGGGGCTGGAATAATCCCCTGGGACTCCCTATAATTTATCTCTCTCTCTGTGTTAAATTACGTGAAATTGAATTTTATAAAATTTTCCTATTTAAAGAAATAATTTTTATTCCAGTTAAAATTCAAAAAAAATGGAAATTTTACAATATTTTATTCCAATTAAAGGGGAGTAATGCTTTAAATTCAAAAATAATATTTGAATAATCAATTGATTCAACAAAGAATTATCAAGAAAATTGATGATAAATAATTTTATATACAGAAACAATAAAACAGACGCAAGTAATTATAATATTGTAATTTTTATTAATTATTTTTATTTCCTTTAGCAAATTTATTAATCTAGAATTAAATAACTCTATAGTTATCATATTTTCAAAATAATTTATTCCAAATTTTAATCACACTATTTTCGTTAATTTATTCCTTTTGATATTGAAACATAAAACCTGGAAATTTACAAATAATAAATAAGGAATTATTTTTATCATAGAAACAATATAATGGGTTAAATTATATGCAAAAGTCTTCTTAAATTTGGTGAATAAATATTGCAATGGAGCCTAGACTTCACTTTTCAGATCCATCTTGGTCTAAAACATCAAGAACCCTTCTTGCATTACTAGGAATTCTTGGAATCTTCTGTGTAGTTGGCGTAGTTTCCTATTGCCAGCAGCCATCACTGTCTGCATCTGCAATGAAGCAATTTCAGTTTGAAGAGCAAGAGTTCAATGATTACGTCGAAAAATTCAATAAAGCTTACTCTGATGAAGAATATGCAAAACGCTTTTATATATACAGAAGCAATCTGAAATTGGCATCATTTCACAAAATTTAGCCTTATTAAACATTTTCACCTATAAAATATACTGCTATATTTAATTGATTAAAGGTTAACTTTTTCATTGAATATGATTTCTGCTTAAAAAAATATTTAAATTTTTCCATTGATAATAATTATAATATTTTCACCCAAAATGCAGCTTATATTCGACTTCACAACTCTCTCAATAAATCTTGGACCTTAGGCTACAATGACTTCACAGATCTATCCCCAGAAGAGTTCAAGGCAATATATTTACTCCCCCTCAATTAGCAAGCAAATAATTTGCTTACTCACGGAGGGGTGCTTTATATTAATTTTACTTTGAAAATTAAAATAACCCCCTATTCCAACAATTTAAAATGCGCTGTTAAAATTTATATCACTTATATATAAAAAATTTTTTTTATATTATAAAATTTTTACTTGCTCATATATATTTTTCCAATGGCTTTGCTAGATAAATAAGGAGGGGAATTAGTTAATTATAAAGCTATCAAGCTCTCTGGAAAATCAACATGGTTTGATACTTCTTTAAAGATTCCACAAAGCATTGATTGGAGGTCTGCAGGCGCCGTCACACCTGTTGGAAACCAAGGAACTTGCACAGCAGGCTGGGCATTTGCAACAACAGGAGCTATTGAAGGCTTATGGAAAATTTCAGGAAATCCTATAGTATCCCTCTCAGAAGAACAATTAGTATCATGCTCCTACTCTTATGGCAATCATGGATGCAATGGTGGAATCCCAGATTTTGCATATGAATATGTCATAGGAAACGAAGGAATTGCCAGCGATAAAATTTACCCTTGGACATCAGCAAATTCAACTGTAAGCAACTGCATACCAACTTTAGCAAGCAACGTGGCAGTTAAAATAGCAAGCTATAATAATGTTGCACCAGTAGATGATCCGGCAGCCTTAATGGCAGCCATAACACAGCAACCTATTGCAGTTGGAGTCGAAGCTGATCAGTATGTATGGCAATACTATAAGACAGGAATCATTAGCAATAACTGTGGAACCAATATCAATCATTATGCATTAGTAGTTGGGTACAATACCACAGGCTCTGTACCCTATTATATCGTCAAGAATTCCTGGGGAAGTGGCTGGGGTATGAGCGGATACCTAAATATCGCAATTGCAAGCAGCACTGGGGTTTGTGGCATCCAAATGGTGGCTTCTTATCCTACTCTATAAGTTAACTTCGATTAAATATTTCGTGGGTATTTAGTGAATTTTTATGGATTTAGAAAATCCATTAGCATTCTAATAGATTAAAATATCACATAATAAATATGAGTCAAGTCCACTTATCAATAGAACAAATCAATGTCCGCATCGAAGAGCTCACAACCCAATTGCAAGAAATAAAATCAGATCCTGAACAAAAATCAAAAAAACTCCGCATTTATCGTCAGCTGTCTAAGCTTAATAAAGCTCTAAAAGACCCAACCAAGCGAAAAGATCCTGAAGTAGTAAAAGCTGAAATAGCCAGACGACAGGCAAAAAAACAGAAAAAAATACAAAATCTCGAAATGAAACACAAAAAACAAGAAGAATTAAAGCACGTTCCAAAAAATCAAGAAAAATTAACCTGTATCAATTGCAAACAGCATGGTCATGTATAAACTGATTATTTTATTAAAAAATAAACATTTTCTGTCCTTAAAAATAATTTAATCAATTTAAACAGAATAATTAAAAATTGCCCACTATTAGACAAGCGAGAAGTTTATTGCTATTCTTGTGGATCAAGAAAGCACACATCAAAAGACTGCACTGAATCTGGGTACAAATTTGCGACTTGTTTCTATTGTAATGGAACTGGTCACCTTGCTAGCCACTGCTCACAAAAGCCAGAGCAGGGAATTTATCCAAATGGAGGAGGTTGCCATAGATGTGGATCAGTTTGGCATTTGGCAAAAAATTGTCCAGATAATAGAAATAAAGCATAAATTATAAAAATCATATTTATTACAATATTAAGGTCTCAGCGAAACACTTTCTTTTTCAGATAATCAATAATGATAATAAAATAGACGCAATTTTGAGCTTAAATTTCTAGATTAGCTAAATATTCGATAAATTCTTGTCATTTTCCTTCCCAAACTCTTCTTACTTCTTCCGGCTCTGTACATCCATCAATGCTATTTTCAATCATTTTTTTAACATGCATCAAGTTTATACCCCAAAGCATATAAATCCAAACCCAATCATGTGTGACTCCACTATATCCAAAACACCCTGGATCATCAGAACTAATCGTCACTGGGATTCCTTGGAACAAATAAGCCAGCGCTGGATGGACTCTTGGATCTCTCACATAACCCAATATCATATTACTTATCGGACAAGACTCTATCGTAATTTTTTCTTTTTTAGCTATCCTTAATAGCTGAGGGTGTTTTATCAAAGAAATTCCATGCCCAATTCTTTTGCTTCCTATTGCAAAAGCATCATAAACCGTTGGGCCAGGCTTATTAACCACTTCTCCTGCATGCAAAAAGATCGGACAATGATTTCCGCTTTTTTTAGCATTTTCACTAATCCTATGAATATCCCCAAAAATATCTTCGTCTTCTCTATATTTTTCTTCTTCTCCTGGGATATCAAATCCTAATACAAACTTAGGAAACAATAAATGCAGCATATAAATTTCTTCAGTTTCCTTAATTATTCTTTCCTTCGAAAACAGCTTAATTGTACATAAAATAGCTCCTGATGTGAAATCTGGGTGATTTGAGGTAAATCTTTCACATACGTTTTTAAGAAATGCAATATTTTCGCTTGGCAAGCCATCAGTTTCTGTAGCCTGGATCGAAAAAGGCATATGTCTAAATTCCACTCTTTGGACATTGTCTTCGTAAAATCGAGTAAAAGCGAGCTCTATGTATTTTTCTAAAATTCTATTATCAGAGAATGCTGATAAGGTTGAGGTAAAAATTTGCATAAAACTTGACCAGCATTCTGAGGGCAAACCGACTGATTTTTCACGATTTGTTTCTAAGACATTTAAAAGAGTTTTTTCATTTTCTGGGTTTTCTAAGTATTGTGTAAGAGAAATTGAATCGGTCTGACAGCTTGAAAAAATGTATGGACAATTATCAATAGTTTTAATGTAAATTTCTGGGTCATTTTTCAAGATTGATAAGACATCAACTGCAGGGAGCATGCCGCCGTAATGCATGTGAAGGACAGCCCCTTTTGGCATTTTTTTGAAAATCTGGAAAAGACGCGTGTTTATGACTGAATCACGAATTGACCAAAAATCAAGCATATCATCAATAGAGTATTGTGTGGAAAACTGCTCTTTGATTTGGCTTAATTTTAAATTTGCTAGGATTTCTAGTTCAGTCGGCTTCATTAAGGCTAGATCTTTGATATCTTGTGCTATGAGCTCCTGGCGCTGTTGAAAAAATTCTCCCATATTTGTGTGAATAGTTTAACTTCCTAAGAAAATTTATGCCCCATTAGTGTGAATTTTTATTCAATTTCAAAATAAATTATTTCTAAATCTTATATATCAAAACCTATATGTTTTGAAGTAAAAATAGCTAATGTACTATTAGATTGCTTTAATTTCCTATAAATCTCTTAAATTCTTATAGTTTTTATTGGCCTTATCGTTATAAGACAGTTTATAAAAGTTTAACTATATTTCTAAATTAGCTAAATATTGAATAAATTCCTGCCATTTAGGCTCCCAAGCTCGTCTCACTTCTTCAGGCTCAGTGCATCCATCAATACTATATTCCACAAGCTTCTTTAGATGCATTAAATCTATACCCCACAGCACATATATCCAAACCCAGTCATGTGTTACTCCACAATATCCAAACAATCCAGGGTCATCAGAACTAATAGTCACTGGTAGCCCTTGAAACAAATAAGCTAAGGCTGGATGGATTCTGGGATCTCTTACATATCCAAGCAGCATATTACTAATTGGGCAGGCTTCAATAGAAAAGGAGATTTAAACCTATGCATTTTAATATATTAACCTATTATTTTTTAATTAAAATAATTATACCCGATGTTGGTCCAGATGATGGACGAAGACCATAAAATAATAAAAAAAAAAAATTATACCCACTTCAATAGTAATCTTTTTTTCCTTTGCAATTTCCATCAAATGAGGGTGCTTTATAAGTGAAATTCCATGGGCTAATCTTTTTGTTTCCAAAGCAAAAGCATCATAGATTATTGGCGCTGGCTTACTTACTACTTCTCCAGCATGAATGTACATAGGAAAATCGTTCCCGCTTTCCTTTGCTTTTTGTCTTATTACATGAATGGCCGCATAGATTTCTTCGTCTTCTTTATATGTTTCTTCTTCTCCAAGAATATCAAATCCTAGTATACTTTTCTTTCTCATTGATAATCAAGGAGAATTTGTATGAAAATTTATATAAATTCAGATTTATAAATATACAAATCTGGGGTATTTTAAATGAAGCCTATAAATTTCTTCACCTTCTGATATAATTCTTTCTTTGGAAAATGCTTTGTGTGTAGATAATATTGTTCCAGAAGAAAAATCAGGATGGGCTGATGAAAATTTATCACAGAGTCCTTTAAGGAAATCCAAGAAATAAAATGGTGGCCTCGATGGAAGATAGGCATCGAGACACACTCCTTATTGAGCAGTAGGACCATCCTGATGAAGCTGAAAATAGTGCCTTCGTCTCTTTTTGAAGTAGGCCTCAGTCACTTTTTGAAGTAAGCCTTCGGGTTTGAGGATGCCTGCCGATTATTTCTCCCCCTTCCCTTCCAAATGACTAACGGGGAATCCACAAGAGGCGGCTCTAACCTAGGGAGCTAATCTTTAGGTTAGGTGGGGTTGCGTCAGTTAGATAGGCCCGTAGTCTATCCGATTATAAACTTATAATCTAATCTTACTTGGCTTTTTAATAAAATCCATTTCTTCATCAATAAAAATTGTCCGTCCAAGGTCTTTCATCGCAAATGGCATGTGGCGATATTCGATTCTTTGAATATTTTCTTCATAAAATTTTGTGAAGAAAATTTCTAATTTCCCTCTATAAGCCAATTTTATATTCGCTCAAAAAGAAATTTTTTTCTCGAAAAATTAGGAGCTTTTTCGATTGATTTTTCCTCGCTTGCTGCATGGGAGTAAATATTTTTCATAAATTCTTTTTTCAGTATATGTATAAAGAAGCGTAGCTGTAAAAATCCCTTCAAAATGTGTCCATCTTTGGCTTGGAAGCCCAAACGATTTTTCACGATTCATTTCTATCGCTGTAACAAATAGTTGCTCATTATCTGGATTTGATAAAAATTCTGATAATTGGGTTGCATTTTCTTGATAACTTCCATATGTAGTGATTTGGCCACCTTCTATTTTTATATAAATTTGTGGATCATGCTTTAATAGAGGCAGCACTTCAGTAGCAGGCAAAGTTCCACCATAATGTAAATGAAGGACAGCCCCTTTAGGCATTTTTTTAAGTGTCTGGAATAGTCTTGTACTTATAACCCTGTCTTTTATTCCCCAGAAATCAAGCATATCATCAATTGAAAATCTTGATGAAAATTCTTCTCTGAGAAGATTTAGCTTTGAGCTTGCAAGAGCTTCAAGCTCACTTGGCTGGCTTAAGCCGAGTGAAGTAGAATCACTGCGGATAAGGTCATTTCTTAGCCTGAAGTATTCCTCCATAATGCAATAATAAGCCTAACTTATTTATCATTAAATATCTAAATCTGCTAAATATGTAATAAATTCTTCCCATTTTTCTTGCCACACTCTTCTTGTTCTGACTGGCTCTGTGCACCCGTCAATACTGTTTTCAGCTATTTTTTTGATTTGCATTAAATCAATATTCCAGAGCATGCATATTCAGAGCCAGTCATGGGTAACTCCTTTGTACCCAAAAAGTCCAGGAACATCAGAACTTATAGAAATTTGTATTCCATTATAAAAATATGCTAGTGCTGGGTGTGATCTTAAGTCTCTTACATAGCCAAGGACCATATTACTGATAGGGCAAACTTCAATGGTGATTTTTTTGTTTTTCACAATTTCTATTAAACTTGGGTACTTAATTAAATCAATACCATGGCCTATCCTTTGTGTGTCTAGCAAAATATCCCTTTTAATAAGAAAAATATTATAATTTCATAGCATTTTAATATAGCAATTTCTGAAAATATATATTATTGTTTGGTATAACATCATAAAGCGATGGAGCATTTTTGCTAATAACTTCTCCAGAATGGAAAAACATAGGACAATCCCTATTAGTTTCATGCTTTAATTGATAAATGCTTGCGTATATCTCTTCATCTGGGTTATACTTATCTTCCTCACCTACAATGTCAAATCCTAATACAAATTCAGGTTTTTCTGTATGGAATTCAAAGACTTTTTTAGCCTCATTAATAGTTTTTTCTTTTGGAAATAATTTGTGAGCAGTCAAAATAAGTCCACAAGAAAAATCAGGATGCTCTCTGGAAAAATCGTCAGTAATTTTTTGTAAATTAGCGATTTCTTCCTCAATTGTTATGAATTTATCTCCGTCTGTCATCTCGCCAATTCCTATCATACTTCGAAATTCAACCCTTTGAAGATTTTCTTCATATAATTGTGATAATCCTAGTGATAAATAGTTTTCTCATATTCTTTTTTCGCCGAATACAGCACTAGTAGATATAGCATTTATTTTAAATAAGCGCATAAGCTTTAAACAGACCGTATATTAAAATTATTTCTTTTCAAATTATGCTTATATAATATAAAATGATCCAGTTATCATTGTAATGCAATAGTCTTAAACTGTATTATCTACAAAAATAAGCTATAATACAAACATTTTTATCTTTAAATTCATCTTAAAAGCTATAATTTAATCATAGCTATTAGCATATAAAAATTTGTTCAAAATTCAATCATCTCTGATCTGGCGTCCCAACTGACTTTTCTCTTGTCATTCTCATAGCATCAAGTATAATGCTTTCATTGCTCTCACAAGCCAAAAATTCTTTAACTGGAATAAAATTTTCTTTAAAAATTGGGGAAAAATAAATTCTATTTTCAACGAGATTTACATGGACATCAGAGTCATTTTTTAATAATGATAAGAAATCTTCTGGTGTTAAAATCCCGCCAATGTGTAAATGATGCAGAGCCCCTTTTGGCATAAGCTTAAGGACTTGGAAAAGCTTGGTATTTTTGACAGAATCGATGATGTTTCAATAATCAAGCATGTCGTCAGTTGTGAATTGTAAAGAAAAATCAAGCTTCAAAAGATTGAAGTTTTGGCTAGCTTTAAGTTCAAGAGTACTAGGCTGTGGAGTGTTAAGAACTTGTTGATCAGCTTCTATGAGCATCTGTTTCAATTTTTGATAGTTTTCATAAGTATTACTCTCCATTTACCTTTATAAATAAAATTATGTGATTAAAAACATTTTTTGCATCTAAATTATGATTAAATATTATTTTACTCAAATCCCTGGATTACTTTTAATTGTCTATGTCTAAACAAGAAAAAATTATCAAGTTTTATATTGGTATATCCAAAATAGCAAGTTTAAAGTCCTAAAAATATAATTTTTTAGCCTTTTAATAAAATTTAATGTATTTTGTTGAAATTTATAGGCCAGCTTAATTTTATGCTAAATTTTAATCAATTTTATTCTGCGGTATAAAATGTCTGGGCACTTCGGTAAACTTAAAGACCTTTTATTTTACTCAAACTGCAGCACTCCAGAGCCTGAACCGACTCCTTCAGACAGCACTAAAAAGGACGCTGAAGAGCCTATCATTTTAGATGAAAGTGATAACCCTGCCCTTATTGAACAACAGCGTAAGCACCCATTGCGCCCTTCAAGTTTTGAAGCCTTGATGCAGCCTCTTAAAATTGCCACCATGGTCGAGTCAATAGACGGTGTCAAGGTAGACGTGGCTGTTGGCCTTTCTCAGCATCTGCAAATCCAAAACACAGTGGTGCTGCCAAATGGCCAAGGAGGCAATTATGAAGCGAATTTTATGTTTGTTGGAGGCCAGATGACTAATCCTTATGATATGGTCACACCAAACCCAGTTATGGTTGCTAAAGGGTGCATGCTTTTTTCTCAAGAATTTTTGGTCGTGATCAAATTTGACTGTTGTTCTGAGCAAATGTCTAACGAAGAAATGCCTCACTAGCAAAAATCCCAATCAAATGGCATAGAGCCATTGCTAAAGTATCTCCTGGAACTGGAAGGCAAGACATAAGATTTATAACAAAAGGAAATTATGATATATTGTTCATTATAAATATCCCAGATCCTAATCATTATTTTTTTCAGTATTGTATACACTTCTAATTTAGTCTGGCAGATAATTAATAATATTTAAGGCAATACCTTATATGGAATACCGATTACAAGCTCAATATGCTTCATCTAATATAAATGAGTCTCAAGTGCTTCTAGAAGCTGAAAAGCAAGGAGAAGACTACGTAGCTGGGGTCAAGCTTGGAATTAAAGGAGACCAGTTCTCTTATAATTACATGCAGAGCTTACATAAAAATCTTCAATTAGGATTTGAAGTTTCGACTATGACAAAGCCTCGTCAGTCTATCGATTTCAGTTACGGAGGGAAATTTACTTGGGGTCCAGCATCATATATGCTTATTTATATAAATTGTGTTTTTTAGACGATCTTTTTTAATAATGTACTATTTAGATTTTATAATTATATTATTTTCAGCATTATGCTCCTTTTCAATCATCTAACTTCGGAGCTGTTATAAAGGCTAGCCCAAATGTTACTTATACCACTGAGATCAGCAATATGAATATGGAAAGAAAATATGAGTTTTCAGGTGGAATCGGAGTGAGATTTTCAAGAGCGAAACTTAATGCTCAAAAAATAGGACAATTTTGGATCGGATTTCTTTTTGTAGATTTTCCTTGGAACTATTTGGAGGGATTATTTAGGCAATTAATAGGCAAAAGCATTATTTTTCGACTGAGTGTCTGACAAGGAAGAAATTTAGGCCAAAATAGCCCTGAGGAATATCTTCAAGAGGAAATTTTGCAGAGGAAAAAATATATGCCTGCTCAAATAACAGGGTCTGGAAAACTTTCGATGTCAATCACTCAAGTGATTAACCCTATTTTAAGAGTGAGCTTCTCAGCTGATGCAGATTTAGCCAAAAATGATCAAAAATTCGGAATGGGAGTGACCATAGGACAGTAAAGATAATTTAATAGGTATTGATATATTTAATTTTAAAAATAATTTATATATGTCTAAGTTTTAATTATTGATTTTCAAGAATTTTGTTAAAAATCAAATCCTAAATAAGACAGAAAAAAACATAAGAAATTAGTCGAGCAAAAATATATTATAAATAAAAGCTAATACAGTAAAAGTTCGTTACTAGTTAACTCCATGCAACTCTTTATATTTAATAAAGGCAACAGAATTTTCAACTGCTTCCTCTCCCCTTGCTCTCAAATCTTTATCTATAATTTTGCTTGTTCTTATGCGCAGCATTTCTAAGCCAACTTTCATCATTTGCAATATCCTCAGCTCAGTCAATACATTATCAAATCTTTCGTCATCAAAAACGTCATACATAAGATTCATTACTTCAATAATTGTTGTGAAATCTTCATTTACTGTGCATAAAAATAATGCATTAAAAATTATTCTTGCTTGATCTGAAGTAATTCCTTCATGTGCACATAGTAATAAAATGGTGATGTTGACGAAGATTAGTCTCCGAGGTAGCAGGTAGGACTCACTCTCTGTCCCTTTTTTGAAGTAGGCCTCTCCTGGAAGGTTCCTCTCTCTGCAAAATTGGCTTGACATGCTTTGCATGTCATATTGTTTTCTCTCATTAGGACCATTGGGGATCTCTTAGAGGCGAACTTGATCTAGAAGCTGACCTCTTGGACAGTTAGTTCAGATCGGAGTTAAATGGGCCATTTTGGAGCCAAGGTGAGCAATGGCTAGTGGGCTTACCCACTTATGGTCAGCAAATTTTATTCATTTGCACATATCGTTAAAGTGCCTATCAAGCTGCAAGGTAGCAAGCCAGGGAGATGAGCTATTAGATTGCAAAGTTCTGATACATAATAATTTTTGCCAGTCTAAATAAATCTTACAATTAAATTCCCATATTTTTTGCTGAAACAAAGCAAAACTTTGATAATTGTGTCTAAAAGCTCTTCTGCAGTTTCTTTCCAATCAGTTTGTTCTTGAAAAATGCATGATATTTTCCTTATCTGATTAAATAAAAATTCCCAAAAGTCTTTTGGCCTGACGACACGGATCAGATAATCAGTATTGATTATTAAATTTTGTAGACAATAAAAGGCTGCGCATTGAAGCTCAAAAACAGAGCATAAAATATCAGGAAACGCTTCAAAGCCGATATCAACATCTTCTAATAACCCACTAGCAATTCTCACTATATCGTTTACCATGCTATTATTTATAAAATAGCTCCCAATTGGAGTTTCCTCGTTTTCGACAGCTAGCAAATTAGTTATAATCTTCAGCGTAATTTCTTGGGCTTTTACACAGCTTTTTCAAGCGTCAAAATAACTGTTTTTTGATTTTTTATTAAGTGAAGGTATTCTTATCTATATAGACTTTGTGCTTGATAGCTAAAAATTTATTATATCCTAAAACTATTGAATTTTTGTATTTATTATCTTAAAATAGACATATAACTTCATTGACTAATTCGCTGTAAGGATTGAATACTAAATTTTGCCAGCATGGAAATATGACGTATTCTCCTATCATTTGCTTTTGTTTGCTTGGTATACAAACGCTTGATATTAGCAAAATAATGTTCATTTTAACATCTCGAGTTAAATCATCGTAGGTAGTTAGCTGGTATAATTCTTCAAAATTGTCTTCAATTAATTCAAAAGCTTGCTCATTTTCTTCAGCAAAAGTATTTAAAAGCTCTAAGCACGGGACCATGTAGTTTTTATTTTTTGCTAAGACAACTTCTAAGCATCGCGGAATAATTGGAGAGTCTTGAAAAGAGTCAAAAAAAGCCAAGTTTACTTGGCAGAGAGACTCCAGTAAATATAAAGAATTCTGTACAATTGAAATGATTAATTTTCTTTCTTGTTTGGAACTTGGCATTTTTGAATCCGCTAAGAAATGCTGGCTTAGTATAGGATCAATTAAATTTAGCACTCCCAACCGCAAAAAATCGTCGGAATGTTCTTGCGATAAGGAAATTGCTGCCTGCAAGGCAGCAAGCTTAACAAATAGGCAGCTGTCAGAAATTTTTTCGACTATAAGCTTGATAATTTTCATATCATGGGTTTTTTTAATGTTTGCAACAGCTATGCACCCAATTTCCCTTTCTCTCACAGACGAGCTTCGCAGCTAAATATGAATTACGTATCCTTTCAATCCCTTCCTACTCACAGGGATCTCAGTCTTCAGAGGATCAAAACGAATGTTTTTATTTCTCACAATTTGAGCTTTGACCATTCTTTTTATTAATTAACAGCGAAAATATGAGCAAAATTTAGCAAATAAATCAATAATAAATATATGATATTACAAAATATCCTGCCAGCCGTCTTGTGTGTGCTGGCACTTATTTGTTGCATTATAGAAGCTACACTTACAGAAAAATTGCAAAATTCCGGCGCTGATTTTACTACCTTAATTCAGTCTAATAATAGAAGCAGCACAAACGAGATTTTTAAAATTATTTCTACCTACTCTATGTATATTTTACTTATTTCTGGAATGTTTTGTTATACATCTATTGACCATAAAATAGGCACGTTTGCAATTATTTCTGAAGTGCTGGCTTTGTGAATGAGCGATATTATGAAAATGCATTATTCGCATCCGAGGCCTTTTTGGTGAAACTCTGACGTCGAAGGGATTATTTGTGGAAGAGGCTGGGGAGCTCCTTCAGGACACGCACTTATGGTTGCAGCTGTTGTAGGATATTTTGCTGGAGAATTTGTGAAAAATAATAAAGAAAAAGCGCTTGCTGTTTCAATTGGAGCTATTATTATAGTTTTGGTAGATTTTGATAGAGTTTATGTCGGAGTTCATTTCTATTTTCAAGTCATTCATGGGAATATTATGGGATTTTGTATTGCGTTTTTATTATTAAATGACAAAATTAGAGGATATATCAAAAGAAGTTTTGGAGATAAAAAATTTGTTTTGATAGTAAATTTTGTATTTGGGATTTTATGGATGTGGGGAATATTATTATGATATGTTGCATTGATCGGGAAATTAATTTTTATATGGCCAAGCAAAAATCAACTTAAAAAATAATTTTAATAGAAATTAGCATTTTATAGAATATATTTGTATAGAGATCCTGATTGGGATAAAGATTGAAGCAATAACTTTTCATCTGATTGCAGCGGAGATTTGACCAAAACTGATTCTATGAGAGAAGCCTGCAGAGAGTCTACTTTTATACTGTTTTTAGCTGGATTTTGGGTAGGAAAACATTTTTTGACCCAAATTCCTGCTTCCTATACATGAAAGACCTTCATTTATGGGACTTTGTTTTTTATCCCAGCTTTGATAATAGATCAATGCTTACTCTCCTCCTTTAAATTAGAGAAAAATATCTTATACCATTAGCATTTTCAGTTTAATTTTCAGATCGGTATTTATCTTTAGGTACTGTTCCAAAGTGATCTAAAAAATTAAAATGAGCCCCCATTAAATTGATAGGATTTTAGTCCAATTTAAAGTGGTAAGTTAGAATACCTTACAAAAACATATGGAGATTTCCTTACAACCTTTATATGTTTTAGTATAATTCGTTTTATTAGTGGGTTTGTCATTAGTTTTGTCATTCCGCTCATAGTATTCAAGATAATCAACTGAAAAAAGATTGACTATGAGAGAACTTTGAATAATCCAAATAATTTTTCTGAGCGCTATGTGTAAGAGTTTAGCTGAATTAAATCTAAAATATTAAACTTTTAAACAATATATAAAGGATTGGTATATATAAATGATTCATTTATTAGGATTAATTTAGTGAACATTTTTATAGAGCGCGGAAAATATGGATTATTTTGAGTCTAAATGTACTTATAATAATATATCTGAAGGTTTTATGTTTTATTAAATGCAAAAATGCATTGGCAAATTCACCGTTATTATTTGGCATACCAGATTGATTTTTTAATTTTTCTTATATATGTAATCACTAGGGGATATATGGGAGGTGGAGAGAGTGCTTCATATCATTTTTCACACATCTGATATATTATAATATAATTTCTTGAGGGATTATAAATAAAGACTTTAAAATGCATATCCAAAATCCATTCGCAATTTTTATTTTCCAATAAATCCTTTACTTAATCCAACTTAACTTAACTTAACTTATTAACCATGACGTTTAACGTCTCCTACGGGGTTGCTCTTCCAGGACTACCACCACGCTTTCGTCGCTCGGGGCCCACTAGTTGCTGGGACAGCTAGCTTTGATCTCCAACGTGCGCCTCCTGCGCGATGTTCCGGCTTCGACGGCTCATGAATGAGCTACTTTCTCTGTGCGAAGGTTGCCTGCTAGGAAATTCCAAAAAATGGAATTTCTGGCCGACTTTCGGCAAAAAAGGAAAAACTTGTAGCCCGGGGCGAAACTCCCGGTTTCTCGCTAGAGACTTGCCCGAATGGCCTAGGAATTACCTGTAGGCACTGCTGGGCTTCTCCTTTCCAACTCCAAGCCTCCTTTTCCTTCGAGGTAAAATCCTAACCTGAGAACGGACTAGGATCAGGCTCTGTACACTGCCAGAATTGCTTACCTGATATTGCTGTCCATCTCTAGCTAGGCAAAACCTTGCCGGATATAATTAAATAGGGCTCGAGACTGTCTGGCCGAAAGGCCAGACTCAAGTTGAGACGCCATATTTAATTATCCCTTTACTTAATCCAATTTTTTTTTTTAAGTACATCTATTTATAGCCTTTCTCTACCAATAAATAGAAGTCAATAGCAATTTAATTCCATAAGGCAAATGCCTGCAGAAACTAAAATCTGATGATATATTTTTTTACTATTCCATATTTGATATTCATTGCTTAATATTGAAAATGTGGCACCCGACGTTTTGTTTTTCTCACATAATCGATTAGCAGATAAATCGACTGTTTATAAAACATAAAAAATTTTACAGATAATATATAATAAATTTTAAATAAAAATTCGATTTAGAATTTCTTAAAAATTGGTAGTGACATAGTTGTTATTCAAAAAACTCGTTAGAAATGTACTCTTTATTGCAATCAGGACACTTTGGACGTCTGGCTGTGACCAGCCATTGTTCTATGCAATTCATATGAAACATATGCTTGCATTTTGTAATTCTCACACTATCATTCCTTTTAAAATCCATAAGGCAAATTGCACAAGTAGGCTCTCCTACAAACTGAACATTTTCTGTATATATAAATAATGAAGCTTCTTGATGTAATTGCCGCTTCGTTATGTGATGATCTCCGTCATTGTCTGGAATTATATGCCTTCGTATATTGTTAATTCAATCCCAAAAATTGATTTTAGTTGATAGATAGCAGCAAACAGCTCTAAATAAATAAACTCTATATTGAAAAATTCAGTATTTATTATAAATAATTCAGATTAATTTCTGCATGAAATTAAAATTATTGTAAATTAAGAAAGCGATATATATATGAATTTAATATGCTGTACACACTTAATTAATTAAAGGGGACCCTTCCGCTACTGCATGGACTTCCGACCATTCTTCAGGGTTCCCCAGTCCACCAATTACTCATGAACCACCTGGCTTCACCCTCAATGGCTCCTTGGCTTCAGGCGTTCAGATTTCGATGGCTGTCCTCCCATCTCCTGAGTATTGACATGGGTTCCTGCGCAAAAATTTCAATTGTACTTAGTTAGATTATAGAAAAACTCCATGTCGGGATCTAAAGATAATTATTCCCTCCATAAGGCTCCATTTGCCTGCTTCACCCGACAATCGTCTCAAGGCCTTCAAAGTCTTGCTCCTGCCAGACATGGGCCTGTGCAAGTCCCTTGTAATCAGAAGTTTTGGATCATCATGCCATACTCCAGCAATGCTATCCACCATTGAAATTCTAATGGTTGAATATTCTAGTCGACTTTCTGTTAAGATGGAAGCCTGTAGCCAAGGCATAACTCCTGATTTCACGCTAGGGAATAGTTTCTATTGGCCAAGAGAATGCCATTGACACTGCTTGAAACCCCTTTCCAACTTCCGGACCCATCTCTCTCTGAGTTAAAAACTTTGCATTGTAGCCTGCGGTCGTCCAACCAAGAAAATCCTAGTAGGATGCACATATCGAACGCCAGTCCTTCTTCAAGTCCCCAGCACCCTTCCGAATATCGATTTGCAGGGGGTTGATTCACCAAGCCAATTTAATGTATGTGCCCAAAAAATGGAATTTCTGGTAGGCTGTCAGCAAAAAGGTCGAACTCAGAGCTTAGGGCGTGACTCCTGATTTCACACTATAGAGTTTTCCCTATAGCCTTTCCAGATATAATTAAATATAGCGCTTTCCCGAGGATGGCGTGGAATGGCGCCATCCTCGGGAAAGCCAGGAAGCATCCACACGGGAACTGGGAGTTCCACGTGTGGATGCCATTTTGACATGTGAAAGTTTGGATCCCACATGTCAAAAATGGCATCCACACGTGGAACTCCCAGTTCCCGTGTGGATGCTTAGTTGACTTTCCCGAGGATGGCGCCATTCCGCGCCATCCTCGGGAAAGCGCTATATATGCTTGAGGCGTGACTGAGATGCCATATTTAATTATATGAATTTAATATATTACAAAATTGTTATAACTCCAACTGTGCTGCACGAAATAATGATGACGTCAAGATAGCTGAAGTCTTTGCTAGAAGAATCACAACTTCCATTGTCGAAATCACATTCATCTATATCACATTCATCATCGCACTTTTTATTGTGGAGCTGTTCATAAGTACAAGGACAACCAGATAAAACTGATTGCTGAAAAGATATGTGGGGTAAGACTAATAGGAAAATAAAATTTAACACCATTTTATATTGAGCTCAGATCCACATTTATTTAAGGAAATCTATGTTGAATTTTAAAAAATTTTTACTCTTTATTAAATATCAAATGCTGATTTTTAAACAATGGCAGGGTGAGAATTTCAAAAAAATTATTATTTGCGCTATTTAAGATGGAGAAAATTTCATATTTTGGACATCTTGAAATTTATAAGGCAACTCTAACCTCAAAAGGGTATGAATTATTCGTAATCCAATTTTCATGCGAATATTTGTAGGAAGCTCATAAAAGACTAAGATTGAGGTTAAAGGGCTAAAAGTCTTTCAGGTTTGATGCCTCTGTACGCTTTCGACAGCCGACATTTGCTTGCCGGGTGCCCATCAGTTACATGTAGAGTGTCTATCTTCTCTCGGCATGGGCTTATGCAGTCTATTCTGAGTCTCAGCAGGTTTGGAATATTCCAGTACTTCACGCAATTAGGGTGTTTTGGAGAGATGACACCAAGGAAAAAAGAACTATGGTCACCCGAAACCGGGAGTAAAAGACCTGTAGTCAAAATCCATTTGGATAATCAATACTTTGGACTTTAATGGCAACTCATAAAAGGATAAATTAGTTTTATGGAATAAGAATTATTCATTTTAAACACAAAATTTTATGTATATGAGCATCTTAATGAAAAAGTTACTTTCTGATGATTATAAGCTTTCATATGCGCATCCGAAAAATTAACTAGCATATAATTATTTATAGTTCAAATCTTTGTTTGAATTCTTATAGGAAAAGCCATAAAGAAAAATAGTTATTTTCAAAACAAAATTGGCAAATATAAATAGATCTCAGATTTACCAAATTTAACTTTAGTTTGTTTGCAAAAATGCTTTTTATAAGCCATTTTCCCTTTTGAGCTACATCTTTAAAGAATCTAAAGGGTCTGCACGATAATTGAAAAATAAAAAATTGAAAGCATTTGAGGCTTATTTCTAATGTTTTAAAGATTATCATTAAAACTATGCTGATTTTATTCTTTCATTACTATATCTATAATTATTATACCGATCAATTTACTGAAAAAACTCATGAAAAACATAAATTTTGTTGCAATCAGGACATTTTGGATGATTCGTAGAAAGCAGCCATTCCTCTATGCATTTTGAATGAAAAATATGCATACACTTGGAGATGATAAATTTTTTTAAAAAAATAGTAAAAATATCAAATATTTTTTCTTATTATATACACTTGGTTATCCTAACCACGTCACCATTTTTGAAATCAGTAAGGCAGATAGTGCAAACTGGCTCCCCAGAGTACTTTGTATCTTCTGAAAAATTCATAGGTGGAACCTCTTCAGTTATTTGTTCCTTTGTTACGTGATTTTCTGAAGGGTTGGTAGGTCCTAAGCTTCTTAGATTGCTGAATAATTTTAGCCTTACTGAAACAAAGCATAAAAATAAGCTAAATAAAATTTACAATGTTGCAATAAATCCAACAGCAGCACCAAGAATCACCATCATTTGGACATATTCAAAGCCTCCATTAGACGAGCACTCATCATTATCTCAATTGCAGTCACTGGTATTACATTCTTGATCACATTTTTTATTATGCAACTGTTCTGTTGAGCAAGGACAGTTGGAATATGAGTATTGGGAAATTGAAATTGGCAGTAAAGCCAGCATTATGATAAGAGAATTAGCCATTTTATTTATTAAAAGATTTTTTATAATCATAACTATTGCTCTATCGATACGATATAGTTTAAAATGCAAGCACTTTAATTAGTCCAAAAGAGCTTTTTATTTTCAAGTATTTAATCCAGCAAAGCATGCAAATGCCAGGATTTTCCAAAATATTATTATTGGAAAAAGAAGCTCATTTAAATAATTTTTAAAAAACTTTTACATTTGAATTTTCTTATAGCTAGCATGACAAGAGACCGATAGCAATAAAATCATAAATAATTATGGTATACGTCATTAGAAAAAAAGGTCAGAGAAATGAATTTATGCAAGATTAGAAATAATATTACAAAATTAATTTTTATTGATATTTTATATTGAATCTGATTAAGCAGTTTTTCTATCACAAGAGATTTTAATTAAATCCTATAAGAAAAAGCAAAGGCTAATTTTCCTAGCAATTTACTTAAGATGGCTCTGCATCATGTATTTTTGACTACTTAAATACAATAAACAAACTGCTCCTAATAATTATACTAAATTTAAATTCAAAATTTGATTTCTACCTTTGTCTTATTTTTTTATTGATAAAAACTGCTTTGAAGCGTGCACTCTTTGTTGCAATCAGGACATTTAGGATTTGGAGCTGCCAGCATTCATTTTTCTATGCACTCATTATGAAAAAGATGCAAACATTTTGTGATTCTAATAGGATCTCCTCTTTGAAATTCCATAAGACAAATTGCGCAGATTGGCTGTCCTAAGTATTTTGTTTTCTCTGAAAAAATTGCGAAAACGGCTTCATTTGCTGCATTTTGTTGTGTAAAAGTTGTGTCGTTTATATTAACAGGATTTATAGTAGCTCCACGTAAATTTTCAAATAATCTTAATCTTGAAGTAATAAAACATGCACAAAATCTAAATAGTAATTACATAAAAATTAATAGGCCACCGATGATAGCGATAATTATAATAGCTTCCAACATTTCTGAACTGCCTTCGGAGTCACAGTCACCATAGTCTCAATTACAAGCTCTTATATTGCATTCTGAATTACAGTATTTGTTATTTAATAATGTGTCTGAGCAAGGACAATTAAAATGATCTCGCTGTGCTGAAAAATAGGGGAATAGGACTAAATCTTTGTTTTGTGAGCGAACCCTATTTTTTGGGTAAAAAAAAAACCCTCAGTGAGCAATTAAATATAAGACAGCTTTAATTTTAAAAAAAAATTAAAAATTATTTTGAATATGAATTTTGAAAAAAACTAGCAAAAATTTTTGTTCTCTCACTTGGAGTAAGAGAAAAATTAATTTATGTCCCATTTATTTTCTTGAAAGTTGAAAATATTTAGTGCAAATTTATAAAAAATTGTAAATGTCAGAATTGATAAGGAAATCTTGATAACTTATTTTAAAAAATTTATAAGCTAACATATATGATGTTCTATAGTATAAAATGAACTTATTAATACAAAAAATGAATTTTTAATCGATATTAGAGAAAAAGTATAATTAATATTGCCATTTTGAACTGTCGTATAAAATCAAAATGAATACTTAAAAAGTTATAAAATTCCTAATTAGGAAGAAAGATTAATTATTAAATTTCCTGCTTACAGCAAGGACATCATTTCTTTTCTGATCATTTAAGCCACTGATCAATACACTCTGCGTGAAACTCATGCGAACAGCTGGTAATTAATTTAATATCTCCTTTTTGGAGTACTTCTAAACAGATTGCGCAAATTGCATTGCAATCGCGCGTTTCATCTTCAGTTTGAACTGAAAATGATATTAATGCCTTTGTTGCAAATTTTGCAACAAACTCATAGTTTTCTAGAATTTCTGGAGAAACCTTTGAGATCCGTCTTTTATAGCGCTTCATTAAATAAATGAAAGCTCTAAATTAATTTTACACAGCCGCTATAAGGAAAAATAAAAACGTTGTCATTATTATGACATAGGTAATAATTGAAGAGGAGGAGTGAGACGAATTGCAATCACCATTGTCTCATTCACATTCATGAGTATTGCATTTTTTATCACATATTCCATTACCCAATTGATAGCTTGAGCAAGGACAAGTTGATGATTGTCCAGATTGCATAATTAAATATGGATGATGTCAGATTATTTTTCAGTAAAACATGACAGCATTTATTTAATATAATATAGATAAAATTTATAATTAAAAGATAAAGGATTAAATCAATTAAAAGATTATTATTTTATATATGATGGAAAGCAACCTATATTTCATTTTTATTAAGAGCTTGTTTCAAATTTACAATATCTCATTTGATATTTCAAAGAAATGCATTATTTTATATTAATAAACTCGATTAAAATTAAATAATTTGTTTTAGTGTAAACTTTTCTCATGCAGCGGGGCTTGCATGCTTTTTTTTATTTTTATCTATTAAGAAATGCCAACTTCATGATGCTCATGAAGATATTTTGTTATTATAATATTTTCATCCTTTTGTAGCTCTATCAGGTAGATAACGCAATATAAGAATGCTATCACAAGACAAGTTTTTTGCGTATCCTGGAAAAGAAACAAGCTTTTAGATGCTTGATTTTATATAAATTCGTCAACTTCTTGAGTTATTGAAGGTTGAGTGTCTGTGAGAATTGCTTTTTCTTTTTAGAAAACATGTTACAATTCATTCACAAAGTCCCCTTCCATCATCCCTGGGGAGTATTTCTCCTCTCAGGAGCCCTTTAACTGGATTGATCGCCTTTCTTGTCTAATCTACTTACCATTTTCTAGACATCTATAAAATATTCAGCCACTATCACGATTTGGGGGTAATACATCCTTCTCTATTTCCGGCAAAACTGTCCTGAGCGCTGCTGGCATAAGAATTCATGATTAATTGCCAATTAATTATATCAAGAGCATCATTTTGCAGAAATAAACAAATTGACACATGATTAGAGAAATTCTAGAGATTTGCCTTTTTTCATTAAATTAATTTTGTGCAAATGCTATAAAGAAAAGCAAACTGTTTAATCATTATTACTCATGTAATAATTGTAGAGAAAGAGTGAGAAAAATTGTGATCGCCATTGTCACATTTAAATTCAAAATTATTGCATATTTTATTGCATGTTACGTTACCAAATTGATGGTCAAACAAGGACAAGTTGATGATTGTTTAGATTGCATAATTAAATATGAATATTTTTAGATTATTTTTCTGTAAACATATTAGCTTTTATTTAATATAATAGATAAAATTTATTAGTAAGAGTTTTTTGCAAAGCTACTCCATCTTGATGTGAAATTTAGAATTAAATGTATTAATTTAGATTTAATAAGCTAAATTAAAATATAATAATTGTTTTTTGCTTAAACTTTTTTCCTACAGCAAGGGCATATTTTATTTTTGGATGAATTTATCCATTGATTCATGCATTCTTCATGGTATTCATGAAGACATTTTGTTATTATAATATTTTCATCCTTTTGTAGTTCTGCTAAACAGATAGCGCAAATAAGAACGCTTTCACTAGACAAGTTTCCTGTGTATGCTGGAAAAGAAGCAAGCTTTTCGAAGCTTAACTTTGATATAAAATCGTCACCTTCTTGAGCTATTGAAATTTCGTGTCTGTGAGAATTGCTTTTTCTTTTTAGAAAGCATCTTACAATGCATATAAAAATCCTATGTTGACGTTTACGCTAAGATCAAGATAAATGTTGGCACCAGAACGATAATGAGTATCATTGTGATGTCTGCAGGATCTTTGGACTCATTACAATCACCTTTATCTCAATTGCACGCTAAAACATTGCAGTATGCTTCACAGTTTCCATTTCCCAGCAAATGGTCTGTACAGGGACAACCTGAATTCATTCTCACTAATAACTTAAATATGAAGTTATATTGGATGTTTTTTAAAATTTTTTCCACTTACCGAAATAAAATGAAGATGTAAATAATTTATTATCCAAATAAAATAAAGAAAATCAATTATTCCAAATTTATATGCATCTTAATTTTCAGTCTTTTGCGACCAATAAATTCCTATTCAAATAAATTTATTTCACTTTTTAACTATAATTTCTGCTCTTATTAGATTTTCAAGCAATAAGAAGAATTTTTATTTTTATTTATTATTCATTGTAATTTTTATTTAATAGTTCAATAAATTATATTAAATATAAATTCATGCAATTTCATGCAAAATTATAATCCATTTTCATCATGATTTTCACTTCTCAGGTTAATTTTCTAAATAAAAATATAATGGCAGCATATTCTTATTTGTTCAAATACATTATCATAGGCGATTCAGGTGTAGGCAAATCCTGCTTCATGCTGCAATTCACAGACAGACGATTTAAAAATGACCATGATCTCACAATTGGTGTAGAATTCGGCTCAAGGACAATTAAAATTAATGACAAAGCGATCAAGCTACAAATGTGGGACACAGTAATGCTAACATAGGCTGGCCAAGAAAATTTCAGAAGCATCACTCGGTCTTACTATCGCGGTGCAGTTGCTGCCTTATTACTCTATGACGTAACCAATAGAGACAGCTTCACAAATATTGAAAGATGACTTGCAGAGGCCAAAACCAACGCAAATCATGATATCACTGTAATTCTTGTAGGCAATAAAGTGGATTTAGAAAGCAACAGAGCAATCACTGCAGAAGAAGGAGAAAAATTCGCAAGCGAGCATGGGATTTTATTTATTGAAGCCAGCGCAAAGGAAGCTTTTAATGTTGATGAAGCTTTTGTTAATTCAGCAAAAGCTGTGCTGGTGAAATTGGAAAACGGAGAATATAACTTGTCAACAGAGCACTGCGGGATAAAAGTAGGAAATGCAGCATTGAAAGATACTTTAGCTAGAAAGAGTGGTAATGTACAAAATAAAAAGTGTGAGTGCTAATAAAAACGATTTAATAGATGATTCTTGCTATTTTGATATTAATTATGATAAATTGAATTTGATAAGTGCAGAAATTTGGTTGATTAAAAGAGAAAAGAAAGGAAATTAGTGAAAAATGATAAAAAATATAAAAAATCAACTAAATTCAGGCTTTCTTTAAGTTTTACGATTTGCAGATAATCAATAATGATATAAAATTCCTAAATTTTTTGGAGTATTTAATATTTTCAGACATTTTCTTTTTGAAAATCGTAAAAGTCAAGATGCTCGTCACCTTCTGTAATTGGCAACACTTCAAGCCTTTGAAAATCTTGAAATGATTCCGAAAACTTCTATTAAAGCAATATAATTTCTGGTGAATAATAAATGGAGCCTGTCTATAGCGACGAAGAGACAGATGATCTCAAATCTAAAGCTTCTAATCCCATGGCAAGGCCAGCCAATGAATTTCAGCTCATCAAATTCAAAGAACTTATTCTAATTAGGGCAAATCTCGTTATAAAACAAAAAATTTATATTAACTGGCTTTGCCAGCACCAATATCATATTTTATATAAAAAAGTATATTACACTTTATAAAGAAAAACTCAACGAAATCCAAAAAATCAAATCAGAAGAACCTTGTCATCCTAGAGCTATGGCAACTGAATACCAGGGCTTTGAAAAAGCAATAGGCATCTTGGAAATGGTGAATACAAGCAACAGCGATTTAAACAAAGTCTATACAGTCTTCACTTACTTAATCTCAGAAATCAGGCTTGCAAGGGAATATATTGACACAAATGTAATTCCTGCTTTAAACTTCTACGGAGAAGGCACTCCACAAGACCAAGAGCTTGAAGAAGGTGACGCTGAGCTCATGATTGGAAAAATTATAGGGTTTTTAGGGGAAACCTTTGAGAATTTGTCATATCTGAACAGTTTGGTTATTAACATGGTGCATCAGCTGCATTGCCTTTTTAATAAAAAACAAGCTAAAAGTCATGATATGTATACAAAGCTATTTAAGTATGTATCCTATATAAAATAGCACATTTTTAGGCTATAGTATATAAAGCTACTAATTTTTCTAAATTAAAGTGCTTGCTTTTAAAGAAAAATAAATGGTAATATTTATAAATATATACACCCTATGTGTGCTTTTGACGCTTTAGGCATGATTTTAGGAGCTTTAGCTTCTATTGATGCTGTGGTCGCTGATAATGAAAATTTAACTAACCATTGGGAACTTTATAAAAGGATGATGCAATTTGTGAAATCAGCTCCTTCGAAATACAATATTAATGAAAGGCAAGAAAAACAGCTGAGAAAATGCTGCTTGCAGCTGGATAGAACCATTCTTGGAGCAAGCTGCTTACAAGTCTGCTTAACCCAAAAAGCATTTGAGCCTGGCATTTCAAGCAATAAAGAGCTGCAAGCTGAATTCCAGCAATACTTCAGAATAAAACTTGATAAAATCTACAATACCATCGATACTCAATTCGAGTGGCAAGAATCTAAACAGGTCGTTGACGTCCTATGTCTCTATTTCTTATACAGAAGACTCTACCCTAAAGATTTTGATAAAAAATTATTCAAAGCTTTTTGGAGCCTCCAAAAAAAGGCTCCAGCAGTCAGTATCACTGGACTTGTCCTAATCTATCCAAGTGAACTATTAATGAAGCACTCTCCACCTCCAAAAAGTATAACCCTAGAGCCTAAAGATCCAGACGCTTATATTTCTCAATTTATTCAAAAATCTGATGAGCAGCTTAGCAATTATGTCCAGTTTTGGCATACAAAATTTTCCTTATGGTCTTCTCGTATGCAGAGCTTTTTGAATACTTCGTCATCAATATCAGGGTCCCAAGAACAATTACAGTCCTCACAAGGAAAATTATTATTACAAGGGCTAATATTAGCTTATCAGATTCAAAATTACGTCCAAACTAATACAGCGCTGCATGAACACCATGGAGTTCCTTTTTCAGCTAATTTTATTCCATTAATAATGGAAGCCATAGAGCTTATAAAAGCCATTTCATCAACTTTAGAAAGAAAACAAGAAATTATTGCCTTGAACCTTGGAGGGATTATGAAACTTATTATTGATGAAGGGATAAGACCATTTGATACCATTAGAGAAAAAAATTATGGGAAAAAAGGGGAAACGGCGACGGATTTAATGAATGTTTATAGATTGGTCCAAGATTTGGCCAAAGGGTGCATGAATGCTACAAGAATTGATATTTTGAGGTTTTCTAATGAGATTTTAGATATGAAAAGTGAGCTTAGAGATAATGATAGGAGCATTGTAAATGACTGCATTTGGAGACTTGGGATTTTAGCTGATTATCAAGATAACTTGAAACGGTCGACGGACTGTTCATTTGTGTATTGGATTCAGGAATTAAATACCCATTTCTTAAGCTTTATATATGCAGAGCCTGCAAATGTACATAGGTTGAAGTACTTGTACATGGCTTTAGAAGACTCTGCTTATCAGCTGCTAGCAAGCAAACATATGGAAGATCCGAAGTCTCTAAAGGACAATTATTTGAAGGATAGAGAAGACGAGCTGGTGAATCAGGTGATTATGCCACTAGCAAGGGCTATTGAGAGTGATTTACGTTTGCAGATCCATTCATTATATATAAGTGGGATTGAGAAACAAAATCCTCTAGAATCAAGCAATCTTTCATGGTTCCTTGAAAGCCAGCCTTTGCAATTTTGTGAAAAAATCATTGATATTAAGAAAAGAATTGAAGGGTACCTTGATGAAACTTTCTACAACATGACTGCATTAAACCTTAACGACTGAAGAGTTTACGAAGAAATGAGATCTCTTGCTAACTCCCCCCCCCCCTCCGTGAGCGAACAAAAAAAAATTTTGTTCGCTCACGGAGGGGGGTTAATTTTTTTTTTTTTAAAAAAAATTTATATATAAATTTTATAAAAAATATTTTTTTCGAAATTTAAAAAAATCCTAATTTGCAAAAATTGGGAAGCAAATATTAATTTAATTTGCAAAATTTATGTTTTAAAACGCAATTCGTTTAAAATTAAACAGAATTAGCTCTAGATTTCATTATACTAATTATCACTTATATATCAAAATTTTTTTTCCATTAAAATTTTTTTCTATTAAAAAAATTTTTGTTCACTCACGGAGGGTGGGTTTTTGGTCAAAAAATGGCGATTTTTCTAATGGTTTTGTTCGCTCACGGAGGGGGGGGGGGGGAGTAAGCAAAAGTACAATATGGTCTTAAGCGAGGTCCATTTACCAAGCAAACATCTAGACCAAGGTATGGATTTATTGGAAATCACTAGAAAGCTCCCAAGCTTTGTGAACGGTTTTAAATACAACCTTCACAACCAATTTTTCATGGAAGCTACATCAGGAGATGATAAGCATGTAAGATGTGTGTCTTTTATGCATATAACAAATTCATTAAAAACTCATGGGCTTGGCTTAATTAACAGCACAATAAACACCACTTACAAGCTCCTCGCTAAAAAATTCCAAGTTTTCTCACAATTTCTATTTGATGACCACATTTTTTCACAATTAGTCAAAGATAAAAAATTCTTTGAAGCAAACCGAGACCAATTGAACCAATTGATGCCATATGATAGACCAGAAACTTTCTTAAAAGAAATCAAAAGACTTGGGACTTTTGAAGGTGGAGCTACTTATATTGATAAATTTAGACAGCTAATTACCCAGATTGGAAATACACTTGGGCTGATTCGTATGATAAAAACTGCAGGCTTAAATTTGACAGCCACTAAAACTCAATTTATTCCAAATCGATTTCTGATTTTTTAAAAAATTATTATTAATATTAATTTTTATTTTTTTTTAATTTAAAACTCCAAATACCCAAGAAATTCCTGAATTCACAGAGCTGGCAAAAGAATATTCTCCATCCACTGATATCTCTACCAAGGTTCTAGATAGCATCATTGCTTCATTAACCAAAAATTTCACTGAAGATACCGAATATTTCAGCATTCTCGTCAAAACTTTCCAAGGTGTCCTAAATAACAGTGAAGCCAAGCATCTAAAATATTTTTACCTAATAATTCCAGCCCTCACAATTAGCTTTATAGAAAATATTTTAGTAGCTAAAGACAAGCTTACGAAGAAAAAAGCAGACGACATGTACTTTACTGTAAATTTTATATAGGATGATGGCTTTGCTGTAGGCTTAGCTTATATTTTAAGAATTTTGGAACAAGAAAACGACTTTGACTCTTTACATTGGTTTGAAAGCGTTGAACAAAAGTTTGAACAGGAAGAAGAAAGGCTAAATAATATCAAAAACCAAGAAGAAGTCATGAAAATGCAACAAATTTCTCTCAGAAAAATCATAGTGTTTAGGCAGGAGTTCGAGCTATTGAAGTATTGCTTCTTAGGTGCAAGAATATTCTTTAGTCAAGCCTAAATTAATTATTTTATTCAGTCTTAGAAATATTTTCGCAGTCAGATATGACTTCTTTGACAAAAGCAGTAAAATAATTGTAAAGTAAATGTAATGGAATCAGCCCACCTAGCTGGCATTTTATGCTAATTTATAGGAATAGTCTCTAATTTAATTTATAATAAGATTAATACGTATTCTTTATGCCCAATGATAATATATAGCTTAGTTTTGTCCCTCCATTATCTGAAGGTCTCAAAATCATGCCAGAAACAAAAGCTCTTCCTAATGGAAATTTTCTTTTAACCTCCCCAGTTTCTTCTACATCAATGCTTTTTATCACAATCATTGATTCCCCTTGTCCAGGAAAATCATCCATATATGATCTTCTTACTATAAACTCTCGTTCCACAATTCCTGCATACGGCATAAGTCTATATGAATAAAGCTCAAAATGAGGCTTGGATTCAATTAATTTGATTTTCCTGAAAGCTCCTTTATTTCTGCTTGAGATTGCAGGAGTGATGAATTTATTGTAAAGTTCTTTTGGGGGGATTGACAGCATCGCATAAGTTCTCATCAATAAAAGTCCTTTATCAGACAATGCTTTGCAATAAATAGCAATTAAAGAGTCTTCAAAAAGCGTCATCCATTCTCTTGGATTTGGCGAAGACTCTTCTATATGTAAAACTTCGTCAAAAATTTCATTAAAAGGATGATCTAGCTTCGACCTTTCTGTGACATAGGATTCATTGATTTCTGAAGGTGCTTGGATACTGGACGGAAAAGAAGTCCTTGAAAAAAATATAGCGAGATTAGGATTATTTGCAGAAAAATTCGGAGGGATATCACTGATTAAGAGTCCATGGTAATTTTTACTGTAAATTTCTTTTTCCAGTAGTAAACGGATAGAATTGCTTGTGGAGTAGTGAGACTCAGATGCTGCTAAAAGGTTGAAAACGAGTTCTCTACGCTTTTGATATGATTTTTTGGCCAACTCGCCGCTAGACGCACATCTTCTGAAGCAAAGCTCTTTTGATTTATTTTTGCTGTTTTCTCTGAAAAACTGTAGCTCTGAGATGCCTTTTGCAGTCTGTTTACTCCCCCCTCCGTGAGTGAACAAAAAAAAATTTTTTTTAATCACGGAGGGTTTTTGTTTTTTTTTTAAAAATTTTATATATATAAATTTTATAGGCAATTTTTTTTTCGAAATTTAAAAAAATCCAAATTGGAAAGCAAATATTAATTTAATTTATAAAATTTATGTTTTAAAAAGCAATTTGTTTAAAATTAAACAAAATTAACTGAGATTTCATTATAATAATTATCGCTTATATATCAAAATTTTTTTCATAAAAAATGTTTCTATTAAAAAATCTTTGTTCACTCTCAGAGGATGGGTTTTTGGGCAAAAAATAGCGATTTTTCTAATGGTTTTGTTCACTCACGGAGGGGAGGAGTTAGACTTTTTTTGGCATTTATTAAAAAACCCCTTCTTTATATCGAAATCTAATAAGCTTGGAACAGCGACCTCATCAATTTCTAGCTGAATTAAATCTTTATCACATGGAAACTGCTCCAAAATTTCTTGTGTTTTCTTGTATTTCAGTATTTTTTCAACCGATTTCACGATTTCTGGCTCTTCCTGGTAGTTTTCTACACTTAAAATTCCTAATATTGGGATGAAAAATTTTCTGATTTTATTAGCAATGAATTCTTGGTTGTTTTCTTTGCGAATTATCTTATAGCATTCTGTGGCGAGGGCAATCAGGTGGATATGGCATCAATCTGTCTTAAGAATCGAGGCAAAACTATATAGAAGATTAAGTGGATTGTCTGGTAGAAAATTCAAGCTATTATTTATATGAAGCTACCATAAAGAGGTATATGAATACTACTCTTTGATTGTGGTTTCAAAACAAGGGTGATATAGCTCTAAAAGCAAAGCGGGCTTGATCTCTTCGATAGCGTTTTCTATCACTGTATAAAATGCTTCTGATCTTAGAAATTCTCCTTCGACCTGCAAGAAACTGTTAATTGATTCTAGTCTTTTTTTAAACTCAATTTCAGGCTCGTCTTCTTGGTAATTGCAATATCTTGAATTTAGAGGCTTTATTATATGCTTTGCAAATGATTTTTAAGCATCATGCTTTATATTCTATATAAATTTCATAGGTAATTTATTTTATATCGAGCTTAAAAATTCCATTTTCGAATAAACCTTTATAAATTTAATTATTTATTATTAATGCATAATAACTCCACCCATCTTTGATTGAACGATTGACTGTAAAAATTCCTGAAAATTGGGGAAATTAATCCCCATCCTTAATCGAACGATTTTCATATCATGCAAATTTTTAATATATAAAAATATATTAGTTATCGAAAGCTTGGGAAGATGTACCTAATGAAGTTGTTTTCAGAGACTTTGAGACGACAGAAAGCTACGGAATCAACCATCCGAAGTGATTTAGTCATCAGCCTAGGCTTAAAAACTTAATAATCTAAAAAATAGAGATTTTTTAAAATTTTTAAAAAAAAATTTAATATTTATACAGTTTAAAGGGGTGGCTAATAAATAAAAAATATTAAAAATCAGTATTTTTATGAAATTAATTCAATTTTTTGTGTAAAAATAATTATTAAATACTCTTAACCCTCTTATTTAAAAGTAAATAAAAAAAAAATAAAAACATATATTTTTTATTTTATATATAAAATTTTTTTAACCCTCATCCTTGATCGAACGATGGCAAGCCGTTCGATCAAGGATGGGGGGAGTAAATAATTTTTGAAAATAAGCCAGTCATTTTAAATTGAAATATTTAAAAATATGTTGTTTTCAATAGGAGCGCTTCTAAATGTTTTAAAAATTGCTACTTTTCCTGCTATTGCTTTTAGTTGGTTCGCTTTTAATATATCCTACCTTGTATATTACAATAGATTTCGCCAGCCATAACTCACAACTTGTGTCGTCCTGCAAAGGATTATGTGGGATTACTTCACGAAAAGTTATTGAACTTCGAGATCGCCAATGTTTGTGCATTAAAAATGATGGCCCAGATTAAATTTATTTTTATGCAAAGTAAGTATCTTCAAGTTTAAATGAAAATTAATATGATCTACAGCTCTTTTTCTAGCTTTTTATGAATCATCAATACTTTATAAAGCTTTATTTAATTCAGAATTTATCTTTTTCATTTAATTAAAAAATTATTAAATGAGACCTGATCTTTTCTTTTCATAAATGGTAATTTTTCCATTGGAATTATTTTTAAAAATTAATGATTTTTTTAGTAAACCTGAGGTGAATTTAGAGGCAGGGTTATATAATATGTAGAAATTCACAAATAAGCTAAATTTGAAAAGAAAGCTTATTGTTATATAGCATAGGTAAATTAATTCATTAACTTATTGACAAACCGAGATCCCTTCTTAGCTTCTTGAGAAAGCCATTTAATGGTTGCTCAAACTCGTTCCGCGAAAACCCTAGCGACACTAGTTTTGTGCTTTGTGAAAAGCTAGGGTTCATCTCTTTTATTAAATTCAACAACTGTGAAATCTTAGTCTTAAATCTATATCATTTAGATTTTACCATTCCAGAGAAGGACAGCAATGCTAGGCAAGCAATTCTGGTTGTGTACAGAGCCTAGCCCAAGTCTATCTCAGGGATGGCTTTTTCCTCATAGGAAAGGACACGGAGTTGGAATGGGGAAGCTCAGCAGAGTCCTTGGGACCAATCGGGGCAACTCCCTAGCGTGAAACCAGGCGTTTCTTTATGCCAAGAGTTGACAAGAAAATCTATTTTTTGGGTTTTTTGAGTGGACAACCCATGTTCAAGTGCAAGTAGCTGATTCATGAGCCATCAAAGTCGGTAACGTTGCCTGAAGGTGCTTGGTGCGTGGTGTGACCGTGCCGGGAGGTTGTGCATCTGTCCCTATATGTCGAAGGGTGGCGGTGGGCTCCGGGAACACCTACCCCGTAGGGGACATTAAACGTGATATTAAGATTAAGATTATCAACAACTGTGGATTCAAAACTGGCTCCTCCACCTCTTTCAGCTGATTTTCTATTTTCTCAATAACATCCTGAGTCAAATCTTCATAAAAAGTAAAAAAATAATGTACAATCAGCGCTAAAAAATCTTGTGTCGGCCTAACCAACAAATCTTCTGTAACTGGCCTCGGCAAATGTTTAAGTGACGTAATATCCATGCTTACTGTACAAGTCTCAGGAAAATGCTTTTTAGATCTCGACAAAAGTATAAACCCTCGCGAATTCCCTGACGCCGGATCTTTTCTTTCAAGTGCTTCATACATCAACGGAACAGGCAGTCAATAAGCTGGATACTTAAATCTCGCCACATCTAACAGCAGACACATATCAGTCCCTGAATGATATCCCCCTAAAGGACTATAATGCCCTTCCCCAGTCTGTTCCAACGCTTTTCTGCTTGAATTTACTGCAATCACAAATCCTGATCTCCTCGAAGCGCTTACAATGGCACTTCTAAAAGTGTCTAAACTTGCGAACCTAAAATGTACGTTTTCAGGGTGTAAGTTGCAGGAGCTTTTTATGTTGATTTTCATTTCTTTTTCTTTTTGAATTGCAGGGTAAAATCCCATTGCCCAGGTTTTGTTACATAAAGCAAGCTGGACGAATTCGTTAAGCTCGATACCGTCAGGGTCTCGTTGTCCACAGTGCAATAAGTCTTCTGAGTACCATCTTCATGGGTAATGCCAGGTCTTCCCAGGATCAATTCCTAGAGTATTTAAAACCATCACCAATGTGCTTAGTCCGCAATCTTCAGGTCTATCTTGTGTCAAAAACTGCTGGGAAAGCTCAAAATACGACTCCATGTTGCCTTCGTCTAAGGCTTCTTTGAAGATCTGTTTTCCTCGGTTAGAAGCAAATGCAATTAATTGATGAGGAAGTCGCCTTTTATAGAGAGACTGATTCATATTTGAATAATAGCAGATACTTATATAATGGAATTACAATTAGAATAATTAATTAGCTAATCGATTTAACAGAGTAGCCAAACTTCTCCATGTTCGTTTGGCTTACTTGGAATACAATTTTTACTGACCCTCCTGACTCCATTCTGGTGACTTCTCTTCCATCAGCCATACCTAAAGTAGATGGCGGGTCTATAAGTTCAGCTAGTTTCCCTTTGAGTGCTCCTATGAAATTGACTAAAATAGAGGAGGATTTAGGACGATACATGTAAAGAGTCCTTTCGTGGCGGCCTGGTTGTGTAGGGATATGGCCATTTCCATACCCTTTGATTACTTCTCGTCCTAAGAAATCCCCGCCTATGCATGTGATGATTAATTGAGGCCAGCCTTTAAGATTTGTACTGCGAAAGCCGAGGTTGAAAGGAAAATTTCATACAAGTCGTCGATTGCTGCCACGGGCTTTATAAGCTGTTTGCGAGCCGCCTGATTTTTGGCCATAGATGATTTGCCATTCTGGACCTGCAACAAAATCATATTTCATAAATAAGCTGTCAACTCCTTGAAAATCGGCGTATTCTATTTGGCCTGAAACGTTGATGTAGAAGTAGGAATCGTCTGGTAATATAAGTTTTGGAGATGGAGGGCGCTTATAGATATCAAATAGTTCTTGGCCTGGGATTTCTGGCTGCAAAATTGGATGCTGGGTTACATCTGGACCTTGAGGCTGAAAATAAGTAGAAGAGTCACCATACACGAAGTCATCTTTTTTAGGTAAAAATCGATTTGGCCTATTAGGGTCAGTTTGATCCATTTTGATTATAAATTTGCTTTCAATAATTCCTTTTAAATATCTTCCTAATTATTTTTAATTATATAATCTTTAAATTTATTGCGTAAGTTTGCAATGCAAAATCGCTTTTGATATTCTAATTTTTATATACAAATATTTTAAGAAAATAGCAATTTAAGCTGCTTTAAAATACCCAATTATCCATATCGAACTATTTAAAAATAGTAAATAATAAAATTTGAACCAGTCTTAAATATTTAAATAATAATTAATTTGGGTTCACATATAAAATAGCTTACTTCCCCCCTCCGTGAGTGAACAAAACCATTAGAAAAAATCGCTATTTTTTGCCCAAAAACCCACCCTCCGTGAGTGAGCAAAAATTTTTTTATAGAAAAATTTTTTTATGGAAAAGAATTTTGATATATAAATGATAATTAATATAATGAAATCTAGAGCTAATTCTGTTTAATTTTAAACGAATTGCTATTTAAAAACATAAATTTTATAAATTAAATTAATATTTGTGTTCCAATTTTTGTGAAATAGGATTTTTTTAAATTTCGATAAAAAAAATTTTTAAAAATTTATATATAAATTTTTTTAAAAAAAAAAATTAACCCCCTCCGTGAGTGAGCAAATTTTTTTGTTCACTCACGGAGGGGGGGAGTTAGTAAAAAATTATATGAAACGAGTGTGTATAAAACCTTACTGATTTATTGTAATCTTATATTTATATCTGATAAATAAACAAAACATTATAAGCCTCACATGATTTGTTCCATAAAACAGGTGAATTTAATAAACCAAAATGGAAGGCTATTTCGCTGTTGGCACTCAAGCCAAAACCTCCAAAAAGACTGTCTTTGCTGTCCTCGGTCTTCTAGCTGTTGTCGGAGTTGTTGCTACAATTGCAGTATCAAGCTCCTCAGTTTCTCCAGCTCTTGCTCAGTTTGCCTTTGAGGAGCAAGAATTCAGAGATTACATGGACAAATACCAGAAATCCTACGAGTCTGATGAAGAATATGGAATGAGATTCAAAATATTCCGTGACAACTCAGCTTACATCCGCATTTTCAACACCCTTGGAAATTCCTGGACTCTTGGTGTCAATCAATACGCTGACATGAGCTTCTCAGAATTCAAGGCTAACACCTCCTTTTAATATCAAGCAAAATTTTTTTGGGTTAAATTTATATATAATTAACAATTGATGTAATAAGATATCCAGCTATTTCTATTATATTTGACAGCTTCATTCTAAACATAATCTTATGAAAAAAATTAAATCTCCGAAAAACGAAAAAATTCTTTTAAAGATATCATCATAATTTTTTTTAAAAAAAAATGCACCCTTGCAAAAGTATCTGTTCTTAAAAGGGGGATAAATACCTCCCAACCAAATTCCAACCTAAAGAAGCAACCAACGTCGCCATGCTTGATGAAGTTTCAGTCCCATCCCAAGTTGACTGGACCACCAAAGGTGCAGTTACCGCTGTCAAGAACCAAGGAAACTGTGGAAGCTGCTGGGCTTTCTCCACAACTGGATCTGTAGAAGGTGCCTGGTTCCTCTCTGGACACACCCTTGTATCCCTCTCCGAACAAGAACTTGTTGATTGCTCATCTAACTCCATTTATGGAAATCAAGGTTGCAAAGGTGGACTTATGGACAATGCTTTCAAATACATCATTGCTCAAGGAATCACCTCAGAAGCAAACTATCCTTATCAACAAGTCCAAGGAGCCTGCAACAAGATCAAAGTTGCCCAAGTCAACGCTACCATTAGCAAGTACACCGATGTCGCCCCAGACAACGTTGCCCAATTACAAGCAGCAGTTGCTCAACAGCCAATATCAGTCGCAGTTGAAGCTAATCAAGATTCTTGGCAGCTCTATAAAGGAGGTATTGTTAGCAAGGATTGTGGAACAGCTTTAGACCACGGTGTTTTGGTTGTAGGTTACAACTTTACCAACTCCCCTCAATACTGGAAAGTCAAAAACTCTTGGGGTGCAGATTGGGGAGAACAAGGATACATCAGAATCGCAGTCAAGGCAGGAGCTGGTATCTGTGGTATCCAAATGCAACCATCATATCCAACAGTTTAAATTTAACGAATTTATTCCATTTAATCAGTATAATTTAGCTTAAAATGCTATTAAAGATAGAATGCCTCCAATTGCTGCTATAACAGCAGAGTTATCATCATTATCCGCAGGCTGGATAGAGTTCATATACTCTTCTTCTAGCTCCCAAAATGCACTTGTATATATACTTCTTACACATTGGTCTTTTAATTGGTAAAGAGGGTATATTGAAGTAGCTTAGTCCCAGTAAGTTTCCAGTTCTCATACTGGTGTGGAAAATCTTAATCTATTGAAGTGCGTACCAATTTGAAAAGCCAAAGCATAAATTTTTGTTTTAATGCAAATTCTGCTGTTTCTTTAAAAATCTGCTTATTAGCATCATCATTATCATTATTATTTTATGAATTAATAGTCAGCACAATGTCTTAATGTAAGATTATCATTTAGCAAAACATCTAAAATCACTATTGCTGATAGATAAAGCTGAACTAAATGAACTTACAAAGTGTCAAGAATTATTTTTTCGCTTAGATAATCGAGATCACAGATTATTTTGATTTTTATCTTTATCTTCTATAGGTGTACTAATTTAATGATTACTAATGATATTTCTATTCTTGGAATTGCTGAAACATGACTGAAAACTTCCTTATATATTCAAGGATTTATCTGAATTGGAAATAATGGGCCAATTGCTGGCAACAGAGGATCAGGCGGAACTGGGTTACTAATACATGAAACATTTGCAAATCTAATAACATCAATTGAAACTAACAATCATAGAATAACAGCAACATTAATTGAAGATTACTTAATAATAGTAGCTTATGCCCCAGTAGTAGCAAATCACCAAAGTAAGAAATCAATTGATGACTATATTGACTTTATCATAGAAGTTCAAGAAATTATTCAAAAGAATCAAAAGGATAGACGTCAAATAGTACTATTGGGTGATTTTAATGCACATCTAAAAGGATATTTATCTGAAATCGATGATCTAACAGGAGAGATATTTTCTAAATTTATAAAAGATTCTCATCTATACATTCTCAATGATATGCAAATATCAACTTTTAGAGGTCATAATACACACACAATTATTGATTACATTCTCTCAAACTCAACATCAGAAATTATTTATATAGAAGTCCCTCAATTAAATACTAACCATATTTTACTCCTATCACGCATTTCGATAATTATATCATTAAGAACTCAAAAAACAATTATTCCATGATATAAACTAGAAGGAGATGAACATGAAGGCTTTAAAAGTAGACTCTTTCTTAAATTCAAAGAAAAAGGTATTTTCATAACAAATAACCCTTCTCAAATCTATACCGAAATAAAGACTATCTTAGATGAAGAATCAATTATTCTAAAAACTAAATTACAGCCTGATCATTTTAAAACTCCAGAAATGAAAATTTTAACTCCCCCCCCCCTCCGTGAGCGAACAAAAAAATTTTGTTCACTCACGGAGGGGGGTAATTTTTTTTTTTTTTAAAAAAAATTTATATATAAATTTTATATAAAAAATATTTTTTTCGAAATTTAAAAAAAATCCTAATTTGCAAAAATTGGGAAGCAAATACTAATTTAATTTGCAAAATTTATGTTTTAAAACGCAATTTGTTTAAAATTTAAACAGAATTAGCTCTAGATTTCATTATACTAATTATCACTTATATAGCAAAATTTTTTTCTATTAAAATTTTTTCTATTAAAAATACTTTTGTTCACTCACGGAGGGTGGGTTTTTGGTGTCAAAAAATGGCGATTTTTCTAATGGTTTTGTTCGCTCACGGAGGGGGGGGGGGAGTAAGGAAAAGAAATAGCAAACTCAAAGAATGAATCAAATTTTGCTATTCTCAGAAAAATAATGAATTTATTGAAAGAATACGGAAAGTAAAGAAAATATGCATTGATCAGTTAAAAAGACTAGATAGATATGAAATAATAAGTGAAAATAGATTAAAACAATGCATAAATGATCCCTATGGAGCTTGAAACAAAATAAAAAGATTATTGAATAAAAAAAAACTGGTCTTACCAATGAATGCATTTGAGATTCAATCTTGAACAAAAGAATTTGAAGATCAATTTAGGAGTACGATATCTTTTATTCCACAAGCAGGTTGTCTAGAAGATGAACTTTGAAACTCAAAAAAGATTGAGAATATTATTAAATCTTTGCCTAACAGAAAAGCTCCTGGACCAGATAATATAACGAATGAAATAATAAAAAAAGGAGGAGATATAATGGTAGAAGCAATAACACATTTTTTAAATACTTGCAGAATTTATGGTATACCGGATGTTGCAAATGAAGCTAAGACTATTCTTATATATAAAGGTAAAGGAAATCATAAAGAACTGAAGAATCACAGACCTATAACATTAATGAACAGTTTTATGAAGATTCTTGACAAGGCTGAACTAAGAAAAATTGAAAAGAACGTTAAGATCTCAGATAGACAACATGGGTTTAGAAAAGGAAAATCATGCATAACACAAAGTTTCTTACTGAAAAATACCTTAGAATATCGAAAATATTACAATAAAGGGAAAAAGAGTGATTCATATATACTTTTTATAGATTTTTCGAAAGCATATGATTCTGTGGATAGAACTAAACTCATGGAAAAGATAAAAAGTAAGAGAGTCACAGATGATAGTTGAAAATCAATCTCCCAGATGATTAAAGGAGAAAAGACTACCTTAATAATCAACGGAAATGAAACATTTAAAATCGATATTACTAAAGGGGTTAGACAAGGAAGTGCGATTTCTCCATTACTATTTAATATCTATATCGATGATATTGAAAATGTAACAAAAGATATTAGCCTAGAATTAATTAAAAACGAGAATTTATACTCAAAAATAAATTTTCAATATGCAGATGATACAGCTTTTATTACAGGAAAATGTGAGGATCTACAGTCAATTCTTAATAATCTTAAAAAATGAACAGAAAAAAATGGTATGGATTTAAATATAGGACCTGAAAAAACGGCATTGATGACAATTATTAATAGAAACAGAAAAAATACCCTCCAAAAATTACCCAAACTACATTTTAAAAGAACTGAAATTCCAATAGTTGATAAATATAAATACTTAGGAATTGTTTTTAAAGGAAATTTAAAATCAACAGGTTTAGATCAATCACAATATGCTTATTTAAAAAATAAAGCAATAGGTACATGTAGTTCATTTATACCAGCAATTAGAAAAATGCTAAATATCCCAACTACAACATTAATTAACTGCTATAAAGCAATATTTCTTCCGAGATGCACATATGGATTGGAAATTTGCTCAAGAAAAAGAAGTAAAACTGCAATTATTTTTATCCAAAGAATGTTCAATAAAATTATTAGAGAATGTTGCCACGTATACAGCAAAACACCAATAGAGCCTATATTACTTGATTTAAATATTCCTACAGTCGAACAATATATTGATCAAAAATCATTGATATTTCTACAAAAGATATATGAAATGAACTCATATTCTGAAATTTCATTACATTTTCTTAAAAATTTAAAGGACAGAATAACACCAACTCAAGATTTATATGCAAATTTATTGAGCAAGTATGAATTAAATTTACCATATCGGTACTCTGACAGTGAAGTAAATTGAATTAACAAAGACTGAAAGAAAGACGTCAAATTAAAAGTTAAAAGATACTGGCAAAAAATACATGAAAAAGAAATTGATAAAAAGATTACACTAAAAACGTACAAATTCTTAAGAGAGATTAACCTTAACTCTAAATGTCAACTGCAATTTTGAAATCTAAATAAAAACTTGGTAAGTGAAGCGAGAATTAAAGCAGCATGAAGATACGCAGCAGGACCTGCACAAACTCTAACAGCCCTAAGACACTCAAAGAAAAATCAAAATATTAATCAAAATGATATGTGTAATTTATGTAAAACGAAAGAAACAGAGAAACACAGCATAAATATATGTATCAAATACAAGAATGAAAGAAGAGATTTTATCAATCATTTAAGAGATATTATTGGAGTAAATTACGAAAGAACCACACCATATCTATGACTCATAAGTGATGTATCTGAATTAAAAGAATTAGCAAACCTTTAGGAAGAATTATGAGAAAAAATTGATTTTATTACAAAAATTAATTTAAAAATATTTGATGAAAAAATAAGTGTCAATTGACCTTTCTCTCACTAAAACAGTGCTTTCTCTTTTAATTTTATATATGAGTTTTGGCTTCATTGAAACTTTAGTCTGCATTAATAAGTTATAGGAGCTGTATATCCGGAAAATTTAAGTCTTGCTATTGGCAAGATAGGGCAGAATGCTCATTTAGCTTCTAAACTTATTGGAATATCAATGTGATAACAGAAGAACATAAACGAAGAAGCGATGAAGCCGGTTTTGCAATCCAGCTCTCTTATGAGTTGTGGTGATAGAAAGTAATAATAAAAAGGGAGAAAATTATGAAGCTATCGGATACGCTCAAACAAGTTATTGCAGATTACCATGAGGTAATAATCCTACCAAAACTAACTCGTTTACATAAAATAATGCACTCGAAAAAATTTCTTATAAATATAATTAACGCTAGTCCAGTGGAAATACAAATATCTGAACTACCTGAGATATCATACAAACTTGCTGAGTGGTTGAATCGTGTACATAAATCACACGAGGTTAAAGAGCTGAGTGATATAGAACTATTCGCACATCTTTTAAGTGGACGACTTTGTGAACAACCTAAAAATGAAGCTGAGACACAAATATTAATAGCATCTATACAAGCTGAGCTTAAGTCATTATATGTGGAATCAGTAATGAACATTATAGAAGATGGGATGTGGTATAATTTAGATTATCTATAACAATAGATTTAACAAGAACGATCTTATGTTAGATAGAAATAAATTATGATACAATTTTGAATTTGTTTAAACTTAATCTTACATTAGATAAATTAAATTAATTATTAAATGGAGATTAAAATGAACTTGAATTTAAAAATAATCAAGCCAAAACTAGTATTACTTGAGCTTGCAAAGAGTCTTGGCAGTATATCATCCGCATATAAAGCCATGGGATATAGTAGGGATAGTTACTATAGATTTAAAGAACTATATGAAACAGGTGGCGAAGAAGCTTTATACGAGATTAGTCGTAAGAAACCTATAATAGCTAACAGAGTTGATCCTACTATAGAGAAAGCAGTGCTTGATATGGCGATAGAATATCCAGCATACAGTCAACTTCGCGTATCTAATGAATTGAAACGCAAAGAGATATTAGTGTCACAAGGAGGTGTTAGATCAATATGGCTTAGAAATGATCTAAGCAATCTAAAGAAACGCTTAGTAGCATTAGAGAAGATGGCGCAAGATGGTATTCTTCTTACGGAAGCTGAAAGTTTTAGACTGAAAAAGAAGCTTATGGAGAGATAGAAACGGAGCATCCAGGTTATCTTGGAGCACAAGATGTCTATTATGTAGGTTCTTTCAAAGGCATAGGTAAAGTATATACTCAAACTTATATCGATACTTATTCAAGAGTAGCCGATGTTAAACTCTATACGGAAAAAACGGCTATAACTTCTGCCGATATGCTAAATGGCAGAATACTCCCTAACTGGAGATCAGTGCTAATATCTTTTCTTTTTGTTGTACTTTATTTTGTTAATACTTTGGACTCCAATTAGATATAGGGTTATAGCTTATATTCTTAGCCTGGGATTTCTGGCTAAAATATTAAATTTTGAGTTAATATGAACTTTAAAGCTAAAATGAGTAGAAGAATCGTATACATTTAGTCATCTTTTTATGTAAAAACCGATTTAACCTATTAGGGACTGTTTGATCGATTTTAATTATAAATTTGCTTTCAATAATACCTTTCAAATATCTTTGCAATTATATAATCTATAAGTTTATTGCGTAAGTTTCTTATGCAAAAATTCTTTTGATATTTCTGATTTTATATTTGGTATAAAGCCTATTTAAGCTGCTTTAAAATACCGAATATCCTGTATCAACAATTTTCTAAAAATAAAATATATTGAATAAAAAATTTAATCAATTTAAGACTGAGTTTAATTCAGTTAAATTTATGCATTAGGCTTTTTAAATATAGAAAGCTCCTGTTTATAAAAGGCAGCAAATATATTTTTTTATTTTTGTTCAAAATGAAACAAATCGCATGATTTACTCCATAAAATAGTTGAATTTAATAAATCAAAATGGAAGGCTATTTCGCTGTTGGCACTCAAGCCAAAACCTCCAAAAAGACCGTCTTTGCTGTCCTCGGTCTTCTAGCTGTTGTCGAAGTTATTGCTACAATTGCAGTATCAAGCTCCTCAGTTTCTCCAGCTCTTGCTCAGTTTGCCTTTGAGGAGCAAGAATTCAGAGATTACATGGACAAATACCAGAAATCCTACGAGTCAGATGAAGAATACGGAATGAGATTCAAAATATTCCGTGACAACTTAGCTTATATCCGCATTTTCAACAGCCTTGGAAATTCTTGGACTCTGGGTGTAAATCAATTCGCTGACATGAGCTTCTCAGAATTCAAGGCTAAGTAAAAGAACCAACCAACGTCGTCATGCTTGATGAAGTTTCAGTCCCATCCCAAGTTGACTGGACCACCAAAGGTGCAGTAACCCCATCAAGAACCAAGGAAACTGTGGCAGCTGTTGGGCTTTCTCAACAACTGGATCTGTAGAAGGTGCCTGGTTCCTTGCTGGACACACCCTTGTATCTCTCTCCGAGCAAGAACTTGTTGATTGCTCATCTAGTTATGGAAATCAAGGTTGTAATGGTGGGATTGTTGACTATGCTTTCAAATACATCATTGCTCAAGGAATCACCTCAGAAGCAAACTATGCTTACACAGCAGTCCAAGCCACTTGCAACAAGGCAAAAGCTTCCCAAGTCAGCGCTACCATTAGCAAGTACACCGACGTCGCATCAGACAATGTTTCTCAATTACAAGCAGCAGTTGCTCAACAGCCAGGCTCACTGCCAAAACTAAGGTAAAATGTGGATAGAAAAAAAATGCCCATAGGGATATAAATAATAAATAAAGAAAACAGAAAATAAAATGCAAAATCAGTAATTAAAATATTGGAGCAACCATATAAAAAAGTGCAGCAGCTTTTCCATATATTTTTTCCTAATTCTCTTAGGCACTTATGAGCATACAATCCTGCTATTAGAGATATTTAAGAAGATAAATATTTTAGTTATATTATTCCCGGTTCTAAATAATATATCAATTTCAAAGCAAGCACTTGCAACATATTATTCAGTTATTTTGTATGATGTTTTTGAGGGAAAAAATAAAATAAGAAAATATGATATGCTCTCGCTAATGCCCAGTTCTTTTCATAACTCTAGATATATTATTACTAGATCATCGAACATATACCTAGCGGGATACTTATATTTTATCCAGGGTCGCATTTTTCCATAAGAGCTAAAAGTCTAACAGAGATTTCATTTTTTTGAATTTCATAGCAGACACCCAAGCAAGAAATATCGCGGAAAATCTAAATAAGCGAAGACTCTAGGAGAAACAACCGCCTTAACGATTCAAAAAGATAAGTGGAAAACACGAGTTAAAAAACTTTTTCATCTGGCGAATATAGAAATGGCCAACTCAACAATCATCTTAAGCAAAGCTAATAATTTTGCATTAAAGATATATTATTATATTTTAGTAAGTCGTTAACAACCCTAGCTTGCATTTTATTTTATTTTTGATTATTTATACCTATGGCTTTCTTTCTTTTGCTATACACTTTTTTGCATGCCATTATTTTTAAAAATCTATTAGTGAAAAAAAAAGAAATTTTCAGCCTTTTCCACGGTTCAAAGAGCAGCTGTAAAAAACTATGCTGTTTTTTTCCTGACCCCTTAGTTGAAGCTAACTATATTTAACAATACTATAAAGGAGGCATTGTTACCAAGGATTGTGGAACAGCTTTAAGCCACGGTGTTTTGGTTGTAGGTTATAACTTTAACAACTCTCCTCAATACTGGAAAGTCAAGAACTCTTGGGGTCAAAATTGGGGAGAACAAGGATACATCAGAGTCGCAGTCAAGGCAGGATCTGGTATCTGTGGTATCCAAATGCAACCATCATACCCAACAGTTTAAATTTAACGAATTTATTCCATTTAATCAGTATAATTTAGCTTAAAATGCTATTAAAGATAGAAAGCCTCCAATTGCTGCTATAACAGCAGAGTAATCATCATTATCCGCAGGCTGGATAGAGTTCGTATACTCTTCTTCTAGCTCCCAAAATGCACTGGTATATATATTTCTTACACATTGGTCATTAAATTGGTAAAGAGGTTAATTTGAGAGTAAGTAGCATAATATTGAAAAGCAATGCAGGAGTTATAGTCCCAATAAGTTTTCATACATAAGTTCTCATGCTGGTGTGGCAAATTTGATGGATTGAAATGCCACCAATTTGGAAAACAAAGCAAAAAAATTATCTTATCGTGCAAATCTACTATTTCTTTAAAAATCTGCTTAATAATAATAATAATAATAATGGAGGGTTCGATTAAGTAGAGCACACTATGAAGTCTTGCTTGAGAGAGGCCAAATGCTGCCTGTAAAGACTCAGAAATAGAAATTTTAGATTTTTTTAAATAATGATTCTAAATTAAGACATTGTACTGAGTATTAATTCCTTTATAATGATGATGCAATAAAATAAGCTTAATTCAACTTATTTAGATTTTAAAGTGCTTCCTCTTTTAGCAAGCTATTATAAACATAAGGTCGCCATCTTAACTGCAAATGGTGACGTCAGCAACCATCTTTTCAAGCAAGATGCCAAAAAGCGCAGAAAAGCTAAACTAAAAACCAAGAATTATTCTTTCGCTTAGTCAATTGAGATCACAGATTATTTTGTTTTTTATCTTTATAGGTGTTATTGATTTTCTCTTAGAAATACTTTCTCTTTTAATTTTTGTATAGGAGTTTGCAAATTTAATCTCTTGTTTCTATATTTATTTATAGCATTATAATTCTTCAATATTAAAATCTCATATGGTAATGTAAATTTGGAGATGGAGAGCTTTTATAGATATTAATTCTTAGCCTGGAATTTCTTAGATTTTGAGTTAAATCTAAACTTTAAAGCTAAAAATGGGTAGAAGAAAAGCCATATATTTAGTCATCTTTTATTATAAAAGCCGATTTAACCTATTAGGGTCAGTTTAATCGATTTTAATTATAGATTTGCTTTCAATAATGCCTTTCAAAATATCTTTGAAGTTATATAGTCTTTAAGTTTATTGCTTAAGTTTCTTATGCAAAAATATTTTTGATATTTCTGATTTTATATTTAGTATAAAGCATATTTAAGCTGCTTTAAAATACCGAATATCCTGTATCAAAAATTTTTTAAAAATAAAATATATTGAATAAAAAAATTTAATCAATTTAAGCATGAGCTTAACTCACTTACATTTATCATTAATCTTTTTAAATATAGAAAGCTCCTGCTAATAAAAGGAAGCAAATAAATTTTTTAATTTTTGTTCAAAACCAATATCATGATTTTCTCCAAAAATAGATGAGTCGAATAAATTAAAATGGAAGGCTATTTCGATGTTGGCACTCAAGCCAAAACCTCCAAAAAGACCGTCTTTGCTGTCCTCGGTCTTCTAGCTATTGTCGGAGTTGTTGCTACAATTGCTGTATCAAGCTCCTCAGTTTCTCCAGCTCTTGCTCAGTTTGCCTTTGAGGAGCAAGAATTCAGAGATTACATGGACAAGTACCAGAAATCTTACGACTCTGAGGAAGAATACGGAATGAGATTCAAAATATTCCGTGACAACTCAGCTTATATCCGCATTTTCAACACCCGTGGAAATTCCTGGACTTTGGGTGTCAATCAATTTGCTGACATGAGCTTCTCAGAATTCAAGGCTAAGTACCTCCCGACCAAAATCCAACCTAAAGAAGCAACCAACGTCGTCATGCTTGATGAAGTTTCAGTCCCATCCCAAGTTGACTGGACCACACAAGGTGCAGTAACCCCTGTCAAGAACCAAGGACAATGTGGCAGCTGCTGGGCTTTCTCAACAACTGGATCTGTAGAAGGTGCCTGGTTCCTTGCTGGACACACCCTTCTATCCTTCTCCGAACAAGAACTTGTCGATTGCTCTACTCAATTCGGAAATCAAGGTTGCAATGGCGGGCTTATGGACAATGCTTTCAAATTCATAGTTGATTATGGAATCAACTCAGAAGCAAACTATCCTTACACGGCAAGCGATGGCAAATGCAACTGGTTCAAAGTTGGCCAATCCAGCTGTAACATTAGCGGATACTCTAATGTCACCCCAAATAACGTTGCCCAATTACAAGCAGCAGTTGCTCAGCAACCAATATCAGTCGCAGTTGAAGCTGATCAAGATGCTTGGCAACTCTATAAAGGAGGCATTGTTAGCAGTAATTGTGGAACAGCTTTAGACCACGGTGTTTTGATTGTAGGTTACAACTTCAACAATTCCCCTCCATACTGGAAAGTCAAGAATTCTTGGGGTCCAAATTGGGGAGAACAAGGTTACATCAGAATTGCAGTACAGGCAGGAGCTGGTGTCTGTGGTATCCAAATGGAACCATCATACCCAATAGTTTAAATTTAACGAACTTATTGGATTTAATCAGTATAATTTAGCTTAAAATGCTATTAAAGATAGAAAGCCTCCAATTGCTGCTATAACAGCAGAGTTATCATCATTATCCGCAGGCTGGATAGAGTTCATATACTCTTCTTCTAACTCCCAAAATGCACTGGTATATATATTTCTTACACATTGGTCATTAAATTGGTAAAGAGGGTAATTTTGAGAATAAGTAGCATATATTGAAAAGCAATGTAGGAGTTATAGTCCCAATAAGTTTTCATACATAAGTTCTCATACTGGTGTGGCACATCTTGATAGATAGAAATGCGCACCATTTGGAAAACAAAGCAAAAAAATTATCTTATCTTGCAAATCTACTATTTCTTTAAAAATCCTGCTTATTGTGTCATCATCATTATCATGGATTTAATACTCAGTGCAATGTCTTAATGTAGAATCATTATTTAAAAAAATCTAAAATTACTATTTCTGATAGATAAAGCTAAACTAAAAACCAAGAATTATTCTTTCGCTTAGTCAATTGAGATTACCGATTATTTTGTTCTTTATCTTTATCTTTTATAGGTGTTATTGATCTTCTCTTGCAAGTGCTTTCTCTTTTAATTTTTGTATAGGAGTTTTGTAAATTTAATTTCTTGTTTCTATATTTATTTATAGCATTATAATTCTTCAATATTAAAATCTCATATGGTAATGTAAATTTGGAGATGGAGAGCTTTTATAGATATTAATTCTTAGCCTGGAATCTCTTAGATTTTGAGTTAAATATAGACTTTAAAGCTGAAAATGGGTAGAAGAACAGCCATATATTTAGTCATCTTTTATTATAAAAGCCGATTTAACCTATTAGGGTCAGTTTAATCGATTTTAATTATAGATTTGCTTTCAATAATACCTTTCAAAATATCTTTGAAATTATATAGTCTTTAAGTTTATTGCTTAAGTTTCTTATTCAAAAATATTTTTGATATTTCTGATTTTATATTTAGTATAAGGCCTATTTAAGCTGATTTAAAAATACCGAATATCCTGTATCAAAAATTTTTTAAAAATAAAATATATTGAATAAAAAAATTTAATCAATTTAAGATTGAGTTTAATTCAGTTAAATTTATGCATTAGGCTTTTTAAATATAGAAAGCTCCTGCTAATAAAAGGCAGCAAATAAATTTTTTTATTTTTGTTCAAAATGAAACAAATCACATGATTTACTCCATAAAATAGGTGAATTTAATAAATTAAAATGGAAGGCTATTTCGCTGTCAGCACTCAAGCCAAAACCTCCAAAAAGACCGTCTTTGCTGTCCTCGGTCTTCTAGCTGTTGTCGGAGTTGTTGCTACAATTGCAGTAACAAGCTCCTCAGCTTCTCCAGCTCTTGCTCAGTTTGCCTTTGAGGAGCAAGAATTCAGAGATTATATGGACGAATACCAGAAATCCTACGAATCTGATGAAGAATACGGAATGAGATTCAAAATATTCCGTGACAACTTAGCTTATATCCGCATTTTCAACAGCCTTGGAAATTCTTGGACTCTGGGTGTAAATCAATTCGCTGACATGAGCTTCTCAGAATTCAAGGCTAAGTACCTCCCGACCAAATTCCAACCTAAAGAAGCAACCAACGTCGTCATGCTTGATGAAGTTTCAGTCCCATCCCAAGTTGACTGGACCACCAAAGGTGCAGTAACCCCTGTCAAGAACCAAGGAAACTGTGGAAGCTGCTGGGCTTTCTCAACAACTGGATCTGTGGAAGGTGCCTGGTTCCTTGCTGGACACACCCTTGTATCCCTCTCTGAACAAGAACTTGTTGATTGCTCATCTAGTTATGGAAATCAAGGTTGCAATGGCGGGCTTATGGACAATGCTTTCAAATACATCATTGCTCAAGGCATCACCTCAGAAGCAAACTATGCTTACACGGCAGTCCAAGCCACTTGCAACAAGGCCAAAGCTTCCCAAGTCAGCGCTACCATTAGCAAGTACACCGACGTTGCACCAGATAACATTTCTCAATTACAAGCAACAGTTGCTCAATAACCAGTATCAGTCGCAGTTGAAGGGTGATCATGAATAAATGCACAGCATAGTGTTTAAAGCTGTTCTTTTAACCCTCGAAGTGACTGAATCTATTTTAAGCTAAAAAGTGCAAATAGAAATTTTTTTAAAAAACCATTGGCAAAAAGTGTATGGCTTAGGCTCACTGCCAAAACTAACGTAAAACGTGGATAGAAAAAATGCCCATAGGGATATAAATAATAAAAAAAAAAACCAGAAAATAAAATACAAGACCAGCAATTTAAATATTAGAACAACCATATAAAAAGTACAGTAGCTTTTCCATATACTTTTTCCTAATTCTCTTAGGCACTTATGAGCGTACAATCCTGCTATTAGAGAGATTTCATTAGATGGATATTTTAATCATATTATTTTCTGTTTGAAATAATATATCAATTTCAAAGCAGCGCTTGTAAAAAATTATTCAGCTATTTGGTATGATGTTTTTTAAGGGAAAAAAATAAATAAGAAAATATAATATGCTCTTGTTGATCCCCAGCTCTTTTCATAACTCAAGATATATTACTATATATCATCGGGCATATACCTAGCGCGATACTGACATTAAATCCTGGGTTGCATTTTTTCATAAGAGCCGAAAGTCTACAGAAATTTCTTTTTTTTGAATATCATAGCAGACACCCAAGCCAGATATATTGAGGCAAATCGGAATAAGCGGAGACTCTAGGAGAAGCAACCGCCTTAGCGGCTCGTAAAGATAAGGGGAAGATAGACTGAAAAAGCCTTTTCACCTGGCGAATAGTGGAAATGGTTAACTCAGAAACCATCTTAAGAAAGATAATAATTTTGCATAAAAGATATATTATTATATTTTAGTAAATAGATAACAACCCTAGATTGTATTTTATTTTCTGATTTTTATTTATATTTAAACCCCTATGGCTTTTTTCTATTTGCTATACACTTTTTTTGCATGCAATTATTTTTTAAAAAAATCTATAGTTGCATTCAATAAATTTTCAGCCTTTTTGACGTTTCAAAGAACAGCTGTAAAAAGTTATGCGGCTTTTTTTCATGATCCCTTAGTTGAAGCTGGCCAATTATGAATCATAAACTCAAAAAATATATAGGTTTATTCATTCAGAAACAGTGTGAATTGCATCCACTATATAAAAGTTTGCAGAAAAGAGGAAAAGAGTTTCTTACAATAAATATTAGGAGGATGGGAAGACTTCAGTGCAGAAAATAAAAATTAGCATCGAATTTTTTAAAAATAGCAAGCCAAAATTAAAACGGTTATTAAAAATAAGCTTTTGCTTACTCCCTCCCTCTCTGTGAGCGAACAAAACCATTTGAAAAATCCCTATTTTTTAGCCCTTTCGAGAGTGAACAAAAAAAGTTTTATGAAAAAATTTTTGAGATATAAGTGATTATTAGTATAATGAAATCTCTAGTTAATTCTGTTTAATTTTAAAAAAATTGCATTTTAAAACACAAATTTTACAAATTAAATATATATTTGCTTTCCAAATTGAGATTTTTTTAATTTCGAAATTTACTATCGTTATTTGCAGATTTTTGAACATTACCACCTAAATTTGGAATCTTTTCCGCGTGTGAAAAGATGATTCCACATCTGAAGCCCTTTTGATTTCACATGTGGAATTATCTTTTCACACTCGGAAAAAATTCCACATTTAGGTGGTAATGTTCAAAAATCAGCAAATAACGATATAAAGTTTATATATGATTTTTTTAAAAAAACTCTCAGTTTACGAACAATACTTTTTAGTTAACTCAAGGAGGAGTTAGCCATGTAATTTTTATTTCCTCAATCTTGACTAACTGTCTCCATGAACTCATATGAGTTCTTGAGTCACTAGAAATTTTAAATTACAGACATCATTAATACATGAATTTTTAAACTTTTTCAAGTCTGAATCTTGCTTTTCCCTGCAAGAAATGCCTGTTGTATTTGCAAGGGAAAAAACAATTCTTAATATATTAGCAATCTACTATAAATCAAGGAATATTAGAAATATTGGAGTATATTAATTTTCGAGCGAATCTAGCATATTTAAGAATCGGTTGTTGGTTTGGGTAAGGGTGGGAATAAGTTTTATGCTTGACCAGAAGCTAATCAATTTTCTTGGCAACTCTATAAAGGAGGCATTGTTAGCAAGGATTGTGGAACAGCTTTAGACCATGGTGTTTTGATTGTAGGTTACAACTTTAGCAACTCCCCTCAATACTGGAAAGTCAAGAACTCTTGGGGCCCAACTTGGGGAGAACAAGGATACCTCAGAATCGCAGTCAAGGCAGGAGCTGGTATCTGTGGTATCCAAATGCAACCATCATATCCAACAGTTTAAATTTAACGAATTTATTGGATTTAATCAGTATAATTTAGCTTAAAATGCTATTAAAGATAGAAAGCCTCCAATTGCTGCTATAACAGCAGAGTTATCATCATTATCCGCAGGCTGGATAGAGTTCATATACTCTTCTTCTAGCTCCCAAAATGCACTTGTATATATATTTCTTACACATTGGTCATTAAATTGGTAAAGAGGGTAATTTTGAGAATAAGTAGCATAATATTGAAAAGCAATGTAGGAGTTATAGTCCCAATAAGTTTTCATGCATAAGTTGCCAGTTCTCATGCTGGTGTGACACATCTTGATGGATTGAGATGCGTACCATTTGGAAAGCCAAAGGGTAGAGTTTGCGAAAGGCTCGTCACCAGGGGCTAAGCTGCAGAAAGAATCACCGAAACCGTTAAGGCCACATACGCATTGAGTATTTACTTGGGCGCCTATAGCGATATCGAAATAAGCTGGACAATTGCTACTATCTGTACAATAAGCTGGTAAAGAGCTTAAGGACTTTACTTGGGCTTGGCAATATGATTTACCTTGAACTGTAGCACAGGCTTGGGAGCTGCATAGAGGGTTATAGTTATTGGTGCATGATGATAAGATAGTTCCTGGAGGAAATGATAAATAGGCAACACAGGTTCCAGTGTCGACGTTGCAGCCTGCATTGTTTACACATTGTGAATCTTTTGTGCAGCCTGGCTGGCCGATTGCTATTTGTGGTGCACATTTAGAACTGAAGCAAAACAAGCCCACATCACATTGGGCATCTTGGGTGCATGCGCTATTTATAGGCAATCCTTTACATATATTCCTTTTTGGCCCCAATTTGACTACTTTTATAGGTAAAAATGCTTATAAAATTCATCATTAATTTACTATAAAATTATTTTACCTTTTAGACAGATACTTTGGACACAATTTAAGTCAAATACGCAAGGCTCACCTGGATATGCAATATTTATTGTAGGAGCCTGTGGAGGAATTGTACAAGAAACATTTTCTGGGTGAGTTTGAGAATCACAATATGAGATTCTTTGATCTTCACATGGAGATAAGCTGTATTGTGAGTTATTGTAATAAACACACTGGCCAGGACCTAGAGGAACTTCTGCACTTGTGCACATGAATTCTGGGCATTGAAGAGCAAAAGCTGAGGAGATCAAAAATATTCACCACATTGAATAAACAAGAGGATTTAATTAAAAAGAGAAAGATAATACGAATTATGGAATTATATAAATCATTTGCAAATTCCAATGGTATTTTTATTATATTTATTGAGATAAAGCAGTCAATAATATTGATAAATTTTCTCTAAATTTTAAGTGAAAATAAATAAAATGCTATTTAAATAGAAAAATTAATTAATAAATATAATTATTTTGTTAGGTAATTTATATAATGTTTTGATACCATTTAAATATATTAATTTCGAATAAATCATAAAAATGCGACTTCTAAGCATTCACATCTATCGCTGGAGAGAAGAAAACCCTATCTTATTAGGCTCAGTCCAAGAATTAAGCTTTTTAGGCTTCATACAGAGAAGAGTGCTCAAAGACCTAATCAACTTTTCCAGCAGAACTGTCTGTGGAAGGGCCAGACCAGGTGACCGAACAGCTGTTCATCTTGAAAACAATGCAGGGATCTGCTATGTGGCTATCCACCCTTCCACCTTCGCTGTAACTGCAGTAGCTGACGTAGAATACCCTCAAAGGGTCGTTTTTTCAATGATTGCAGAGTTAATGCAACAATTCTTGCAATCCGGAATCCAATGGGAAACAATACAAAAGGACACTGAAGTCAGATTTCCGCCGCTTGCTGAAACTTTAAGGACGTATCAGAACCCTAATGAAGCTGATAAACTCATGAAGATTGAGAGCGAGCTCGACCAGGTAAGGGACATTATGCATAAAAACATTGATCAGCTATTAAAAAGGGGAGAAACTTTGGAAAGTCTTATGGCCAAAAGCAATGATTTGTCGACTGTTTCGTATGATTTTTATAAGAGAGCCAAGAAAAATAACCAATGCTGTCAGCTTTATTAGTAGTTATAGTTGATAGATTTAAATTTAAGTATTTTTAAATAAAAAAAATAAGATTGATTAGAATTTATTGCTTTAAATATGAAAAAACGTGTTTTTTGAAGGAATTTTAAGTGATTTATCATATAAAATTGCTTTATTTTTGAATTAATTTTAAATTTATATTACAGTTTCACATTATCTTTATAAAAAATTGCAAGTTATAATAAATGTCACAAGACCTTCGAGACTTTTTAGATCGTACAAAAAATTTAAGAAATTCCATGGTAAAACGAGCTGATCTTATTGCTTCAAGTCCTACAACTGTTTCATTAAACACAAATTATGACGAATTAGAGCTGCAAATAAACAAACATCTTGAAAAAGCTTATTGCTTATCACTAAATCAAGATTTCTCACTTTTGAAGCATCCAATTTCAAAATCAGTAAGTGCAAGAAGCGACGAAAAGCCTTCACAAGTGGAAAATTTTATTCCTTTTGGTTAAATTTGGCTTATTTTAGTCAAAATTTGTTATTAATTTTAATTAAAAATAGCCTTACTATACTATTAGATAGGCGATCAAAAGTGAATAGGGATTAGATTGCAAAGACTTGCATATTCAAAGAAAGCCAAAGCTTCAAGTGCTGATATTTATGACTTTTTGTCATCTCAGCCAATTATTAAACCTATAAAACTCAAACTTCCAAAAGTGAAAAATCCTTATTTGTCACAAATGAGCCCTATTCCGAGATATAAGAGACCAAAAAAGATTCAATTAATTGTGGATAAAACACTACCACTATTAAAAATATCAAGGATAGAAAAAGCCTATGCTAAAGACCAGAAATTAGTCTTAAATTAAAATGTTAATAATTAAATTATTTTTTAATGGATAAATAGGACATTTAAAGCTACTCTCAACAAAAAAAACTTAAAAAGAGTTTGATATTTTTCAAAAATTTGCTCAATAAGGCATCATAATTATTTTATCATTAATTTTTTTTAGTAAAAAACAAAAACTTCTTTTTCTTCATAATTGCTTTTTCCTTCAAATCATTTAAATTCAAAGTTTCGAGCAGCTTCACAAACTTTTCATGCCAGCTTATAAACTTTTTATCTTTACATATTTTCTTGCAACCTTTTTTAATATGATTTACAATCCCTTCAAGAAGAAATTTGGATCTATTGACAGAGTCTTCTGAATAAAATTTATTATTTGAAAAATTGTCATCAGGCTTAAAAAGTCAATCTCTCAGTTTAAATTCGATTTTTGCTCTATTTTTAATAGTAACACAAGCGAAAATATCACAATCAGGCTGAGTGTCAATGAATTGAGGAATAAGCAAACCATTGTAAGTAATGTAAATTTGATCTTGATAAGTCATTCCAATACCTACAATATCTCAAGATCCATATCTTGGGCCTTTAATTATTTGATCTTTTACCTTTAAATACCCATTTTTTCCATAATAAGATGCCCGAGCTCCTTGCAGCTCTATTACAACATCTTCATATAGCCCTGATTCTATTATTTTTATTTCAAAATAAGCAATAGTCCCTTGTTTGTTGTTCTGCATAATTGATTTATTTGTCATTACTGTTAATTCTTCTTCTGAGTTAAAAATGTTGTTTGCTTCTCTATTTAATTTTTTATCTGATCTTACAAAAGAAAACTCATTGGAATAAAATGGTATTCTCAGAGAAATTAATAAAAAAAAATATGACCATGATAATTTTAATTAATAAAAAATAATAATTATTTTTACAATTCAATTAATAAGAATTTAACTTAAATTTGGCAAGGCTATAATGATCAAAAGTGTGACTTTCCTCACAATCACAACGACTATAAGGACTTTGATATAATAAAAAGCTTTTTTCATGGTCTGTATGTGCTATATAAAGAGAGCAATTAGCACAAAGGACTTTTCTGCAGTTTTCGCAAAAAAGAAGCATAGGGTGTTTCTCAAACAAAGTCGCAAATTCATCAACTGTATGAGAGCTGCATTTTCCTATTAATTGGTCATATTGAAGAGCTACTGGATAGCATACCACCTCTTCAAGAATAAAGACAGATTTCTCTAAAATATTTAGCAAATACTTTGGCTGACAATTAATAATGAATTTCTTAAGTAAATCACATAAAGAATCTAGCTTTTCTAGCTTAAAATAAGCTATTATTTATAAGGAGCTATACATAATTCCCTTAAATAGCCCTATCAGTGGGTGAATTGACTGCTACAATTACAATTTGGTCTGACCAAAATTATTAGTTTTGGTCGGACCAAATTTTGAACTCAGCGGGCAATTCACCCACTGATAGGGCTATTGAAGGGAATTTTCTATATATTTATATAAAAACAACAGCAATTTTAAGAAGGAATTTAAAAAAATTTGATGTCAATAATTTCATATTAGTCACTAGAAGGTATAATAAGGTATTTCAATAAGTCCTTGCATTAATACAGATTCATTAAAAAGATTTCGCTTATAACACTCCCTAATAAAATCTACAGAATTCGGACCAAAGCATGAAAGAGTATTTTGAATAAAAATTAAATCCGCCTCACTTCCATTTTCAGCTCTTTTCAAAAAATCAAAAATCATTCTATTTTCCCAAAGACTTTGCAAAGCTGATAAGGTATTTGAATACTTAATTTTCAACATAAAAAGATGCAGTAATCTATAAGATTCTAAACTCAACCCCATCGCAATATCCAAAATTTCCAAAATTCCACACTCAATCAAAGATTCATTGAATTTCCTGGCTTTTTCATCTGATAAATCTGGGTAATTTAATACTTTAAAGACTGCATCTATCAATTGAGGGGATTCTTTTCAGTCATAATTTATACATTTTTGTATAAAAATCTGCAGCAAGTTATTATTCATTATATAAGTTGAGACTTCTGAAGGTAAATTGTCTGAAATAGATATAGAAATTTCCCATAGATGGCGCTGTTTGCCCTTGATTTGCCCATGAGAAAATTTTTTTGGTTTGACCAAACCATATGGGACTGGTCGAACCAAAAAATTTCCCCAGTGGGCAAATCAAGGGCAAACAGCGCCATCTATGGGAAATTTCTATAAAATTTGTTTTAGGATTCTTCGTGAGGAGTATGAAGACTCAAATAAAAGGCCTGAGAATAAGCCATCAAGATCTTCATGTGTGCAGATTTTTATTGCATCTCAGTCATTTATCCATAGGCCTCATCAGATTTGGACTATTTTGCTATCAATTGGTGACTTATTCATTACACAAAGCGAGTTTTGGATAATTAATTTTAATGCAGGATCAATATAACGAATGTCTATATGCTGAATCCTCTCATCTAAGCTTAATTCTCTAAGAATAGGTAAGCTATCTACATTATTTGCTCCTGATAATGCATATAGGCATAGCCCAAGTCCTCACAATTCACTCTCTAACTCCCCCCCCACCGCGAGTGAACAAAAAATTTTTGTTCACTCACGGAGGGGGGTTAATTTTTTTTTTTTAAAAAAATTTATATAGAAATTTTATAGATATAATTTTTTTTTTGAAATTTAAAAAAATCCTAATTTGCAAAAATTGGAAAGCAAATATTAATTTAATTTATAAAATTTATGTTTTAAAAAGCAATTCGTTTAAAAGTAAAACAGAATTAGCTCTAGATTTCATTATACTAGTTATCAATTATATATAATTTTTTTTTCCTTAAAAAATTTTTCTATTAAAAAATTTTTGTTCACTCACGGAGGGTGGGTTTTTGGGCAAAAAATAGCGATTTTTCTAATGGTTTTGTTCACTCACGGAGGGGGGAGTAAGCTATTGAATAAATTTTCACTTGGATAGTAGTTGCTAATATTTCCTTTTCCGCTATATAATGAATATTTATTTGTGGTGGATATTTTCACATTATAAGAAAAATTTGACGTATTTTTGATAGAAATCAATGTTGTAGGCTCTTCTCTTACGAATAAAACTGAGCCTGGGAAAACTGAGTTTAGGAAAATATTGTGTTTTTGTGATGATTCAATAATGTTCAGAAGATATAAGTATAAATAAATATAGCCCGATCCCTGCTTTGGATGGGGCTTGTCTGATGTCTCCCAACGTCAGATGGGGAGTTGACTCTGCCAGCAAATGTTAGTTCGTCAATTTCCCATCTGACGCTTCCCAACGTCAGTCAAACCAGATCCAAATCAGAGACCGGGTTATAGAGGTCTCCTTTGCAATTTCATTATATCTATTTTCAAGTTTCATGATCTGCGATATTTCTTCCAATGTAAGACAATCTAGAAATTCGCTAACAATTATAAGTATTCATCTATCTTTATTATAAAGTTCAAATAAATCTAGAACTTTTACAAGTTTTCAAGCGAATTTATACTCCTGAATCTTCTGAATTCTTTGAAATTGTTCTCGTAATTGGTTGTAGTTGCCAAATGAAAGAATTTTAATGTGGTGGGTTTTGCCATCAAGGTCTGTGCCTAAAAATGCATTTGGAGACGATATTCTGTGATACACAAATTTGTGTCGCGAAGGAAATTTTTCCACGTGTGGAGCCAAATTCAATAAGCTGAGTCTCCACAATTGAATGACACCATATGTGAATTTGGCTCCACAGGTGAAAAAAATTCCCAGTAGATCCGGGACACAATTTTTGTATCAAAGTATATAAATTTATGGGTTAATGTGTATTCTTGGAAAGTGTCAGGATTACAAAAAACTACCTCAGATTCAAATTTTGTGAAAAAATGTGTAAAGCGATAGCCGAGTAATCGATCCCATCAGACATCGAAATCATCCATTTGATTATCTTTTAGCTGTAGAAAATCTATAAATATTTAAGGAAGATTTGAAGAATTGTATTAAAAAATATAGAATTTTAGCAGAAAATAAGAACTTTAGAATTTTGGCTAGAGAAAATTTCTTGAAAATATTTATTTTATATTCTTAGTTTATAAGAATAAGAAAATCCTATTTAGTTGTATACTTTAATTAATTAGATACTTTTTAATTTAAATAAATTAATTAAAAGTCTTAACGTCTTCCAGATTTGATGCCTCCGCACATTTTAAAACCAACGTTAATCTGCTTTCAGGCGGAAATTCAGCAACTATTTGGAACAGCAATCTTCTTTAGGAGTAGGGCTTGCACTGTGATCTACAAGATCTCGAGGGTTAGGAAGACGCCCTGTCAGCAAGCCATCGGGTAACATGGAGGTAAAGGCTAGATCGATACCTCCTGTCGGCTCTCTTTGGAAGAGGTGACACTCAAGAAAAAAGAGCCACTGCCCTCCGGAACTGGTAGAGAAAGAATCCGTAGCCCAAAAGCCAGCTGGATAGCTAATACTTTGACTTGAATGGCCACCAGCTGACACCCGCCCATATGGCTGCTCTAGACAACATAAGATTAAAGGGCCTGAGCCTTGCTTTAGGATATAAATATATTTTGGCACCTAAAGTAGTGCGTCTTCGGCAAGGACATTTTTGTTACCATCTCCATATTAATTATTTATTTAAATAGGAAAACTTTTCTATCTCATAGGTATAAAAATAATTGCAAGCTAAATATTGTTTTGTTAAAAATAAATTTAATTTTTATACAGCAAATGTGAGCCTAATATTTATTTACTCCTCCTATTTAAATGAGAACACAAAATTGATAAAATTTGCATTCATTGGGTACCTTAACCCAATCTAACTAAGTGTAAGTTAAAAAAAGCGTACTGGCACGGTGACCCAAGCTTCTGACTACTAAGTAGCATGTGCAGGCCCATGCCTGGTAGGAGCAAGACTTTGAAATGTAGTGAGATGATTTTCGTGAAGCAGACGAGTGGAGCGTTATGGAAGGGAATAAGGATCTTCGGATCCTGGCAGGGAGCTTCTATAGTCTAATTAAGTTCAAAGGGTACACTAACCCCCTTTAAAAATGGAACAAAATTTATTTTTCAATAAAAAAAATTAACCCCTTTAAATTGGAACAGGATTTTTTGTTCCAATTTAAAAGTGGAGAGTTAGCTAAATTATATGCTAATGATATTTATCTTATTTTATATTATAATTTTCATATACTTTAAGTTCTCTTTAATCCAACCATATTATTTTCATTGAGCGATTTTTCCAGGCATTAGAAATTTGAGTTCCTATATAAAATCAATCGAAAAGTTTTTAATTGCTATTATTGCATAATTCATTTATATTGAAATTCTCATAGTGGTCATATCCATAAGAGGTATTAAACTCACTAAATAGAGATCTTTATTCTATAATCTCGCGATGAATTAAATATTTATTCAAACCTAATCTTTTTTGTATAAAATAATTACTTATATTTAAGGCTCATTTCCTACCTGGTTCTCAAGTTCTGAAATCCTTCTTTGCAAAGCTATCAATTGTTGTTCCAAAGCAGTCTTTTCGCCTTTCAGCTGCGTAATTTGTTGCTGTAGTCTACTATTCTCAGCTTTTTGATGAGAAAAATGCCTCTTCATCTCTTCCTCCACCCTTGAAATTTCGTTCATCAAGCTTTTTCTTACGTCATTAACTTTCATATTCAGCACATTTTCCAAAGTGTCCTTTTCTGATCTCAGAATTTGGACTTCTTTTTTATGAAAATTCATTTCTTCAGTTATTTGCCTTATCATTTCTTCAAGACTTAAAAGCTTTCCTTTGAGTGAGGCTGAGCCACTTGCTGTTTGTCCTCCAGAAAGTGAAACAATTGAGCCTTGAGTTTGAGCCATTCTGCTTTGGGGAGAGGCGGTTTCTTCCATGCCTGGACGGAATGATCCTGTAGTGCTTCTCATATTTTTTATATACAAAAATAAGTTACAACAAATAATATAAAGAAAAAGCCTAATCCCCTCCGTGAGCGCACAAAACCATTAGAAAAATCCCTATTTTTTGCCAAAAAAACCCACCCTCCGTGAGCGAACAAAATTTTTTCAATAGAAAATTTTTATGGAAAAAAATTTTGATATATAAGTAACCATTCTTATAATGAAATCTAGAGCTAATTCTGCTTAATTTTAAACAAATTGCGTTTTAAAAAAAAAATTTAAAAATTAAATTAATATTTGCTTTCCAATTTTTTCGAATTAGGATTTTTTTTAAATTTCGAAAACAAATTTTTCTATAAAAAATTGTATATAAATTTTTTAAAAAAAAAAATTAACCCCCTCCGTGAGCAAACAAGTTTTTTTTTTCACGGAGGAGGGGGGAGTAAATAAATCCTAATAATTATTGTCTGATTCGGAAAATGGAAGATCTCAAAAAATCATTGAGAGGACTATCAAAAGATCTTGAGAACAAGTTTGAGGAATTAGAAAGCATACAAAATGGTCTAGATCCAGACTCTCTTGAAGTCTCTTATGATGGAAAAAATCCTGAGAATGAGTTTGAAAGGAAAGTTGAAGAAATTTTAGCTAAAATCAAAGAGCAAGCTGAAGAAATGAATAAGATTGCAGCCAGCCATATAGAGATTTCTTTGAGCAACCAATATTTGAGTGATTTCAGAGTGAATTCTAAACGATTTTTGGCTATAAAAAATAACATCCAACAGAAACGATGGCAGCAAAAACTAATGGGAAAAGGATTGAAAGACTCCACAGATGACTCTCGCTTGAGCATTTTATTCAGAGAAGGCCGGAGTCTTGATAATTCTATAGAAATGGGCAAAAATGTGTTAGCGACGACTCAAGAAGTGTCAAATTCGCTTGCTTATCAAAAAGAAAAGCTTACGTCAGCATCTGAAAAAGTTGTCAGATTTGCTGAAACTATTCCTGGAATAAATGTTCTGTTAGGCAGAATTTCGCGCAGAAAACGATTTAATGCAATAGTGATTGGAGTAACTATATCAGTGTGTGCCTGCATAACTTTAATATATGTTTTATAGGTAAACATATTGCAATAATTTGTAAATGTCTTCTATTTATAGCTTTTTACTAATATTAGTATAGCTCTTTATTATAAATTATTCTATATATAAGAATTTATAGACCCTTAACAATTTAATGCGAATGGCTATAAAATATTTGTAGCTGGATCCCCTAGAAACATAAAAGGGGCAAAAATTTATAAATTTAAAAAATGTCCGCTAAAATCATCAAAAAAATCGAAGCTAAAGAAGGACCAAAACGCCGCACTTCAAAATCATTGAAAGCAGGCCTCTTCTTCCCTATTTCACGAATTTCCAACCGTCTCAAGCAAAGTGATCCTGCAAACCATGTCAGCTTCAAATCTCCAGTCTTTCTTGCAGCTGTATTAGAATATCCATTTTCTACTCAATATCCTAATTTATCTACAAATAAAAAAATTCAAATTTCTAATCCTAGCAAGTATATTTAACAGCTGAAGTCTTAGAAATCGCTGGAGATGCAGCTCGAGCCCTCAACAAAAAACAGATCACTCCAACCCACATCCAAATCGCCATGCGAAATGACGAAGAACTCGACAAGCTCCTCGACAAAGGCACTATTTCGAGCGCAGGCAACTTCTCGATTCTCCCAACAAAACCGGTAAAAAAAGAAGAAAACGACTCTAATTTATAATAACCTGTTTCTTCAACCCTCTTAAAATAAATAAATTTAATTGTTAAGACAAGCAGCCGAATCTGCAGCCGAGACCTCAATTTTCAGCTCTCTCCAATTCAGATTTGCCTCTGGAAACTCGCTATATCCTCTGATATTTCGAGACTCATTGCTAACAGTGCCATCTTCTAATATACCACAAAAAGAATAATTGCACATGACAAAGCCAAATTTATTAGCTCTGTAAATGTCTTGGTTACACACAGGACATTTATGCTCTCTCCCATCAGACATCTCTAAGACTGCGTCGAACTTGCCCATGCCCAAACAAATGCACACTCTTTGTTTGTAGGCGACACATTCGTGGTTCATGCAGATCCCTTCCAAAATCAAGCCTGCTTTTTTGATTTTTCAGTTGGGGACAACAGAGTCTCTTCTGGTGCTGTTATTGTCATTGATGACAACTGTTATCAGCTCGCTTTGCTCCACACCACAGTCAATTAGGGTGTTATTATCGTCTAATTCTATATCTTTATAAAGAATTTTGACTTTATTTCGGCAGTCTCCAGTCCCGCAGAACCTTTTCCTTAGGTTTGCGATTTTTTCATTTTTTGGCAGCGACGCTCTGAGGACTTTTTTGGTATTTTCACAAATCATAAAGGATAGGGTAATTTTTTCAGACAAATCTTCGGTGACTTGGAAGGATAATGAGTCACCTGACTCCCCCCTTTAAAATTGGAGCAAAACATCGGTAAAATTTGCATTTTTTGGATACTTTAACCCTTTAAATTGGAATAATTTTTTTTTCAATAGGACAATTTTATCGATGAAAATAAAATAGTTTTTTGGCCTAATTTAATAGACATAATTCGAGTAAAATGCTACTCAAACAGTTTTAACACTGAATCGATTAATTTTTTATTTAATTCTTCATAAAAAAATAAATTAAAATTCAAAGTATTATGTTAAATTTATATTTGTTAAAACAATTTTTATAAAAGCCAAACTAATTTTTATAAAATTACCTTTGACCTAACTTAATAGAAAAATTTATTTAAACATTTTTCACACTGAATCAATTATTATTTTTATTTTAATTCTTAAATTAAAATTTTTAAAAACTGTGTTCAATTTATATTTTTTTAAGATTTTAGGAATTTTAAAAATTTCATAGAGAATTTTAAATTTTTTTTTGAAAATTTAAAGGAACAGTTCCAATTTAAAAGGGGGGAGTGAGGTCACGCCGATTTCAAAGAGAGGGACATAATTGTTAGAGTCAAAGAGACATTGCTTATGGTTGATCTGGAACTTTAGGTTTGATGTTGAAATCCCTTCTTTGAGATTTTGGCAAATAATTTCACGCGACAGCTCACAAAGCTTTGTGGAAAGGGGTTTTTTAAGTTTTATTTGGGATTTATTGAAGTAAGCTTCGTCAAGGTTTACATAGAAAGAGGTATTAGCTCTCGAGGACTCACTGCAGCCCATTTTTATGTATTTATAACAAAAAGGCTGTTAGAAGTGAGAAATCGGGCAAATGGATATGGGCGAATATGGATCAATGAAGTTTGGAATAAATAAATTTTGGGAAAGTGAGGGTATTTTTAGCCTTTTTATGCTGGAGAAATATATAGTTAGTGTCAGAATTATTACCATTTATGAAGAGAAATATAGATTATGTTGGGGAAAATCAAAAAAATAAATAGCTATTTTGATTAAAAATAATAAGTAAAATAAATAACGAATTTGGCTTTAATAGGAAATATTTTTCTGAAATCTAAATTTGATATATTACATTGGATTATATTTATTATAAATTAGTAAAGGGTCAATAATTAGCAATCTTATTTTCTCATGCTATTTTGATATAAATTCAATATTATATTTATACTGCTTAAAAAAATTAATTATATTAAAGACATAATTTATCACCAAAAATCGTCAATATTTATTCTTTATTTTGCAATGTTTATTTAGGAATGACTAAATAATTACTTATTTGTTGTATTGAAGTAAATAATCATTGATAGCTGGAGCCATCGGTGATTACAATTGCTTGGCCATTTTCCGTTAAATTTTATTTGCAAATCTTAAAAATATTATCTTTCCTAAACGGACTCAGCATAAAAAGTTTACTGCTTAGCCCTTTTCATTTCATAAAAAAATTATCATATAAAGATCTGACCTCCCGATGAATGCCCTAAATTTTGCTTCTATTTTCCATCTTTCCTTATTAACTAATAAATAATTCTTTCTAAAAAATTCAATTCATCAGCTCCTTGGATCATCATAATATCTTGTCTAAAAGCTTCTTCTCTACTTGTAAGTGAATAAGGCATTTTTTTAATTAAGACAAAATTAATTATTGTATAAAAATTATCTTTTTAAGTAAATCAAGCCAATACACATTGTCAGCTGCTATTTAAAAAAGCATTATATTTAAAAATTATAGTATGAACACTTTAATAGCATAGCTGCATTCTGAAAAAATCAATCCAGACTTTTTCGAAAATATTAAATCAGCCCAGCTATCAAATAGCCGAGCTATATTTGAAAAACTATATTTTATTGTATAAATCAATTAAAAATTATAAAAATCAAGGGGATTCTTTAATTATTATTCGTCCAGAATTTTTAAATTAAAGGGGATTTATAATAAAAATGGAACCTAAAAATTTAGGACTTTGTGCATTGCTCCGTGGAGTGGACTACACAGCTCAAGCAGTCAAGCGACCAAGAGAAGAAATCGAGGCTTTCAAATTCCTAGTCTCTTATGACTCAGTTCCTTGTTTAGCAAAGCTAAGCGAAACTTTACGAGATGTTACAAGAGATGTAGGCTTAGAGCGCACAGCCCAAATGCTTAACTTCCCTCAAGAAATTTTATCTCTCATAATCTCCGAAGAGAAATTAGCCTCAAACTCCAAATCATCTACACCAGCAGTCACAAAACGTCCTAAAATGGAGGTATCTAAAACGACCAAAGCCCCCACAACTCCCAAAAAAACCGAATCCAATGATGCTCCAATCCCAGAAATAGACCCTCAAAACGTTGTAGAAGAAATGAGAACTAGAATCATTCGGCTTTACAAAGGGAACGTAAAAATCAAAGTTATTATGGCTTTATATGATATAAGAAACACCCATATTATTCATAGCTGGGGAGACTGGAAACGAAGGGAAGCCAACAATAAGCGAGATATCAGAGAAAAAATTAGGCAGCATAGAGAAGCAGGAAAAACAGACGAAGAAATTTCAGCAATTCTTAACGTCAAAAGCCATGTCATTAAAGAAATTATGGGAGAGCTTAAAAGGCCAAAACTGATATACGCAAAACGCGACATAAAAGACGCCCTTCACCTCTACAAGATGATAAAAAACAAAAATCGAGCTGTAAAAGAGCTTGGAATTTCTCCGTGGACGTTAGACAACTGAATCAGCAAAAGCCAAAGAGACGAGCTTGACACTATTTATGACAGCGAGCCAGGACTCCACCCAATTATGATCCTCAACGCCTTAGAAACCTTCTATTTAACCAAAAATATAGAGCAAGCTGCTGAATCATCAGGTGTCCACATCTTAAAAGTCTCGAGGGTCATAGAAAGATTTGAGGCCAAACTGAAAGAATTTGACGAAGACAAGACCCAAAAATCACCAGAATCCCCTAGAGAAATAGAAAATGACGAATTAATTGTAAACTAATAGCCTTAATTGAGCCATTTTAAGAAGGAAGTCGGTATTGTTCTGATATGAATTTTTTAATTAGCTTCAAGGTCTATCTATTTGAAAGCGTCTGATCGGCCTTGGTAGTAAATGTGGATTGAGGCTTGCATGAGGTCTTTGCCTTGAAAAGGCAAACCAGTTGGTAAGATGTCCCAAGAAATGCTATTGCATATTGGAAAAGGCTGGAACCAGTCGGCTGGCTCTTCTTTAATTTCTTCTGGCTCAGGACTCGTCATTAACGAAGCGAGGCCCAAAATCCCGTCCAAAGCAATTTTGCTTCCTGGCTGGGATTTCTTCTTGGTCGTTGACGAAGAACTGGGGGAGAGCCGCTTAGGTTTAAATAAGTCTTCGTCGCTTTCGAGCTGCAAATCTCGCTGGATTTCTATATGTGAAGCTGCATAGCTTGCTACTTCTTTTGTGGGTACAGGTTGTCCGCGCTGCTTCGATTTCATTCAAAAATATTTATTAAGATTTTCATTTAACATATCAGAATTTCTATTAGAAATTGTGACAAATTAATTTACAGCTGAGATCGGCTACTGAGGGAGTAATAGAATTTCTGTAACTTATAAAGAACTTTTTCAGTAAAAATTTATATGAATTTATAATGATTTTATTTAATTTAAAAAATAGATTAAAAAATTTGTAAAAAAATATAATTTTTTAACAAAATTTTTGTTATGTGAAAAAGTTAAAATGGCTTTAACGTAAGTCAGGGTTTTCCTCTATATAAAAATTGGTTTTCTGTCTTAAAACCTCTGTTGTTAATAAATATGAGACCAACGACAGGGAAGTCGACAAAACAACGCTTAAGAGAAGATATCGCTGAGCTCGACAAACAATTAATTGAATCTGCAACAGAGCGGCCAGGATCTGTCCAGCTCAACCTTTCTCAAAATGCTATACAAAACGAGTCTAATTTGCGATACCAAAAAATAGACTCTCTTCGGACTTCAAATTCAAGCCGTGAAGGAGCTTTAAAATCGCAACTTTCTGAAACAAAAATGCTGCTAAAAACACTCGAAATGAAAAAAATCCAAGAAAACCAAGCCATTACTAATCTTCGAGACCCTAAAGCTAAAAAGGTAGAAAGTTTAAAAGAATTAATACAGAAAATGCAAGAAGAGTACCATTCCTCGTCTACATCAAATTTTAAGATGAAAAAACTAAGGGAAAGCACCAATCAAGCTAACTCCCCCCCCATCCTTGATCGAACGATTGACTGTAAAAATTCCTAAAAATTGGGGAAATTAACCCCCCATCCTTGATCGAACGATTTTCATATCATTCAAATTTTTATATATATAAATAAAATATATTAGTTATCAAAAGCTTGGGAAGATGTACATAATGAAGTTTTTTCAGAGGCTTTGAGACGACAGAAAGCTGTGGAATCAACCATCCGAAGTGATTTAGCCATCAGCCTAGGCTTAAAAACTCAATAATCTAAAAAATAGAGATTCTTTAAATTTAAAAAAAAAAAAAATTTTAATTCAATAAGGAACAAATTAAAAGTTATACAGTTTAAAAGGGTAACTAATAAATCAAAATATTAAAAATTGGTATTTTATGAAATTAATTCAACTTTTGCTGTAAAAATAATTATTAAATACTCTTAACCCACTTATTTAAAAGTAAATAAAAAAATATATATATATATTTTTTATTTTATATATAAATTTTTTTTTCCAAAAAAAAATTTTTTTTTAACCCCCATCCTTGATCGAACGATGGCGAGTCGTTCGATCAAGGATGGGGGGGGAGTAAGCAAAAAGCTTATCTTGAAACTATGGCACCTTTAGAATCTCAGCTGAAGCATTTAGACGAAGAAGAAAAAATGACTAGTGATAGGATAATTGCTATGAATGAGGAGATTAAAAGACTAGAAAATATGATGGAAATGAGCAAAGAAGAGTATATTTCAAGGCTTACACAGAGAGCGGAATGTATAGCTCAAAGAGAAGAAGCAGAAGAAGCTTTGGAAACTTTGAAATTGGAGTATGCAGAAGAAATGGGGGTGAATTTAGAAGGGATTGAAAACTGTGTAACAAGTAGTGAAAGTTTGAAAGAAAAAGAATACTATCAGATTCTATTGGATTGAATAAATAGTTACTAATTAATTTAATTTGGAAAATACATAGTAAATGAATATATGAAAGCAAAATCAAAGAAATGGACAGCAAGCTGAAAATATTAGAAATAGAAATAGAAAACACGAAGAGAACAAAAGTAAACTGTAGAAGAAATTTGTATGAAGCTATGGGGCTGAATAATTTAGAAGAGATTGAAAATATTGAAGGGGTGATAGATGAGAATTGCCAAGATGCAGATATAAGCGGCTTAGGAGAAGTAATCCTTGATGTAAACTCTGCCAATTCTTTTGAAGTCGATGAAAATATTATTAAACTTCAATTGATTGAAATAGAAAATAAAGAAAGAGTCTTTAAAGAAGAATGGACCCTTAGAAAACAGTTGCTAGAAGAAAGAATTCAGTTTTTCAAAGAAAACTCTGACTGAAATGAAATGAAAAATAGCGAAAAAGAGCTTTTTCTTACATTTAGAAAATACAGAAACAGATTTGCAGCGATTTCCCAGTGAAAATATGAAGTTGAGCAATCTATAAATCGTCGAGTCCAGTCATCCCAAGTCTTCATATCAGACCGTGATATCTTAGACGAGTTCAAAAATGAAGAGCTTTCCAAAATAATTGATCCTTCATATAGAAAATTCATAGAAAACCAGCTGATTTTATATATACAAAAGCTTAATTCCCGCGAAAAAGAAATCTCAAAAAATATAAGCGCAATACAAGACTATAAAAGCAGTCTCCAAAAGCTTGAAAAAGACCTCAATCTGAAATCCAACCAAAAAATCCAGTTTGAGTGCGACAAAATAATAGCACTAACTGAGCTTACTAAGCTGTATAAGCAAGAAAAAAAGAAAAACCAAGATATTGATATAACAGAGTATGATGACGAATATATTATTAGGGAGCATGCAATATCTCTGCAGAAATTAATAGCCCACTGAGACAAATGCGCTATTAGCCATAATAATTATATAGAAATGACACTAAAAACTGAATTTAAAATTACTGGGGATCTGTTGAATAAGTATATAAGAGAAACCAAAAATCTCAATGCAAAACTGAATGAAATTAGGGCTGAACAGAAAAATGTAAAAGGGTTAATTGAGAATTTGATTATTAAACAGAAAAGAAGCATGTATGCTTCATTAGAAGACTTAAAAAATCCTTATGGAAATTCAGAAAATAGACTTGGAGAGCTTAATGAGCTTATTGATGATAAAACTAGAGAGCTAGAAGAGGCTTTGTCTGATCTGAATAAAGTAGATGATGAGCATTCAGAAATTATGCATAAAATTGAGGAAGAAGAAAAACAATTAAAAGCTCAGCAAACCACAATAGAAAATGCAATTGTAAATATCTATAAGGAAAGAATCCTTATAGAGGAATTCGAAAACCAGTTCATAAATGACACAGAGAGGACAGCTAGATCACCTATAGTCCGGACTCGGTCTACAGAACGCAACCAAAGAGCCAAGCATCACCCACACGACTATTCTTCTCACTCCCCCCCCCCCCTCTCCGTGAGCGAACAAAACCATTAGAAAAATCACCATTTTTTGACCAAAAACCCACCCTCCGTGAGCGAACAAAAATTTTTTTAATAGAAAAAATTTTAATGGAAAAAAATTTTGATATATAAAGTGATAATTAGTATAATGAAATCTAGAGCTAATTCTGTTTAATTTTAAACAAATTGCGTTTTAAAACATAAATTTTGCAAATTAAATTAATATTTGCTTCCCAATTTTTGCAAATTAGGATTTTTTTAAATTTCGAAAAAAAAAATTTTTTATAAAATTTATATATATAAATTTTATTTAAAAAAAAAAAATTTAACCCCCCTCCGTGAGTGAACAAAATTTTTTTGTTCGCTCACGGGAGGGGGGGGGGGGGAGTCAGAACCTTATTCTCCCTATAAATTCTGTAAAAGATCCTGATTTCTATCCTTATGAGCTTAAGGATACCATGGATGCTAGTAACTTACTCCCCCCTCTGTGAGCGAACAAAACCATTAGAAAAATTCCAATTTTTTGCCCGAAAATCCACCGTCCGTGAGCGAACAAAAATTTTTTTATAGAAAAATTTTATGGAAAATATTGATATATAAGTGATAATTAGTATAATGAAATCTATAGCTAATTCTGCTTAATTTAAACAAATTGCGTTTTAAGTATAAATTTTGTAAATTAAATTAATATTTGCTTTCCCATTTTTACGAATTAGGATTTTTTATAAAATTTCGAAAACAATTTTTTCTATAAAATTTATATATAAATATTTTTTTAAAGAAAAATTTAACTTCGTGAGCAAAACAAATTTTTTTGTTCGCTCACGGAGGGGGAGCTAGGAGAAATCCCCTTTGAAGTCTCCGAAAAAATCCTTGGCAAGCAAGCCCAATTAATGACTGAAAGAGCTACAGGAAGCTCTGGCTTCTACCCAATCAAAAAGAAAAAATACTACAGATTCCACCTTGAAGACACCTCCATTTCAGAAAAAAAATTTTTTGAAAGAATTACCCCACTGCTTGAAGGGGCTGAATTTTATAAAAAATTTTCCCAGCAAAATTCCTTGAAAACCCAAGCATTTGACCAGCTTGATGCTATTAAGCATCCTCCTGAAAGCTGTGGTTATGGAATTCGGTATTTCAGACTCCACAAGAGCTTGACAAGAATCAATGTAAGGCAGCCTCTTAAGCCTGGCTTTGAGTCCCAAATCCAAATCGAGCAAATAATTGCTCCAATAATCCCACAGAGCACCAGAAATGTACTGAAAATCCAGAAAAAACTGGAAAATGAAAATTTAGGCTCAGCAAAAAATCTGGAGATTGAGGAAACGAAATCAAGGAGTCTTTGGGATGTGCAGAGCGAGGTGTATAAAGAAAGGTGCAAGCTAGTCAGTTTAGTTATAACGATTATGCTGACCATAAGTGGATTTAGCCACTAGCCACCATCCGCCTTGGGTCAAAGGCGGCCCTTTTGGATTTTCCACCTAAACCACCTTTCCAGGGGATCAGCTCCTTGGGGAGAGTCATCATCTGTGAGATGTCTCGATGGTCCCGATGAGAGAACACAATGTCGTAAGCAAAACCTTCGAGGAAAAACAAAATTTCCCTTTTTGGAAAGGCATCCCCAGCCTGAAGGCCTGCTTCAAAAAGTGGCAGAAGCCCTGTTTTCAGCTTCATCATGATGTGTTTTACCTGCTCACTTTCCGTCAGCCTCACCATTTTATCCTAAATGTGCAAGGAATGCAAATTTTACCCTTTTAGCATTGCTTTGTCAACAGGTGGAAGAATTGAGCTGATCGCTAAGGATTATGCAAGCTTGAAAAATTGGGTCAATGGAATCAATGCGCTGGTCGGCTATAAAAGTAAGCTGCTGAGGCTGAAAGGCAGAATTGAGTCATACACTTCTGTGTAATTTAATAATAAAAGCGCATATTTATAAATCATTAATGGAATTTTAATTATAAATGCGCGGAAGTTAATAGTAAGGCTCAACAATAGCTAAAGCTCGGCTGCAAACTGAGCAATAATGATAGGTATCTTTGCACCTTTTGATGCAAAATGGAATACAGCAGCACAGCCAGCATCCAATTAGACATAGCAGAGTGCAGCAGAGTCATGTGAACCATCCTGGCTTCGTATCTATTTTAGTCCAAACAGTCCTCCTGCAAACAGGGCAATAAAGTTGTACAGGATCTCTGCCTTCATTGTGCAGTATCACAGCATTATAATAAGGATCTTGGTTTTGATTGTCTTGAGGATAATAAGGCTGTGCTTGGTATTGTTGTGGAGGAGGATAACTGGGCTCTGAAGGAGCTCGATATTGAGATGGAGGATATTGATCATATGTTGATCCTTGGCTTAAAGTTGCAATTCTAGGCCCAGATGTCGAGGCAGGTTGGGAATAATAAGGGTTGTTCTTACCTGATTTAAGGGGTTCTTTTTCTCCACTTGACATTATCCTAAAATAATGATAAACGGCTTACATATTACTACAATTCTTAACTTAAATGGCTTTTTAATTTATCTTAGCTTCCATACGATGCGACAAGCCATACTGGCAAATTTCGTTCATCAATTCCAAAATTTCTTCTTGAGAAAGATATCCTTGATTAGCGTTTTCAATCCATTTTTCAATTTCGCCTCTCGCTACAAATCTTCTTTCTTTTCCAGTCACTTTGTAATACCAGGTCTTGACTCCAGGAAACTCTTGCTCAGCAAAGCTTGAAATTTCTTTAACTCCATCAATTAATCCAACATCAATAGCTTTTTTAGCTGAATAAATTTCTCCCCCAAGGATTTCTTTTTCATTTTGAGGAGTGACCTATATAAAGCTCACCTGTAAATTTTTTCTATGGCTTAATACGTGTTTTTTCATTAATTCTTGCCTGGAATTCAATAATTGTTTGATCCATTTTTCGTCTTCTTGCTTTACTTTTTCAAAGGGATTGAGTCTTACTTTATTTTTGCCAGCTGCAATAAAAACAGGCTCAATGCTGAAGTCTTTAGCAAACTGTTGAAGTCCAAGCTGCTGGAAACTTGTAGAAATTCCTCCTAGTATGGAGTGGATGTCAGCAAAAGCTTGATGTCCTGAGCTCAACAAGCAATAGCCAGGACCGAGTGCATAGTCTTCTGCAAAGGTGTAGAATGGGCATTCTTTTGATAAAGAAAATTTCTTGAAAGTGTCTGAAATAATCTCTGCTTGAACAAATGATCCTCGGCAAGAATTTACACTTACAGCGAGCAATTTAGGAGTAAGATAGGAGAGCTTCTTCATGTGGGCTTGGACACGTTTAGTTCTATATAAAAGCTACGTGACTTCTGTGATATCGCCAGTAATACGGAAATGCACAACAGGTGATCTCAGTTTAGAGATGAATCTGCCTATCATATTAAATTATTTATTACATGAATCCATAAATATCATATCTAAATTAGTTTCAGAGTCACATCTTTTATTTTCTATATTTAAATATTTCTTTGATATATTATTCCAATTAGAATGCACTAATTATTGCTTTTGGCGATTTTCAAGTAAGTCTCTCGAATTCCTCTCATTCTCATCTGCAGATCTGTGACTTGTTCAGTAATAAATGCGCTTTCTCGATGAATGTTAAATAGAGGTGTCTTATTGATTTCGCTGCATCGAGCTCTGTAATATGCGATTTCAGCGTCTTCTGAAACTAAGCTTATATCATCAAGGAAAGGAAGCCTTTCGAAATCAATCCCTATTTCTTCTTCAGCTGACTCTTCTGATGACAAGTTCTCATCTTAATCTTAATTACAGGAGGATTCTACCTATCGATAGCACAGTCACTAAGGACCCCTCAAGGTTCATCCACTTTGCGACTAGTCGGTTAAGCTGGGTCCTCTTTAGATGACTCCTCAGCGAGAAAAGGATCGATACCATCTTGCTCCTTCTTGGGCCCCTGACACTATGGGATATCCGAAGTCTTCACTCTTACTCTTTCTCCTCATTACCTTGCGGCTCCAGTGCTGAGTGGGCTGGCTCTGACAAGTTCTCATCAATACACATAGAATGGGAAAGAGGGGTGAATCCAATTAAATTCCGTTCGTGGACACAACGATAACTAATAATTGAAAGCCAGTCTATTGTATCACTGTTTCTATTTAACTTACTCAATTTTTTTTTCTTCTTTTTTTAAGTCAATAAATATCGTTATATTTATTAATAATTAAAATTTGAGTAAGAACTATATGTCCTTTGACGATTACCTCTAATAAAATTCTCAGTTTTAATGTCTTTAAGCAGCCCTGGGCTTTCTGATGATGAGCTCCCACAAATGTTATAAGCATTTGTGTCGCTGCTTTCAAGTGAGATTAGACGTGGTCTTGAGCCGAAATCTTGGCCTCTAAATGGAGCAAAAGCTGCTTTGTTTGACGAAATATGATTTGAACAGTCCGTCAT